CAACCGCAACAGTCGCACTGGTGCCGCCCCCTCAGGCGGCGGAGGCCCCCGCCCCGGCAAGAAGATCAAGAAGCGCACTTGCAAGATTCTGTAGATTGATTCTACTTGATCTGTATTTGCTGTTCCCATTCTCGACACCCTTTGACATACCCTTCTTTCTTGGCCGCACCACAAGCCTGGTTGCTTCGTCGGCTTGCTTGCCCACTCGCCCTGTGTATGTGACATGTCGTCGCAAGCTGGACAAAGCTAGACATGACTTTCCAAATCATTCTCTGTTGTATCGATACGCTGCGCGGCCCTTACAATGATCTCGATTCTTTTTTTTATTTCTGCTGGAGGCTGTTTCTTTTATTTCACGTTTGTTCCCTTGTGTTCTTTTTGGCCCTTTTCACGACCCTTATCCCCCTTGTTCCATTTGATGTCTCTCATGACTCGGGTCTTTGCCGTTTTCCATTGGCATGCATGGGACCGGTGTTTATGTTATGTGATATGCTCTGTTGAAAGCGATGTCCTATGTGTTACTGAAACAATAACATTTGACCTTTTGTGTTTATCAAGGCCTTCCCCGTAGGATTCGTATATCTTGTTCCTAGGTCGTAAACATAACCCGAATTTTGGTATCTATGAAATGAAAAAAAGAGAAGTAAAATTGCCCGACGCCGACACCCGTCATGCAGACCAAAATTCAAACCGTCACTGCATGACTGTCGAGTCACCTTCGTCTTCTTCACGCTTTACCCCCGACTTACTCACATCACTCTCCCCGCTAGCCTTCCGTTTCTCATTTCCATCGTCAGCCTCCTCGCCTTGTTCTTCAGGCCGGCCCATGAAATTCTCAAACTGGGACCAGAGAGCTTCCACAGATCCAAATTCATTCCCCACCTGATATTACCGTTAGCATATAATGTTTCTCCGTCTAGGTGCTGAAGCTTACCGCAATCACACTCTCCAGATTCCGATTCAGTCGGTTGATGTTTTGAAGTACTTGCTCCATACCCTGCTCGAATAAATTAACATCGGTTGCGGCGACTGATAAGGATCCCCGAGTGTGACGCCCGTTCCGTGGACATGGTACATACCACTGCAATCTCTCGGACGAGTTCCTCACGCTGCTGCTCAAAGACTGTTGGGGACACAACGCGACCGCCAGAGCCTGGTGTTTGCTGGATCCAGGCCATTTTTTGGCTTCTAAGATTATATTCTTGTCGGGCTAGATGAGGTGACAGGACGACTTGGCACGTTTGAGCACGTCTCAAAGACACCACAGTTAGATTGAATCGTGGAAGATCGGGAGGCGTTAGGATATTTGGGGACTAGACGCGCGTTTTTGCAGGGAAAATCGTCTACAGTGGCCGACTTGCAGTTGACAATTTGAGATGAGGTTGATGTGGGGCTCTGATAAGAGATCTTATGCGTGCACATCTACATCGTGTATGCCAAAAATTAGGACAATCGTGGAAGGAATTCTCGCTTTTATTTTCTCTTATGCTATTTTGTTAGCCCTTTTGAATATTAGTTATGGAGGTGTAGCTATAAGAATAAAAATTTAGGTAAAGTGACTACAGTACCTGCGACAAGCAGAAGATTGTCCTAACTTCAATCTTCTATGTGACACTTTACCAACAATATTCCCGCCTGGACATCCTACGTGAAATGAACTGAAACTTGTTCCCATACTCTCCTGTTTAAGTCCTGGCCCTTTGCTTGCCAGTCTTTTAAGCAGTTCAAGATTCTTCTTGCGGGCCCGTTTAATGCTCATTTTGAGAAGTAACAAGATATCCAGGCACAGATATGATGAGCAAGACAGACAGATCATATCGATGCCGGCTCACAGTGTTGAGAGATTCCGCGTATCTCGCGCAATGTAACCGTGATGAGATGAATACGGTATAGCATCTTGCAGCCTAGTGGACCGGGACAATATAAATCGAGAACCACCATTCCTGTCTCCTTGTAATGCAGATGAAGACTTCGGGTCAGAAGAAGCGCCATGTGTTACATCCCAGTTTCTCGCCTTGTGCAGAAGCTAGACGGAGCCCGATGTCCACCGCACTATCACTAGCGTCAGCATAACGTGAGAAAAGGGAAAGCGGCTATACAATCTAGACCAATTACATGTCTACGCTTACACTGGTAACATCATTCCGAGGCTTTTGTGTAGTATTGGGGTGTGGCAGTGCAAAGGGGCATCGAGGGATCCACAAAGGCTGAAAGGCGCTGGTTAATTGTGGGGGCACGGATATCGGAGCTTCCGTTGGACTGTCAAATCGAGATTTCCCAAAATAGGAGTTCAAAAGGAAAGAGATTTCATCACATTAATCTGGAGTGTTGTGGGAGTCAATTCGGGTGTAGCGAGATGTTGAGCCGGGTACATTGAACGCGCACTTCAGTGACAACAGAAGGGAAACACCAGCTGGGATGTTGTACGAACTCTATACCATATTAGGATGTCTTGAGCTTATATCCAAAAATATAACAGGCTTCAACGTTCGGACATGATTGAAAGTCCCCTGAAATACAGTGATATATAACAATGCCATGCTGCGCGCGGGCCTGCTCAAGATTGATATTTAGTTGGTTTTTCAATCTAGACCACGAAAAAGTCCCTTCTAGGGCTCAAAAACGCAATGGTGGAAGTCAAGTATATGGGAGAATATGACTACATACCATCAGTACCGGCTGCCGTGACATTCATTGTCCTATTCGGAATCTCAACCCTCCTGCATTGTTGGCAAATGTTGCGTGGTCGGACTTGGTTCTTCATTGCTTTTATATTAGGAGGAATATGTGAGTATCGATCCGATGCACCGCGTTGATGCAGGTGCCTTGCTTCGGGCTATTATCCGCATTGTTTTAACACATGTTTTCTGTAGTTGAGGTTGTTGGATATGCAGCCGTAAGCTAACTTCGATACCCGGTCAAGTCAAATAGAGATTATACTCACAAGTCTAGCGTGTCATCTCTTCCAACGAATACCCAAAATATACCATTCCCCCTCTTGCCATACAAGCCATTTTTGTGCTCGTCGCGCCGTCACTGCTCGCCGCAAGTATTTATATGGAACTTGGCCGCATCATGATCGTCACTGGTGGAGAACACTTATCGCCCATCCGACGCTCGTGGTTGACGAAGATTTTTGTGGTTGGAGACGTGATATCCTTTTTTGTTCAGGCAGGGGGTAAGACATATATCTCATCTTTCAATCTATTCATAATACCCCGAGATGACCAATTGACTGACCTTATATTGTACCAATGCAGGAGCCGGAATGCTCGTCAAAGCCAGCACCGCAGCAAAAGGCGGAAGTGTGATTAAAGTCGGCTTGATTATCCAAATCATATTTTTCGGACTCTTCATCATCACCAGCATAATCTTCCACGTCAAGCTTGTGAAAAACGGGTCCAGGGTGCTTCAGCAACACTATGTCCCCTGGAGAAAACACCAGACCGTGTTATACGTCGGTAGTCTGCTCATTTTCGTCCGTTCCATCTTCCGGTACATCGAATACAACCAGGGAAGTGATGGGACATTGCTCCAGCAAGAATTCTGGAGTTACATTTTCGATGCCGCTCTTATGCTGTTGGTAATGGTCGCGTTTAACGTGGTGCATCCCACGGAGATTAGCAGATTGATGGAAGAGAGGAAAGGCGAATATGGGATGGAACTGATTGGATAATTAAGACGACTGAACACAGTATGTCGGGAAATCTCTGGGGATATTCAATCAGACCGACTCAACCTGTATCAAACTGATGTACATTATAATGTTGATAGATTGAACCAGGGTCCATACAAATTCAATGGGCGAGATCTCAGTCCCGAAGTCTGTCCGACATTGTTGTTCTTGCTACCGTTCTCTTTCCAACTTGAGAATATTCTGATTTCAATCTACGTCTGTAGCTCTCTCGTATAGCTTGCCCTACATGCACACGATCTAGTCTATACTCGAAGGTCTAGGCTCGAAGGTCCGAATGGTCCGGCGCAGGGACAGAGGCCGATACAGGGCCAAGTCGCCATTTGTATCCCCTAGCACAGAGAGATGTTGTGCTCGGCAGGAAGAATCAAAGAGCTATCTCAGCTTCAGACCTTCTGAAACCTTTCCAGCAAAGTCTTTTTTACTAGGCCAGTCCAAGTACTCGGACGAATTTTCCACTCCGAGGACCCCACTAGGGTCCAGGGTCCCCGTATTTTGTACCTATTTTGTACCTGCTACAAGCTCGATGGTCCAATAACAACCTCTAGAATAGTGAACATCAGGGGCCAGAGCCAAGACCCCGCCGGATTTAATATTTGCCAGGTACGAAGTTCAAGAACAAACAATCGGGTCAAATAGAATTTCGGTTACTGTCGCTTCATAGCTCAATACATGGCTCACTATGCGTATTCACGGGGATATGGCTACAAGCGGGAGAGAGCAGTACCCAAGAAAAAGGCAGTCATATTTTAACAAGTGAATAATAGCCAAACGCAGGTCTCGGACCGTTCGCGTTCATTTTTTGAGAAATTTTTGGTTTCTATACAGGTATCAGACACCCAGATCCTAATCATATAATCCTAGATCCGAAATCCACATCCAAATCCAAATTGGAATCACCAACTAGAAAAAGTGCATATTCGTCAGATCATCAAAGCGGGGCCAACTCCTGTCCCCTTGTCAACTGGACCAGCGCCAGCAGAGACCACAGTCTGAGGCCAAACATTCGACACCCGAATAGCAAAGGTAACGCCGTCGCGCACTTCGTATCATTTCAATTCGTAATCTCGTTTGCAATCCACAGTTCTCAGTCCACGTCACCGTGTCCTCTGGACACGAAACGTAGACCTAAACCTGCTAGCCAAGTCGTAATTGTATCCGTAAAGTATTTCTTTTTTTCTCGAAGTTTTTCAGATGGTAAGAAATATGTTCGGCATTGTCCATCCAAATCTCAATAGATATCTGAGACACATAGAGTGAAGTAGAGTATGAGCCAGGCGCATATCATGGCAAGGCCGGACATGTATCAAGAGTTCCGGCGGGGTTGCGCAAGGATATTGCTCAGGCGTTTCCAGCGCGGCGTTGGAGATGTCGAGTTTGTACGAGAGAGAGATTTATCTGGCTTTGCGGAGGATTGTGTAGAAGAACGAGCTCGGCTATTGATGGTTGCTTCGTGGTCGGCGAGGACATCCTCCAGGCGGACGTCTGAGTCGGACATTCCTCGGGATGAGTCCTTGGGATCGAGGATCTCGATAAATCTGGAGGGTGTATCGCGCATTGTTTGAACGTGTGGTTTTTTTTTTTGTTGATCTGTGATGATGTGGAGGAAGGTGTGTAGAGTATAGAATTTCCACAAGTAAATAGGGAGGTCACGAGATGGTTTTAGGTTCGAGAGATGAGACAAAGAATGTTGCAGGTCTCTAGACGGAGATTTGAGTGTTTCAAGTTCTGCGAAGAATGAACAGAGCGACGAAGATTTTATAAAAAGAATATTAGAATGGAAATGGTTTCCGATGAAAAACCCCCGAAGATCAGTGGAGTAACTCACTATAAGATTTATATTATGTCGAGGTACATACAGCATACGGAGATTGTGTATCCTTGTAGGCAACCTATTTTCCCCAAGGCACTCGAAACCCCGGGCTGCATACTCCGTACATCGCACAAGCCCCTTTTGGCAAGGTGACCTCAGTACTGGCTGCGCAATGAGGCGATGATCGGCGCCAGTCTACTTCAGTGGCGTCCGAGCATGATGAAGAACCTACGATGGTTCGTCGAGCTCCCATATCTATGGAGAAGCACATGGCCCATGCGAAAGAGTCAAATGAGGTAAAGATCACATGCACTCTGGTTCTATCTCTTTCTCTTAAAAAACGCCCCCCCATTATACCCTGAATTCGCCTATAACTCTGTAGTGCGCTACTCGTCTTAGCTTACTATTGTGGATGCCATCAAGCGTCATGACGTCGATGGCAGAAATCTCTATGAGGTTTAGATGATCAGCGACTGCAGAGGAGTAAGCAGCTCGACGGGTCGCCGGGTGATCGGCTTTTCGATGTTCGATGTACGATGTACATTGGACGGTACTTCGTACAGATTGAATCGTGCGCCATGTGGTACGTCGTCTTCTATAAAAAGAACCCGCCACAGCAATTAGCCACCTCAACCTGCCACACGTCTGAATCTTGTTCTAATTCATATAGGTAGCATGATGAATGTGCGAACTCACACGTAACGAGGGACAGGGGTGGCTGGCCAGGTTCTATTCATACGAGAAAAAAACGTGAGGATACTACGTACGAGTTCGCCCCAATGGATATTACTTACGGCTGTGCCCGGAATGATGTCAATTGGACCATCGCGGACTGCAAGACAGTTATCTCTAGGAATTGAATGCCTGTCATGGTGGAGAATATACTACGTACCCGAAATACGATTCGATAACAGCACTTGGAGCTATGGTTTTCTGCTGAGAAACTGATCGCCCTGGGTCATAGTGTCCTGTCACTGCTTCAGTGCACCGGTGTACACGATCCATTCGAAACATGTCGATGTCTATTGGATTTAGGCTGTTAGCCCCCTTTTTTCTCACCGATGGCCTCTGGCTGAATGGAGAGCAACCGGAGACCTTGTCGTCGCTGTGCCGCACATGAATGATAGTACATCCCTCCCAACGATACTTGATGGCACAGCAGCCCCAATCAACCAACTACGTATGCGTTTCGAACTTGTGCAGAAAGTAATTGATTCGATTTTGGTCAGAGGCCATGCACAAACCCCACTTTGAAAAGCCATAAACAAACAAACGCCTCGTGATAATTGAAATTGTGAGTAGAACACACACCCGAGTCCCAAAAATTCCGGTAGACTCGGTACATCTTCCGTGTCCATCTGTGCAGAGCTGAGCTCATCCGTGTCTTCGGGTGCCTGACGGGTGCAGTGTAGCCATCTGAGTGTGCCACAGACCAAGTAGCCTTTCCATTCAATGGAACGGGAACCTCACGGCGCCAAACGCATTGCTCCAAAGCTACAATACCGAAGCCCACGTCAGTCCCACACACATAAGAGCGGCCGTCATCTCCCAACACCCCCTTCATATACCGAACTGCCTCGCATCTCCGTTCCGGGGTATGCGACGTATTATTTGTATTCCATGTCCGTCACTTCGATTGCATCGGCCGAGCCCATGTAGAGGATATTATTGCATCTATGCGGGGGAAGAAAGAGTGTTAGCGAAACTAGAATTACAGGTATCCTGCCCGGCGCCGAGCCGATTGCAGCGCATTGCATACCTGATCAGAACAAGACCCAATGCACCGGTGGCCTTTCCGTCGATGAACTCTTGCGTGTCGCGCAGAAGAACGTTCATGTATGAATCAATGCTCTCAAGAGTACCCTTGTATTCGGTCTGGCCCCACTTCAGGCGAATGAGGACTTCAGTGCCCACGCTATAGAGATATGCAAGTTAGCAAATCGTATTAATGACGACGGTGCATATGTGCTGATGTCTCGATTTGCTTGAGACTGCTTGATGGGGTCTAGGTGGGTTGGGGACGGGTCGCATACCGAGCCTGGAGGAAGGGACGGGGGTTAAGCGGTTGGAACTGTATAAGTACGAGTCAGCAATTGGTAATCTGAGAATAGCGCGCAGGTTCAGCTGTTGATGAGCGGGATTTCGAGCTTGATAGCGGGCTCAGCTTGAGGGGGAAGACGAACACTCATTGTGACTCGAGATGAGTTTCTGGTTCGTTGGGATGGAGTAGGATTTGAGGATATGATAGCAGTCAAAGCTTAAGCAAGATCTATCACTCCTTTGGTTGATCGTGTTGGTCGTGTTGTTAACTGCCTTGACATCGGAGTCGGCGAGATCGCGAAAATGTGAGCTGAATAAGGCAGTGGTCTGGGGCCAATCAGAGCTTACCTTTCTTCACCGCCCTCAAAGTCTTGTATAACTATGTGAAGGTCTGTGAAAGGATTAGCATAGGTAAATACTCTGCATTCACAAGTTAGATTACGAGAAAAGAATAGCAAATATTTTGTGGTGCCATAATTGAAAGTACATCTTCCATTTTGGCATGTTCCGTGCCCCATTCCCATCAGAGCTTCCAAGTGTGAAGCTCGTCAACAGACACCAATAAAAATACAATGGAAAAATACAATCAGAGTTCATCATGGTTTCATAGATTCAGACCCCAAAGTTCAGCCATAGCTTGATAATCATCACTGGCCAATCTTCACTTAACGGCCAACAGTCCAGGTGATTTCCTTGATGCTGACTTCCTCACCCTTCTTCTCGTCATAGTCATACCACTCGCCCTCCATAAGATCAATGCCAGAGAAAGTGGTGGTGGAATCAACAGCCTTGGCCTCCCATTCACCCTACATTTTGTTCGTCAGCACATAGAATTACATAGGTACCTCTGAACAAATTGGGATTCACTCACGTCGGGCTTGAACTCAGTAAACTCGAGGCCACGGCAGTCCATTTCAAGGATCTTCTGGGCCTTGCTCTTTTCCTGGGCCTCATAGGGCTTAGGTCCACTAATGACGGAGGCTGTGTGGGTTTTCTATTTGGCTGTTAGCTGTGTAATCATGGAAAGGTGATAGACTCCTAGGTGTTTGATGCCAGCACAGCGGAGCGAAAAAAAATTGGAGGAATCTCGCAAAGAAAGGAAAGTAACAATAAAACTCTTTCAATCCTGGTAGATTGAAAAGAGACAGTTGCTTACCGTGCAAAGTCGGCACTTCCACACAAAATTAGCTTCACCGCGGCTACCGGGTATCTCGTGTGTCTCCTGTACATCAATCCAATGAATCAACCATTCGATCGTAAAAATTGAAGAGAATTATATCAGTGATTCACGTACGAAACGATTGAAGCTGACCCAGTTAGGGTGTTCCTCGTGGCAGGAGGTACATTTCACTTTGAAAGTGTAGAAGTAGGGGTTCTCCTCAGTGTCAGTGGGCAGGAGGTCAGTGACACTGTAACATTATGTCAGTTGGTTGAGTCTTTGTTGATAGTGACCGAAAGGATCTGCCCACGCGGCAATCCTGAAATTGGAGGGGAGGCTCGGGTAGCATCAAAGGCTCAATAGTCGAACAACAAAGCTTGGAATACTTACCCCTCCAGCTGAGCTTCGACCAAAAGAGTGAGCATTTTGTCGGCTTTTGAGGTCGAATGGGTGAACTTGATATTGAGTGATGAAGTTAAGATCCTCTCTGCAGGTGATGCGGGGTGGAGATGGAAAATACTCAACGTAGATCGAGGCTTGGCATGTGACCGCTCTGAAACATTGAACTTGGTAGGACTACAAAATATGGAAGTGCGCAGACAGGCTCAGGTATTGAAAATAATTGATTTATATGAAATTTGAAAATAAACGCCAGTCATGCTCAAGCTATCGCTGCTATATACATCTCGAGGGTAAAATACAGACTCATGAACACATCAACCTTCTCACAGACGGCTCTGTTGAGAGTCCTGGCCTAGCGGCTTCGTTGAGAACGAATTGAAAAACTCATTGAGAGCATCAACAGTGCCACTTCCCTCAACCAGCTGCACAGTGCAAGCGACGTGGCTGTCGGGGCGGGTGACGACAACACCACCCTTCTCAGCATCAAAGCCGAGCTTCTCGTGGGCCGCAAATTGGGCCTGAGGAACACGGACATCGGGGATATCATCGGCATAGAGGTGGTGATGGTAGTCACGCAGGACCTGTGGGATGGAGTCCACATCAATGGTGTTCTTGGAGCCTGCGTAGATGACAGACAGGGTGAACAATTTGGAGTGGGGGTTGTGGCGCTCGAAGAATGACACATCAGTAATATCAGACCGGCGGTAAACCGAGAGGAACGAGCGCTCCTTCTCCAGGTTTGCAGCAAAGTCGGCAATGGCCGTCTTGGTCTTGACCTGGTTGCCAGCGAAGACGAAGATACGGAATGCGCCGTTAGCGGGTACTTCCTGCTCAAGCTCAACAAAGTTGGAATCTGCAAGACGAGTGACGGTAGTCGGGGTGAAAGCGCGACCTGGAGTCAGATGAACGCCTGGGATCTGGAACAGAGCGGACTTGGCAGGGTGGCTCGCGTCCCAGGTGAAGATGTTGGGCTGGTAGGCCACTCCATATCCACTGGTGAACTCGCAAGATGACTTAAAGGTCTTCACGAATTCGTCTTCTTCCCCACCGGCACCCACAGTGGTGTGGCTAGCAGAACCAACCTCGCCAGCCGAAGGGCGGCGCTTAGAGAACAAGGCTGCGTACTTGGCATCAAAGTTTAACAAAGTCTCAGCGATATCCTTGCGCTCACTCTCATAGGTGCTGAGAATAGAACGATTGGCGAAGCCACTCTCCACGGCGTGGATCTTCCAGGCCATGTTGAGCGCATCATGGAAAGCAGTGTTCATTCCCTGGCCGGCCTTGGGCTGTAAGGGTGTTAGCGATATTTCCAGAGCAGGGACTTTGGAAGGATAATACTGACACTGTGAGTATGGCAAGCATCGCCACCCATGAAAACTCGCTCGTCAAGGGTGTACTTTTCAGCAATACCCTGTCCAATGGGGTAGACCGAGTACCACTCAACCCGGTCCCACTCAATCCAGTATGGCTTCAAAATATTCTTCGCGGTTTGCTGGACCTCCTCGGCGGTGGCGGACTTTCGGGGGTTCCAGTCGGCGTCCGTGGAGGAGGCGATCTGCACATACAGGCGAACCATGTTGTCCTCGCGGGGAATTACCATGATTGAGCCAGCGTCGGAGTGGATGGTGCATTTTGTCTGTATCAAAATGTTAGAAAAATACGTGAGATCAATTCTTGGGCATGTCTACCTCAATATCGGGGAAGTTGGTGCGCACGACACCATCCATAACACCCCAAACATAGGCAATGGGATCCTTGTGGTGAATCTTGATGTCAAGCTGCTCACGGACGAAGCTGCGGGCACCCTCGCCACTAAACAAGTACTTGGCGCGTACATTCTCGATCACATTGGTATCCAGGCACTTCAGGTTGACCTCAACAGGGTAATCAGCGTTCGCGCCATCGTTCTTGAAGCCGACGATGGTCCATGGTCGCTCGACAGTTGTGCCAGCCTTCTTAATTTCATCCAAGAACACGCGCTCGATCTTGCCCTGGTGGACAAGGGTGGTGAAAGGGTAGCGGGTGTCAATGAAACGGGGGCAACTAGGCCAGCTGCCAGTGCGGCCAATGCCAGAGCCGTCGCCCTTGGGATCCCAAAAGGCAACGTCGTACACCTTAGCGGGCTCGTAAGCCATGATCGAGCGCTTTAAACCAAGGTTGCGCAGAATCTCAGTAGAGCGCGGCTGAATACCGTCGGCGCGACCAGTAGCAGTCGGCACTGGGCGGTTGTCAATGTGCTTCACCTTGTAACCCCATCGTGACATACACAGGGACAAGAGCAGACCGACGGGACCGGCGCCCACAATGACAATGTCATAATTCTCTTGCTGAACCATGCTGGCGGCCAAATTCGAACGCAGTGATCAAGGTGGAATATATATGAATTGTGTGGTGAATGGAGATATGATCAACGTAAATAATTATACAAATGACTTGGAAGAAAAGCAGAGTATATCAGAGTATCACTCTGCAAGATGACCAAAAAAAATAAATAAGAGAGGGTCATGGTTGCCTCTATATACTAACCGGGAACTGGGGTAAGCGGACAGATTGGGTGTACAACTGAAGCAACGGAGCACATCCACGGCATTCAGAGTCGGCGGAATCGTGGGGGAGCACTCATTCGAGGGTTGGGGTAGCCAATCAGCTTCATCAGAGACGGAGTTATGGACGATTTGTCAGAATCGAAGAAACAAGCGCTATGTGGGGACAGGACTGGCCCTGCGCAATGTCCATAATACCGTCGTTGATCCCGAGCTGGCTGAACTCGGTTGTCTGACTGGGTTGCTCCTCCTTTTCTCTGCTCCACCCGGAAACGACTTCGGTAAGCGGACTGACGGGCACGTGACATCCCCTCGGCAACCCTGCCCGGGATCTATATCTCTACACGCTCCAGGGATCTCCATATTCCGTACATCGTTGGGGAATTACCCGATTCATCTAGGCCCAGAAATGCTCAGCGGGCTTTCCTTTTTCAGTGTTATTGGCTACATGCTCAATTGTTCCCTTCCGTTCTGCCGAGATGACTGGACTCCTGCCGTCATATCCTCCGGTCCAGGCCCCATACCATCATGGTAATTTAACCAGGGACTTATACTGCGGAAAGCTCGAAAATCAATGCCTTTTATTTCCCTTAAGTTCAATACCCATAAAACCTTACATCGGCTCTGTTATTGCCCCCTCAACCTAGTCCATGGCAAATGGATCGGTCCCACTTCTTCTTTAGGTGAAAAACAACAATATTGGAAGTATTAGTCACAAGCTCGTTCAAAGTAACAGCATTCAAGATGGTCTAAATCTTGTAGAAGATGGAAATTTTGACACAGAGAACAACAACTGCGGAAGAGGCTTGTGTCGGGTACAAGTTTTACCGCCCCGAACTATATCCCATGCTTGAACGGAGTACCAGGACTACATTGAATATTCAAGTTCGCCCTGGCACCACCTTTTGAATATCTAATCAGTCTGCACATGAGATGATCAAGGATGCTTACAAGATTTGTAATCTTCTCATTGTTATCATTGGGTAGTGACAACAAATAAAATGTGTCGCACTCGCGTGAGTTCACAGAGAGTTTCAGTAATACCATGCTCTCGGGTTGTAAGTCATATATATATATATCAATATGTGGCGGGTGAATGTCAATGATTTGGGACATCGCTGTACACAAGAACAGCTGGCCGTTTATGTTGCCTTATGGAATCGTTCTTGTGATCTTCTCGAATTTTCTCTCTTATGTCATTTCTTCCATGTATCTTCTCCCGCTTGTCAAGTATGCAAGTAGAGGCAAAACATGGTGGATAAAATGCATAAAAATGTATAAAGTATGCACATGACTGTTTACAAGGCAGTATGTATCTAGTCCAGCTCAAGTCCTATGGATGTTATGGAACATGTGCTAATGCATACAGTATGTCGTCTTTCTAGACTTGACTCATGCTAGTACGGTTTAGGTAGACATCTGTGGCGAAGAGGCGTTTGATTGGATGATCTATCAACAACGTCCTTGATAGGCAATATTGATTTCCATTTTTCTCCGTTTGTTCATGCATTGATTGTTCCACGTACTTTCTTTGTTCCAATATTATTTAATTCAATTTTCTTTGTTTCTGCCTTATTTGTTCTCTATTGTTTATGAGAAATTACCAGCCACCTTATTGAACTAAACCTATTGTTGCAGACCATCTGGTCCCAACTTAAGCTTTTCAGCATAAACAATGGCCTCGATTTCTTACTATGCCTTATTGGTCGGCCATGAATATAAATTCAATGGTTATTGTAAATGTGTGTATTGTAGCCCTAAGTTTCCAAGACGGTGCTGCATCACTATTATCTTCGTCTGGTTCTCCTTCTTCTCTCTTTCCATACTCCTTGGTGTCTTTCACGCTGCTGCTTTTCATGCTTCAGCGTTCATCGTTCAGCAGTTACGAAATTGAACAGCATCTTGAGTTGAAACTGTAAACCAAACAATGTCTCATTATCCACCAGCCCCTCCCTGGGCAACTCTCGGTGTTATTAACCGTGAGCCCGAGTCGGGAATCCCCCATGAAGATGAACGCGAGCAATCGCTTCGACAGCATCCACATGTTGCTCCTCACACTGGGGAGGGTATTGACAAAAAGAGCCCACGTCCCTTCGCAAACCGAGGCCCCGGCATGGCTGAGAACCTTCGTAGTATTGCAGAGCGAGGTGCAGCCCGTCGCAATGGAACTGCTGTGAACAAGAATGATGTGTATGAGCCCTCCTTACCTAATCTTGCTGGATATGGGATCTAATATGACGAACAGGTTTACCAAGCCGTTGCCACCAATTCCACGGAAAGCTCCTCAGCCTGCCACATCAGTTGGCCAGGAAGGTGTTTTCCAAGGTTCTGGGAGCGATATCAACAATACGAGTATTCACTATGTCTTGAACAGATCGGACATGCAAGATAACCAGCCTGGAACTTCATTTTCTCGACAAGAACATTCTCAGCGTGCTGTCAAAGCTGGCCAGAAGGCAGATTTTGATGGCCCTGTGCACTCGACTGAAAAGATGAAACCAAACTTGCTTCTCAAGGAATGTAAGCTGCAGGGCTACAGTGATGAGACTCCATCTATTCAACTCAGAGGATCTGAACCGGCCCTGCCATCCATTGTACCCTCTTCGGATGAGCACTACAATGCGCAGACTCATCACATGAATCACTCGTCTGTTGACCGTCGCTTGGCTCTTGCTGCTCTATGCTATGCTCCTCGGCCTGAGACCCCTCATGCTCAGTCAAATGCCAGTCCCCATCGCCATGATCATGGTCCAACCTCGTGGTACGAAGCTTCGCCCACTGGTCACGAATTTATTCCCGAAGATCAAGCTGCAGTAGCTCCCAGAGCTACTCCAGAGCGTGAAGCCAATCAAGAAAATGAAGCCACCGAAGTGCACCGCCCAACCATCGAGAAACTGCTTGCCTTGATCCATCGGGAAAAGGAAAATCGCCGCCTTGCAAATGGAAATAACAATCCAACAAGTCCCACTTCAGCTTTTCGTCTCGCTTGTTCCAATTCGGCATCTACGGATATCTTCCATGCGGGTCAAAACTTTGGCGTGGATTACCAGTCCCCTCAATTTGTCAGGCCTGGTGCTGACAGTCCTCCATTTGCGAGCCCCGGTGCCGTTCGGGAATTGACACCTACAACGCCTGTGTGGTCCCCATCCCCATCTCCTTGCCCCAAAAGATATTGCTATTGGTCTGAGGGTGGATCTGACAACGAAAGTGTCGCGTCCCCTGAGCTTCAATTTGACCGGGAATGGTCTAATTCTCATGTGCCTCCGCAAGAGTCACCAGTCTTACCTTCGTCTTCTCCTCTTTTCCCTCCTCTGGAAGAATGTTATGTCCAAGTTTCGGACAGCTCCAGTGAGCTTCACGGGTTTGACACTGGAATCACTGTACCCCTCGGACATCAGTTCGATCGGAAACATTCTGCTTCTGCCGGGCCTCTGCAAGAGTCATATGTGTTTTCCTCACGTCCTGCTCATGTTTCCTATGCTTCTACTCCCCAAGGATCTTGGGACTCGGTCAATCCCCATGAGGATGATACTGGCATCACTGGAGCCCTTGGACATCAGTTTGAATGGGACAATACTAGTCCTGATTTGCCTCTCATGGACTTGCCTCGATCTCCTCTTCAAGTTCATCCATCCCCTGAGCATCATCTCAGTGACCTTCGTGAATATTCCTATGCCGATGTGTCTCAGGTTGGTAGTTCTCCACCTCACAATGTCCCCCACGGTTCCCGTCTTACGAAGCCTACTCTGAGTTCGGACTACAATCCATCTCCATCCAGCTACCCAAAAGGGTTGAGATCAGCCAACATGAACAGTGTCGACCAGTATCTTGTCCCACAGCGTTTGAACGTGGTAAAGAGGAACCCTACCTTCACCATGAATTTTCCCATCCGCGACGTTTCCCAGCATCAGACTGCTGTTCACGTCTCTGAGTCTGCCAAAGATAGACATAGCCGCGCAGCCTCCCTCGTCAGCAATGATTCCAACGCTAACAGCTCCCCAAACAATTCACCTCCAAGTCGTATCAGCCGAAGCCCCGATGTCTCCAGTTCTGAGGGCTCTGAAGGCTCTCGTGGAACCAAACGCAAGCGGTTTACCAAGAACCTCTTTGGTAAGAAGGGATACCTTGAAGACAACGAGGAGCGACCCGAAAGAAGATTCAAGTTTATCAGGGGGCCATTGAAAAGGGACATTCAACCATCGGCAGTATCAAGGGAATGGTAAGTTCCTTGTGGCTCAGCCTTTGAAATATATTCACAGTGACTAACGATTGTCTTGATAGATTTGGGACGAGAATCGAGCTTTGATCAGCTCATCCAAGCCCAGCATCGTCACCGACAATACCGCCCGTATCACCCTGAACACCGACGTGCAGTCGATTTTGTTCGCCGAGATTGAGAACATGATCACTCATGCAGCCAATGAATTCCTGCTGAAGGAGTATTACGACGGCCACCTTTCTATCAATTCTCTCAACAAAGTGAAAAGAAAATGGGAGCGGAAGAACATGCCCGGTGTTCCTGAGTTCCACTTCGACCAGGCTACCCAGTACAAGATTATCAGCGCAAACCGGGATCATCTCAACTTCGGCAAAACGAGCAACGGCATTCCTACATTTGCTGTTCTGCGCAACTGGAAACGAATCTCCAAGAGTATGAGCATCCGTACCTTTGTGGCCCCCGATTCGGTCATCAAGAAACATATCCACGATATCCTGGGGCTCCTGGAGATTTTGAACGCCAATGAATGCCATATTGAGCTGATCATGGCCCTCAATGCGCACGTTCGTGGGGAACTGAAGAAGTACGAGGTGATGCAACACTACCGAGATACTCAGAACTCTGCAAACTCTCGCTCTTAACTTCCATTTCACTCATTCCCACTTGACCTATGTTTGATTTCTTTTTTACAAACTTTCGTCTGGCTTTCTGCTAGCTTCGCTTTCTGCTTTCGTTTCTTGCTTTTGCTTTCTTGCTGTCTTTTTTTCTGCGTGTGTTTTGCCAGTGATGAGTGGCCTAATTTAACATAACTCTAATCCAACTCATCCCAAATAAACCATTTGCTTTTGCTAGTCAATCCATTATAGTCCTGAGTATAATGTCGGGTATAAGATGTTTTGTGTACTGAATTAATCTATGTAAGCAGTACATATCCCCACAATAGGTGATTTTCGGTATCTGTTGGGGGCAGCCTCAATGGATGGAAACAAAACAAAGACTACATTTTCAGAAGTACGTGACATTTATGCCAGTTCCACTGCCCCTTCGAGGTCAATATACTAGTTTTTCCAATATCAACTTCGTTTTTATTCCTTTACCTAGACACTTCATAATGGCCTGACCAGCCATTGATCCCATTAATGTTAAACCCTGAAATTTGATATGCTCTGATCTGATAGCTATAATATATATAACTAATTCAACATGAGAGTGAATATAAATCAATACCGGGAGGTATCACCTAATAAGAGTTGTGTATCGGCGGTCCCATTAGTCGCCGTACACATCAAGCAAGCCCTTTACCGTAGTGATCCAGGGGTTTCGATTATTTATGCGGTCTAAATTTGAGCAGAACTCGGGCATATTTAGGCACAATCCCTGCAGAACCGGGCGTTGACCTTGAGATGACTAAAATACTGCCAGGCAATATTATCCAATGAGAGGATTATGCCCTGGGTGGCATACTTAGTCGTTGGTATGTTTATCTTCACCGATTTCATGGTATCTTGTTGTGATATTACCCTTCTCTTGTGTTTGATCATTCCAGCTGCTGATATCAGCTCGTTATGATACAGTACTTTCAGGCGGTTCAACAGTCTAAGTTGCTGATTGAGCAATCTTTCAGCAATGAGGTTCCGGATCAATCAGCACTGGAAAACATCAATCTTTTCGATACTTGTATAGACAAGGATGTTTTGTTAAAGCTACTAGGATTAGAAGTAGTTTGTCTGGCGTTGAGGGTGTAATGGAGATATAGACAGAAGAAACCTGCTACACTCAATAAAGACAATATAGAGCTCAGAATAATCAATATGCATAAAAAACACTTGATTATCGACATTGGGATGAATAGTTGCTGTGTTAGCAAAAAGGACCTCAAAAAAGACTGCTGGGATAACTCACTGTGAGAAAAGGTGGTGATTTGCGATGTTTACAGAACCAAAATTCTCTCTACGTAAGGTAACAAGGTAGTAAAGTAGCAATTGGAAGGTGCATGTGAAACGAGGACTACAATGGCAGGCACGGATGTTCCTAAATAGGAAATAGGAAGGAAGCGTGTGGAGGTTGGACTTCGGGAACGACTGCAAGTTTAGATCAGGGGATTCGAAGCCAAAAGAAAGAGTTGAATTGCACAATAAAACCTCAAACTAGCAAGCAGGCACCTAGTGGCCTGACACTGACACTTAAGGTACCACACCTTCTTCCTCGTCCTCTTCGTCAATAAGTATGAATGGCTCATCGAATTGGTCCGCCTTGCCTCTTCTCGTCTGCTCTTTTGAAACATCGCTCTCGTATCCTGGGGGCATTACAATCAGATCAAAAGGGCTGTCATGACTGTCAAGAGATAACCCCCATATCGAAGCTCGATTGACCCTTTGGCGGTAAAAGCTCTTGTCATCCACGATATGGAAATCCCTAAGGAATTTCTCCTTTTCTTTTTGGTAAGCTCAAACCCCCGAGCCTGGTGACAACATCCACATTCCACCATACAATGTCCAGCTCCAAGCTGTCGTGTTTTATCAATCTTGCGATCAGCGCAACATCCACAGCCACGGCTACAGCATCCCCCCTTCCTCACGCAATCCTCGAACAAAACTCGGTGCATATACCAGAGAGGATGTGATCGCCACAGATCAAATGCTCTTATCAGTGGCCCCTCCACGAATGAGTTTCGGACACTCCACCACTGGAGTTCCAGCAACCAATATCTCTTCTTCAAAGTCTGAAGCACGGCCTGTACATCATTCCTATAGATTAGCCAGCTGCCTGTGGCCTCAGGATTCTTGGCGAGGCATTGCTCTTCCTGGACAGTACTTCGGAGGTCTTGTTCTATCCGGAGAAGCTCAATCGCTCTACCAACATAGGATGGCGCTTTTGTAACCATGTTCCACCGATACCGTTGAAGAGCGTCAATATCTCCACTCTTTTCGATCTTGATTTCATCTTGAGTTTTCTCTCCAGGCAAGGCCAAGTCAATTTCTGATCGAGTCGGCTTGTCCGCAGATTGCATGTTGAGCTTTTGTTGACCGCAGAAGCTGTATGCTAGCTAAGACTAGGTTATCGTCTCGGGTATAGAGAATAGAGAGATGGGGGAAGATTATCCTTAAAGTTGTCTACCTGATGAACGACTCATCCTGATGTCAGATACTCTTCCATAATCTCTATTGAACCCGCATATTTCTAACAGTAAAAGAAACAAAATGTGAAAAGCCAGAAAACTTTATTGGTTCAAGAATAGCTCAGTTTCCCTTCTTTGATCGTCCGCTCCGAGCTTGGTAGGCGGACCGATGGGAGAACTATTAGAATTACAAGCAAGTTCACAGCATCTCAATTTGAAACAATGTTCGATATATCGGAAGCGAGTGCCAAGAATTTTGCGAGATCGTTTATACTATGCTCTTTCTAGCGAAGGTTCTATGTAAACGCTTTTTGATCTAGTATTATTCCGCTCTATCATAATGCCTGCGTCACAATTCGAGTCAATTCTAGTGACGACAAATACAGACGGATGGATTGATGGATGATTTCACTTACCCTGACTCCTCGCAAAAAGAAAGCCTTATGCAGGCTGCAGCAACTATAAGAAGACTTCACTGGATATATTCACAAGCAAGCAAGCCACGACCAGAATGACGCCAAATCCAGCGCCTTCAAAGCATGAAATTATTATGATACTGCACTGTATGATCCGTAGGGAGAACTGTCTATATCGCCTATTCCAGAGACCACAGCCTGTAACAGGGGCACTATCTTGAGAATATTTTACAATATACGGATGTTTGGCAGCGTCAAAGCACCGCCTAATAAAGGTGGCCGATCACGAAGCATCACCCAGTCATGCTAGAAACTCTTTGCGACCACCTGCTCGAAAAGCTTTTTGCAGTCTCGCTCACGTACATCTGTGTTGATTTAAATCTCTCTCTCACTTTGTTTGTTTTGGGGCATCGCCTAACAGTAGCAAATGAGTCATTGTTATCTCTGTCGGTGGGAAGTAGACCGTACGAAGTAATACTTGGCGGTCCAATGGAACCGTACAGGCAGCTGCCCAGGTGTTCAAGCATGATTACAAAGACGATAGACGACCTCGGGAGTGCCCCCAATTAGGGCTGCCGATAATACTCCACTCCATAGGTGCTGATCATATCATCTTCGGCCCAAATCATTCAGCAATTATCCGATATATTTTAAATCGAGATGACGATGTAAGGGCTACGACTCTGCTTGCACATATAAAGCAAAACTGGGGTATTTCCCGGTAGCCATGTGTCCTTTTTCATGCTACGCCTGCAGGCATCAATTCTCGGCGTTGCGCGTTCACAGCAGGTCTCGATAGTCAAAGATGTCACAATTAAATGAACATATATGCTAAAATGGCTCCCAGGATACTCCAGATCTGAAGAGTGTTCGCTCCGGCTGCGGCAAACGCACCCGATTCGTAATCCAAACTCAAGGAATTATTCCCGAACCCCATGCTCGGTGTCCATGTCACTGGAGTTCCCTCGTTAAGGATATCTGAGCGCGCAGCATCAATCCTCCCTAAGAACTCGATCGTCAACCTAGCGGAAATCCTTGGCGTCTCCTCATCCTCCTCAGCCAAGATACCCGCAACAACCCACGATCGAATATTAAAATTTGCCGAAGAGTCGTCAAATGTCAGCTGCACGGTCGGGTTTGTTACGCCGCTAATGTCATCACGGTGACTACCGAGTGAAATGGGAGCGACACCCCACCGTCCCTCGCTACGGGAGCAAGTCGACATATTCATCTTCAAAGGACCAAGCGGGTTCTGCTCTAGCTCCGAGCTCCCTGTGACTCGAAACGGGACCCCACTTCCAGTATCCTCAGCGACAGTCAGGTTAAATTCCGGTTTCGTGTTTCTACTCGCTGGAAATGAATAACGACTGTCGCAAATCAGCGAGCCGCCAGAAAATTGACTGCACATTAGAAAGAAGTATATACTTACGACACCTCAATCGACTCAAATACGAAGGGCATATCCCTAATCTGCATGTTGACGGAATCAATATAATCGCTGAAATACTTCGTGAAGTTCGAATACGAGGTGAACAGCGAAACATCGATTGGGTTTGTGTTCTTCGGTCGCTCATCTTCTGGTTCTGTTGCTGTGATCGCTAGGATTGCTGGGTACGACCACGAGTACGTGATGTTCTGCAACTGCCCACAGAGTTCCAATTCGGAATCGCTGCGGTCATCTCGAGGCTCGACACCAGAGATGGTGAATACGGCGCTACCGTTGTAATACCTATAGACAGATTCTTAGGATGTAGTCTGTGTGGTGTGTAGATACGGATTGAGCATACGAGCCAATCCATGGGTAATAGTAATAATCCAGCCCCGTCACATTCCTCGGCCGGTAGTTCCCATCATCGCGTCCTAAAGCCTGCGCTGCGAGGAATAGTGGTAGCTGTAATAACGTTGCGGCGTGGCGCATTGCGGTTGTCGCTCAGGTTATAGCAAAGTAAATGGACTGGGGGGTGCCACTTGTCGCAAGCGCAAAATGGAAATCCACGAACTGGCGTCCACATCGCGGGGGGGCACGCTCCTTTTTTAATTTTCCGGGCTGCTCCGCTGAATACGAAGACCTAGCCTCTTTTGCTTCGTTAGGAGTGCTAGGACCCTTAATATCTGGGGGACGGCCTGGCTTTCTTGGCTGTCCCTAGAATCAGAGTGCGATGAGTAACTCTATGGCTGGTGTAGATATGCGCATTCATTATTGCATCCTGGTTGTTCATTTGACTTTCAAACTAGACATGATAATTCATAGCAATTTACGATGATCATATGTCTAGGATAAGTCTCACATTCTGTGTAGAGTCTGTTAATGGTCTATCCAGGAAGTGCCCGTTAAAGTCAACATCAAATCCCAATATGCCCGCCGCGGCTAAACTAAGGTCTCGCCATTATCCGTCGCCCAGTGGGTGTCAGAATCTGCGCTATGCTCGTATAGAATCTCACAACTTCGCGATGGTGAATGCGCATCAGGCATTTCGATATCCAACGCAGTTAACTCAGTTTCAAGAAGAATAAAAGGCACAAAGCTGCCCATGGCCTCAGTAGAGAAAGTTGGGGGAATAAAACAAACCAAAAACAAGGACAAAGACAAGAAAGATATTTCACGATCTTGGCAATTCCGCTCCCATTGCTTGGCAAAATTCATGCAATCCCTGTGACGAATCCTATCGCGAGTACATATACTCTGGAAATCAGCATAGCGCGAGGGCTAGCCCGACCCGGGACGCAAATCAGAGAGACCTTCCCGGAGGTACCGAGGCCTTTGCTCCAGTTGCAGCCCCCCCCCATCTCCCCACATGGTGTGATCTACCTCTCTCTCCGAGAGGTTAATCGGGCTTTCGATGCGCTGTGTTAAGTCCAATCGAGGCCCGGATCGACCTGTTTCGGCTTTCTTTTATCCATGATTGATGGACGCCATGATGCTCAACGCTGGGGTTCGAAATACACAGTAGTCAGGGCGAATGCGAGCTTGATTGAACAGCCATGTGTTTCGGGTCAAGTCATACGTTCCAAAGTGCTGAGCTGCTTTTGAGGACCTTACCGGTACCCTCCCAATGCTCCGACGTGCCTAAGAAGGTGCTAACATGAAAGGAGATTATGGCCGGGTGGGAGAGGGGCTCGTGCACACGGCCCCCCCGGGCCTGGGAGGAATTGTGAGCTCGAAACCAACCGATCGTCTCCACCATCCCCGAAGTGGTTCGAGCGCACAGGCTTATCTGTCGCCGGCCGCCACGTTCGGTAGGATCAACCAGTCCGATGCATGCATGATGGAAGCGAGGCGGGGGCGGGGGAAGAGAGCAAACTACAGCGCGATTGAAACATTCTCGGTGTGCAAAGCTCAGCAAAAATGAAAATTATCGCCGTTGCCGAACTGTTCAAGAATTGAAACCTTGGGACACCTTGGGACGGCTACGGTTCTCACCTCCTCTAGCGCTCCAACGGAGTCAAAGAATTGCAGGGAGCATGGCTGGAGATTCTTCAGTTTGTCAACACCCACTTTCCCCCGTCGCGAGCCAGTGTTCTCGTGCTAATCGAGTGTTTGTGTCGGCGTTCCAGCAAGCCCACTTCAGGACTGGTAGTACCCCATCCATCGAAACTGAGCCGGAGACTGAGCAATCGCGGGCGGGTGTCTTTTCCCGTAAGAATTTTCAACGCAGGCTCAGTAGACTGAGTTCTATCTCACCACGATCATCCTCCTTATCCGGGGAAAGCCTTCAATCTGGCCCCGAGCGGAAAGGACCCCTCGGTCTCAACCTTCAACATGAGCCATCGGAGCCCCGCATCGATTTCATTTTTGTGCGTCTCTTCCTCTCCTGCCACCTAAAAGGGGTATCCGCTAATGCGCGATCTATCTGTACAGATCCATGGGCTGGGTGGAGGCTCGAGGAAGACATGGAGCTATTCGTTCGATCCGGGAATGTTCTGGCCCAAAGAATGGCTACCGGACGAGGTTGGGTTCAAGCACGTTCGCATTCACAGTTATGGATATAACTCAGACTGGACCACGAGAAAGGAGAGTCCCCTGACTGTCCACGATTTCGGACAGGCCTTGCTGGCTGACATCCACAATTCTCCCTACCTCCGGAAGAATGGTGATGTGAGTCGCTTTATAGTGCCTTGATGCGGTGCAGTGAAGCGACTGCTGATCAAGTCCAGAATCCAATTGTGCTCGTTGCTCATAGCATGGGTGGTCTGGTTGCGAAGAAGGCAAGTGGGAGGGGATACTTGAGCGACCATTTGCCTCGATAATGGACCTGACAGATTCTAGGCATATCTTCTGGCCACCCGAGATCCAATGTACCAGACTACTGCGCGAAGATTTCATACCATGTATTTTTTAGGCACACCACATCGGGGGGCCGATTTGGCCTCGCTTGCCAAGCTGATGAGACAGTCTGCAGCTCTTGGGACAAAGGCTTTTCTTGGTGACCTCGTACCAGGCTGCGGCACTCTTGGCGTCCGTATACTCTATCCTTTTGTGTAATAGTCCTTGGAAAAAGATCCTAACAGCTCTTTATAGCAAATTAATGACGAATTTCGGCATGTTTGCGATAAACTTCACCTTTGGTCGTTTACTGAGAGTAAACCGACAAACTTCGGCCTTACAGCCTCCCTGGTGGTGGAAAAGGAGTCCGCAGTTATGGGTGCGTGGCAATTGAACCCCTGTACCATTTCACACCCTTTTCACTCTACTAACAATTTGAACTGTCCTTTGCAGGGTTGCCCAAGGAACATGTACAATATATTGAAGCCGATCATCGTCATATCTGCAAGTTCGACTCACCAGAGAACCCGAACTATATCATACTCCGAAGAGCCTTCCAGACAACAATTGAGGACATAGAGGCCAACAGTTCGTTGAAAGACCCTTCCCAGACACGGTGACACTTATGCTCAGATTCACAGGCTCTCTTGACATATTGGACGAATACCGATTACAGATGAAGACAATCGCTTCGCTCCTGCGTATCAGGCAGCGGACAGATGCAATCCTTCTGGCTACAAACGCAAAGCAACATACGGGAACCTGTCAATGGTTGACAGAATGCCACAGATTTCAGGAATGGGTTGACAATACAGTTGATGATCGGGAGGATACTGATCCACTAGAAGCAATTTTAGAGCATCCAGAGCCGAAGATTCTATGGCTCAGCGGCCGACCTGGAACAGGTAAAACGGTAGCTGCTGGCCATGTTATCCGCTACCTACGGACGTACAACCTCGATTGCAGCTTCTATTTCTTTGAACACAAGGACAAGACAAACGGAACAGTTGCCGCATTTCTACGGTCTATTGCCTTCCAAATGGCGGAATCCAGTTTTGAGATCCGCCGCGCCATTGCGTCGATGGCAGAAGACGATATCAGAGTTAGTCACGACGACCACCATCTGCTTTGGACAAGTCTCTTCGTCGATTGCATCTTTAGGGCGCAAATCACAAGGCCTCAATATTGGGTGATAGATGCAGTCGATGAATGTTCGACTAAAGGCATACCAGCTCTCATCTCAATGCTGTCAACCTTAGAATCCCGAAGTCCGATTCGCATTTTCATGACCAGTTTGCCCGGAGGACAGATAGAACGGCTTTTTGCGCTCGAACGGACTCAATATTCCCAGATTTCTACCGGCGAGGAGGGATCTCTGAAGGACATCGAAATTTTTGCTAAAGCCAGATGTCCTAGGGATAGCGATGTTGGGCCCTATCAGGACTTGGCTAGCGATGTCATTTCCAAGTCTAACGGCATATTTCTCTGGGCCTCCCTGACGGTGGCTAAGCTAGAAGATGCATATAGCGTTGAGGATAAGCAAGATGTCCTCCTCCAAATACCCCTCGAAATGGACATGTTTTACTCCCGCATCATCGCCTCGATTGACAAGTCGCCAAGCTCTGAACTTGCAAAATGTATTCTCAAATGGACAATCTGCTCACCCAACCCACTCCACATTAAAGAGCTCACAGAGGCCGTCAGGCTAGACATTGGTCGCACATTGATGGCATCGGCAAAACAGCTTGAGACATTGACTGGGCATCTCCTGTTTGTTGATGACGACTCCCGGATCCACATTGCGCATCAGACAGCGTCGGCATTTTTGACCCAGCAGAGGGATGTCTTCTGGATTGATCGAACAAAAGCGCATTCTCAGATTGCGGAAGTTTGTCTCGATGTTCTTTGCTCCTCCAATCTTGTTCCGCCCAATGTATCTCGAAGGGGCACGACTACAGGAGGGACTGGAAATGTTCACATGCCACTTTTAGACTATGCGACGTATAACTTCTCGTATCATATTGTGCACAGTTCATCGTCTGCTAAAGCCCCTCTCACTTTGCTTAGCAAGTTCCTCAAATCTAATGTCCTGACATGGATCGAGAGGATTGCTAAGACTGGCAGTCTGGAGGACCTTCAGCTCACAGCGCAACGGTTAAAGGCGTACCTAGGTCGACGAGCAAAATATGAGCCAGTCAGCATGGAAATACAGACTGTTGCTGCATGGGCTGCCGATATGTACCGGATCTCTGGGGCTTTTCATTCCAGCTTGCTCAGGTCGCCGTCCTCTATATACTCTCTCATCCCTCATTTTTGCCCACCAAAGTCAATTATTAGGCAGCTTTTTGCCAAGCCAACAGTACGACTAAAGATTGTGGGTCGGATAGAAGACGACTGGAATGACAGGTTAGCGTGTTACCTGTTTCCAAAAGAGGCATCAGCCGTTGCCAGCAGTTTTCGTCTCCTTGCAGTTGGCCTTGCGAACGGCGACATCCGGACGTACTACATATCTGGATCTGGCACGTTCGATGCTGCAGTTACACTGTCTCATGGGAAAAGGATCAGGCAATTAGCATTCAACCGATCATCGTCACTCCTCGCTTCTTGTAGCGCCAGGAAGCTGATGGTATGGGATGTTCACGAGTCTCGCAGCCCATCATTTACATGTCTCTGGTCGCAGGACATTGATTTCACCTCGTCCTGCATAGTTTTTCATCCGGACGGGAGTTCAATACTTCTTGCAGACCACGATCAGAGTAAAATTGTCTCCTTTCAAGCTGCAGACGGCCTCAAACAAGAGTCTGTCCTCCTTCACTCATCATATGACTCGGACTCCTCCGACGACAGTGAGGAATATGTGTCTTCGTGGACGCCATCGCAACAGATACGATTTGATCCTAGCCACAGGCTGGCTGCACTGGCTTATCGAAACGCGTCCGTCTCGCTCTGGGATCTGAACCATGTTGAAAACATTGGCACTTTTGAGAAGGCAGGCTTCGAAGATGTCTATGTCATGCCACAAACTCTCGACATGATTTTCAACCCAGTCCCCGAGCTCGAACTCTTCGCCGTTACATACATGGACGGTGACATTGTAACGTGCAATCCATGGACATTGGAGCAGAAGAATAAATTTCACCTGCAAGGGATGTTGGTTGCTCTGGCTGCCACAACAGATGGACGGGTGTTGGCGGGGGCAACAGAGGATGGAGGCATCTACCTTTTCCTCTTCGAGACACTGCAACCCGTGTACCAGATTAGCCGACCTATTGACCAGCTTCAGGTCCATGGTATCTCATTCTCGGCAGATAATCTCAGACTGTTTGACATTCGGGGACAGTGCTGCAATATATGGGAGCCCCCAGTCCTCGTCCGGAGGGATGAGTTAGATGACACTCCATCGGAATCTCATAGCGAGGTTGTCAGCCTTCCACGGCCCCCAGCCTCTCATCCACATGTTTTTCAGTGGGGAGAAGCAATTACTGCCATTGAAGATTCCACTAACGGTAGTTTCTTATTCGCGGGGCGGCAGGATGGCAGTATCGATATACGTGAGTCAAACTCGGGCGACCTCATCGATAAACTGATGTTGCATGACACATTCGCCGAAGTCGAGTTCATAGACTGGAACGAGAAAAACAGTTGTATGCTCAGTGTGGATATCACTGGCCGCTGTGTTGTCACGCGATTGCCGTCTATTCGAAAAGGCACTAGGGTGCAGAGCACTTGTTTGCTAGATCACCGCGAATGGGCATCTGTGCGACAGGCATTTATTGACCCAAACGCCGAATCAATATTTATTCGCACCGAGTCGAGCGTTAAAATCATAGACCTGAGTGGTTCCACGGTGGCGGATTTGACGAGCCTTTCTGGGAGCTGGTGGGCGACACACCCGTCCAGCAACCATCACCTCATCGCCATTTGTGACAGTAAACTCCACCTCTTCGAATGGCGTTCTCTAAAGAGGTTGTTACAGACGGATGGAGTGAGCCTTCTACCTCCTGAACTCGACATGCAGAAAGCAAGCCATCAGTGGGTAGGCGGTTCCAGTTCAAGCTATCTAGTTCAGGGAGTCCTCGGGTCGAAGGCCCGAACAGGCCACCTTGTTGCATTCGAAACTTCAAACATCACTCCCGAAACCACAGGAGTGTCGCTCCAGATACTCAAATATGACTCGTTGAACATTCAGTACCTGCTGGGCTGCTTGAGGTCCAGCCTGTACTTTCTCGATACGAGTGGATGGATTTGCTCGATTAAACTGAAAAACATGAGCAAGGCCACTCGATATACGCGCCACTTCTTCATCCCGCACACCTGGCGTACTGGAGCTGACGTGATCAAGATCATCTCAAAAACGGCAGTGGCATTTGGACAAGGGGAGTGGCTGATTATCTTCCAAGGGTTCCTGGACTTAGACGAGAAGGTACCGCTTTAATATATTTGAATGGAAGTTTCGACCAGGATGACGGAGTGGTGCTGGATTGGTCTTTATTCCGACAAGTCCTTGTATCAAATTATCACAGAGCGTGCATCCTCGGAGTAGCAAGCATAGTCAGAGTACAGTAATCGCTGAGCTGCAGTTGTCGGTAACCTCTGAACACCGGGACTGCTATTTCCCCAAATAAAAATTAGTCGCTTCGCACACGACTGAATGAAGACCCAAATTGTCGCTGACCGAGTTTGTATAACTTTCTCCAACTTTCCTGGTTCACCCTCTAGCTCACCCTTTGGCTAGTCTCTCAATCATGTCAGCCACTGCCCTTCTGCAATTGGAGCAATGTAAATTGTTGATTTTCTGGTTTCTTGGCAGAACCTACCTAGGTAAACCGCAAAGCTCTACCACATAATTGAAAGCATGATAGCATCGATACCCTTCAAACCCAGTCGTAAGTGGACTGCGATCCCGACATGCAGTGTCTCCAGTACTTTCTTTTCCCATTGGAACTCACTCTCGGACGTCCTTGACATTGGCACTCCGTACATATTACACATGCACTCATCCGGAGCGTGTCAGGGGGAGCTAGTCTTGACTTGGGTAAAGTATTAAAGCATTCGAGCAGGAATATTACAACCGGACTTTGCTAAGCGTAGAACAGCGTACAATTATTAGGCTAGTATCAATCGAAAAGGGAAGCTATTTCATTATTACGCCGCCATTTCCTACGTGATAGTAGGAGGCCAGGTGAATTATGGGTCCATCCAAAGTATCTCGTCTCTACGTGCCTTCTCCATGAAACACACCTTCCCCAACTCCAGCCTGTGAGTCTGGAAGCTCCCTGTTTCTTGTTGGGTTGATGTTAGTCTTCACTCCAATACATCCATGCGCCATTATAACTGACCACGTAACAGACCGCAACCAAATACCACCTCCACTTCTACCCTACTCTCGCCGTTCATCGGCTGTCATGTCATGGCAACTTCTTCATCGGGGTCCAGCATTGCAATATCTGGTTTCTTCTCTGCGGCAATTCAGGCAGAAACACTACGAATTGCCGGTACTACGTATTGGGCGTGCTCGACAAGAGCACCGGATATTTGTCATGTCGTGCCCCATCATGACCCCCAGGTGCCTTTGGAATAAATTCCCTATAATCTTTGATCTCTAAGCTAAAAAGTCCCGCTTTATTCAAATTCATGTATGGGAGCAAGCTGGGCTGTTTACCTTCAACTATAAAAACACCCAAAACACAATTTCCTCTCTGTGGATCTTGCCATACCGAGCTCGATATGTCGCTTGACCCCGGATACGTATTTTTCCCAACAGATTTACAGTACTTCATTGATCTCGAACGCCGAGATCGTGCTCGCCGAGAACAGATCGCAACAGATACTGTAGTCCCTCTCTCAGCCCTTTCGCGGCAGGTACCGACAAGTGCAGACTACAAGCAGCATGAAATTGACTTAAACCAAATATCGCCCACTGCTATCGGAGGCCGATACAATCGGGTATTCCTTAAACAATTCCTCCACAACAGTCAAATCCCAGGGATTGAAAAACCTTCTCAACTCCAAAAGAATGGCACGGTGCTCCCCTTGCGTCTATTCGTCGTGCGTTTGCCGCCCTTGCAAGTCCGCGTTTCTTTATCGTCGTTGATGCCGGTACTCGCCACATGCTTGAAGAACTACGGCAGCTATACTTCAGTGACGACCGCATTTCATCTGAACAAATCTCTCTACGTGATTTGTATCGGCCACAAGTCCAGACAAGTCAGAAGCACTAGTTAGAAGACCAGACGAATGACGAGTCGGAATGTTACAACAAAAGAGCCAAATATCAGGACACAGGGTTTGCTGGATCAGCTTCCGCAGTAAACCAGTGCCACGAAGATACCGACTGGGTTTTGGGTCCCCAGTCGACGACAAATGACGTCGTCAAGTTGTATGGGCCAGTTTTTTCCTCATCCTAGCTGACCTGCTACATTGCTAAGATATTTTTAATCACGCTGTGTTGTCAATGCCGCGTGCACTAAAGTAGATTATGCGTTTTTATTGAGATAAACATATTACGAGAATTACTCGCTGCTTGTACCTTGTTTAGTCATAATAAGAAATGTACCTTTTGCTGTACCCGCTGAATATCTGCCCGAAGTGCCCCGAACAGAGCGGCAAGCCGCCCAACCATGGGCGCTGAGCACCGCCTCAGACATGCTGCAGGACGCCACCAGCGCTTTCAGATTCGTTTTCGTTAAGAGCAATTGTCCCTTGCCGTTGCCACCCTCCTCCCCTTTAGGGCTTTCCAAGCGGTCATCTAAACACCAATTAATCCCATCTCCTCCGTCGCTTCTGCATGCCCTGCACGTCCTCAAAGGCGCTAAAGTAGCCTCGCACCTAGAACATGCCGTGTCTTCCGTGTGTCGCGTATCTCCCATCATTCCCGTCTGCCAGTTCAGCCCCCACTTTTGCTTTTTCTGGGTGGAGGGGCAGGTCAAGATCACATCGCCCTGCTCTCTGTGAAAACTAGAAGTCGAGGCCAGCATGACGTCGCCTCTTGACAGTCATTCAGCTGACTGCATCCTAACCAATCAATTTTTTTGAGACTTGGGTCTAAGCCACATGGGATTCGAGGCGCTGCCCATTTCGATGAAATGCTTGATTTGAAAGGCAGGTAGCACTGAAGTTTCTCAATGGCTTCTTCACCTTCCCCTCGCTGCTAAAAATAGCAAGAAAACCCGAGCACTTTCACTTGTTCAATTGAAGTCCAACCATTTATGATTGATTTCTTTGGCTTCAATCTTTTTCCAACACCCTGCCCCATTTCCCAAGGACTGGGGAAATGATGGAAAATAAGGTAAGCTTCTAGAAGCGAAAGCTGTTCGGTTCATGGACGGGCGTTTTCCATTACAATTTACGATGCAACTGTCAAGTGCTGATGCCGTGTAGGACGAATTATTGAGACCTCCCTTTTTATTGCGACCGCCAACACGGGACAATCCCTTGGGCCATGCGCGTCAGGATTCTTCGCCGCCGACGAGTTCTGCTGGGGGTGCTCAAGAGCCCATTGAAAATGGAGTCGTTACCTCCCCACAAGTGAGTCTGGCTGGCAGCATCTTTCAAGATGCAAATGACCACGAATCACCGACAAGCGGTGGTTTCCAGCCGCAGCTGAAAAGCACGTCCATAGCTACATCCTCTTCTGCCCTGCTGGTGAACTTGCCGACCATCTCCCGGAACAAAGCGCACGACGTCTTTTTGGTCGCGGATGATGTTCAAGAATATCTCGAACGGGACCTTGACCACTCCCGGCTCAATAGAATTCATGGACACCTTTGGATGGCCGGGAGACCCCTCAATGCTAGGCCGATACACCGACAGAAGATGATGGGGTTTGATATCATTCTGACCGAGCAAGCGGACCTCCACCTCCTCAAGTTTTCCAACAAAATTTTCATCAAGCCACTTCCGGATTATTTGCTTAATTTTCAATTCTGGGAGACGTATCTCTGCAAATCCGAGGATCTTCACAAATCCGCCTGTGGAATCTTGCTCTCCTATGTTTGGCTAATCTGCTCGCCGCTCGATCTAAACCTGGCTCATAAGCTAGACCTCCTTCCGAGTGAGATAACGTGGCTCTGGTGGAAGAGCTTCGTGGCAGAGTTCATCTTACATGTCGATCCCAACGTTCTTGACAAGGTCAATAAACGCTACCACTTTGGTGAGCTACGACTCGGAAGAATCAACTCGATATACAGTATTCGCTTTTTCTTTACGCACTTCATTCGCGGCTACTTGTACGGCTACAACCGCTATACAGTGTTCTTCCAGCGTAATTTTGCTTGGATTCTCATCGTATTGGTCTATTCTTCTCTTGTACTCACGGCCATGCAGGTCGGCGCCACGATACCACCACTGAATACGAACACCGCCTTCCTGCGGGCTTCTTACGGCTTTTCTGCGTTCTCAATCATCACTGTGGCTGCAATCGTGGGCTCTGTGGGAGTGATGTTCGTTACCATATTCTTGATCAATATGGTCCTGGCGATTCGGCACGCGAAAAAGAAAAGGAGGGACCGGAAACTTCTCGCCCAAAAGAACGACAAAGGAATAGCCAAGGCTTAGACAAATTCGCTTAATTGAATTTCATATAAAGCTTAACGGTGTAACCCTCAACCCACATCCGATATGGTGTAGTGGCTAACATCGCCGTCTCTCACACGGCAGCCGGGGGTTCGATTCCCCCTATCGGAGTGTCTTGCTTTCAATTTTTTTGTTCCGTTAGGCCAACCGGCAATGACACCGAATCATTCTGAATGAGGTTGTTCTCCATTGGCACACAATCAAAAGTTATACATAGTTAAGTCTCGTGCGTAAAGTGAAAGTTTCCCATATGCGATCTGCGCGGTCCAAAACACATAGTAAATCTGATATACAACAATTCGATTTTGCAATAAAAATTGTCTGCGGAAATATATCCTTGTAGCATAGCATAATGCTTTTTATATGACATTTAGCTGTAGTATAGAGTTTAAGGGACTTTGGCAAAGCAGTGATTGATATATATATCTCTGGGGATCAGCGACGTGTTTTCTTCCAATGCGACAGCAACGTAAGTTTTTAAACTTTTCGAAATTGATATACACTCCTAAAGGAGCTGATCAACTGCCATCAGCAAGTAGAAGAATATTTAAAATACGTTGGTTGTTGTAGTATTTCGATTGAATATGGTATTGCGGCTGTGTAGCTCGATTGTGTGCGCAGCTCACATGTGGAACACGTTATGCTTGTTTCCCTTCCGTACTCTGTTATCTCTCTATAAGACCGATAAGGCAAAGAATCAAGACATAAGAAGCATGTCTAAAAATACCGCTGAAAAGAGCTACTTAAGAGTCCTAGAGACATCAAAAAGCCGCATAAGCGGCCGTCTACTCTTGTATGTACAGTATTCCGTAGCTCACCACGTCATTAAAGCCCATGGGAGGTCATAGGAAGACGGGCTTCGCCTATACCCCGCTGCTGGACATTAGTTGAGACAGCAGCAACAATTCGTCTGGTTCTTCTAAATATCCTTGCGATTGTACATAATCGAGATATGTATTAGTGTTTGATATACCTTTGATACCGATGTTCATGTAAAGAATCGATTCTCTTAGAAATGAACCCCTTGCGCAGTCAGTATCAGAGCTCTGCAAAGCCCACAGACCAACCCAACCCAACCTGTAAATAGGCTGGGGCTGGGGCCCTATCTTCGGGCCCACGGGTGGGCTGCAAGTCTACCTAGGGTGAAAGCCCACTAACCGGCCCTTAATACGGGCCGAACAAATACTTGTCAATATAGATATTTTTAAAAAATGTCTCTTTTAACTACGAAGTATATAGATCCTGTTTTTTGTCCTTATCTAAAGGGTAATAATAGTTTAATTAATATGTAGTAGACTGGTACTTAAATATATATGACGTTTAGAAACGCGAGAAAACGCGCTGTCTAGAGAATTTAGAGATGATAGGAGCCTTATAGGCCCCACGAATGCGCTGTGGGTCAGGTTGGGGCTTCGAAGTTTAAGCCTGTAGCCCACTGAGGGCTGGGCGTCTGCACTAGGATCCGGGCCCATTTGTGGGCTTGGCCGAGCGCTAGTTAGTATACCATTCCAACACCGCAAAAATACCCATGGAAGTCGCCTATCCAATATTCTGATTCTCGATTATCCCGCGCGTCGAGGTCGTCCGATGAAGCTCGCACCCAGATATGCTCAATCGCACTTCCCATACTCCCAAAGTCTTCATAGTGAAAACAGCTCGTATACATAAACATTCTAATTGAACACATCGAAGTCACCAAGAATACTTGTTGGTTAAATCACATAAGACGCAAGAACGGATGATCATTTTCCCTTCGTTGAAAATATAGAGAGTATTTGGCTGAACTTGTAACTTGGATATTGAGATCGAATACCATGATCTTCAATGATATTCAAATTTCCTCAAGTCGAAAGTCATGGTCTCGAGTCAACTACTTGTCATTCTCATGAATATGGGAGTATGCACCACTACTTTCTTAATGAAGCCCTCTACTTTATATTCTTTCCAGAGCGCGTTTCTCGTGTGTTCTCGCGTTCTCAAACGTGATTAATATATTTAATTATCCATTTACAAAATTTAAATTATGATACCAAATTATTACTCTAAATTAAATGCGAGAAACGGGTTCTACACAACATACATAGAGTATTTGAAAAAGTCACGTTTTCTAGATTATTTACATCGTTTGGTCCTTTTCGGGCCTTTATGGTGACCCATACTCAGCCCACCGCTAGGCCTAAGGACCGGGCCCAAACCCCAGCCCGTTAGTGGGTTGGGCTTTGTGGGCTTTGTGGGCTTTGCGGAGCGCTAATTGCAGCCATGAGGCTTTGTTGTCGTCTGAGATCTCAGGCCATACAAAGTGTTTCCGGCCCTGGCGTTTTTCTATCATGATCGAATTACAGAGTAATCCTTGGAACTTTTCCAAGTTTGCCAGGTAACTTGTAATATGTTAAGTGAAAAGGCAAGGTTGAAGTACACAAAACACGTGGGCCGACGTCATCGGCTTCTAGGATCACGGGTGCCAGGCAGTCACCGCTCTGCCATTTGACAAATCTCTTGAACTTGTAGATAATCACCTTTGTGGTATCTCCAACAAAACTTGTGGACCTCAACAGCCCGGCCCCCAATGATCGCCGATACAACCCGCGTTTAGCCCTCCATATCAGGGGTGGAGATCAATACCAGCTCAAAACACAGGGGCTCAGCTCCATACAAATATCCGAATGGCGGGCCCGATCCACACCTACGGTCCGAGTTGCCTGCTTGTGGATGAAGAGCAGGACTTCACCAGTTTTCAATCACTTTCATCACCACCAGAGATCCGGTCACAATTCTTCTATATCTCAGCATTGCCCATCGATGATCCACTGGCTGCTCTGCCTCCACCGGCAAGCCAGGGAGCCGGCAATGAGAGAATTCCCCCACGCCATTTTCGGCTAGGGATAACATCGCCTTAGAGGAAGCTTGGCGAGATCTACGGGAAGCGAGAAAGACCAAGTCTGATGAGAACCTCAGATCAAGACCAAATACATCGACAGGGCCTCCTGGGATAGCCGTGCCTGGTCATGAATCAGTCTCAGATATCAATCACCGCAAGGCAGCCAACCAAGAGAATTCCTCCTTGGTTGGCAGTAGAGGAAGTACTCTGAGTAATCCCCCTTCCTTCCCGGAGGACCTTCCTTCTCGCAGTCACAAGAGCCATATCGCATTTGCTACCGGCAGTGCTGGAATTCGAGCCCGTGAAGTCGGCAAGGAAAATCGTATGGGCTCTCCATTGAGTGATGGGCTAAGGCATGAACCCACAAAAGGAATTATCATCGATCGGAAAAGAGCGCGCGCATCCTCGGTGAACGAGTCGAGTGCCGCCAAAAGAAGAAGCAGTTCTCCACCGGAGGCCGAGAACGTGGGCGAAGGCGACGAGGGGACTGGAAGTCTGCGAGCTGATTACTCTCATGATGCAAGCATGAGTGGATCTCCTTTTATACGGGCGCCGATATCTCAGCCTCAGACGCCGCTTGGTCGCTCATTTGAGTCAACTTCATCTAGAGAAGGAGGCGAATGGCAGGCGGAGCTTCGAACTAGTGGTACTCCTCGAAGTGCCCCGAAACCTTCAGGACTCAGAACAACTGTGAGCCTGGATCAGTTGACTCAGGACTCGCAAAGGGAGAGGACAGAGGAGCCAAATACACAGACAAAGATTCCAGTGGGTGTCTCACGGCTTCATCTGGTCGAATTACCGAATCTCAAGGTCAGTAAAACCTCTCCGCTCGCCTTTGAATTGAAATAACAGTTTTTACAGATGAAACCTATCTACTGGAGGCCTCTTCAGGACATATCAAATGTCGTTCGAGCTACTTGGTTCTACAAGAATACTATGTTGCCTGTTGAAACTGAACTTGCGAATAAATTGGAGGAAGGCTACGTTTACTTAAAGCCATGGAGTGACACTTGGCAAGATGAATTGAATAGTTGCGTGGAAAATGGGGCCGATGCTGAGTTGAAGATTGTTCATCCGCTGTGGACAGATCAAGAGAGTGCACAGGCGTCACAGAGTAGCAATTCGCCTCTCGATGAGTCAGAGGATCCTTTGAGATTCGACGCAAATCGCGCCGCTGGTGGTACTTCTGTTCAATCTGAGAGTATCAAATCATATCTCACATCTAGTGCTATCTACGTCGATGCAACAAATGCCCAAGTACTTCGTCCCAGCTTGCTTCCCTCCGCGTCGAGGGGACGACGACCCCTTAATGCAATCAGGAAAGGCCGTCAGATAGGCATACCTGTAGTTCGCGGCTTTAGTCGAAAAGTATGGGAACAACTGCATCCATCAAAGCCCAATCCTATCGATGTGCGCCATTATATTCGCAAGACCCAGTCGAAAAGTCCTTCTGTGCAAGGTGAACAAATATGCTACGCATGCAAGATGGAAGAGTCGCGACCACCTCCAACAGACTTGGTTCTCGTGATCCATGGCATCGGGCAAAAGTTATCGGAGAGAATGGAAAGCTTCCATTTTACTCATGCTATCAATGCGTTCCGGCGTGAGGTGAACATGGAGCTCAATAACGAACCTGTTTGGCCGCATGTTCGCCAGGACCATGGGGGGATCATGGTTCTTCCTGTGAATTGGCGCGCAAACTTGTCATTGGATGACCCTGATGTCGAAGCGGGTATTGAGGACCCAGGTAGCAACACTTTCTCACTTGAAGATATCACACCCCAGACTCTTCCTGCTATCCGGTCCCTGATCAGCGATGTGATGCTTGATATCCCCTACTATCTGTCACATCACAAACCGAAGATGGTCAAGGCGGTGATTAGAGAAGCGAACCGAGTGTATCGCCTCTGGTGTAAAAACAATGCAGGGTTCCAGGAACATGGCCGTGTGCATCTCATTGCTCACTCGCTAGGAAGTGTTATGGCTGTAGACATTCTCAGCCATCAGCCAACACATGTTCCCCAGTTTGACTTTTCTAGTACGACTTTACACAGTGATATCTTTGAGTTTGATACTCGACATCTCTTCCTCTGCGGAAGCCCAGTCGGCTTCTTTCTGCTTCTTAATAAGGGTATGTCTAAAACTTACATCATTGCGCTTCATATCTAACATCCTCGCAGCTAGTCTTCTTCCCCGAAAGGGCAGAGACAAGCCAGGTAGTGACGGTGACGATTTACTCCGTGGCGTTGCGGGTGAAGCCGGTCAATATGGCTGTCTTGCCGTAGATAACCTCTACAATATCATGCACACAACTGACCGTACGTGGCTTGCATGACCTTCCCATCTGATTTTCCCACCCCCTTTGTCTCAAATACTGACAACCCTTTTCAGCAATCGCGTACCGAGTCAATGCAACAGTAGACTCAGACCTCTCCAACTCCCTCAAAATGGGCTCTATCCCTACCTCCACCTCCACCTTCTGGCAATCCTTCGGAAGCGTCTTCCGCTGGAGCTCAACCCCGTCAACATTTCTGCCCTCCACAGCCCCTACTCGCCCCGCAGCAATCTCCAAGCTCCCATCTAATGTTGAGCTCGAGACCCATGACTTCACGCGTGAGGAGATCGCTGAAAAACGCATGCTTCTGCTCAACGATAACGGTCAAATTGATTATTATCTTTCGGGTGGTGGTGGCCCGTTGAATATCCAGTACCTCAACATGCTGAGTGCGCATAGCAGTTACTGGACACTGGGTGATTTTGTGCGGTTCTTGGTTGTGGAAATTGCAAGAAAGCAAGGGAGAGAAGGGACACTGCTTGCTTTTCGGGCTGAGAAGAAGAAGGGATGGAAGTATTCTAAGGGGTGATTCTATCTCTGGGCAATCTATGTACGTTACCATAGCTTTGGTTTTAATTCTGTTGTCTGGGATAGAACAGTGATGTATGTGATTGTAGTATTCGCATACAAACATACAACTTGGGAATTTGAAATTTTTCATGTAAAACCCATAATGTATCTATATTCCCATCAAATATGGAAAATTCAACAGTTGTTGACTCGTATATCGTCTGTCCAAAAAGAGGCCGAAAAATTGTGAAGACAAGGCGAGAAGGCAAGAAATATACAAACCTCAAGAGACAGACAGATAATTAACCAAAACAAAAGCTGTTTTCAGGAGATCCAGTCTCCGCCTGGGCATAAATCATATATCATATCACATCTCTAGCAAATGACCCGAGTGTCCGAACCATGAACATCCCCCATCAGCAAAGCCTCCACGATCTCACCTTTAATACCTACGCCCCGTCCAGCCCGCAGCACGACCAAAGCATTCGCTTTGGCCAAACTGCCGACCTTCGAAGATCGTTGTCCGGCGCCCTCCACTCCCGTGCTTGTCGCGTATAACCGACCATCCGAGCGCGATGCTGTAACCACAGCACGATGGTACTCCGTGCGCTTAGGATCAAGCGGGAAGTGATGCGTCAGAACGACAGCGACACGTGGGAGACCAAGTTGTGGCGCGAGCCAAGGCTTAGAGCTAAGTGCTTGGGAGCTGTGGCCCAAGCCAGTGAGCTTGTGCAACGAGGGAAGAACAAACAGGTTTAGTGTGACAAGGGCGGAGGCCGGGTTACCAGGGAGCGAGAATATGAGTTTTGATTGGCGCTCCTGCTGGGAGGATGTGGCGTCGCCGGTTGGTTTGAAAGGGACGGTTGCGAAGGTGGTTGGTTTGCCTGGTTTCATGGCGACACGGCCAAAGTGGATGGTGCCGCCGAGGGAGCGCTCGATTGTGGGCTTGAGGAGGTCTAGTTCGCCCATTGAGACACCACCAGTTGTGATTATTACGTCGACGCTGGTGGAGGCTCGGCCCACGCCGCGTAGAGAGTCGCGGAGGGCATTTTCGAGCTCGCTGGCAGGTGTATCACGAGCGATGCCGAGGTCGACGGTTTCGAAACCCCATGAATTGAGGCATGAAAGAAGAGATGGGCGGTTGGAATCGCGAATTTGACCTCCTGTAAGAGTTCGCGGGTCACTGTGCTCGACGAGCTCATCGCCGGTACTCAAAACGCCTACGCGTGGTTTCCGGAAGACTTTGACTGTTTTGGTGCCGGTTGATGCCAGTAAACCAATTTCTCCACCGACGGGAGAAATGAAATCCCCGCGGGCGACGATTTTGGAGCCTAGCATAACATCACTGCCAGGCTCGCGCACATTCTCACCGGGCTCAATATCTTCGGCAAGAATTTCGACTGTCGCTTCTTCCTTTCCGTCAGGTGTGCATGAGTCCAGTATCGTATCCTCGACCATGACTACGGCATTTGCGTTTGGGGGAAGAGGGGCGCCAGTAGTAATTCTAGCGATGGTCCCTGGTTGCAATGGCTCTAGATTCCCACCGAAATTGGCATGGGTAACGGACGCTACGGGGAAGATGCCTTTCGTGGATTGGCCGGCGGCGCTAGAGTCTGGTGCAATAACAGCGTAGCCATCGACGATACTAGCTCGATATGCTGGCACGGCCTCTGCAGCGTAGACATCTTCGGCGATCACCGATCCAATTAAGGACGTAGTCACTGGGACCTCCACGACTTCTGGGTCGGGAGTGTGCTCATTGATCCGCCGAAGCGCTTCATCTACAGAGAGCATGGGGTATGGTGAGGAGCGATAGCGCCGGTTAGGGCCGGCACTTGGGTCGTTGGACTGTGGTCTCTCTGATGGCGACGTATGCGCCTTTGGGGTCTTGTGTCCATGTCCATGGTCATGGCCATGATGGTGGTGGTGATGGTGGTGATTATGTTGATGGTCATCAACTCCAGCGTCTGATTCGAGCTTCTTCACACCTCCAGCATGGAGTTCCCGTGAATTGGCCCCGGCAGACTGTAGACAGGCATGTGGGAGAAGCTTAACAACGGCATCGAGGTTCTCCATAGCTCCTTTGGGTGAACCGGGTAATGTAATGATCAAAGTCTTATTTCGTACACCAGCAACTGGTCTGGCCATCATAGCAACTGCGCGGGGGATTAGCTGAAGTAAATATAATTAAGGCGAAGCGCCACGGCAGCGCCAACAGCGCCCCTGATGTCATGCTCACAGGGGGTTACCTTCAACGAGGCAGCAATCATGCCGTGTCTTGAAGTCTTGGTTAGCTTCCAAGGCCATTAGCGTCAATGCGAGGGTATCTAACTTACACTAGTCCCGGCGCATGGCGTTGGATAAGGGGGATACGGCCTGGTGATGTCAGCACAAGACAACGGTCAAAATCAGAATATCACAAACCTCTGGAGTGTTGTCCTTGACAGAAAATCCCGTTCCTCCACTAAGAAGAATGAGATTATACCAATTAGGGCTATCGGCCCAGTCGTATATTGATTGTTGAATCTGGAACACGTCGTCCGGGACGATCTTGAATGCGGGGGGTTCCCACCCTTCGGACAAGATCGGTCTAAGTGCATCGAAGACCTTGTCAGAAGCGGGGTCTTTCGAGGCAGTGTCCGAGACAATCAGGATTGCGACTCTCAGTTTGGTCATGATGTGCGTTGTGCATTGGCAAAGTCTGGGGAAGTGGATGTGGTGGGGGAGAGGGAGTTCTGTTTAATAGGGAAAATCCCATCGGACTATCGCCAAACCCCGACATTCATTAACGTTAGTGTATTTAGTGAAATTAGTGCCAATGCTGCTTTTCGTATGTACCAATCATTTTCAAAAGCCTAGGTCTCCTCATATTAAGTTGATACGAATTATCCCGAAGTCCTTGTACAAAGTACAGGGCATAGCCTCGGTCAGGTCTGATTGTAAATACCTAAATTGCCGTTTAATCAATTTGAATAGGTTCAGGAAGCCATTGTTTTACATCAGTATTTCCCAAAATACAGGCTATATAGAGAATTACTATGTCCAGATATAAATATAGGTGCACGTGTAGTCATCTGACAGCGATTTTTACAAATATTCTTTCACATCCCTAGTGTAACAAGCTAGAACTAGCTCACGCGGCCTAAGATCTGATACATATGATCTCCAGACCATTGATGCAATTCAGCAAAACCAAAATAGCTCTGCATAGTCGACCCCAGACGCCCCAATGCGGTGTATATCGAAACATGAACATGAACTGTGAAAATGAGAATGCGGCGAAGCGAATCGCCTGGGACATATGCTTCGAGTCCCCGATATCTGTTTGCCACCCAAATTTGAAGCTCTTTCTCCATAAGACTCAATTTCAGGCCGCCTCCAACACCGCTGCCTTTTGGGCCACGAGAAGGCCGACAATCAAACCGAACAGACCCAGTACTGAGCTGAAGATCTCGACGACAAGAATCTTCACGAATCTAAAAAAAAAGGAAAATGTAAGTGACAGCCCTCGGTATCTCTCATCAACAATATCACTAGGATCACCTACAGGCTGGGATCGGCGGCATCGGCCAGAGCAGCACCACTTCCATTGATACCAACGGAAATGCCGCAAATAAGATTGCAAACACCGACTGTGATTCCTCCCCAGAAGACCGCATATCCAGTGTAGTAGTTGCTGGAGGTGTGGATTGCGCCTTCGGGTACCGGGCTGAGCTTTGAGGAGAAGACAATGGCCATGATGACACCGTAAATAGCGACGACTTCACAGAAAATAATGGAGATCAAGTTCTTGGTGCGAATACGGGGTGCTCGGACACCACCGCCAACAATCGATGAGCCGGTAAGGAAGATACCCCTAAGAAGATACGCGGTCAACATCGCGATACCGAGTAATGCCAGTGAGGATCGTCTTACCATGCTGCGCCGACAACTGAGAAGCCGATACATGAAGCAATTCCGAAGTTTGCCCAAGCATATGGAGAAACCTCCTCAAGGAAACGGCCGACCTAATACGTGTCAGGTCAGTAATCACTTCACCAAATCGCTTGTTTTTAGCATATGTTCCGTACATTGAACGCTTCGCCCTCTCCGTGAAAGAGCATATCTAGATTCCAGACCTCTCATTAGCTGCCAGATCGCATGTCAGATTCACTGAAACGTACACAATCCCACCACGATGAGAGCGGTGGTGGAGACACCGGCCGGATAGAGGTAAGCCATGGCGACCTCTACGAGCCTGATGACGAGTAAATGAAAAGGTCAGGATGATCGCAGCCGTAGAAGACGCAGCCGATAAGGTAGCTGAAGCTCTAGGATGGAAGCGGGTGATGGGGGACTCGGTGGCCGGAGCGGATTAACTGGTCCGTTTGGGCGGTGACCTCGTGTGGTGCTTCCCCGGACGTATTGGGCCACCTGTTTTCCCCTGGCTTTTACTGTTCTTTCAAGGGAAGACGCTTGTCTTAACCTTCTGTATTCTCATTAACCTTGTTTTCGCGTCTTTCACCCAGCTGCAAGTCCCCGACCTTCTCACGCGCTGCTTTATTACCCCTGATTTTTACCCGCATCAACATCGCTGCGACAATGGCGTCTGCCTCTGGAGTTGGGTCGTATTCGAACCCCTTAAAGAAGTTCAAGTAAGCCTTGGGACAGCAGAGGGTGAAATTAGGATTGCATTGCTAATGAAGATATGTAGGCTGGTATTCCTCGGCGAACAAAGTGGTAAGCGTATCATCACTCCATACATCTACCTACATGCGCTTTAGTCAATAGGAGGGCTAGCACGAGATATCTAACGCTACTACAGTCGGCAAAACATCATTGATCACTCGATTCATGTATGATTCGTTCGACAACACATACCAAGCAACTATTGGCATCGACTTTTTGTCCAAGGTACGCCACATTATACCCCGCACAAGGGTTCCAATGCATTGGACATTGCCCGAGAAGTTATCTTTTGCGGAATTATGGGGCTAACCATTGTATCTAGACTATGTACCTTGAAGATCGTACTGTCCGTCTTCAGCTTTGGGATACCGCCGGCCAGGAGCGCTTCCGTTCCCTGATTCCTTCGTACATCCGAGACTCGAGCGTTGCTGTGGTGGTCTACGATATTTCGAATGCCAAATCTTTCCAAAACACGCGAAAATGGATTGATGATGTGCGTGGAGAGCGTGGAAATGATGTTATTATTGTGCTAGTGGGCAACAAGACCGATTTGAACGATAAGCGCGAAGTTACCACCGCACAGGGCGAGGAAGAGGCGAAGAAGAATGGATTGATGTTTATCGAGACCAGCGCAAAGGTCGGGCATAATGTGAAGCAGCTTTTCCGGCGAATCGCCCAGGCTCTTCCTGGAATGGAAGGTGAAGCCAAGCAAGGCGAAAGCACAAGTATGTTCATTCTCCTGCCTTGTCAACTGACGCTTATACTAACCATGGCATGTCTCTTAGTGATTGACGTCAATATCAATCCCAAGGAAACAACCAGCAACGACGGCTGTGCCTGTTAAGATTCCCCGTCCCTTAAGTGCCCTATCTCGATTATCAAAATCGAGGTTGTCCATGATATCCTACAATTTTCGAAGATGTACATGTTTCTTCTTTCTTTCTTTGCTTGCTTGCTTGCTCCTCATGTCGATAGCGTGTGTCTAGATATTTCAGTGCCGAATACGGTCCTCCAGTTTATTTTCTGAGCTCTTGGGAGGAGACAAGGTGTTTTGATTTCCGTTTAACCAGCATCATACGTTTTTTTGTGGCGGTTGAAGTTACTTTGCTTGACTTCCTTTGGGGGGTCTTCTGATTGCCACTCTTGGCAGCATGGGCTAACTAACATGTCTGATATGCCTGATATGCTTTAATTGATGAAGCTGTATAATATGGCATTTCCCTTCTGGGTAACGCACCGCATGGCCGGCGCCAATGAAACATGAACTCGATATTATCGTACCCATTAACTAAAACACTTACAACATGGACAATCATGAGGTTCTAGTATTGATACCCAAAGTGGCCGAAATTTGCTTGGTCTGTCACAAGTAACAATGGACTTTCAATGTGTCCACAGCATTTTTTTATACGTCTAGGCATGGATTAAAAGACAAACCCCTTAAGATCTGTCTCATGCTCTAAATTCCACGCTCTCTTGATCAAAGAGTCGACCTTGTTCGTATCGGTGATCCCGCCATATTTGGCAAGCGCGTGAGTCTTTGCCTCGATTTCGGACCTAGCGATGTCTATCAGAATATAATTATATAGTCTGATAGTAATATGGAAAGCATACCTTGTCAAGGGGAGCTCCGGGTCTCCCTTTGCAAATTTGACTGATTCCGTGAGAGTCTTCCCGGACTTGCACGTAACAATAACAGTCCCTTGCCACCTTTCTGGGAACTGAGAATCAATCTCCGCACTGTATTCCATTTTCACTCGACTCTGAAATTCACGCAACGAATTATCCCTCAGATCAGATTCGGTAAAGTCGGTAATCATAGCTTGGCCTTTCTTCGCCGCAATGGCTAATACAAAGCCCATTGAGAACTTACTCTGGTGAACCGTGTCGCCATTCCCACTTAGGCTCAATACGTTGATAGCAGCCTGGTACGTAGGGACAAGGACAGAGTCGATATCATCAAAAGCGACTTTGTTCTTGGCCATCAGGTTCAACAGTGCGTCGACGCTAGGATGCGTGTGTCGACAAGATGCGTGCCATTTGAAGCTCGAACGAACAACAGCAAAGTTCATTCCCAAGTTCTGGTCAATTGCTTCTGGGTTTGTTTCGCCGGGTACTAGAGCTGCTCCCATTGCACGCGGCCCTTCCAAAATGTCTCGTGGGCCTAGAAGACCATCACGAGCAGAATAGGCAGCGAATATACCGTCGAAACAGGCTTTTGCTGTGTGCACTTGCTTTGAGTGAGTTGCATCCATCAAGAACTGCCATAATCCTGCGGCTTGAGTTCCGGCTGTTCCCACTGCTGATGATGTTTGGTTTGCATCAAGCTTCAGGAGGTGGGATACAGCCGCTGCAACTCCAATGACTCCGCCTGTTGCGGTGGTATGGAATTTCTATAGCAAAAGTTAGTAATCGAACACTAGCTGGCTCAGTCCCGTACCCTTGGCATGGTGTTGCTCATAAGAGCCTGATGCAGCTTACCTCGTAATGGCTCTTACCCAGATACTCTCCAACGCGGCAACCAACTTCGTAACCAACCACGCAAGCAGTGATGAAATCTTCTCCGCTTGCTCCAATATCTTGGGATACCGCAAGAGCGGCTGGGAAAATTACAGTTGCCTATAGTCAAATAAGCGTTATGTGGGTCGACATGTCGTGCATTGATAATGGGTCTGGAGCCAAAAAGGGCACAATGTGATAGACGCAAGACTCACTGGATGCATGATGCTTCGATTGTGCAGATCATCCTGCTCAACTACATGGGATGCAGCAGCATTGATTAGACTAGCAAATGCCGGGCTAGTATTGAGGGCTTGGGAGCCATCAATGAGTTCGCTCTTCCCACTAGAAGGGCCCATTTGAGCCGCAAAGCGCACGATTGCAGAAACAGCGGGGTGGTCACGACCGGCTATGGTACATCCCAACGTATCTAGAAAGAAATCCTTGGTGCGTTGGACAACATCAACAGGAATGTCGTTGTACTTCAGGTTGGCGGCCCATTTGACCAATCGATCAGTTCTGGTTTCTTGGGTCGACGAGATAGTCATTGCGCAGATTCTCAAGAGGACGGAATGGATGTTATGACTTGATCTCAATTTCGCGTTTCGACCTCTGACTATATGCGGGGAAGATACGGGTAGGGCGCGTCGGCCATTTTGTTGTACTTCCCCTCTTTCTAAGAGTGAGTTGGTTATCTATTTAGTTCCCGAGGTATATATATATGGCCGATGAGATCGATTTGAGAGTACACAAGAGAGATTGGTGTATAGCGTAGATTCTCACGTATATTGTACTCTGAGCAAGAAGCATCCAGTTCATTTATTTCATATTTAGGTGATTCGTTCAAATAGCAGGACAAACGTGGTATATGTAGATAGCATATAGCCGACTTGTGCCTATTTCGATTGATTGGTGCCTTGACTATAAGGCTCCAAGGCCTCAAGGCAGTAATAATAGAGTTCAGGCATAAATATCTTCATAAATTCATAAGATCGTTGGTGAAGCAAGGGGTACGCCACCTGCGCATATGATTTTTTTGCTAAGACACCTTCGAGGCCACATGGATGGCTGTTGATCAGATCAGATATAACATATAGATTGAAGAGGCATATAAGTAAAATACGAGCTCATTAGACTAGGATCAGTCAAGTGAAAGAATAATGCATCCGAGAAGGAATCAGGTAATTGATCTGCGGGCGGATCGTCCGGGAAATAGCGCCCCTGGGTCATCTGCAGTGCCATACACCCAGCCTTTTTCCTCTTCCCTTGCTTTGCCCGTATATATACCCAACCACATTTCCATCGCTATTTTCATCTCGGTAACGAACATTCTTGGCCAGAGGCCATAAAACACACTCATGGGGCTCGCTTCCCGTTTTCTCCGCATTCCGCGGCCAGAGGTGAGTTTGGATAAATCTTATCCATTGCCGGGGCTAACTCCATCTGACTTTCAAGTCCTTTCTCTATGTGATGAGCTTGGAGACCGGTGCTTCATTGATCACCCTTTCACTGCTTTTGAATAAAATCAGTGGCCTATATGGCCTGCTGGCACTCTTGACCGGCTACCACCTGTCCCCTGTACAACTTTCAATGTACCTTTGGTCCCTTGTCGCCCTTGCACTCGCCGCCCTGCTGTTCCCACACATTCGCAAACAGTCGCCTCTACAATGTCTCGCCCTCACCTACCTCTATGTTTTCGACAGCCTGATTAACGCTGCATATACTGCTGCTTTCGGTGTGACTTGGTTCTTGGTGGTATCGCAGCATTACGACAGTGGCAAAGCCGCTGGTCCAGGGGGCGACACGATCGCCCAGACCGCTGGCTTCACCAGTCCCAAGTACGATGCAGCCTATGTCGAAATTCAAAACACAAAAGACGGAAACAATTTCGTCGCTCACCCCCCCGCGGTCCGCCGAAGATCTCAGCAACGTCGTTCTTCAGCCCGAGAGTATTCCGAGCATCATCTTCATCTCCCTTCTGTGGGCGATTCGCATCTACTTTGTTCTGGTTATGCTTGCCTTCGCACGCCAGGCCCTCCGTCTCTGGGTTGCGATTCCCCGGCATACCCAATTGCCGACTCACAGCCGCAACGTCTCAGTAGCCAGCGTTGCCGATATTGACCGGGAGCCTTTCTCTCCCTACAGCCCCGAAGGCCAAGGCTGGCAAGGCAAATTGGGTCGCATAATGGTCGGCATCGGCCACAGCTATTGGCTGGGTGAAGAGGAAGACGGAAACTGGCTCAGCGGTATCAACCAAAAGTTCCGCCGTTCGAACAACACGGAGCTGCCCGGTGCGCTGGAAAGAGAGAGACGCCGACGTTCTGGAACGGGACCCCCACAACCGTCGCCGTCCATTGTTCGATCCACTGTCCTCCAGCAGCCAATTCCTGAGCATTCACCTGGTGGTATGAATGTCAAGATGCAAGATTGGAACGCACCTCGATAAATGATTACTGTGTCAGCGGCTATTGAACAATATTAGTCGCAATAATGTACAGCCCTCGCTTGGACTCGCCTCAGTGTCTTCACCCCACATCTTCTTGGCTGTGTGCACCGGATGCAACACATTTGAATGTGCTCAGCTAGGGGACATAATCCATACTTGGCTCTTGTGTCTGTCCTATCGTTCTATGAGGTCACTGAATCAGAAAACCGACCGGCGTTACCCGATACTCCATCACGAAGCCCGAGCCTCTTTTGCTCGATACTTACGACAAACTGCATATATGAATTCGGAATGGATCCAGGTACATGGCGATGATCAAATCACATTGTGTCATTGATCGATATCTGGGTCCCCCCATTTGGGTCAGGAAGGCGTTTTAAATCCGTGGGGATTGGGGCCTCCTAACTCAGAGGTCTTGGTTGACGGTCACATGGTCCATTTTAACATCCACGATTTTGGCGTCGGGGCATGGAAATGTATATTGCTTATCTGATATGGGGGCTCTGCGGTTTCATGTCTTGTTATTGTACACAATTGCTTTTGGATACAACTCACATATATTATCAACATAATTTCTTGACGATTTACCACAGTGTCAGCAGTGCTAGAATATTCCGATTTTGCTACTCGTAATTCCCCAAAGGCTATGAATCATTCTAATACTAAATGAGCTTATAGAGTTTTTTTTTTATATATAAGATACTAGCTGGGTACTCCGTATACTCGGCCGAATTATTAGAACAAAGTTGATTGGCTAGATGGTATAGTCGAGCGAGATCGGTGAAGAAAGACCTTAACCTTCGGCATTTGACCGGTAGTCTCGTTCTAGTAGAGATTGCCTTCAGGTTGAACAGCCGAGCCTTAGAATGATAGGAAAGGACGGGACTACTCCGAAATACATTTTTGGGGGCACGTAATTGCTGTGGTGCTATTGGTACGCTGAAAGTGTGAAGGAAAATCCCGTACATCAATGTTGTATGAGTTAAACATAAGCTCGGGATTGTTAGACTCCACATCATCCCATACAGCAAATCCCTCAAGAACCCCGAGTGTTAAGTATAGGTTATATTTCATAGATGTAGTTCTGTTAGATGCCAAACGCAGGCAAATCCCGACGCTGACGTGCTCGGCGGGCATCACGGGATCCCCCGCACTGAGCCTAAAACGGCAAGTTTGCATTTCCGCTGTCGGGTGTTTGCACTGATGTCGTGATCGAAGACCAATCAGCAGATTGCTGATCTAACCCCCCGACGACGGAGAATTGAGCAAGCGACGGAAAGAAAAACCACAGGCTCTAATTTTTTTTCTCTTGTTTATAGAAAAGAGGGCTGAGAGACATCATATATCATTGTCTCCTCTCACTTGTCACAATTTTCCAGATCTGTGCTGGGAGTGGGAAGATCGCCGCATACATACTGATAAGATATATCGCGATTCTAACATCCCACCAGTGCTGTGAGTTCAACAGCTAATAATTGCAAAAATGGTGTCTATCTCAAGCGCTGCTGAAGCAGGTAGGTTATTTCCTGCTATCTTACCGCCTCGAAAATGGAAGACAATGGCTGATCACCATGCGATTGTATAGTGGCGAGAATCGCCTACCTTACTAGTGACACCGTTGTCTCTGTGCAGCCCTCACTGCAGAATGACTCATTATTTTCTAAGTCACTCAAGGCCCTTAAGGCGAATAAGACACACAACCTCTCTTCCAAACCCACCGAGGTGAGTTGGAATCGTTAGGGTTACGAGACCGGAACTCGACTAATACTATATCCAGGTCCAAGCTGTGCGCCATAATGAAGATCCCCTCCTGTCCGCCTTCACTCCCATTCAGAACGGCGAGAATACATCAGTCGTCACTGGCTCCTCAGTCCTGATTACCGCCGTCCCTCATCTCTATCGCCTTGCCAACAGCCCCGTGGTCATCCATGTTGCTCTGGAGCCATCACCATTCCCCGATTACTCCGTGATCAGCTCCATCCGTCAGTCTGGTTTCACATTCCTCCACTCAGAGACTGTGCAAGAGGCCCAGGACATCGCTATCACAGCTCACGCGCTTGCCCGCAAGTCTGGGAAAGGTGTCATCCACTTCTTCGACCCCTCTAACTCCGCCAATGACCCGTCTATTTCCGAGGAGGACGTTGAGGTCGTGAAGAAGATCTTCAACGCTGGTGGAAATGCTGCCACCTCTGCTGGAGCCGAAACTCTTTACGCCAATTCCGGTCGTGTGGCCACTGTCACCGAAGAGGCCGTGGGTACTGTACCCTCTGGCCAAGCCGAGTCAACAAACTTGACCGTGCCCTCTCAACCTCAAACTCCTTTCAACGCTAGCGTCGACAACTCATCAGTTGGCTCCTCACGGAGAGACAGCAGTGCTGGCAGCGAAGCCCCGAGCTCGACCGCGACGACTGTGGACAGCGCCGCCGTCCGGCCTGTTAACGCGGGTGATATCTTCGAATGGACCGCTCAGATTTGGAACACTCTCTTCGAAGAGGTGGGCCGCAGATACAATGCCATCGAGTACACTGGTGCTGCTGATGCTAAGTCTGCTATCTTCGTCTTTGGCTCTACCGGAGTCTTCGTGGATGCTCTCGCCAATGCCAGTGCCAACCCGGAGTTGGAGAACATTGGCCTGGTCACTGCTCGCCTGTACCGCCCCTGGGTTGGTGGTCAGATTTCCAATTCTATTCCTAGCTCCGTCGAGAAGATCGCTGTCCTCGAGCAGGTTCGCAAGACTACTCGATGGGGTCCTTCTTTCATGGACCTGCTGTCCAGCCTGTCTCCCTCCGGCGCTCGCGCCCAGGCTCCTCAAATTGTCGGGTACCGTCTTGGTTACATTGAGCCCTCTACAGCTGTCCAGGCCCTTCGCGGTGTCCTGCAGAACCTAAACTCCGCTTCTCCTATCCAGAACCTTGACATCGGAAGCTCTCAGGTTCCTACTGTTGAGCACGCACTCGAGCAGCCCCGTATTGAGAATGCATACTTGAAGATCTTGAACCAGCTCTTTGGTGAGCGTCTTCACATTGCCAACCAGCTTGCATCCAATAATGCTGGTGTCTCAAGCACCATTGCCGCAAGCCCCGAGTTTGGATTTGGTTCACTGTTAGCTCGCCAGGAGCACCGTCAGCGCTTCATCCGAGAGGTTGAGGAAGCCACCAAGTCCAACGAATTCGCCACTGACGCTCCCAAGACTTGGTTGTCTCGCTGGGCTCTGAATGTGAAGGAAGCTGCCAAGGCCAATAAATTGGCCCCTGATGTGATTAGCCACCTGTCCGCCGATGGCTCTGCAGTTTCCCGCCAACTCCTCCAGTCCAAGCAGCTCTTTTACGAGGAGTCTGACTGGCTGATCGGCTCCGATGCCTGGGCTTACGATTTCGGCAACTCTGGTGTTCACCACGTTCTCGCATCTGGTGCGAACGTGAACATGCTCATCATCGACTCTCAGCCCTTCTCTGAGCGTGCTGCATCTGATGCCACTCGCCGTAAGAAGGATATTGGTCTCTATGCTATGAACAGAGGCAACGCATACGTCGCCTCAGTCGCCGTTTACAGCTCGTACACCCAGGTTCTTCAGGCCATGTCCGAGGCCCAGCAGTTCAACGGACCCTCGGTTGTTGTCGCTTACCTGCCTTATAACCAAGAGAACGACTCGGCCCTCACTGTGTTGCAGGAGACCAAGAAGGCCATCGATCTCGGCTACTGGCCCCTTTACCGCTGGAACCCCGACAATGAGGAGAAGGGTGAGCCCAAGTTCTCCCTTGACTCCGAGCGCATCAAGCGTGATCTTGAGGAGTTCCTCCGCCGGGACAATCAGCTTACCCAGCTCATGAACCGCCACCCCAAGTACGCCCCTGTGCTCTCTGAGTCCTATGGCACTGAGGTCCGTGCCTTGCAGAAGCGAAACGCCAAGGACTCTTACGAGAAGCTCTTGGATGGTCTTTTCGGTGCTCCTCTTACCATTCTCTTCGCCTCGGACGGTGGTAATGCTCAGAACATTGCTAAGCGTCTTGGCAACCGTGGTCGTGCCAGAGGCCTGAAGACCATGGTAATTGCTATGGACGAGTTCCCTCTTGAGGACTTGCCCACCGAGGAAAACGTGGTCTTCATCACCAGTACCGCAGGCCAGGGTGAATTCCCTGTGAACGGTCGCAGTCTTTGGGAGCATGTTAAGAACACCGGTGATCTTGATCTGTCCGCCATCAACTATTCCGTTTTCGGTCTTGGTGACAGCCATTACTGGCCCCGTAAGGAGGACAAGATCTACTATAACAAGCCTGGCAAAGATCTTGATGATCGTGTCGCGTTCCTGGGCGGACGCAAGCTCACTGAAATTGGCCTCGGTGATGACCAGGACCCGGATGCTTACCAGACTGGATACTCCGAATGGGAGCCCCGCCTGTGGAAGTCTCTTGGTGTCGATAAGGTGGAAGGTCTCCCCGAGGAGCCTGCCCCAATCACCAACGAGGATATTAAGACCGGTTCCAACTTCCTTCGCGGCACCATCGCTGAGGCTCTTCTTGATGAGAGCACTGGATCTATCCCTGCTAGTGATCAGCAGCTGACCAAGTTCCACGGTACATATATGCAGGATGATCGTGATCTCCGTGATGAGCGCAAGGCTCAAGGTCTTGAACCTGCCTACAGCTTCATGATCCGCTGCCGTCTCCCTGGTGGTGTTGCTACCCCCAAGCAGTGGCTGCAGATGGATGCCATCAGTAGCTCACACGGTAACGAGACCATGAAGCTCACTACCAGACAGACCTTCCAGTTCCACGGTGTGATCAAGCGCAACCTTCGTGGCGCCATGCGTGCCATCAACAACTCCATGATGGACACACTCGCTGCCTGTGGTGATGTGAACCGTAACGTTATGTGTAGTTCTCTCCCTGAGCTGTCTTCCTTCCATCGTGAGACCTGGGCTATCTCTTCCAAGATCAGTAGTCACCTGCTGCCCTCGACCTCTGCCTACCACGAAATTTGGCTTAAGGACGACAATGATAAGAAGGTTCAGGTCGCTGGAGATGCCATCGTTGACCACGAACCAATCTACGGTCCTACTTACCTTCCCCGCAAGTTCAAGATCACTATCGCCATTCCTCCTCACAACGACACTGATGTCTACGCCCACGATATTGGTTTGATTGCCATCAAGGGCGCCGATGGCCACCTTGAAGGCTTCAACGTTCTGGCTGGTGGTGGCATGGGTACTACTCACAATAACACCAAGACCTACCCCCAGACTGGTCGCATGTTCGGATACATCCCCGCCGACAAGATCCATATCGCCTGCGAGAAGATCATGCTTGTGCAGCGTGACAACGGTGACCGCAAGAACCGCAAGCACGCTCGTATGAAGTATACCATCGACGACATGGGTGTTGATGTCTTCCGTGGCGAGGTCGAGAAACTTCTTCCCGACGGCCTCAAGTTCGGAGAACCCCGCCCCTTCGAGTTCAAGTCCAACGTCGACACCTTCGGCTGGGTTAAGGATGACACTGGTCTCAACCACTTCACTTTCTTCATTGAGAACGGTCGTATCGAGGATTCCGCTGATTTCAAGATGCGCACTGGTCTTCGGGAGCTTGCTGCGATGGGCAAGGGCGAGTTCCGTCTCACCGGTAACCAGCACCTAATGATCTCTCGCATTACCGATGAAGATCTCCCCGCCATCAAGGAGCACATGGCCAAGTACAAGCTTGAAAATACTGCCTTCTCTGGCTTGCGTCTGTCTTCCTCTGCTTGTGTTGCCTTCCCTACCTGTGGTCTGGCCATGGCAGAGTCTGAGCGCTACCTCCCTGTTCTGATCACCAAGCTTGAGGCCACCCTTGAGGAGTGCGGTCTTGCGCGTGACAGCATCGTCATGCGTATGACTGGTTGCCCCAACGGCTGTGCTCGTCCTTGGCTTGCCGAGGTTGCCTTTGTTGGAAAGGCCTATGGTGCATACAACATGTACCTGGGTGGTGGCTACCACGGCCAGCGTCTCAACAAGCGTTACCGCTCTTCCATCAAGGAGGATGAGATTCTCGACATCATGAAGGACCTCCTCAAGCGCTACTCTCTTGAGCGTGATACCGACGGCGAGACCCCAGAGCGTTTCGGTGATTGGTGTATCCGCGCTGGTGTCATCAAGGCCACCACCGATGGACAGAACTTCCACGATGGCGTAAGTGATTCCTTCTATGATATCCTGACTGTTGATTCTAACAATTTCCTGCAGGTTGCCGAAGACGAGGAAGAAGAGTAAATGCTGAATACAGCAGCTACATATAATCTTCGATCTTTATGACTCTTACGGGATCTCCCTCCTAATTATTGGATACTCTCATGTCTGTATTTCATGTCGCAATGCATTGATGTCTCGGCGATTGTATGATTCCATGCAAAAATGTTTAGATCTTGTCTCTTGTCCTTTTTTATTCCCTTGTGAATTTCAATCAAGTCTGCTCGTACATACTCAAATATCATCTTTCCTATTATTGGGAACACTTCATCTAGACATTTCTTCCCCTGAAACATCAAACGGTGGCAGCACCTCAACCGTGGAATCAGGTCAGGGGGTGGCAGGTGAACCTAAGGTGATGTACAGTTGACATCACCCTCTTTGGCCTCAACCCTCAAAGCTCCAATGTTCACTCGACTTCACTTCTTGAAACACTCTCGTTAACTCCAACTTCAGCCAGTTCAACAGCTTGATCAATATGAACTCGATTCTGTCAGCGCCTTTCGCGCCACTACTCTACCTACGTCCTCAGTTTCGTCAAGATCGGGACTGGTCTTACCGACAAGCACTGGCAAACACATTTATCAAAGTCTTCCTACGCATTTTTGTGGCATTTCACACAAAGCCACCACTTTCTCTGAAGCCAGGTCTAGATGGGGACCGCTTCGTCGTGATAGAGCCCGGGGCACCAGAGCTCTACACCAGCATCACAGTAGATGACGAGATCCAGCCAGTGGCGGTAGGAGGTACTTGGTTTCCATCACTCTACCAGTACAACACAACAACCACACAAGACAAGCACGTCGTGCTTCACTTCCATGGGGGTTCTTACATTCTCGGCGACGGACGTACATCATCTTGCCAGTTCCTCGCCAACAGTTTGCTAAAGCACACACCAACAAGCCACGTCTTCAGCCTCCAGTACCGTCTGGCCTGTAACCCCAATGGCCGTTTCCCTGCCCAACTCCAAGATGCCATTTCGGCCTACTCATACCTACTCCACACTCTACACATCCCGGCGTCTCGCATCGTTTTCAGTGGCGACAGCGCAGGTGGCCACCTCGTCCTCGCTCTCCTACGTTACATCACCGATTATGACGACGAGAAGGTCCTTCCCTCGCCAACTTGCTCGTGGCTTTTCTCGCCCTGGTGCGATATACCCGGTGCCCGCAACGAGCATCTCTGGCAAAACATCCCCAATGTGCGGACGGACTACATCCCGCCCTCGTTCCCCGCGTGGGGTGCGAAGCATTTTATCGGTAATCTACAGATCACGCCCGAGTTCGAGCCCTATCTCGCGCCGATCTGGCATTCTTTTGTCCTGCCTTCGCCTGTTCTGATTGTTTCCGGTGGCAGGGAGGTGATGTGTCAGGAACATGATCGGCTGGCGAGACATTTGAGTAAAATGCAGCAGAATGAAGGTCGAGTGGAGTATTTTGTGCAGGATCTCATGCCGCATGATATCCTTATGGTTGCTTGGATTCTGAACTTTCGAAAAGAGGCTGATCAGTGTGCCGTTAAAGCTGGGACATTCTTGACGAGGATGCAGGCTCTGTCGGAGGAAGATGGCAGTGAGGTTCCTTCTGTGGCCTTTGAGTCACGATGATATTGCTATGTATGCGCCCTTTTGGGTACCATATCGCTACCTATGTATTGAGATTGAGCTGAACTTTCTGAACTCTTGACGATGCCTCGCAGAACAGGCTTAGAGAGAGACTCTATGTATCCTCTTGGGCTCATTGAAAGGCCTTTCAGTAGTCACCATTATTCCAGCGCTGTTTTTATTGTGCCTTCCACAGCTTTTGTTTGGTCGAAATAATCAGGAAATACCGTCTTTTTCAAATTGCAGTGATTTGTTTGTCAGTGTCCAGGCAGTCTCCAGCTCTGGACCTTCTCCAAACATGATTCCTTGTACACTCTTTTTCTCTCCTTTCAATCTCTTTACTCTCAACTATCCAACCAAAAATCTGTACCCATCGCAACTTGCAATACGCACCGAGGCTTCTATTCTCGATATTATCACATTCGAACCAACTTTTATCATTGTCGTGCTCTCATACTAAATCGTTGGCCACTATCTAGCTCCATACCCTCGCCCACTCAGTGCGTTGACGCGTTAGAAACACCGAAAAAGTCACTGAAATTCGAAGGCTCGCACATCTAGATTGCCTACCCACTATCGCGGCCGAGGATGGCACCCATTCCAGGAGTTATTCGCGGGACAGCCCAATTTGAGAACCAGAACAGCGTATACTGGACATACTATGACCTGTACACCAAGATAACAACAACTGACACGCAAAAAGGCTACAGCAAACCAGCAGGCATCTCTCACAAGCTTCAAGATAAATGGGTGGTCATTGCCAGTGTTCTTTTTGCGATTCTCGTGGTGGGCCTGATCTCCCACCTTTGCTTTTGGGGAAGACACAAGTATGCACTGAATACCCTGTTGCCCTGTTTGTGATTGCGCGGGGTACTAATTTGAGTTCGTCATGTAGGTATCCGCGACAAACTGCATCTACCGAGGATAAGATGAAGATGGAGAACGTTGAGCATCTGAATATGGTTGAGGAGTCTTGCTCAGGTATGTTGAAACCTACATATGTCTCGGTGTGTGCCCGGCTCATGATTCATAGATGGCTGGATGTGTTTCATTCTGGCCTGTCATGCTGCCATTACCCTCGGCGTTGTGTGATGCAGAGGAACATATCCAGCTGTTGAAGAACGGGACAGTCAGATGAATACTCCCTGTCTTCTGCTTGGCTAACGATTCTCCGTGGGGCTGCAGTTGTCTTGTGAAAGTTGCAGGCAAGACTACAGGTCTGGTGCTTGTAGTTTGACCCTAATATTGATATACATCTATGAGACTGATTTGAATATTGGTTCGAGTTTTTAGGAATGAATATTTTTTTGCTAATGGGATCGGCCCACTCAGCATAGGCCAAGTGGAGGAAGGGTGTACATTGTATAAGTCATTGTCAACAGAACACGTTAGCCCCAGAACTATATATACACCAACGGATACCGTTCTATGGCGTATGCAAAGTAACAAGATCAAAAAAACAGAAAGATATATGAACCAGCTATCCGGAGGAAGTCTCTCACTGGAGCGATAATATGTAGATGTCTAAGATTAGTTCGAGAATTGAGACATCCAGGAAATAAAGCGCGGCCCCTAGACTAGTACCACAGCTACAAGAGACAGAGAACCTGTGGCTGGAAGAGCACGAATGAAATCAGTTCTATCAAAGTGCAGGGGAATCGTGTTTCATCAGAGAAAAAGCTGCTCAGAGTACTCATCATCACCACCAATTTACGAATCGAAGATCAAGGTCGAACGGCAGTATGCCTCCTCATCAAGTCCATCGACCGGAGCCAGCTTCAACGATCCATCCCGAGAACTACCAGCTTCTAGACGTATACATTTCGTATTGCAGTCTTCTTGACAGTGGTCCCTGTTGTCCTCGCTGGCCATGTAATGCTTGACGGCGCCGGACATCGCATCGCGTTGTGCTTCGATGCCGCAGTCTGAGTCGGCAGACCGCCAGGGCCATTTCATATCCTTGGAGATGCCGCTCATCATATTGCAGGTTTCTGGGCGGTAGATGGTTTCGATGGTGCTTGCCAAAGATTTCGCCCATTGGGATGCATAGTCTGTGACTGCAGCTGGGGTCTCGGCGAGATTGTTTGGCAGCGCCGCAATAGATGATGACCATGTAGAGGCCAGTGTTGGGGTTGACAAGCAACAAGCTGCGATCATGATGCTCGGCGATAACATGGCGAGGCTGTTGAAAATTGATGAGGTGAAATTACAGGAATAGCTAGGTTATTCATAGGAATCTTGGAAAGGTTGTGAGATCTATGTGGGATGGTATTTATACTCTGTGAGTTAATTGAGAGTGCGATCTAGAGCGGGAATTTTAGATCATCATCGGGCGATGTTCCTTTAGGGTGGTCTACATCTCTTTGTTTGGTGAATCATGATCTTCCCTAGTTAAATAAGGCCCTAGCTATGGGTGGATGGTCATATCCTGAACACACCAGACCACCTGAAATCTACTATGTACACAGATTTGACTCCTGACCGACAGTTGTCTTACAATAGATAGACACAGATCTATGTTGTACGGGGACGGCATATTTAGCCAAAGAAACTCTTCATTGAAGTGCAAATCTCAACAAAGAGACTTGAGAGTGGTCTAGCTAATTGTATTTCATCATGCTCAAACCAAACCATCTCTATCAATTGATATCGCGCTGATCGTCCAACCCCGAGCACCCTGACCCACGCCATGAGATCCTCCTGGAGGATTCGTCATGAGGCATATCGGCCCGCGTTGGCCACTTATCTTATCATGTTTCACATGATTGGTTGCAACTGACACCACTAAAATACGTGGATGCCAGCGCCTGGGTTTCTTAGGTAAAGGTGAAAAGTCCTTTCCTTGTTGGTTGGTCGTCGTGACCGTTTCAATAGTGACCGATAAGGTCCCAATGGGACGAATCCGCCTGCCCGCTCCGGGCGGCCCTGACGTCCCGCTTTCTTTTCGACTACCCCAATCGGGGGCATTTCTCTGTCGAATGGTGTTCTTGGTTGCCCTAATCTCAGGGAACCGCTTGGGTATTGACCTATAGGTCCTGGTGGGATAAATGCGACTGCTCAACTAGCCTAGCAGTGGCGTCCCTCTTCTCTGCGACTACCCCATTCCGGGGCATTTCTTTGTCGACTGTTGACTTATTGCTGGTTGCCTTAGTGAAAAGGAACCGGGGGTGTCTGCAACTCAAACTGTTACAGACGTCTTGCTGGCACGAGCGGCTTAAATGCCCTCAAGTCATGGTAGCGGGTTGGTGTGAGAATGAACGAGTAGATTGACAACAATCGATGGAAGATGGGAGGATTTGAGCAAGGGGTGCGTCTCTCACGCTAGGAAGGCATCGAGGTGGAATTGGCGTGCCCGATGATGACGGAGGCTGGAAAAGGCCTCGACGTCAGGGAAAAGTGCTTGGTTGTGGGAGGGAGGATAGCGTGGTAGCTCTCCCAGCACAATTCGATGGCCCTCAAGAAGAAAAAAAAAAAAAACAAAAGTAAGGGGAATCCGGACCGAGATCAATCTAAATTGTCGCTGGGCCCTTGGTGGGTGAGTAAGCAATAGCGGTGAGCCGATAGCTGGCTTTCTGCCACCTCCCCGCCGATGAATTTCGATAAAAAAAAGTTATCAGTTCAAGAGATTCATCTTGGAGCAATTATTGCAAGCTTCCTACATTTTGTCGCTCATTTCCACCTAAGATACTTCTCCACCCTATCGCCATGACTTTATCCGATGACGACCCTGTTGTCGCCTCCTACGACGTCCTCCTCACTGACTCGGATATCTCTCGCTATGTTTTCCAATACGTTGATCGAGAGCATGACCGTCCCTACAATGACCAAGAAAATCAACGACCGATCCAACTTCGAATTAAACCGCGCACCGGTCTTATTGAAGTTGAAGTCCCCATTAGCACCCGAGAAAACTACGACGTTAACAAGGGAATGCGCTACGGGGATGCGGTAAAAAAGAGCCGTTCCGCGCGCGACGGGGGTGCTTATGGTATGGCAGGCGGCTTCACTGCTGGCAGCGGAACTGCATCTACAGGAGGAAGAGTCAAGATGGAAGGGAACGGGGATGTGGAGATATTGGATAATAAGAGGGCTGTGGATTCAGCATCATTGCTGCGAGTACAGTCACTTGGAGGTCGGATAAAGCCCTCTGAAGAAGGCGATCCAGTTTACATGCTGGCCACCTTCACCGATAGTACGTTGACTCTCTCAATTTCTTCCCTAGCGACAGCCCCCGATTCTAACACCCGTTCTTAGAAAACCTGCATCTTTCCCCCGTCACATCGGTTGTTCAGTTCCACCCTCAGCTTCACCACCTGGATGCTTTGGATGAGATGCCAAAAGGGAAAGGATCACGCAAAAAGGATGACGATGACCGTCCTACCGAGAGCGAAGCACGTGCGATTGATATCAAAGTCAAGGCCGCCGAAGATGGTGAAGCGGCTGCGAACGCGGGCAATCTAGACCTCCTCAAGCAAATGCAAGATGAGAAATGGAAAACTTACGGCTGGGTTGATGCTGAGGTATGTTCTCTCTTTGATTGACCTTGATTCCTATTCCACACTAACCTACCCATCCTAGGCCGAGGATTCCTGGTACACATATGAGAGCTATATGATCCACAAGGAGACCGAAGACCTCCCCTCCCTAGAGTCAAATATTGACTCGGAACAATACCTCGATAAAATGAGCGCCCCTAGGATCGATCCCGCCCGCCCCGACATGACCGGCTGGGCCATGAAGGAGAATCGCCGGAGGCAAAGAGAGGGCCAAGCAAATAATGAAGCGGAATAGCGAGGGGTTACATTGTACCATAATCCAGACAATCAATTTCAGAAGATATTTCTAGCTGAATCCTATCATCGGAGGAATTCAAATTCAGGACTGTATCACGCCTCCATCACGTTAATTCAAACAGGAACACGCGAAACTCTTTAAGCCTCCCAAGGTCGCCACTCAACACTTGTCCGCCAATCGCGATAAGAGAATGTGCAAGGTCACGTGCTGGATTCGGTTTTTCTGCCATCCCCGTTTCGTCGCGACAGGTCCGATTAATCTCCCTTTCTTCATCGTTGGCTTCTTCTTTTTCCTTTCCCTTTTCATTCAGTTGGGTCAAGGGTTGCAGGACAGCGCGCTAACCCGACCGTCATCCGTCTTTTATAGCGGAATCGCATTGGTCTCAACATTCATCATTGCGGTATTCTGTTTTTTTTTTTCTTTTTGGCTTTCATCGTTGAAAGTCTGCATCTATCTTATAATTTACTCTTAATATCCTTTTCTGTTGGAGTCATTACATTCTCATTTGCCTTCAGCCTTCCTTTGATATCCGAATTCCAGGAACGCCAACTTCATGCACAATGTTATCCCGGGTGGCTTGTCAAAAAAATGCTTTCCTCCACTTGCGGCGGACTCAGGCTATTCGACCATCGTTTCATCTGCCTACAACACGTTTTCATTCATACTCGAATAACCGGAACCCTCTTTTGAAAATATCGGGCAATTCGATTCACAACCGTCCACGCAATCTGCCTCCGCAATCAGAACGCCGCCTTGCTACAGCCGCTGACCACTCCAGCATCGACGGGCATTCGCCAGAGACTTACGACCATTTTATGCACATGCCGTTTGAGAATTTCGATACATCGTCCTTAATCATCCTCGACTCAACGCCACAATCGCAATCAAAGATCTTCCGCAGGAGACATGGTATCGGCGGTGATGAAATGGAGATGAAGGCCAACCTAGAGCTCTCATTGAAGCTTGGAGAGTTCGAGCGAGCCTCTGGGTTGATTGTTCGCCTTGGACATTATCACCCGCCTGGCTCGGAAGAATACCTTCTTATGCACAACCGTTTCATGAAAAAGATGGTTGCATATATGATACTCAACCGGCAGCAGGATATGGTTTTGCCGTTGCAGAAATGGTTTGAAGTTGATATGCCCGCTGGAGGCGTCACACCAGATGCAATTACGTTCGCGATCATGATTCGAATGGCGCTGCGTATGCTTCATGGATCGAAGCGCGACAGAACTGTCCGTCGATACTGGGAACTTGCCCAAAACGCGGGCTTGGAGGAAGAACTTGTCGGTATTGAGGTTCTTGAGGATTCTGACGTTGGTGAGCTGTCTAAGGTGAGCCTACCATTCTAGCCCGTACCCTGAATTCCTACTAATGTTTCCAAACTAGATCTGCTCCTCCGACATGTTGGACTTGGTCTCGAAATATATGAAACTCTCCGAAAATACCGAACCGCCTTCCCTGTCTTCCGGCATCGTCGATGATACACCCCATGTTCAAGCTGCTCACCAGAAAGGATTGGGACTGGCATCTCTGAAACAGTCACTGTCCCTTTTCTCCGGTAATAGTGATGTACAGTTGCCCGAAAATTTTACGGGCACCGAAGAAGAAGGACAAAAATTGCTTTCAGAGTTAAGGCAAACACGACTTGAAGCTGACAGTCTTGATTCGGCCCTCTGGCGCTGGCGTTCGGATAATGCTGAGAGACAAAAATCCGGGTTGAACGTCGCTTCCGATGAGAAAAAGCTCGCCGGAATCATGAGCCAATGGCACGCGGACCTTGTGACAAGAATCAAGAAGGAGCTTGGGCTTGTTGACGAAGCACTGTCGTCTCGCATTGTAAGCGTCGAGCAAAAGGAGCGCTGTGAATATGGTGTGTATTTGCATTCCCTCGATCCTGATCGGCTAGCTGCACTCACTCTCTTGTCTGTGATGTCGATGTTCAGCCGCCAGGGCATGGATAAGGGAGTCAAACTTTCTGCCATTGCTTCGGTAATCGGGAAAGAGTTGCAGGATGAACTCATTGCCGATGCATATCTGAAAAAGAACAAGGCTATGGATCCGAATCGTCTCAAGGCACTGAAGCAGGTACTTTCAAACCGCAAAGACAAGCAAGGTCGACTTCGGTGGCAATCTCTCGTTGAGAAGATTACTGCAGAAGATGAATCTGTAATTTGGGGCCCTCGCTCTCAGGTCAAAATCGGTGCTGTTTTGATGGGCATGTTAGTTGAAGTCGGTAAAGTTGCTGTTTGGGCTGAGGATCCTGTCACCAAAAAAAGGACACTCAATATGCAACCGGGCTTCGACCATTCTTATCAGATTAACTTCGGAAAAAGATCCGGTCATATCCACATGAATTCCAAACTTGTGGAAATTGTTGCCAGAGAGCCACCCGCTGAGTTGTTGGCCCGCCACCTCCCCATGGTCTGCAAACCCAAGCCATGGACTGGGCCAAGAACTGGCGGGTATAAGATATACCAGACCAACCTTGTGCGCACTACTCCCGGTGAACTACTACAACCAGCCTACCTCAAAGCCGTTTTGAAAGATGATGGGCTGAAAGAGATCCGATCCGGCCTTGATGTTCTCGGTTCCACTGGATGGAAAATCAATCAATCGGTTTTCGACGTGATGCTCGAAGCTTGGAATGGCGGGCAGCCTATAGGAAAACTTGCCCCCTTGAATCCAGACATACCATCACCGGAACAACCGAGTCCAGACGCCGACTACGCAGCTCAGAAAGAGTGGCACCAAAAGATTCGTGAAGTCGAAAACCTTCGCTCTGGATTTCATTCCGTTCGATGTTTCCAGAACTTTCAACTTGAGGTAGCGAGAGCTTACCGGAAAGAGGTCTTCTACCTTCCCCACAATATGGATTTCCGTGGCAGAGCTTACCCACTCCCTCCTTACATGAATCAGATGGGGGCTGACAATTCAAGAGGGTTGCTTCTTTTCGACAAGGGAAAGGCACTTGGGGTATCTGGCATGCGCTGGTTGAAAATTCAGATTGCAAATTTGTTTGGATTTGACAAGGCGAGCATGTCTGAACGAGAGCAATTCACAATGGACAATTTGGATGATGTTCTTGACTCTGCCAATGCGGGACTCCATGGACGACGGTGGTGGCTCCAAGCTGAGGATCCGTGGCAGCTTTTGGCAGCGTGCTGTGAACTCCGGAACGCCTTGCAGCTTCCTGATCCCACAAAATATATCTCCCATCTTCCAATTCACCAAGATGGCTCTTGCAATGGACTTCAACACTATGCCGCTTTGGGTGGTGACCGTGTCGGTGCCCAGCAGGTCAATCTTGAACCATCTGATCGCCCTTCAGACGTCTATACCGGTGTGTGCGAATTTGTCAAGGAAGCCATCGCACAGGACGCAGCCAATGGAGACCAGCTCGCTCGTCGTCTTGAAGGCAGAGTCACCAGAAAGATTGTGAAGCAGACGGTCATGACTAATGTCTACGGCGTGACGTTTTTGGGCGCGACGAGACAGGTCAAAAGGCAGCTTATAGACTATCTCCCTGACCTTAATAACACAGACAGGAACACTGCAGCTTTCTACATCGCAACAAAAATCTTCGGCGCTCTTGGATCCATGTTCAACGGAGCCCATGAGATCCAGTATTGGCTTGGCGATTGTGCCCAACGCATTACACAATCTGTGACACCGGAGCAAATCGAGGAGCTCACGCAAGCAGCACTAGTTCCTAAGGAAGAACGCGACGAGGGCTTTTTGACAGCCACTGATCCGGAGAAATCCTTCAGGTCGACTGTGATCTGGACAACCCCGCTAGGTCTCCCAGTGGTCCAACCATATCGCACTCGCAAGACACGGCGTGTCGCGACTAGTTTACAAGACATCAGTCTTGTCGAACCTGGCTTTGATGATGTGGTTTCAAAGCGCAAGCAGCTTCAGGCCTTCCCGCCTAATTTCATCCACTCCCTTGATGCCACACACATGATCTTGTCTGCCAATGCATGCAGCGAAGCGGGTCTGACTTTTTCCGCTGTCCATGATTCATTCTGGACTCATGCTGCCGATATCGATCAGATGAACCTTATTCTTCGAGATGCCTTCGTTCGCATGCATTCCGATGATGTTGTCGGGCGCCTCGGCGCTGAATTCAAAGTACGATATGGCAAGAACCTGTTCCTGGCCAGACTTCCTCGCACCACCCGTATTGGTCGGGCGGTCTTCGCGCACCGTCAGAGCACTAGGATTTCCAAACTTCAAGAGTTGATCAACGAACACCGACGACAAACTCTTCTTAACTCGGAAGATCCGGAGGATCAGGCCGAGGGTCGTGCTATGGTGACACCCTGCAGTATCTTTGAATCGTTGGGTGGTACAGACTGTGACCTGACTACCCACAAAACATTGGGCAATGAAGCAATTGGGCACATTCCAGAAGTCATGCACGATGCGAAGATGAGAGATTCGATCGACACCAACGATCCGGCCATTGAGAGCCTGGTCGGTGACCTCGAGATGTTTGAGTCGAAGCAGACCGCCCGTGACGAGCTCTCCCCAGAAACCCTAGATGATGCCCATGGTGAGGCTTTGACCGATCCAACCAAGAATTCCGATGCATCCCAGAGTCCTACGCAGCCAAAGAAGAAACCCAAGCGCCAGTTAGCCACGTGGTTCTGGATGCCTCTGACTTTCCGCCCAGTCCCTCAAAAGGGCGACTGGGACCTGACCCGAATTCGCGAGAGTGAATATTTCTTCTCATGATGCTCTTTGGGAATTCCCGCATTCCGCTGGCGTTTATGCATATTTTCACCTTTCTGTTTAGCCATGCCCGGAACTCTGTGACTTTTTGGATTGATTTAGCTGACTTGTTAATTTCCTGTATATTTTCCGCCTGGTTTTTGGAGGCCTCATTTACATTTGTACATTACGCGTGGAGAACACAGTATATATTACCTGTATGAATATGATCTCGAACTTCTAGAATCACTAGCCAGTCCCCCCGACTTTAAATCAAATACCCGGACAGAGTGTGAATTTAGGCAAAATGCAACAACCGACAGGGTAGATAGAGCCTAGCCATGCGGATCTAGCCGCTTTGGAATGTCAAGTACAACAAGTGTATAATTGCCGAGTCCCCGGGGTCGAATCCGTTTCCAGTACATCATTAGGCTGTACTTTGTCCACAAACCCGGCACTCGCGAATGGCCCGATCTGCATGAGGATTACATCAAAGACCCTACCTTTAATGTGCTTTGTCCTCTCCCCGCGGGCTAAGACCGGGGTATGCCGTGGCCAGAGGGGTTCGAAGGTCTGTCTCGTTCTCATTTCCCTGGAAAAAGGGGTCATTAGTGTGCAGGGCCCAATGTGGACCATAAACAGAGAATCTGCAATTTTGAAACAAAGGGGGTAGAAAGGGTAGAAGCGGTAGAAACCGGGTGAAGCAGCATGTGTTTAAGTGTACGAAGTACACACGGAGTATTAGATGAGAAGACTTGGAGAAATTGCACACTCATCTCTTTTCGTCCACGTGCCGTTTGCCCCCCCGCCTTTACATGACTTCCCCAGATCTTTCTAATCATCTGATCTTCTGATCTTCATATCTTCCTATCTTCATAGCTTTTGATCTCTTGATCTGGAGTCTTTGGTCTTTTTGTCCTGCTATTTTTGATCATTTGGCCTGGACTTGCTTAACCAAAAAACTAAGCTTTGGGTCGGGGGAAAAAAAGTCGCCTCCCGGTCCTCTCTGCATCTTTCTGCAATGCCGTTGTGACTTCTTAGTCACACTTACTGCTCCCAAGGTTTTCACACAATATTTTTTCTGTCTCTGACTAGACAGTGTATATCCCCTTGATCTGTCCCTCTATGTCGCCATAGTTCTGTTTCCGCCTCCTCGGAGAAGCATGTCTATGACCTCCCTCTCCGCCGCCAATTCTTACTCTCTTTTTTCGTCTCAAAACAAACGGATGACACAATCTCAAACACCCGGGCTGGACACGCTTGCGGAGGGGTCGCAGTATGCGCTGGAACAGCTCCAATTGGCACGTGAAGCCGGTGCTGCCAATATCCCGACTGACCCCAGTAACTCTCTCGACTCCAAGACATCGCATTCCCAACACCTCCTCTATAGCGAGCAAAACTGCTCCAATTCAAGTCTGAAGGATCCAGGATTGCGAGATTCCCTTGCCGAGGCGCGCTCCGCTATTCGCAAAAATTCCTCCGCTACCCCAGTCCGTCGAAGAATCAGCCGAGCTTGCGACCAGTGCAACCAATTGCGAACCAAGTGCGATGGACAAAACCCCTGTGCGCATTGCGTTGGTATGGCTTTTGCCCTAATTTCCCCTCCCCATTTACGCATTAGTTGAATTAATTGTTCCCAGAGTTTGGACTCAGCTGTGAGTACGCCCGCGAGCGCAAGAAGCGTGGGAAGGCGTCCAAAAGGGAAATAGCCGCCACTGGTCTTACCGACAGTGATATCGGTGGCAACGAAAACACAACGCATACGAAAGCACAGCCCTCGAACGCGCGGTCTTTGCCAGAATCTAACGAACAATACGATGCCGCCTTCGATGCCGCGCGAACTCTTACTGAAAGCGCACAATCTCGGTCGCATAACGCGGAGGTAACTGGCCTATCTGCCATGCGCCAAAGTCAAGCGCCCGTCCAGCCACCTTCTCAGCAGCAAATGAATTCTAACATGGCGGGCATGCCATTCAATAATTACGCAGCGCTCCACGAATCCCACCGACCCTCGATGTCCGTGCCAGATATGCGCTCTATACAAATGATGCAAAACTCGAATGCAAACCCTCGGTCGCCGGGTTCAATGCTCCATCCTCAAGGGTTTTCTTCAGGGTACAATGATGGTTCATACCCTTTGATGAATGCGCAAGATGGAAATCCAAGCTCCATGAACCATTTCCGCATTGGAAATTCGACAGAGAACTCATCGGCACCTTTTATGGGATTCTCCCCTCCAGCGCAGTCCCCTAGCTGGTTGCCGCTTCCTTCCCCATCGCCCGCAAACTTCCCTTCCTTCAGCCTGCCCCCTTTCTCCAGCTCATTGAGATACCCGGTCTTGCAACCAGTCCTTCCGCACATTATGTCTATAATTCCTCAATCTCTCGCCTGCGACCTCCTCGACGTCTATTTCACCAGCTCATCCTCCTCGCATCTTTCTCCGTCGTCGCCTTATGTGGTGGGCTATGTTTTCCGGAAGCAATCGTTCCTACACCCTACAAAGCCTCGATCATGCACCCCTGGACTTCTCGCTAGCATGCTATGGGTAGCAGCTCAAACAAGCGAGGCCGCATTCTTGACTTCACCTCCATCAGCTAGAGGCCGAGTCTGCCAAAAGCTGCTGGAGTTGACGATTGGCTTACTCCGGCCACTTATCCATGGTCCTGCCACCGGAGAAACGTCCCCCAATTATCCAGCGAATATGGTAATCAACGGGGTGGCTCTCGGTGGCTTTGGGGTCTCCATGGATCAATTGGGTGCGCAGAGTAGTGCCACTGGCGCGGTGGATGATGTCGCTACGTATGTTCACTTGGCAACTGTCGTCTCAGCCAGCGAATATAAGGCTGCAAGTATGCGATGGTGGACAGCTGCCTGGTCTCTTGCGCGAGAGCTGAAACTAGGCCGCGAACTACCACCTAATGCGACGACCCGTCAAGACGGTGAAATAGAGGGCGAGGGGGACATGGATGTGAATGGCAACAAGAGACAGCCGTCTTCTTTACTGGGACACGGTCCAGGCAACTCTACAATCAATCTCACAGAGGAAGAACGCGAGGAGCGCCGGCGGATCTGGTGGCTATTATATGCGACAGATCGCCATCTAGCGCTTTGTTACAACCGACCCTTAACGTTGCTGGATAAAGAGTGCGAGGGATTATTACAGCCGATGAACGATGATATCTGGCAGGCTGGTGACTTTTCATCTGTCAACTATCGCCGTGCTGGTCCAGCCTCTGAATGCACTGGCCATAGCATGTTTGGGTACTTCTTACCCCTGATGTCTATCCTGGGTGAGATTGTGGATCTGCAACATGCCCGAAACCACCCGCGCTTCGGTCTTCATTTCCGCAACAGTGGCGAGTGGGAAAGTCAGGCCTTGGAGATCAGCCGGCAGCTCGATGTCTACGCCCAGAGCCTGAAAGAATTTGAGGCTCGATATACGAGCTCTCTCGGCCTCGGGGCCGGTGAGCCTGACACGGCCATGGAAGGCTCCAATATCAACCACGTCAGCCCATCTGGTCGGTCGAGTAGCACGGTAGGCTCACATGTGAGCGAGTCCATTGTTCATACAAGGATGGTGGTAGCCTATGGCACCCACATTATGCATGTACTCCACATTCTGCTGGCTGGAAAGTGGGACCCGATCAACCTGCTCGACGATAACGATCTCTGGATTTCTTCTGAGTCGTTTATCACTGCCATGGGCCATGCAGTCAGCTCTGCTGAGGCGGCCTCGGACATTTTGGAATACGACCCCGATTTAAGCTTTATGCCCTTCTTCTTTGGCATATATCTTTTGCAGGGTAGCTTTTTGTTACTCTTAACTGCGGATAAATTACAAGGAGACGCCAGTCCCAGTGTTGTTCGGGCCTGTGAAACAATCGTGCGAGCACATGAGGCTTGCGTTGTAACTTTGAACACTGAATACCAGGTAGGACCTACCCGTCGCCAAACTCGATGTTTACAAAAGCTAATCTCCTGCAGCGAACTTTCCGCAAAGTGATGCGCTCGGCGCTGGCTCAAGTCCGCGGCCGTGTCCCAGAGGACTTTGGAGAGCAGCAGTCACGTAGGCGCGAGGTGCTAGCCCTTTACCGCTGGAGCGGCGACGGCAGCGGCCTCGCGCTGTAGCAAGACTGCCGAATACATGCTGGGCATTTTGCAGCTGCTACTCGTCGTCTTGCTTATTGACTTTTTTTATTGTTTCATTTCTCTTTGATTTTGGTTCGATTTGCGCGCTGTATACTATACTTCCCGGATTCTGGACATACCCTGAGGAGCAAAAAGGCGCACGATCTTTTGATGTCTGTATATTGAATCAGCACATACCATAACTTCTTAAACATTGCTTTTGGTCGATTTCGGGAATATCCTTCTGGTGGACCGAGATTCCCCATGAAGGACATGCGTGTAGTCTTATTAAGACGCCAGGTAGAGGCCGCTGGAAGATTCGGCCGACTCTCAACAGATCGATACCCATACCTTTGAACCATGCAACCTCTTAGATTTATCTTCTGCATAGGTAGGATTATCTGTCCTTGTTTGACTAAATCTTTGTATAAATGGAATGTGCCCATGTATCATGTGACGATGCTTATTCTAGGCTCCACCTAAGCTCCGATCCTCTCCAGTTACACCACCTCAACCTCAGCCGTGCCAGCAAATGATGGTACCCGAGACAAGACCAACAAAATGAAACCATATATAGGCATCCCTCTCGTGGCCGGGCTTGTTTATCGAGCTTGGTCTCGCAAATCCCTTACCCCGCTTGGCCTGGTCGCTGCGGCATGTTCAGCCTCCGCTCACGCTCTCCACCCATGGTCGGCACCAGTCGTGCTCCTCGCGGTATTCTATTTTGGCGGAACTAAGGTCACAAAGGTATGAAGACACCAATGTGTCGAGCGAAGCTGGAGATTATACACTCTTCTGCCTACATTTATGCTATGGGCACAGCTTACAAGATCATGGCGATAGGTAAAACACGAGATCAAATCGCATCTGACACTCTCCGCAACCGGTGCGGAAGGTGGCGAAGGGCCCCGGAATCACATCCAAGTCCTAGCGAACTCCATTGTTGCTACCATCTTATCGATCGCTCATGCGATTGTCCTGTCTAAAACAACAGGCACCGAATCTTGTTTCTCACTCGGTCACAATGTGGCTGATATTTTGATGGTTGGGATTGTAGCGTACGTCACTTAACCTCACAGTCAATGAGTGCATCATCTCTTCCCAGTAACTAATAGACTCCCCTTCGCAGAAACTACGCAGCTGTCGCTGCAGACACCTTCTCCTCCGAGCTCGGCATTCTCTCGAAATCCAAACCCCGCCTGATAACCTCGTTGACTCTCCGTGAAGTTCCTCCCGGTACAAATGGTGGTGTGACCGCGACTGGCCTGGGAGCTGGTCTTCTGGGATCGTTCATTGTTTCTGCTACATCTGCTGCGATTCTTCCGTTCTGTGCCAGTGCCGGATTGAAGGATCGGGCTCTGTGGACCATAGCTATGACTCTTTGGGGTACATTGGGCAGTGTTCTTGACAGTGTCCTTGGTGGGCTATTGCAGGCTAGTGTTATCGATAAGAGGAGCGGAAAAGTCGTAGAGGGGAGTGGTGGTAGGAAGGTAAGTTCCTGATTTTGTGTCCTTGACCATTGTGTACAGCGCTCTAATCCGGTATTCTAGGTTATCATTCACCCTTCCACGGGCAAACCGGTCGCTACTAATAGCACTGCCAAAACCACCGGTAGCATACATAACGCTGCGTTGCATGGCACTCAGGTTACAAACACCGTCGACGAAACTCACGAAAGTCGTCGCCTTGCAACTGGCCATGACTGGTTAGATAACAATGGCGTCAATCTTCTCATGGCTGCGACTATGAGTGTCGGGGCTATGGGTATTGCACAGTGGTTCTGGGGGTTGGATGTGTCTGAGTTGCTGTTGCTGGTGTAAATTCTACAGATATTCCTCAGTCCGATAGAATATCAAACTAATGCAGGTTCCGAATATCCCTCATCTTGTTCCTATCTATTCTTCTGTTTGGTCTAGATCCATATTATGGGAAATTTATGTCTTTTCTCACCCTTGATCTTTTGAATGTCTCTGCTTTGAGAGAAGCGTGATCTAGCTGTTTGTTTGTCGCAGCTCTTTCCAACCCATCAATCACCCTCCCACCTTTCTTCGACTTTAGTATTTGTTTTCTTTTTTCTCTTCTCCTCCTCTCTTCTTCTTTCGCTGTTCCTCTCGCTTCTCCACAACACCAACCTAGTCAGGTAAAGCCAAGGCGACATTAACTCAACCGATACGGTTCATCACGTGTCGCCCTTGGCCCTAGTTCGTGAGACCCTTCTACGCATCACATGTGCCGAGTGTCATGGGCCCTATGTCGGACTCGAAGAACTGACAAACAACAATCTTAGCATAATTTGGACGAACAGAGCACGACAGCCAAGATGGCAACCGAAGAAGAACGCGGAATGCACGTGCGAGTCGGAGAACCAAGTGTCTCTCTCCTACCCGAGACCGAAACATCCAAGGCCGTGATACATGACCTCCATCACAGCGACTTGCTTCCTGTCTATGACTACATCTACCAGGAATTCCTGATGACCGGCATTGCCGTTGCCAATCCGTACTGCACGCGTCTCGTTCTTCGTTGCCCTGCGGAACCCGACAAGTTCTCGGGTCTAGTCATCATGGAACCATCTCACCTATGGGGTGGGACAACCATCTGGCGTCTCATTAATCGGTGGCTGATGCGCAATGGTGAGTCTTCATTTACTGTGTTTTGGCGTGTCGTCTAGGCTAATACTTGAAAGGCCATGCCTGGCTGGAAGTTGATTCGCAGGCGCCCGCGGCAATCGACCAGATCAAAAACATTGATCCTGAACGCTACAGAGAGATGCACTTCATCCCCTGCCAGACCTTGCAGGAGTTTTCCAGCCACATCCCCGCCTTTGCTAATGCAGAAGAGCTCTGGAATAATTACAGGATCTTCAAGGAAAGATGGTGGGCGGCAACTGTGCAGTCTCCGGAGATTCTTGTTGCTGCATCATATGCTTCGAAATCAGGAAAGCTGGGGCTGAAAGCCGAGCGCGTCGTACTAACTGGTCTTTCCCAGACTGCGGACTTGATAAGAAAGTTCATCGTGGAGTCTCCCCATCTCCGACTTCCTGATGGATACGCCCCATTTGAGGGATTCATGCCATGCCAATGTGACGGCGGTAACGCCCTTCCAGACTTGCGCGAGGCAAAGATTATTGAGATTCTAGGTGAATTCGAGCTCATCTATAGTAAGACACTCTATGGGGCGATCGGAAGCGAAAATCCTCCCCATCGCCGTCCGGATAGCAGGTCATTCCGGCTCTACGAAGTTGCTGGCATGTCTCATCGCGAGACTCGATATCTCTCCATGGCCGATAAGAAGCGTCTGTCGGCTGTTGATTTGGAGGGTGCCCAGTGGACCACTTTCGCAAATTCTTTCGTTTATCACGCTCTCTTCGATGCTATGAACAAATGGATCACGACCGGTGTGGCTCCCCCGCGAGGCACCACAATTGATATCGACAAATTCGGGGAGATCGAGCGAGACGAGTATGGAAATGCGCTGGCTGGAGTCAGAACCGTTCATACAGACGTGCCTACAGCAAAGATCATCGATGTCACCCCTCAGCCACACCCACATTGGCACACTGGTAAGTTGCTTATGTCCACGAGAAATTCTTTCAGTCATTTTTCCTGGTTAACATCCAAAGGCACTGAGGTCCCTTTCAAGGACGTCCAATTATGGGCTGTCTACAAAACGGTAGAAAACTATCGACGTCAGGCAGGAGAAGCAGTTGAGCGACAGATCGATGCCGGATTTTTGCTGCCGGAAGATGCCGAGGTCCTGCGCCGCGATACCATTGAGCAAGTCTCCTTTTAAAAGATTCAGCCTACGGGTTTGCTTGTTCCTCTTCATGGATTCGGGTATTAGCTGGATCTCGAGGGTTTTCGGTTCGATAGGAACAGACGATTGCGGTGACCTGCAGGCTCCTATGTACCTCGGGATGCCCTTGATTATGTTCAATGAGATTCGAGATCAACTTCGATCTTCTGCACTTTCAATGTCTTTAGCTAGGACTCTTTAGCTATCATCTACAATCATGTCAGTATAATTCGCCGCACGGTTTTTCGCCGCCACCCTAATTGAAATTCATGAAGGCGCTGGAAATGATATCTTGGTCATTGGTTTAAGCTGCCTTTGTACCAAAATTGTAGTCATTACAATACCACGTGATCATAATATACCTCCAAAAGGAAAACATATAATCTTGTATTGTTTTTGAAATGGGGAATTGGATATATACTTCATATCGACATGCTAGCAATTAACACAAATTTAGATGACATGAGAATCGAGCATGCACTGGACAGTATCAACAATGCTAGTCTTCAAGTCCCGATAATTCCATTTGCCAGTCTTAGAGCCCTTGGCCAGGATATCTAGACTGACGCGCATATCCCATCCGGTTGGGTGAATACCCGGGGGAAGGATTTGAGAAGGATTGCCTTCCGGAACACGGTCCTTGAGCTGGGGGAAGTTTTCCCTAATATTGTTCACCACCAACTGGGGAGTGATCAGATCTGCGATCAGGAGGATTCGCTGGTTCGCAGCTGCCGGATTGGTCAAAGCATCGACGTGGCTTTGGGCGACATCACGGACATCAACCTAGACATCAATTAGCTTGGGGAAAAAAACACCGAGGGCGTATCGCATACATAATGATAGAATGGGAATTGGACTCCGTCTATTGTTTTATGAGTTCCATCGATGAAGCTAGAGACTGCGAAGCCGTTGGTTTCATTGATAGACTTTGGTCCATCGATGGGGTGAATCATAGGACCAACGATGATATCCGGGTTGATGACAACCAAATCAAAGGATGGCTTGTTCTTCTCGAAGAACTCCCATGCTGCAGCTTCAGCTCTGATCTTTGACACGTTGTATCCGAGAACGGCGTCATGCTTTTCAATTGCCTGCTTGGCCGTGACCTATTGTTTTGTTAGCAGAAGATATCTTTCTGCATATTCGCATGCGATCTAGGTCGTACCGGGTTCCAGTCTTTCTCGGTGTAGGGCTTTCCTTCTTTCGTCATGTCTTCGAAGGAATTCATCACGGTGACCGCACTGCTCAAAAACACAAATCGTTTCAGAGAGTCATATTTCAGTGCAGCTTTCAAGATTTCCGTAGTCCTAGTGGATTTAGTACGGAGTTTCAAAGCTTCCCGGATTTTCCAAACTTACCCTTTCTCAGCAGGCTCAATCATCTCCTTTTGGATATCGGACACACTGAAGTTTACTGGAGACGCAGCGTGGATCACATAGTCAAACTTTGTCTTCTTGAAGACTTCATCGAACGGTCCGGCGGTGGTGAAATCTGATACGATTGCGAATTCGATCTTGTCTTTCCACGATGGATGGGTTTTGATGATGGCCTCGCCCTTGGCAGGGGATCGTACTGTCGCGGTTACAGCATAGCCTTGCTATTTGGAAGCCGTCAGTTTGTTAACTCCCTAAAGTCCGTAACTTACTTACGTCAATCAAGATAGACAAGATATGAGAGGCAACGAAGCCATTAGCTCCTGTGAGCAGGACGTGCTTTCCTTCCGACTGCGACATTTTCTGATGAAATAAATTCCAATCAATTGTAGGTGAAAATTTTCGAGGAGGCTTCAAAACCCATGACTACGAAGACCCATAATGCTCAGGGTTCAAACCCCATCTAGTTATGAGGCTTGATGCCTGAGTGCCTTATTTAAGAACGGCAGAAAATGTAAATACCTGGATTATCATAACACCGGTCTTAATAATCAAAGTCGTCTGCCCAGGTGCTGCTACCAGCAAGCGTCAAAAATGAAGATACATTGATACATACCCTTTCAAGGGCGGTGTAGAGGGCGGTCTAACCAAGGCATCCAGGCATCAAGACACCTGAGCCCTATGGGTCCTGTCACTTCCCGTCAGTTCCGGCTTTGACGTCAGTAAAATGTCTAGACCCGAGTGACTCATTGAACTTATCAAAATTTCGAAGACTCATTTATTGAGAACGATATGACATGGTCAGGGTTCAACTAGGGACATTCATCTTGCCGAGGAATGATCAAGGTATAATGTTTCGATTCCACAGAGTTGGTAAACGCAATGCGATGTTGTCTGAAGCTAATGGCTAGAAATCCCGCTTCAATTGATCCACAGGTGGAAGAACACCTTCACTTTCCAGAATCTTGAAAGTCTCTTCCAACTCATCCCAAGTGTCGGCATACCCAGTCCAGCCCAATTTCCTTCTTTGCCTTACTCATACTCCCCACACAGCTCCAATCTCTACCCAGTGTCATAGTCAAAAAGTCCCAAGTTGCTTTCTCCCATGCCTGTTGGTCAAGGCTATACTTTTCCCGAAGCTGAGTCCATGCCTTGTTGACATCCTCTCGTTTTGCCCACTTCTCCGGATCAACCTGCAAGAACAGAATAGGAGAGCTCTCAGCAGCTGGATCTGTAGACAGACCTAGTGCCGAGGCAGAAGCCTTGAGAGGAGGCTTGTTCTCGAGTCGAATTGTGGATGACTCATAGTTCTTGAATCCCTTGGTATCGGGAATACCACCGTTGGGAAACATGGGGTCAGGAATGTGACATCCGAACCGAGCAGCCATACGCGGCCACAAGTTCTGGAAGGACTCTGTATCGCCGTTCATGACATTGAAGATCTGATTTCCTGCACCCGGCGCACGGGCTGCCCAAAGGCAAAACTTGGCGTGGAGATTCGCTGTTGTCCAACAATTGAATGCGAAATAGTTCGCCCTGCACCCAACAAACGGCAGCTCCGAGCCAGGGAGAACTTTACTAATAGCACAATAAAGCCCAAGGGCCGTTGCTTCATTCATAAAGTTGCCTCGGGCATATCCAAGAACGTCCTCTGGTAGTGTAGCAACCCATTCCCAGCCGCCTTTCTTGGCCGCATTGGCCAGGACCCGCTGTTGAGGATAGTAGAAAATTGGCGGCCAGGAAACTCCCCCCGCATCATTCTCCAGGAGAGGGTCATCTTCAAGTAGAGGCTGCTTTCCGGGTCCAATGTGCACGCCATACTGCTTAAATCCGCAGGTGAGAACAAAGCGTTGAATCTTGCTCGCAGCCCCATTGAGCTCAAGGGCTTCGAGGAAATTGAGAAGCAACGCTTCATTCACCCGCGACAGCTCTTCTTGGTCGTCTGAAGCCAAGTAGGCACAGAAAAATATGTACTCGGCGGAAACGCCTTGCAAGGCTTTGCACATATCTTGTGCTGAGCTTTGAAGGTCAAGGGTAACATGCTGGATTCTTGGGTCTTGATACCCAGGGTTCCTGCGAGAGAACGAGTAAATCTTGTCGTAAGATCCATCTTTGAGAAGGTGATGCACGATCGCACTCCCGGTAATTCCTTGGTGAGGTTAGCTTTAGTAATTAGGACTAATCCCAGGAGCCGCTTACCGGTAGCACCAGTGACAATAGCTGAAGGCATGCTGAGCAATTTGTCGTGTCTCCCCTACATCGCTGTATATGCTTCTGGGATTGTATCATGTAAGGTCGAGTTATATAAACATTTGCCAGACGTAGACGTCATATCCCGGCGAGAAAATGTCGTCATGTTGGAATATTAAGGCTTGAGATCACTGGATTTCCAAATTCGAAGGTCTTCTAACTTGGACCTTCAGGAGCTTGGAGGATGTAAGGTGGATCTCACTGTCGGGATTTGAAGTCAAATGGTCGGGATCTTGTGATATTCGGAACAGTGGGAAGCAAGTTGGGAAGAACATAGGAATTGGCCAACATAGTTCTCTCACTTTGTGTGTTCCCACTTTCCTCTTTCCCAGCTCAAACTCATTTTTAATCACGCAACATATACGCAGTAACGGCGTCTCTGTACAGTATGCAGACTCAAATTACTGTTGCTTACCCAGTGTGGCTGTTCAAAGCCACACACATACTTCAACTCGAACAGACCCATTTACAGCGCTGCATAACAGGGCAGGCAACGTGTATAAAGCCGGAAATCCAGCCATGCATCATCAATCACAGTTGCAGCGCCTGGTGTAGGCTGAGAAAAGTCTGTCTTTTATTAGAAATCATAGTCGGCCTTGTGTATCCATATCAGATTTAGTACACCCACAGGTTGGTCACCAACCAGATATCACCGTTTAGCGCTGTGCCAGGCCCTATGTTCATGCAGATTGCATGCATGTCTCGTTGATGCGACATAGCCTAGTCACACAGACGCAGGGTGCTAGGCATATCGGGGTATAAATCTCCCTCAATTCACCCATGTAAGGTGCATGTTTTTCCTCAGTAGCTTTGAACATTATATTATCACCTTTACTGCAAGCACCATTGACGTGGTACCTATCTTTGTCGCCTATCCATATACTCCTTTCTCATCATGGGTCTTGTAAAGCTCTTGCTCAAAGTAATCCTCATCCCAATCATTGTCCTCGTGGTTATCGCTGTCGTTATTTTCCTTCTCCTGAAAATGCGTCGGGATCGCAAAAAGAAGGAACGGGAACTGGAGAAATCTTTCCAGCCACCCCCTATACAGCAATGGGTGCCGTACACCCCGGTGCAGCAACCAGCTCCGGCATATGTCAAAACACCAGGGGAGATGGAGCAAGGATTTGGACACAGACAGCCTTAGTGGACCTTCACCGATGGGTTATGATTCCTTTCAATGAAAGATTTAGTGATTTAGTTTTGCTGACGATACGCTGCAGACTGTTTCACTCGGGCGATTGGAAGGCCTTTTTTCGATTTTGCAGAGGATTTGGGGGAACTATTGCCATTGAAGATTTGTCTGTTGATGTGATTGAGGGCCGTACAATCCAGTCATTACATGTGTACCAGTGACTCTGTTTCATGCTGAAACTTGTACTACTGAGAGGGTTCAGCAGAATCATTACTGTTCGACTACCCAGAACTTGGGACGTTTTCTAGATCGGAGTTTCAGCGTCCAAGCTCATGAATTGGATTATATACAATCTGTTTCTGTGATTGCTCCCTCGACTCTACCGATATGGTTGCATATGACCTACTGTAGAAATGACTCGAGGCTTTGGACTTTGTGGGATCTGCATGCTGGCAATCCACATTCAGGGGGAATTCTGTTGCCTGATCATGTCCCCTGGCTGATTGGGCGGTAATAATCTATGTACAACAGTGATATACGATACTCAATTTGGTGTTTATTGGTTAAAGATGTCAGCTTTTCGAGGGTATCCTTGAGACTCAAATCGGCCACAGCCCCAAGTCTCAGGACTACGAGGCAGCTCTGTTGATGGCAATTCGTGCTTTTGTTTCAACGATGAGTTGCCTCTACATGTATGATTTTTGAACGCCCACTAGAATTGTGCTTTTCCGTGGGTTGTCTGAATGTAATTTATCTAACGAAGAATAAATAATTGTAACTCTGCAACATCCTAAACGAAGGGTGCATCAACTGCATCTGGGTGCACGTAGAATGCAATTGCGATTATTAGATACCTAAGAGACATCATTAGTATCGAGGGCAAGTATGACACTCATGTGGTCACTCACGTTCCAACCAATAAAGACCCTTCATAGTAATTGGACCGACCTCCACGAATCAAAGAGTCCATGACTATTACCGATAGGAAGAAGACCACCGTTTCAAAGGGACTATAACGCAACGACATGGGCTGTCCGATAATCCAGCCACACATGACCAGGAACGGACTCACAAACAATGCGATTTGCAACGTGCTTCCCACAATCACACCAATTGCGAGGTCCATATTCCCTTTGATCGAAGAATTGATGACAGTGTTGAATTCGCCTGCATTGCCGACAATGGGAACCACAATCAGACCAATAAAAGCTCGGCTCACATGCCATTTGTCTACAAAGCCATCGACACTGTCCACCAGACGATCAGAGCAGACCGTGACCCCGAGGGTTGCAAGGATCAAGATTATACTTGCTGACCAGGGGCCCAGAACTCGCGCTTCTTCCTCTTCCTCTTCTTGCTTATCGTCAACGAATAGTTCGGAATGACTCTTTAATTGGAAATATAGGTAGACCAGGTAGAATGTGAGTAGGACCACGGAGGCGGCACGGGAAAGACTGAGGACGCTGGCTTCCACTTCTTGGGACTTGGATGGTATGGTTGAGTAGAGGACGGATGGGATGATCAATGTTGCAGAGGATACCACCATCAAGGACGACAATATCCCACTAACATCCACGTTGAATTTCACCACATCTTTTGCATAGCCGCCGCAGAACAATGAAACACCGAGGATCTGAGTTTGTGTAAGCCGACAATTTCATCTAGACAGTTAACATATACCAAGGACCAAGCCTACCAAGAGATTTCCCGAAAGGATACTGCCCACCATACTGGACTGCACGATGCTGATTTCTCCCTGCCGAACTGCAGTGATACCCACCTGCGCAGCGACTAACGTCAGTATCCAGAACTCGCAAAGGTATAAATATCCCGCTCACAATCATTTCAACGGCGTTTCCAAAGGTCGCATTAATCAGCCCTCCGACAGTCTGTCCGACACTTTTTGCGAGTTCCTCTGTGGCAAACGACAGCAATGCGGCAAGAGGAAGAATCGCCAGGAAGTTGAACAAGAAAGAAACCGAGTCATCCCACCCTAGACTCCCCGCTACCATACCCAGAAACACAAACGGCAGTAGTAAATTGCTGTAGCTGCATCCCAAGGTAACCTTGAGCACACCTACAACAGAGTTATCTAGGAACAGAACACGCTTCGAATGAGAGTGGTTTGTGTCACGCAAGTCTGCAGATTCCTCTCCGTTGCCATTGCGTTCAGCGTTATCTCTGAGTAATGCGTCTTGCTCATGGGCTATCGTGTTTGCTTCGAGGGACCCGGCCATAGTTTCAGGGTCGATCTTGATTGACTTTCGTAATCGAGGGTGTGTGTCATTCATGTTGTCGAAAGTGAGGAAAGTGACCGAGAAAACATCGGGGTGGAGGGTAAGGGGATGATGTATTACTGCCTTTGAGCCCTTGGCGTCTGCGTACGCATTGGTGGAACTGGCGGGTTGCGTATTCTATTTGAGCCGTGCAGATAAAATACATGTATCTTTCACTTCATTACATTGCTTTAATTACATATGGAACAGTATCTGTACGGAAATGTTTCTGTGAAATACCGAGCCTCATTTATTGACCAGCACATGTGTGGACTTTCTAGAAACGGGGGTTCTCTCAGCTTCACCTTTGCATGAATTGTGTCTCCTGAACGAGATTCACCTATGCTATATTGCAACTTTATTATGGCACACGTCCAGAAACATCTGGGCCTCTTGTCACTGTTGATACCTCTCATCAGTATCACGGCAGGAGCCCTGAAGTGGAACAGCACTGTCATCTTCGCTCTCAACACCCTCGCTCTGATTCCACTTGGGTCATGGATTAACCGATCAGTCGATGCGCTGACTGTAGGTGGTAGGCGAGCCGTCAATGAAGTCCTGAAATCAACATTGGGAAACTCGGTAGAATTAATGGTAATACCCAGCCTTGAAGGAACTCAAATCTTCAATCCAAACATACGCTGACAACTATTTCTACAGATCGGAATCAATGCGATCGCGCAAAAGCGACCACACATCTCCCAGTCTGTGATACTTGGAAGTGTCATAAGCAATTTACTACTGGTAAACCCCAGTACCAAGTCCAACCACTGGTGCTATGAACCTCATCCTAACTATACAAACTATATTTCCAGGTTCTTGGCAGCACCATTTTCGTCTCAGGCTATGACCAGAAACGACTCCGATTTGATCGTACCCTCACAACAGTCCTCTCATCCCTCATGATGGTTGTCTTCATCTTACTCGCCCTCCCAACTGTAATGGACGTCTTTCCATCCGCCAAGGCCACCCCGGAAGACCAGATCCTCTTCACGCAACGCATAACATCCATAATCCTTGTGATTCTGCTCCTCACATTTCTCATCTTCCGTCTCGGCACCCATGCAGCCATGTTCGCCAGCACCCCATTCAGCCAGCGAGACCAGACCCATCAGTTTCGCCAGAGCCAGATAGTCGAGGCCCGGATCCCACAACCGTATATTGGCAAGACTCCAGCAGCTACAATTCTAGTAGCTGCGTCTGCATCTGCGCTTGCATGCACCTATTATATTGTCAGCAGTTTGAGCGGAGTTGCTTCGATCACGGGTATGAACCAGTCTTTCCTTGCTGTGACACTTGTTCCTTTGTTTGGAAACTCGGCCAAGTACCGCTCCATTGTGCTGGGTTCCCGGTCTTACAATCAAATTGAGCTTGGGATCAGAGCTGTCATCAACAATGTGCTACGAGTTACGATGCTTATTGCTCCACTTCTCGTTCTCGTTGGCTGGGCTTTTGATCAGCCGCTTGTTCTCAGGCTTGATGGGTTTGAGGCTACGACTCTTTTGCTTAGTGTTGTGGTCATGACATATCTCATTTCTGATGGGCGGAGTAATTATTTCGAGGGGTTGATGCTGATTGGAACGTAAGTCGCTCGCATTGCTTGTTGGGGTTATTGTTTGTCGGTGTTAACTTTGCTTTCGTTTAACAGATACATGATCATTACGTTCTCGTTCTTTGTTCGGCCTGAGGTGCCATTGAATGTGATATTCCTAGGTGCCTAGATTCGTCCAGTCCAGATATGTGACATCACTAGTTACTTGAAGTGTTTCCTGAAGATGTGTTGAAGCGGCGAAAGCCTTGAATCATCTAGCGCGCATAGAATGCCACAACTAGACTACCGTACCTATATCTCTAAATTAGTAAATGGACTGTTGAAACTCAATTGGGAATTCGGGGAACCCACAGAGCAAGCAGCATCGCACCATGAATGTAAGCGTATTGTCCATCACGAAGTAGATGGTTCACCACCAGAATGGCCAGAAACATAGCAACGGTCTGGAATGAGTCAAAGAAGAGCGTCATCGGTTCAGCAATGCACCAGCCAATAACCACCAAGAATGGTATGACAAACAGCCCAATCTGCAAGAGACTATCGATGATAACTCGGATTGCAGAGTCTGTGTCTCCCGTGCGAGATGCGGTAATGACAGTGACCCCCTCGGTGCTATTGCTAGCAATTGGGATGAAAACAATCGCGATAAATACCTCTGAGACACCGAGTGTTTGCGCCATGTCGCTGGTGCTTTCAAGCAGAAGCTCTGTGCAAAAGACTGTTGCTGCCACGGCTGTTATCAATCTGATGATTGATGAAGCTAGACTGGCTCGGCTGCGTGGGGATAATGAGTTTCCATTATCCTCATCATCACTAGTCTCGCTCTCGTTTGAAAGAAACAGGTGCTTGTGAGTCCCGAGATAAAAGCAGAGGTAACCTCCGTAGAGCATGAGAAGTACCAGTGACGTTCCTCGTGAGAAGGATAGCACTCTGTCATCAATCTCAGATACTGGGAAGGTTGAGTAGAGAGCCGTTGGGAGAAGCATTGTCACGGCTGTGATCATCATCAAGGAGGATAAGGTTTTTGCGAGGGCGCTATTGAACTCTAGAACTTCCTTGTTGTACGAAGCTGTGACGAGGCAGCAGCCAAAGACCTAGGTTTGGCTGTCAGTCAAACGATATGGATACCACTGGAACTTTTGTTATACGCGAACTTACGAGCAGGATATCTGAGAGAATACTGCCAACCATGACAGACTGTGCAAATAGGATCTCGCCATGTACCAGAGCCAGAATTCCCGCCTGAGCCGAGTGAGCATAAGACCATTTTGACACTTTGGGGAGGAATGGCTTACCGTAAGCTCTACAGTATTTCCGAATGTGGCACTGAGTAAGGCACCTTGCAGCTCCCCGAGATGCTCAGCGAGTTCATCAGATGAAATAGATATCGCCTCGGATAAAAAGACGATGGCGACGATATTCACGACGAGAACTATGATCGGATTCCAATGAAATATCTTCGCAGCTCCAGCCAGGGGTAGCAGTATCATCACTGGCCATCCGTGACTGATATTCAGTTCCTTCAATCCTGTTTGCGATGGCATCTCGAACAACCTCTGGATGCGAGTCCAAGGGTCTATATCATTCTGGATTTGCTGTTGAGACTGACTGGGTTGTCCACGGGACTCTGGCGTGCCTCGACGAGAGAGCATGGTAAGTCTGAAGAACGCTGTGTTCTCATCGAGTGTTGAAGCTTAAGTGCGACCCGCGACGGAAACTATGTGGGTAACCTGGGAACTGTGTTTCGCACGTTACCACGGTACAGATACGGGTAGTAACTTTCTCATTAATTAAAGTTACAGCCCTATTACTAGCGCAAAACCGAAGTGCGTCACGGAATGCGTTTGACACCGTAGGGCTGAACCGGCATTTAGCCGTTCGATAATACCGTATACTTTCAGGCAACAGCATTTGGTTATTTTGGTCTCAGCCTTATAGATTCTCTTTAAATAGTCTGTGGGATCGCCATATTACTGGCTTATTACTCGGGAAACACCCCTCCCTGGGTATTGTCATTAATCTCGAGCATTCGTGTTCCCCCCCACATCTTGGACAATGCGTTCACTCACAGTCTTCTTCCGAGTCCACCGGTCGCACAGCTCTGTCTTCATGTCTTCATCGCGATCAACCCAGCAATAATCCCAAGATCATTCAATACAGTGATTAAGAACTTATATTGTCAACACAATCAATAACTTTTCCCCGGGGTAGAATTATCCCCATTGTCCCGCTTGTGATCTATGGACAAACACCCTCCCTCTCTCGAGTCTCTCCAGAGGGAGGTCAGTGAACTCATAGCCATATATCATGGCCGAGGCCAGACGACCGAAGCAACATGCCTGGAGTCAGCACTGGCGACAGCGCGGAATCGGGTAGTCGCGATAGGCACTGATTCCGACCCAATGACAATAACGCTTGAAGAGTTAGCCAGGTGTGTGAAGGCATGGCTGCATGCCAAATCCTGGAATGTTGCCGAAGATCTAGGTCTTCTGGTGCTAAACTCCTGCGAGACCCTGAAGGGGGAGCGAGACCCGATGACCATGACAGCGATGCACAATCTCTCTTCGGCATATTGGGGCCGAAGGCAGCTAGATCAGGCTGCTAATCTTGCTCTCCGGGTGGTGAGATTGAGGCAGAGTATTCTGGGCGAGGAGGATCCTCAGACATTGGCTTCGATGGCGAATCTAGCTTCCACGTATCGGATTCAAGGGCATTGGGCCAAGGCTCAGAAACTTGACGCGAGGATTCTCGAGATGAAGAAGAAGACTCTCGGTCCCAGGGATCCATCCACTTTGAGCTCTATGTCCCATTTGGCTATATCGTATTCCAATCTCGGTCGATATGAAGAGGCCGAGACAATTGCGCGCCAACTGGTCAGTCTCGGAGAAAAAGAACTCCCTCCAACCGATGGCGCCCTGTTGAACTGGAAACTCACTCTGGCGTCGACCTACCGAGACCAGGGAAGGCTAGACTCTGCTGAAACGCTAGAACAGGAGGTTGTCGCTATTAGTCGGAGCATATTCGGCACAAATGATTCCTTCACTTTGACCTCCATGGCAAACCTTGCATCCACTTACCGCCAACAAAGCCGGTGGTCAGATGCCGAACGTCTCGAAAAAGAAGTCGTCGCTATTAGCGAGACCGTTCTCGGCGAAATACACCCCCAAACGCTGATGTCCATCAGCAATCTTGCCTCGACATATCGAAATCAGGGTCGGCTCGAAGAAGCCAAAAGTCTCGGGAGGAAAGCAACAGCTGTGCTCAAAGAAATTCTGGGGGAACGCCATCCATACACGCTAGTTGCCATGGCAGATCTTGCAGTGACATATCAAACGATGAAACAGTCACCAGATGCCGAGATCCTGGCAGCCCGGTCTCTGCGTTTAATGGAAGAGACGATAGGCAAAGACCACCCGCATACACTCAGTGCAATGGCCAATCTGGGGTTTATTTACCAGTCGCAAAGCAGGTGGGATGTCGCCGGTGAAATGGCCGAAACGGTACATTCTGGCAGGGAAAGGGCATTTGGGACGGACCACCCAGATACCGTGGCTGCGCTGGACGACCTGCGAAGAGTAGCGAGGGTAGAAGCTGCGGACCATAATGCACAGCGCACGTTGAATTAGACTCTCTTTTAAGCTTGGAATGTGGAGAGGCCTGGCCGAATGTTCCCAGCGCCATTAGTCAATACCTAGCCAATGTTAGCCATTTTCAAACAATTTTCTGAATCAGTGACCAATTGTCACGGATATTTAGCGCCGATGCACCTCTTATGAACCAGTTGGGTTGAGGGGATTCAGCCAGCCTCGGGCATTGACATGGTCTTCTGTCTTGCACAGCCTCCTTGCCAAGACTTGAAACTGTCAATAATCTTCTTGTGTGATGTGTGGGACTTTCGCTTGGGGAGCACAAAAGATAGCACAGCCCTGTAAGATTAGTTGCCTGTCTTTGGGTGAAATTTGGTTGTTGGTCGCATGGAGAATGAGGCCGGGAGTTTGTCGACCATCGGCATGACTAGTCAGAATCACTACCCAAAGGGGAAGACTCCATATTTATGACTAAATGAATGATCTGTGATGCGTGCCCCTGTGATATAAATGATATCGTCCCTAGCTGTTGCTATCTGAGCTCAAATTGACATATCGACATTGGGCGTGGCCAATATAGCGGTGGTATCTAATTTGAACGAAGAACCTTTCCCACCGGACTGTTATACCTGATATCCCGTCTCATTACATCAATTGTCTTGACTAGAAAAGTCGTGTGCATATATAATGCATGCTTTTTCCCACCTCTTCTGTCCGTGAAACCGAACCGAAAGGATTTTCTAAAAGCGTCTAAAAATACACTCGCAAAAGCCGGCCGGTGTTGTCTATTCTCAATTAATAATAGATCTACTCAATGGATAACCACAACATACACGTACGTTAGTACGTTTTCACATTCAAAACTCCCAAGATACGCCTGTATTTTACATTTCCCCCCTTTTTACGCGTATTTGTATTTCGAAACACATCTGTGCAGCGCACTTCAATGTTCCTTCCTCATTTTATCCATCTAATAATTCTCTCCCTATGACATTCTACATAAAATGATGCCAGCCTCGAAGGCCAATAGGTCTCATGTGTCTACTTTTTGGTCGCGGATGGTAAGTCTATCGATGCTGAAGCCAACAATGCGTGTCACTGATACCAGAAGGATCCGCGATCAAAACGTGCCACGGAACAATCTGCCCAACCGACTTGGTCAGATTTCTCGATTTTCGCTCTAGATCCCGACTCATTAAGTGATCTCGTACAGTCCAAAGATGTCCAGGGGCTCCATGCCCTCGGTGGGGTAAAAGGTTTGGAGGAACAACTACGAACCGACGTCCTCTCTGGTCTAAGCATAGACGAGACCTACCTGGATGCTCCTGTGAATGTCACTGCAAGTGCTACAAGCACTATACCAACAGAAAAAGCTGTTCTCCCTGAGCTTCGAATCCGGACAGAGCTTGATCACGATGCATTCGTCGACAGAAGGAAATTCTTCGGGGACAATCGTCTACCCATAAAACCATCCCCGAGCTTCCTGTCATTGATGTGGTCAGCCTACAATGACCACGTCTTATTCCTTCTAACTGGGGCTGCTATTATCTCGCTGGCTTTGGGGCTGTACCAGACATTCGGGACCAAACACACTCCCAACAACCCGCCCGTTGAATGGGTGGAGGGGGTTGCCATCCTCGTCGCGATCGTAGTCATTACCCTCGCCGGTGCTGCAAATGACTATCAAAAGGAGTACAAGTTCCGGAAACTCAACAAGAAACAGCAGGATCGCAATGTTTGGGTCCTTCGATCTGCAAGAATTCATGAGATCCCCATCTCCGAGGTTGTTGTTGGTGATATTGTCCACATCAGTCCTGGAGATATCGTGCCTGCAGATGGAGTATTGATAAGAGGTCATCAAGTCAAATGCGATGAGTCCTCGGCAACTGGCGAGTCGCGTCCGGTCGATAAAACCGCTATCGATGCGACTCGTCCTGATGACTCTCATGAGATCGACTCCTTCATCTTCTCTCATACCAAGGTTGTGGAAGGAGCCGGTGCATACCTCGTTTTGGCTACGGGCACAAAATCAAGCTACGGCAGAATACTCCTCTCTCTCGACACCGATCCAGGGTTCACTCCGCTTCAAGTACGGCTCAGCACTCTTGCAAAAAACATCGCCCGCTTCGGTGCACTTGCGGCACTTGTGCTCTTCGTAATCTTGTTTATCAGATTCTGCGTCGGTCTCCGGAACAGCACCGAGTCTGCCTCTGAAAAAGGACAATTGTTTCTGAATGTTTTCATTCTAGCCTTGACTGTCGTTGTGATCGCGGTCCCTGAAGGACTTCCCTTGGCAGTTACACTTGCATTGTCATTTGCCACTACCCGAATGATGAGGGATAACAACTTGGTTCGACAGCTCCGAGCATGTGAAACAATGGGACAAGCCACGGATATCTGTTCAGACAAGACGGGAACCCTGACACAAAATGAAATGACTGTTGTCGCTGGATTTTTCGGTGATAACTTACAATTTACTGATCGAGCCAGTAATCCGAATGTGTTGGAGGAACAAACGTTCTCATCTGTTGCAAAATGCATGAGCCGCCTCTCGGCTCAATCGAGGTTGCTTTTGAGGCAATCTATCGCGATCAACTCAGCTGCAGTTGAAAGTCAATGTGACGGACGTCGGCAGTTCCTTGGATCTCAAACAGAGGCTGCCTTACTTAGATTCTCCCAGGACTATCTTGAGCAAGGTCAGCTTGACTACGATCGAGCTAGTGCAGAAGTTGTAGATCTTTTGCCTTTCGATTCTTCTCGCAAATACATGGTCACAGTTGTAAGACTACCTAGCGGGCTGTATCGACTATATGTGAAAGGTGCTCCTGAGATTCTCCTTGAGAAATGCTTGACCACGATTGCACAGCCTATGCAAGGGCTTGACACCACTCCTATCACACAGGATGGAACTGATCAGATACTCCAAGAGATTTCTCAATATGCCTCCCGATCCTTGCGCACAATTGCGATTTGCTTCCGTGATGTAGAAGATCTGCCCTATAGGGGTGAGGAGGAAACTGTCGACTTCGATAATCTGATGAAAGGGCTTACTTTCCAAGGACTTCTGGGTCTACAAGACCCTCTCCGGGCCGATGCTTGGGGCGCTGTGGATACCAGCCATAAAGCGGGTCTCACTGTGCGCATGGTGACCGGTGACAACCTTCTAACAGCAAGAGCTATTGCAGAAGAATGTGGGATTATCAGCAGTTCAGATGATCTTGTGATGGAAGGCGATGAATTCCGTGCGCTGAATGAATCACAGCAGAGGGAGCTAGTTCTACGCCTCAAGGTTCTCGCTCGATCTCGCCCAGATGATAAACGGGTTCTGGTTCAACGTCTGAAGGATCTTGGGAGAGTCGTCGCTGTTACTGGAGACGGTACCAACGATGCTCCTGCCCTTGCAGCTGCGGATATTGGATTCTCAATGGGAATATCTGGCACTGAGATTGCTCGTGAGGCTTCTTCTATTGTCTTGCTGGATGATACGTTTTCTTCGATTGTCAAAGCTATCATGTGGGGGAGAGCAGTTGGCGATGCCGTTAAGAAATTTTTACAGGTAAGCAACGGGCTCTGCCAGCACGGCTTATCGATGGCTAGGTCGATCTAACATCCTTTTTCCAGTTCCAAATCACCATAACCTTCACCTCAGTGGGCTTAGCATTTGTCTCTGCAGTAGCCAACTCATCACAGGAGTCAGTTCTGACACCAGTCCAGCTCATGTGGGTAAACCTCTTTCAAGACACTCTAGCAGCTCTAGCGCTAGCAACGGACCCTCCTCCACGTCGGATCCTTGACCGCAAACCCGAACCAACATCTACACCTTTGATTACCCCTACCATGTGGAAGATGATCATTGGCCAGTCTGTATATCAGATGGTAGTAACACTGGTCCTGTACTTTGCGGGCTCTTCTATCTTTTCCTATCACACTGCTCTTGAAACATCACAGCTACAAACAGCTGTTTTTAACACCTATGTCTGGATGCAGATATTTAACATGTACAAGTATGTTGAAACTTCCATTGGATCTTTATGACCTACTAACCCCAATACAGCAATCGACAAATTGAACGATCATTTAACCTCATCGAAGGGATCCATCACAACTGGCTCTTCATAGCAATCACCTTCGTTATGATGGGCGCTCAAATCCTGATTATGTTCGTCGGCGGGCGGGCATTCTCAATCACGAAGTTGACTGGCGATCAATGGGCATATTCCGTCGTTCTTGGTGCAATATCAATTCCCATCGGGTTCATTTTGCAGGCTGTTCCTACTGTCGTCGTTGAGAAACCAATGGCAGGTATGGGGAGGCTATGGGATCGCTTGCGTCGTCGGTGATTTATTCTCCTTCCTTTCTTAATTTCTCAATCCACCTCACGAGCGTCTTTGAATCTTGCATGGCCATCCAGATGGAATAGCCGTAAATTGGCTTTTGAATACCCACTCTTTTTCAGCATCCACTTGCTCAATATCATAATCCCTTATCAGGGTTGTCATTAGTTTGAGTAGCTCAAATTGGGCAAGATTGCGACCGGGGCATTGGTTGTACCCGGCTCCCCACTGTGATAGATATGTTAGTTCATATGATTCGAACGATTGTGCGGACGTTATCAAATGCGCACATGAATCAAAAATGAGTCGATATAACTGGTGTCCGTTTGAAGCCAGCGGTCTGGATTGAAGCTGTCGCAGTCCTCGCCGAAGATCTGTGGATTACGGTGAAAGACCCAGGTATTTATACTGAGAACCACCTAAAATAAAAACAGCATTAAATCAAACGTCAATGTGTAAAGAGTCCGTGCAGTTCATCTTACTCCTTCGGGGAAATATATGCCGGCTATGGTCATCCCACCTTGTGGCACGACTCGGGGAAGGCCACCAACAGCAGCAGAGTGGAACCGGTACGTTTCTTTCAACTGTTGAGGAGAGTTAGCCAAAGACACTTGGACCTGACTGTTAACAAGTAGCAACTAACACAAGCCTGAAGAAACGGGAGCTTCTGCGCTTCATTATACTGCACCATGGGCGATAGTTCACCCCGAGCCTGAGCAGCATCAATCTCGTCACGCAATCGCTGCAGATAATGTGGATGACGCAGTAGGTAATAAATAAATGCTTGAGCCGTGGCACTAACAGTATCGGCCCCAGCCCCGATATTCGCAACAGCCGCGGCAAATATCTCGTTCTCAGCCATGCGATCAGGATACTTAGCCCGAACATCCAGCCAGCGCTGCATCATATCATTTCCTTTTTCAGGATTCTTCTTGCGCGCGTCTATAGCGGCAAGACAGGTATCGAAGATATGCGATGAAGGCTGGATGCCAATGCGACTCAGAAGCGGGTTTCCCAGCGTCAGGTTATGTATCCAGGTATAATGACCCATGACTGCGATGTAGAGGGCCAGGGCTTTAGTATTTGCAACCGCGTTTCTGATGTCTGTACCTGTTTCCACGAATCCGAAGGATTTCGAAAATGTTACTTCGCCCAACACGTCGAAGGCAAAGAAACTGAACCATTTGTCGAATTCTACCGCCTCGTTGCTTTTGATTAATCCATCGAGGCGTTCTTTGAGACAGTGGAGGATTTTGTCCACATGTGGCTCGGACTTGATGATGTTTGATAGTGCAAATCCGGCGGCTATGTTGCGCGACTTTTCGATGTGCCGTTTTGGGTTCAGTTCAGACATCTGATTCACATAATGGTAGTCCGGTAGACTGAAGATTGAGTACCATGAGCCCTTTTGATATGATAATTATTATCAGTTGTGTTTAAGATGGGGCCAGTACACACTTTCGCTATGTTTGCGTGGAGAAGCTGCTTTACTGCGTCCGGGTGAGAGACACTGACTTCATTCTCCGCAATGCGAACGAAATCCCCTGTTGCACTTGTTAAAACATGAGATTAAGAGATGAGGGATAAACTTACCGTGCTTCTTGTGTAGATCAATAAGCTCTTTCTCGCCATGACCTTTCCACAAATGGTAGACTAGCCATAGTTTCGAAAAAGAAGCCAAGAACGGACCTGGGATGTCTCGGATCGGCGTCCAATATTTGCGAATAGTCGCTCGTACGATGAACAAAATGATTATTAAGACACAAAATTTACTCAAAGTGAACAATGCCAGCATCCCGGACACAAGGGGAGGAACCATTGCAATTGACAACGTACACAGGTTCTCGTATGGAAGGGATGAGGTTTTATTTCTGGGAAGATTTGCGTGTGGGGACTGAATGCAATTGAACTCTTGACACAGACCATTCAGAATGAAATCTCCTATTCACTTCTCCTGAAGATACATACCTTTGCACAATTCTCTGCCGTCTTGCATTAATCTAAGCTGGAATAGTGAAAGCAACATGCATTAGCGTTGACGGATATAGGCGCTAGCACATATCGGTGATAGTCCTATGATATCACGATGATCTGATTCGTTAGCTGGATATATTACCAAGATTCCGGGCTGGAGATAATTGTGCACTTTCTCTGGGGCGAAGCCTTAGACAAGTCGGTTACAAGTTAGTATGTATGTAGTTGGACTAGGCATGCCAGGGGGTCTGCCTGATGACATCTGTTTCCCTTGGTAGATTTCAGAAAATGCAAACCATTCGTGAACTATCCTGTTGAGCAAAATGTCCTCTTCCGAATATTCGGCAGTCTTTCTGGCCGAGGATCGCCGCCAACCAGCAATTATTGGCATGGTCGTCGTGACCACGCTTTCACTGCTTGTCGTTCTTGTTCGCCTGTATGCTCGGGGATATCTGATCCATGAACTAGGGTGGGATGACCTCACAATCGTGATTGCACAGGTAAAGATGCTTAGCGTCCGATCACTTAGCTCATGCAGAGTTAACATTCATCTAGTTGGTCAGCTGGATAGTCTTGGGGCTTTCAATAATGGTCATCCATTATGGCTCTGGTCAGCATCTCGCGGCATTGATGAACGACCCAGAAACACTAGTGCACATGTATAAGTGGCTTGTTGGGGCTCAACTCGTGTATATGTTCAATTTGTGGTTGTGTCGCGTCTCCGGGATTGCCTTTTATGCTCGTCTCAACCAAATGCCGCGGTTTATCCTCTATCTCCGTATTTCTTTCGCTTTTGTGACGTTTGTGTATGTGGCGCAGACACTTATTGTTGCTCTGCAGTGTATTCCTCTCGCTGCTCTGTGGGGTGGCGCAGAAGGTAAATGCATGGGCTCGGTGACTGTTTTTATTTCGACGTCTGGACTGACTATAGCCTGTGATTTGCTTGTCCTGCTGTTACCAATCAACATTATATTCTCACTGTAAGCAACGCTAGTCAGAAAGTTGGGTTTAGCGCTTGTACTTTGCGTGGGAGTATTGTAAGTTCTCTTCTTTTTTTCTGAGGCAGACAACGAAATAAGATTGCTAATGTCGATATCCTTAGTGCGGTTGTGTAAGTACTTTCGGTTTTTCCGGTCACTGTCTATTAACTTACAGAATATAGAACTTCGATTCTCCGAATGGTGTCCATGATTGTCGCCCTCCGACACCCGGAGGACGCAACGTGGTATTTCTCTGTCGTGATGGTGTGGTCTACCACAGAGACCAGTGCCGCCATCATCGCTCTTTCTCTCCCAGCGTTACGAGCTTTGTTCGGGTTCTGGAGTAGAAAGCGATCGACGATGAATCATAGTGATTCGGATCAAACTAGGACGATTGGCCTTCAGACGATTTCGAGGTCGGCAAAGCATCTTATATCCGACGAGCATCATATTCATCAGGCAACATTTGATGTAGACTGGGGGACAAATCGGAGCCAGGAGACGCTTTGGGGTGTCAAGGATGGGAAGGTTCAAGTCGAGGATACGGCTCGCGTGGGTGTTGGGAAGCCTTCGTTCCGGTAGACAAATTTTCGTTATAGGGTTGGTGAACTCTTCTTGCATGTTTCCTACTGAGTCCATAGTCAGAGGGAAAGAAATGAATACTACACTCTGGTGGACCCTAAGAAACAATGCCCTGCAATTTTTTCCGCCATTCTGAGAACTGGTCAACGAGTGACTGTACAGTTCACTTTTTCTGTAAGGCTGTTTGTATCACTCGGGGTTGCCATCTGAACCCTAGCTCTTTTCGTCTCGAAAATAGTTTGCCAGAATCCAATGCGGTAAAAGAAAATGGTATGCTTGAGGTCAGCCTGTTGCCTCATGGATGTTATCCATTTAGCGAACCGGGTTGAGGCACACTACTAGATCATACGGTTTTCGGCGAGTAACTTTGCAAAAAGCAAGTACTGACTAGACAGAAACAATATAGCTTTCGTAAATTTTGCCCAAGAAGCCTCCTCGGGGATAGATTAGTGCAATTGATTCGTTCTTTCGACAAACTTGGTGGTCATGCGAGCCCAGGCTAAATTGACTAGATCGGAAAACTGAACTCGAACGCCCCTAATGAGTGGGGCCAACGAAAATTCCCGCAGTTGTTTTATATTATTAAATGTATCAGTCGACTTCCACCTGGGCAGATGTCCGATGTATACTATGTATATGGCACGTGGGCAAGTCGTTCTGTTGCTTCAGGATTTTGGCCGTTTCGGGCCAAAACCCTGGATCCGGCGAACCAGCCTGGGGGTTCATCTGGACCACTTCTCCAGTCTTTCGTCGCCACCAATTCCTGGCTTTGAGATAACAGTTTCCCACTCAGTCAAGCGTACTCTGGAGGGCACGTGCGCTCGCCTCGGGGCACCCGATCCACGGGGGAATCCTGTAAGCAAGATAATAAGAGAGATTTTCCAGAATAGCAACAAGCCATGGGATGGAGGTCTGGGGATGGACCTCTTATACACCCACGTGTGGACTTGCTGTACTCTCATAGGTAGAGGCGGGCCGTGCGCCTCCACACCCGCCAAGAGCCGCAACTGTCCAATGGTTGCCATTGGAGCCAATCAGAGCTCATCGTCACTTGAATTCCACTGAATCTACACCTAATCTGGATCCCTTCCATGGTGTGTCAATGTCAAAAGTTCCGCCCTGATACTTGCCAAGAGATTCAATTTGCTTGAGACCACAAGCTTGCGGAAACGAGCTGCCTTGGCTAGGCCTTGTTGCATTTACTTTTCGCCAAGCCCACGAGGGTCGATTGATGGGCTCCCATTGCGAGTAGGACAAGCACGTGTGGCCAGAATTTCCCAAATGGGAAGTTGTCCTAGGATACTTGCCACAGGGCCTATCGTGCAGAGGATAGAGGGGCCATATTAGAATCTTCCATGCATACATAAAAAGGCAGTCTTCTCTCCTTGGCCTTTGTTTCTCTTCTGTATCAGCGCCAAAGTCCAGTACTAAGCTTTCACTTGATACTAAGCTTTGTCTTGACTCTTGATATCACCTATCAAGATGTATCTTCACCAGTACGATTATATCTTTGCCATCGGCACGTTGTTTGCAATGCTTGATGCATTCAACAACGGTGCAAGTGAGTGTTTCCCTTATGTTCTTACTCATTGACTTCGATTAACCATTGCATGTTTCACAGACGATGTTGCCAATTCTTGGGCTACAAGTGTCTCCTCCCGTTCCATCTCCTACCGCCAGGCTATGATCCTCGGTACCATCTTCGAATTCGTCGGAGCTGTCGCTGTCGGTGCCCGTACCGCTGATACTATCAAGAACGGTATCATTCCCAACTCAGCTTTCAAAGATAATGCCGGTGTTCAAATGCTCGCCTTCACATGTGCCCTTGCCGCTGCCTCCTCATGGGTGATGTGGTGTACCAAGAACTCCGCCCACGTCTCCTCTACATACTCCCTTATTTCTGCTGTCGCCGGTGTCGGTGTTGCAACTGTTGGCGCTTCCCAGGTTCAGTGGGGCTGGAACAACGGCAAGGGTCTCGGTGCCATCTTTGCTGGTCTCGGCATGGCTCCTGTCATTTCCGGTTGCTTTGCTGCTATTATCTTCATGTTGATCAAATACACCGTGCACGTGCGGAGAAACCCTATCGCCTGGGCCGTCTGGAGTGCTCCTTTCTTCTTCCTGGTTGCCGCCACCATCTGCACACTTTCCATTGTGTACAAGGGCTCGCCTAACCTGGGCCTGAACAAGAAGCCCGGTTGGTATGTGGCTGCTGTCACTATGGGCACTGGCGGTGGTGTCTGCCTTTTGTCTGCCATCTTCTTTGTTCCTTTCCTCCACTCCCGCGTGATCAAGAAGGACCCCAGCGTGAAATGGTGGATGATTATCCAGGGCCCTCTGCTCTTCAGCCGTCCCGTTCCCACAGATTCTGAGGTCTCCAAGGTCCCCAACTACGCTGTCGTGCAAGATGATCCCGAGGAGTATGAGCCTCACCTGCCCATTGATGAGAAGGAGCCCAAGGTCGGTGCTGCCTCCATCCCTAGCTCTACAGAGGAGCGATCCGTCGAGAAGCTCGAGGCCAATCAGCCCACCTACCGCGAGCTCATGGCCCAGTCTGAGGCACGTCACAACGCCAAGCTCCTTAAAAGCCGTGGTCCCATCGGCTGGGCCATGCGTCTTCTCCGCGACAACCCCATGGGCCCCGGTGAGATCTATGAGATCCGCAACATGAAGCGCATGATCAAGCGTCTCCCCGCCATCATTACTGTCGGTCTGCTTTACGGTTTCCACTACGACATCCACACTGCCCAGAGTGGTAACGAGGGTACTCCCGAGGGTGAGCGCATGAAGCGTGTCTATGCCAACGCCGTCAAATACCCCAACGAGGTCGAGCACACATACTCCTTCATCCAGATCATCACCGCTTGCACTGCTTCTTTCGCCCACGGCGCCAACGATATCGGAAACTCTGTCGGCCCCTGGGCTGCTATCTACTCCGCTTGGTCCACTGGTACCCCCGCTGCCTCCAAGTCTCCCGTGCCTGTCTGGCAGCTTGCTGTTCTGGCCATTTGCATCTCCATCGGTCTCTGCACTTACGGATACAACATCATGAAAGGTAGGCCCTCCTTCCTTTTACCATTTTTTCAATCTTCATTTTTACTAACTTTCCTCTTAGTCATGGGTAACAAGATCACCTACCACTCACCGTCCCGTGGATCATCCATGGAGATGGGCGCCGCCATTACGGTGCTGGTCTTCTCACAGTTTTCCCTGCCCGTTTCCACCTCGATGTGCATCACTGGTGCCACCGTCGGTGTTGGACTTTGCAACGGAACTATCAAGGCCGTCAACTTCCAGCGTGTCGGTCTCTTGTTGTTTGCTTGGATCATGACCATTCCCATCGCTGGTACCCTTGGTGGATGTCTGATGGGCTTGATTCTCAACGCTCCTCATTTCCTCACTGTTTAGGCATTTGTTTTGACATTTTTGATTCCCCTTTGAAAATTTTTGAATAGCGCGCATATTTTACTTAATTACACTTTTGGAAATACCAATTTAGATTCTGAACAGTCAAATCAGACTCGATCATTCACGATCCATTCAACAATTAGTAGTGGCTCATATGGCACTATGGTTGGAAATAGAAGACATTCGCTTGAGACTAATGAGTACCAATTGATAATTCTAAGTTTACCTTGCAAGACCAGCAAGAATGATTGGCCGGTTATGTGATCCTATTATGTGTCTTCAGTGGCTTGTTCAGATTTTCTGTTTGGATTTCTGGTTTTATGGTATTTTCTCGCCCTTCTCGGTTTTGAACAACATCAGTACAGAGTAGACAGCAGAAAGAAGGCAAGTAGAGGCTTAATTGGTAACATCCAACTTTTAATCATAGGGCCAAGAGTGAAAAATTAAGGGAGCCATGTCAATTCGTCCAACCAAAAATTAGAGGCAAAAAAAATTAGAAGGGGCAAAAAATAGTTTCCCTGGGAATCGAACCCAGAACCTTTCCGGAACATCTGCTAGTCGCATTTGTTAACGGAAAATCATAACCGCTAGACCAGGAAACTGTTCAGCCACTTGAGCCAATTGATGAAAGAGTGAGCCATATTTGACATTATGAATCAATCTTTGTCTTCAACCTTTCTTAGGGCTAGAAACGAAAGCGCTACATTGTTCCTTCTCTAGACATTACAAAAATGCGTTGTTGCTTTATGGGCTCCACTGCTTTATTTGGTACAATACATAAATTAGGACCGAAAGAAGGGGCAAAAAACATTGAAACGATTCATACATATATTGTCACATGCAGTTACATATTCTGGGTAGTCTGTGATTCATAGTTCCCAACTTACATCTCCTCGGCAACCTTGAGCAGCTCATGTCTTTCTCTTTGCAAGTAATCATAAGTGACAATCTTCCGACGAGCATCCTGTTCGATAGATTTCCACTCCTCGGGAGAAATAGTGATCTCACCATCCTGTTTCGGAAAAATGGTCATTGGGCGACTGCGTTTTGCCAAGCCGACTTTGAAAAACCCGAGCCGGAACTGGGTCTGCTTTGTCGGTTCGTGAGGGATTCCAAACACAAATGGTTCTTTGGGTCGTTCGTAAGGTTCTCCATTGAGTGCTGACGTGAGGCCCATCTGAAAACATTCTTGTCTGAACCGGGCCCGGGCCGATCCCGCTTCGGGCATTTCGTACGCAGCTTGATCAGTCGAAACTTTAGCTGGATCTGTGGTCGGCTTAGTGGAGGGCTCTGATTGCTCGAGTTCATCGGGTACGCTTGGAGTATTTGCTGACTTGTCACCTGTGGCACCATCTGTGTTGACACCTCCAGTGCCATCTGTACTATCTGTAGGGCCTCCGCTGTGTTCATCTTCGAACTCATCCTCAGAGTCGGTATCGGTGTCAGTGTCGGTGTCATTATCAGAATCGCCCCAAGACTCGTACCCAAGCTCTTCTGCAAGGACCTTTCCAAGAACCTGATTATGCGAGCTCGTCTCGTTGTCGATTCCTTGCTGCAGATGCCTATCGTCCACCTTCCGTTGAATCGGCACCTTACATCGGGGTTTTCTGATTTTAATAAGCGGACGTTGCTTAATCAAAGGTAGTTGTAATTTGACGAGAGCCCCCTTCCAAGTCCTCAATGGTCGCTTGCGTTTGGTTTCGGTCGAGACAGAGTTGTTTTCAGTCTTATCAAATTTCACTTGGGACAAGATAGCCTCGTCATGAGCACGAAGTCTTGCAGCCCGAGTATACTCACTGATTCCATGCCTGGTGACATCCAGGAAGAAACTCAGGTCCTGGCATTCGACGCCCTCTCTCGGATCCATGGCGCAAGGGTTCGCTTTCACAAAGTGCTGATGAGCTTTGCTCATGTTTCCGCGCAGAAACTCAACCCGACCCATCCAAAACTCGCACTTAGCAACGAGAAGGGGATTTCGGGATCTATCTGCAGCTTGCATGGCGAGCTTGACCATAACTTCGGCTTCGGCAGCATTTTGGTTGCCAATGAAGTTCGAGGCTGGTAAGAGATAAGACCCAACCTCAACCCGGTGGTACACATGGGAGATGTCTCCAGTAGTTAGCTCGATGGACATTTTCTTGATGATACTTGCAAGATTCTTGAGCTTTTCTTCCCGTAAAGCGCGGGCTTCCTGTATGAGCGCCTGCTCGTCTTGAGAAGAGAGGGGAGGTTTGGTCTGACAGGAGCCCTCATAATTGCTCGTCTGGAGTGTGTTGTTGGACATGATCGAAAGACCGGCTTATCTCGAATAGGGCCTTGGGGGTGGATCTTGGTAATTTGTCAAATACGATATGAAACGATTGCTGCTAAACATGCAATCCGCAGATACTTCAGATAAAAGAGACCGAAGAGAATATTGATACGTATTTGGGGAGGTTGGTGAAGGGAGATAGCAGTCAAGCGAGAAAAAGTGGCTTTTATGTACTTCATTGACGCGTCGACAAGAAGGACAACAAACGCGTTCAAAGGCATTTGATCAAGACAAATTTGGGACAAAGCCAGTTGTCTCCAGGGATACCGAGACCTATGTCGTTCTTTCCTTTGTTTCTCTCAATCCCATTGTTAACCTCGCTGAAACCGAAACGAGCGGATTCTATCATTCGGCTTGCTTTGTCTTAACGACTGACTTAACTTGTATATGCCGAGTAATAAATCAACGGTCATTCTCATGGCTATGTAGTACTGAGTATTCTCCACTAGTTCATATGTAGCCCTAGAGATGTTGTTTTTGACTCGGTCAAGACATAGATACTTTGTACTTTAGAAAGAAACTGTGGCTGGTGGACAGCCATGGCAAATCACCTAGACTAAGTTTAGTTGATTACAATTTACTCGAACCTGAAGGATGAAATTGTGGAAATTGTTGATTGGAATATTTTTTTGCGGAAGCATTATTCATCAGCCTGAGATTATCACAACAGGATATTCCCATGAAACAATGTTGTTTGGGCCAATCTATCTAAATCGATAAGCTCGAAACGCACCCATGTACGATACCCAGCAGCTCCGAACTTCATACCCTCCCACGCCCCTCAAGTAACCCAACTCTCGCTATTCCCCCTTTCCAACTTGATTCCCAATTTCAATCTAACATTCTCGGGACTAATTCAAGAACCTAACTGCGTATCGCGAGAGTCATGTATCAATGAACGAACCAGAGGAATTACCGAAGGAGCGACACCAAATCAAACAATACATTCTGTACCTCAGAAATCGGTTGTATTTTCAAGATGAGTCGCTATATTCCCAGTCTAGTAATGCGTGAGTAGATGCTGCTGCTGAGTGATCAAACTCAGCGGCCTCTATGCGGGTAAATCCAATGATGGCCTCCCTTTGAAGCTCACGGGCCTTTTCGCTGTAGCCTGGTATGTCCAGTGCTTGCGAAAGCGACCAGTAAGCCTCTGGGAACCTTTCAAATTTCATGAGATTCGCACCTTTGATAAAATAAGTAATCCCCGCGATGATGCTAGACTCTGGGTTGTTTAAGACGGCATAACACATGTTCATCTGTACCACTGGTTCTAGGCTCGTCATGGACTCTTCATACTGACAAAGAGAGTGTTGAACGGCAGCGATAAAGAGCCGGCACCGCATCTCATCAAGTTCGCACAAAAAGGGGTTATGGCTAATGACCCGTGAGGCAAGCTCTATTGCAAGCTCTGGGTCACCTTGTTGCCACCGCTCTTCTGCGCCTAACAGTAATGAACTACTGTATGAACAGAGCCAGATATCATTGATAGATGTTGACATTATCTTTGAGGGTGAAACTGTTCTAAGAATGTTAGATTGAAATTGGGAATCAAGCTGGAAAAGGGGAGTAACGAGAGTTGGGTTACTTGAGATAGTGTGTGCGAGCATCAAATCGTGCTCTACAAGACGCGCCTGAAGATCATGCACTGCATTGATGGCTCTAGACAATGCTTGTTCTAGCTCGGTCTTTTCGTGGCCCCCTTGGTCAAGGTCAACGTAGTCCTTGGGGGCGGACCGTCGGGACTTGTTGATCTTACGGAGACGTCGAAAAATGCTAGCCATAACTGCAATGGGATAACTCTGTTGTGATGTTGTCAAGCTGATGAATGGGGGGTTTTTTTTTAAGATGGTTCTCTCAGACTTTATATACCCGTCTGTCGAGGAATTGCCGGGGTGGCTTCCAAGGAAAACTTCACACCGGTGAAAGAGATCGTTGTTTCTTTGGCAACAATTTTATTGTGAATAGACTAAGAGGTATTTATTTTGCTTTGAAATAAAGCAATGCTTTGTCTCAATCTTATGTACTAAACAAAGACTGGCAAATCTTGGGCAAACCAAGCAAAAGTTGCAAACAGGCAAACCAAGCAAACACAATAGACAAACCGAGCAAACTTTACAAAAGCGACAAACGCATACCGATGACATCATGAATCCCCATCTACAGCACTTCCACTGGCAAGATGCAACCGCAAAGTGGAATACTCGGCATCAGCTTTGAGCATAGCTAGGATGAGTCAACTGTTGGTCTATTCTGATTTGTCCAATTTGAAACTACGGATATTTCCGCAACAAGCCGCTTACACGATCAGGCCATGAATCTAGACTTGCGGGGGTCCTGTTGCAAACACACTCAGCAAGACAAAACCGGGTTAGAGGCCAATATGCACCTTAAATTACATTTATAAAGTCTGCATAGCGCGCCTACCAAGAAAGCAGATATTTCCCTCTTTTCCCGCCTTTTCTATAGACCGCGTCGTCATATCAACTACAGTGCATACCCGCTCTTGCTGTTCTCTAATAATTTGTCATAGAGATTTGGTACCTTGGAAGGCTGGTCAGGTACGGATCCCTTCAAAGGTTTGGAATTCATTCCCGATGTTTTCCACTTTTACTTGCCCAAGACCAGTCCCTGCCTTTTTATTTACTGCGCTCGCTTCTCAACTGACACACCCCCTCAGTCATGTCGCCTACCGCACTCAGAAATGTCGATACGGTAGAGATTGTGAATATCCATCGAGATGACATGGAATTCTCTCTAGTCGATGATATCTACAAGAACCTGGACCCGCCAGCAGGCAAACCTCGCACATTCCCTACTCTTCTCCTTTACGACGCCAAGGGATTGAAGCTCTTCGAAGAGATCACCTACTTGGATGAATACTATCTTACCAACACGGAGATCGAAATTTTGACCAAACATGCGAAGAGGATAGTTGCACGCATTCCGGAAAATGCACAGTTGGTGGAGCTCGGCAGTGGGTCTGTGATCCCTGAACGCCGCAACCGTCGCTTCCCGCGACTGGATGATCTTGTCCATTCTGACAATTATTTTTCAGGAACTTGCGCAAGATCGAGATTCTACTTCGGGAGTGTGAACGGACCGAAAAGAAAGTAGACTATTATGCTTTGGACCTTTCATTGGTAGAGTTACAGAGAACATTCTCCGAAATCTCACCTGGGAGCTTCATCCACGTAGGTTTCCATGGTCTCCATGGAACGTACGATGATGCTGTCGGCTGGCTGAAAAGGCCAGAAAATCGGAAGCGACCCACAGTGGTCTTGTCTATGGGATCATCCATGGGCAATTTTAGTCCTTCAGGTGCTGCGGAATTTCTTGGTGGTTTTTCTAAGCTCTTGGGCCCATCCGATTTCATGCTGATTGGATTGGATGCGTGCAAAAACGCGGACAAGGTGTTTAGGGCCTATAACGATGCCAAAGGCATTACTCGCCAATTCTATGAGAATGGCCTCCAGCATGCCAATACGGTTCTTGGGTTCGAGGCTTTCAAACCTGAAGAATGGGAGATCTTGACGGAATATGATACACATGAGGGTCGGCATCAAGCATTTTATGCTCCGAAAGTTGACGTGGTCATCAATGGGATCAATATTCTCAAAGGAGAAAAGCTCATCTTTGAAGAGGCATGGAAGTACGGTCGCAAAGAACGAGATGAGTTGTGGCGCAATGCAAACCTCATTTCCCAAGTTGAATTTGGGAACTCGACAGATGATTATCGTGAGTCCAGAAATTTTGGCTGGATCGTCGCCGCAGGCTGCTTACTTTTCTCCAATAGATCTCCATCTCCTATCGCCCGCTGCGCTTGATGTGTCTCTGAAACCTTCGAAATATGCAGCCCAACCGATCCCGAGCATCGAGAACTTCCAGTCTCTATGGACTGCATGGGATCTCGCGACTAAAACCATGGTCCCTCGCGAGGAGCTTTTGTCCAAGCCCATCAAACTCCGAAATGAGCTAGTATTTTATCTTGGCCACATTCCGACATTTTTTGGTGTGTCTCCAATGTTCAAAGTTGCTTATCATATTCAACGCTAATCATGCTGGCACCCAGATATTCATCTCGCACGGGCTTTGCAGGAAGAGCCCACTGAGCCTAGTCATTATAGACTCATCTTTGAGCGCGGCATTGACCCAGACGTCGAAGATCCACAGCAATGCCATTCCCACAGCAAAATCCCCGACGAATGGCCGCCTTTGGACGAAATTCTTGACTACCAAGATAGAGTGCGGAATCGTGCACGTTCGATCCTACAAGAGGGATATGCGTCAGAAGACCGCGCTCTTGGGGAGGCTCTTTGGATTGGGTATGAGCATGAAGCGATGCATCTCGAGACTTTCCTCTATATGCTACTTCAGAGTGATAAAACTCTTCCTCCCACAGGAGTTGATCGCCCGAATTTTGAGCAAATGAGTCACCAGGCGAAGAGAGACGAAAAGCCAAACAAGTGGTTTAGCATTCCACGCCAGACAATCAAAATTGGATTGGATGACTCCAACAATGAAGTCATGCCAAATCAATCGTTTGGATGGGACAACGAGAAGCCCCAAAGAGAGGTCACTGTGCATGCCTTTGAAGCTCAAGCCAGACCCATCACCAATGGTGAATATGCCAAGTACCTGCATGCCAAGGGAATTCAAACGTATCCCACGTCCTGGCTGTCATGCCCGGGTCAAGACAAGCCTATTTCCAAGGGCATTGGCTCCTCAGGCGCCTCCGCCGGTTCGAGCTCCAATACTGCGGCATTTCCTCTGGAGGACTTTGCAGTTCGAACTATGTTCGGACCTGTGGCCCTTCAAGTCGCACAAGACTGGCCATTGATTGCTTCCTACGATGAAGTAGCTAGCTATGCAAAGTACATGCAATGCAGGATCCCCACGTTTGAAGAGACTAGAAGCATATATCACTACTCGGACCAACTCAAAAGCCATCAAATTACGGATGGCTCCAGGTATGGAAAAAAATTGTTGTCTCCATGTAGGAGAAGCTAACTCATGAATAGTAATGGGGTCAATGGGTTTGCCAATGATAGCAAGCCCAGCTCTACTGATCAGACTGTTTTCCGTGATCTTACCGGGTGTAATGTTGGTTTCAAAAACTGGCACCCTGTTCCTGTCACACCCAACGGGGATCATTTGGCCGGCCAGGGCGAAATGGGAGGTGTTTGGGAATGGACTAGCACACCATTGATGCCGCATGATGGCTTCAAACCTATGGACATCTACCCTGGATACACATGTAAGTGATACCTTGAGCATCGACGCCGAGCCTCAACTGATTGATATCTATAGCGGACTTCTTTGATGGTAAACACAACATCGTTCTCGGGGGCTCCTGGGCTACTCTCCCTCGTATTGCTGGCCGGACTACTTTGTGAGTGTTATAATAAGCCCCATGATATTCTTGGACTAACACATTTTAGTGTCAATTGGTATCAGCATAACTACCGTTATACATGGGCGGGTGCACGTCTAGTTAGAGATCTATAGAGATTGAGCAATGTATAAATGAGCCCCTGGAGATATCCACGGGTGCGCCAAGTGGAGTGTTGACAATCCATGGATGACCTCATTGTCGCGATAAGAGATAACCTGTGGGGGGTGTAACGTGACTGCCCCTCATCCCTTCCCCAACATCTTCAATTCCTCTTCTCTTCATCTTGAATAACCTTGCATTATGTCGTTGGAAACTATTAAGACTATCTCCCCCGCCACCAATGAGCCTGTTGTCACCCGCACCGGTGTCTCACCGGAGGAGTTGAAACAGATTCCCGTGGACGCTCAAGCAGCTTTCTGGTCATTCTCACAGTCCACAACTTTGGAGCAAAGACAGAAAATTGTGGAACGTGCTCTTGATATCTTGGAAAAGAAGCAGGATGAATTGGCACGTGAGATTACCGAGCAGATGGGCCGGCCCATCGCCTATACTGGTGTCGAAGTGGCGACCGCCATCAAGCGTAGTCGTTACTTGACTCGTATCAGCACCTCCGTGCTAGGCGAGCAAGGAATTGTGCCCGGAGAGGAGGAGAAGGGGTTCAGACGGTATATCAAGCGTTCACCTGTCGGCGTGGCGTTGATCATCTTCCCGTGGAACGTGAGTCCAATCTTGTCAAGACATTAGTATACGTACAGCCTGCTGACAAGCTAACATAAAGTACCCCTACCTCACCCTTGTCAACAGCTTGATTCCCGCTATTCTTGCTGGAAACGCCGTTATCCTTAAGCCCTCCCCCCAGACTCCAACAATCGTCGAGCAATTTGCCTCTGCCTTTGCCGAGGCTGGTCTTCCCGAAAATGTGCTTCAATTCTTCCACTGCGGATCTTTTACATTCATTGAGACATTGGTGCGATCGCCACTAGTGAACCATATCTGTTTTACAGGTTCCGAAGCTGGTGGCCTGGCAGTGCAAAAGGCAGCATCTGATCGAATTGTGAATGTTGGTCTCGAACTTGGTGGCAAGGACCCGGCCTACGTGCGAGATGATGTGGATCTTGCCTGGGCTGCCGAGGAAGTTGTAGATGGTGCTATATTCAATAGTGGACAAAGCTGCTGTGCGATCGAACGTGTCTATGTCCACGAGAAGGTCTACGATGGTTTCATTGGTGAGGTGAAGAAGGTCCTGAGCAACTACCGTGTCGGCGAGCCTTCCGATCCCAAGACCCAAATCGGACCTGTTGTCTCTACTCGCGCGAAGGAGGCTATTCTTGCGCAGATCGAGGATGCGGTGAAGAAGGGTGCGAAGAACGAGACTCCTTCCAATGAGACCTTTGAGAACCTCCCTCCCAATGGAAATTACGTCAAGCCTACACTTCTGACCGGGGTTAATCATGATATGTCTGTGATGAAGGATGAAACCTTTGGACCTGTGATTCCTGTTATGAAGGTCTCTGGTGACGACGAGGCCATTCGTCTCATGAACGATAGCGACTTCGGTCTTACTGCCAGTGTTTGGAGCAAGGACGTTGCGGCAGCCGAAAAGCTGGTTGAACATGTTGAGGCTGGTACCGTCTTCGTCAACCGATCTGACTACCCTAGCCCCGTAAGTGTGGCTCTTTCCATTTATTATTGTCGCCCTTTGCTAACTGAAGTACCCTATAGGACCTTGCCTGGACAGGCTGGAAGAACTCTGGCCGAGGTGTCACCCTTAGTCGATTCGGGTTTGAGCAGTTTGTTAAACTGAAGAGCCACCACATCAAGGATTACCCCAAATAAACAAGTGCATGTGATATAAATTGCAATTGATCCGTTGATAGAAGGTATTCCATAGATTACTATTCCGCATTAATGAGTCCACGGGTAACACAGAGTATACTCGGCTCTACGCGCGGCCCGACTTCTCGGTAGTTGGGCCGCACGGGTTGAATGCAAGAACTAAGAACTGCTACATAGTTGTAGTTCAATGCAAAATGTGCGTTTTCTATGGGAAACACATACAAAGGGTACTTCAAAATATGGATATCAACAATCCCACTGCTTTTTTTGCTCGGGCTCAACCTTTTCCATGCAACCAACTGGCAGGTTTTGTCGTTCCGGCTATCTTAGCCTGTTTTAGCCTGTTTTAGCAAGGTTTGATTATCATTGAAATGATAAATGTATTTATAAACTGCAATGCTCCCAACACCGTAACTCGCTTCATCCGTAATTTCAACGCTGAAGCGAAAATTCTATCAGATCTCAAGGCCCTTGTCATGTCGTCAGTCCCAATGTCAGAGGACAACCCCTTCCAGTCTTTGATTGTGGAGGCAAATCACGATCCGGTAAGTGGATGCCAGAATTTTGCTGTAATATCAGATCTTTGACCCGTTCCCGTTACAATAATAGGCAATAATACAATCTCGATACGAAAACCACCGAACAACTCGTAATAGCCAGCAAAGTGCACTGATCCTAGCCGACAGCTTTCCTGGCTGGTCCCTTGACCAGATTCTGAAGCGGCTTGATGGTCCCGAAAAGGAAGACGGATTTGTCGATCCTCGAAACTGTCTTGTCATCTGGGCCAGACCCTCGCCTCAAGTTCGCGACCTGATATCCTTTATTCAAAATGAGTTGAAACCCATTTTCCCCTGTAAGTTCACCATTATACAGATATTCCCTTCTAGTTATTGATTTCTTAACATGCGTGGCTCTAGCACTCTGGCTCATGCCACCTGAAAACCTTCACATCACTGTCTTGGAAGCCGCTCATTCTCTAACGGAAGAGCAAATCGAAGACCTTGTTCAGACACTCCTCTCATCCAAAGACGTCACGCCTGCAGATATTGCAGCGTACCCACGCAGCCATGCTACACGTCTCATCAAGCCTATGGTAAGCTTTGATTCGGCCGCACTGGCGCTCAGCTTTGTTCCGGCTGCTGGCGAGTGCCTAGGAGCGGAGCCTAGCAGCAATAACGAGCAATACACATATCATCACCTCCGTCAAGATGTCTTTGACATGGTCCGACAGGCCAAAGTCCCTGTGGCTTCGCGTTATATTTTTCCCTCGGCACATCTCACTATCGCAAGGTTCATCTCCCATGACGGCTTTACGTTCAAGGGATCAGATGGCACAGAGACAGTTGATCATTTGCGCGTCAAGCTGTTGATCGATAAAATTGGTGAGATTAATCAGAGATTGGAAAATGAGTATTGGCCTAAGAAAGGTGCCATCAGGGAAGGAGGTGAATGGACTGTTGGGCAAGAGGGCCTAATCATTCGGAGAGGGCGTGTCTGGTATGGAGACGGCGAGAAGCTGCCGGTACTCTAGATATTAACCTGAGCAAATCAAGATCTATAGCACTAGTTCTAAGATGGACTTTCATGGTGATTCTACCCGCACCGAGGTTCATGGTGAGGCCTTCCTCGGCGGGCCGTTCTTGCCGCTTGTCATGTTATGCATAGGGCGTAGACTTTATCGCTTGAAAATATAGATCCAAACAAGATATATCTTGACAACTATTGGGTGCTTACTCAATCCTAGCATTCCGTAAAGTCCATAAATGGGGCCCCATGGCCCAACCCGCAGTGCGCTATGGGCTATGATGGGCTATCTACATATGGGGACCCATAATAGGCCATCATAGCCCATTAACGGGATCTTGGCTCTTCTAATCACTGTATCCTAGCCTCCTACTATCTTTTTAGAGTCTAAAATTCAGTGTATAAGCTCAAAATCGCTATTTCAATTTAGAAATCAATTTTAAGAAAAGTTTGACCAGTAAAGGTCGTGATATTGCGAAAAATGCTCAGTATTGATATTTTAATACTGGATATACGTATATATCAGATCAATGTGGGAGTGAGTACGGAGTACGCTTCGTAGCAAATTTTGGTAATTTAAACTATTCTTAATCAACGCGTTTTCTCGTATAGTTTGACATGATAAGTAATTTAGCTTAGTACTCATAAATTTTATATTTAGATGATAAAATATTACTACAATACAAGTGCTCATTACTGGGATCAAACATAGTGTGATTAATTTTTCAAAATGTTTTGCTGTCCTTGGTGTTAATTGGGCTTAATGGGCCCCATCTATTGCGACCAAATATATGAACCCTGGCGAGCGGCAACCCGCATTTAGGTCTAGTCCCACTTTGCCTTCGCTTATAGCACACATTTGGGTCAACCATCCAACAGCACGGCCGGCTGGCCCAATGGCAAGGCGCTTGACTACGAATCAAGAGATTGCAGGTTCGATCCCTGCGTCGGTCAATCTTTTTGTTCTTTTGCCCTAGGTAGGGAATCTTTCTGCATGATGATTCTTTTTTAGTGATGCTGGCCGTGGCACATAGAAACTTCAAACGCAACATGATGTGTTTGCCAAATCTATATAATAACCACGCTTTCTCTTATATAGAGGGCTTGCCCGATTGATTCGATATTTTTACGACATGACGTTTCTGGGGAGAATGGGCTAGAAACACTGGAAGTGGTGGGATTTTTGGAAAAAGAGAGGTCATTATATTCAGTAGATGTATTCATTCTATTCAAATTGGGTGTACCTATGAAACAGTAAAAACAGACAGAGACAGAATTGTGGTCAACCTGTGTAAAATGAAGTCGATAGAGCGAAAATATATTTCAGAGATCCAGAGTGAAAAAACTACATCGATAATGTAAAGCTCACTGCACAGGCAATATTTACCAGAGCATCCATCTAATCAAACCCTCGAAGCAGTGATCATCCTCAGACAGATCAAAATTTTCACTGAGCTCATTGCGCTCACTTAGAGCTTCAACTTTGAGCTGTTTAGCAGAAACGGCGTTACCCAGTTGTCGCCCCGAGATCCCGAGAAACCATAATGCCCGAGCGAGATGCCCCTGCATTTCAGATACACCTCGGCTCATGTTGACAATGGCGCGAAGCATCTTTGTAGCTAAAGCATCACTGTTGCCAGCTACTAACGGCTTGATGTATACTATTCCAGCCAGATTCTAACACGCTTAAGCCTCATATAGGCAATTCCAACGAGTGAAGATATTAGAATGCTAATTTGATCAAAGTCTCTTTGTAGTGAGAGGATGGATATCTGTTGACGCCCTCTCAAATACAGAACAAATTAGTCTTAATTAGGCACGGATTTCAGCAAAGCGCCAAGGCCATCCAATATTGATCATGTTCCCTTCACACAGTATTTCGAGTGAGGTCCACCGAAAAGGTCTGGCCTCGAAAATCCATTGCTAGGGGAATTCTTATTTGATCATCGGATATATCCTACAAGTGACAACTTTCATTGTCCAACCTCAATCCGGAGTCAGAGTCCAAACTGCGTGTATGATCTTATACAAGCATTCACCCAAAGGCTGCGGACGCTCTCCCCATCTAATCCAATAAGCTCCTCCCTACTCATTTGCCCCCACTACGTTGCATCATGGCAAATGATAATTTGTTCTATATATATCTAAGCTTGTGCCTGGATCTCGGTACCCCTGTACCCCTATCTTGGTATAGCCTTCTTTTTGCCTAGCGGCGCCAATTATTATTCTTTGGCTACTCTTATACTCCAGTATATATGCAAGCTTGTTAGGCTAAATCTTGACTCGCTCCGGTGGCCACATAGAAGCGGATATGCTCGATGGATCTAAGTTCGTAAGCCGTTACACAACAGTTAAGGTGCTAGTGCCTTTGGCATCATGTTTACCTATCGTACTGGTCACAAATCTCTGTCTCTCTTCTGTCCTCAGTCACTCATTCTCATCGTCTAGAGAATGCGATCCTCTGCCAGCTGGAAATATCTCCGATCATGTGATCCGAATATCCTACCCCGCTCCTGACATGGTCCTTTGACTCTCCAAGGGAAATATCATATACACAAGAAGCATTCAGCATGTCCATTACCCACATTGTTCTGTTCCAATTCAAAGCAGGTCTGGCTGCTGAAGTCATCCAAGACGTACGCATAATCACAAGATCTCAATTCGTCATATATGAATGTGATCATGAGCCAGAAACTGCTTTCAATCAATATTGACAATTGCCCTCAATAGGTCTGCGAGCGTATGCTTGCACTGAAAGACAATTGTGTCCACCCCACCTCACAAAAGCCCTATATCAAATCCGCATCTGGCGGGAAGGACAACTCTCCCGAAGGCATTCAGGTAAGCTTTTCTGGCATCACAGAGAACAGAAAACTTCGAGTGTAATTTTACTAATCCAGGATAGCGTGGGATTACACACGCATTTGTCATGGAGTTTACAAGTGCTGCAGACCGAGACTACTATGTAAAGAGCGATCCGACTCATCTAGGATTCGTCAAGTCTCTTGATGGCCTCATTGAGAAAGCCCAAGTCATTGACTTTAGTGATAAAATTCTCTGAAGCTATGAGTTCCTCTTCCGGGTGTCAAAATATCTGCTAGTCGAAAAGTATATAGGGTTTGGATTTTTGTAGATGCTGTGAAAGAATGGAAACCGGCTCAAGATACGCGCATGCGTACATACATACACTATCAGGCTTTTTATGTAGTTATATTCTTTCTAGTCATAGTAAACGTATATCAATTGCTACAGCCATCAAACTTGACCATGTATTCTGCGACAATCCAAAAGTTCGTATTTGTGCATATCAACATGATAGGATTCTTAACCTTCCTATTCACCCCCCAGTACAAATACATCAAAAAGGTTTGTGTCCGTATAGTGACCTGCCCTGCGTATACGAATATCCAACAAAACTATATCCTCGACGCACGGAAATACATTCCCGGGCGAAATATGTAGCCCCTATTTGCCAGCCAGTTCAAACGTCAGGAATGTAAGCCAAGCTTCCGGTTCGGGAATCATTTGATCGGAACTGGCCAATACACCAATAATATGTGTTTTGCACTTGGGTAGCCATTGGGTCCGTTGACTGGAAACTCCCGATCTAGAAGGACCTTGCATTGTGGACTGCTACGCATACCAACCCCGAGCTTGGTGCTCTTTCATGGGTTTCACATTTCCCAGAATTATATACGTTGGATACCTAGAGTAAGTTAGGATCCACCGAACGCTTAACTCGGGTTCTCGTAGTAATACGCACGTTGAAACTACTAATATTTTCACTCGAACTAAAGGGTTTGAGGTTTTTCTATCCTTGCAGTTCCCATTCAAGTTAGGGCTCGATTCCGTTGGCCCAGATGAGACACTCAACATCAATTATACCTGGCGTAGAGTGACCATGGTATAAAATAGCTTGAATTAGCCTTTTTTATAAGCTAAATCTTAAATCGACGATATTAAAATGCGTACAGTGTAGAATTTGTGCCAAGCAAAATTAAAGGTACCTGTGTGAGCTGTTCTTTGACTTGACATAGCCCCAATGCAAGGGGAACACGAAATATTAAACGCCAACCATTCCCGAGCCTCGCAGCCATCCGCAAGGTTTTTTTGTCTCGATCGAATTCGTGGCATTTCTGGAACCTTTCAGCGGAGCTTACATTGTAGCGAAACAAAGGAAATACGAAACAAGAGAAATATGAAACAAAGGAAACTGAGTCGAGGAACCTGCTTCATTTCAGGAGTGGCAATGTGGCTTGCGTATGTCCCACCTATGCTAATGTGGGAAGGACTTACGGAGTATCATTGCCTTGATTATTGTCTTCGATGTTGTGTAAATACCTGATTTCCAAGATCAGGTCTATCAGATACACCGGGACAGGAGCCATCACACCGGATCATGAGCACATATTCAACCATTATTAATGAGATAATCTATGGGATCATCCCTGTCAGTGACGAGTTCATGGTCGATCGACACGGCTATCCGGTATAGGATTAGTGATCGACGGCACATCCTTGGAAGAAGTGTCTAGACTTGCTTGCCGACAACCGGGCCTCAAAATAACGGCTTCCGAGACAAGGACAAAGGAAACGAGGCAAAGAGACATTCCAATTAAGCTAGTGAGATTGCATGAAGAAGAAGGAAATTTGATTCCCCCGCAGCTAGGGACAAGGAATCCCGTTTCCCGCGAGCTTCCAAGACCTTCACAGGGTTCATTCATGCACATATCCGACCCGTCAAACGGGGATTTCAGGGATCGGGAGCTGGCTAATATTGAGATACCCTGCACCAGGGAAAACAGGATGCGCAACTTTAACGCGAGATGGGTCTTTAATCCAAAAGTGGAAAAGGGGACACGAAGAATGAGAGGGATATGTTTCGCCAGAACACGAGGTTCTTTTTGCTTCTTCTCCCCTTTACCCCTTTCGTCCGATCTGCTTCCCACTCGATCCACTGGGGGCCGAATACCTAATCTGCATGGGTCTCTGACTCCAGCATATCTTTCCTGCAGCCTGCGGGTCATGGTTGCTGCAATGCCCATCTGCTGTACGGAGTACTTCGTATTGCATCCGATGAATTGCAGCAGATCGTGGGTATATTTTCCGCATATAGAGAGGTATCCGTAGTAACGATCGCCTCGGGTAATGAAGACCTGAATTCCCAATAGGAACCGGAATAGGTCGAAGGGGATCCCAGGCATTCGGAACCCTCTGCTCAAAGCCAATCCGATGCAATCCAGGTCCCAGGGAGGACCCACTGTTGCCGCCAGGGGAGTGAACTGCCAGATTGGGGTCCTGCCGAGCCTGTCATCCTGTCCATGCCACAGGCACGGTTGTCGCCTAGTCGGGGCGAGACTGTGGATCGCTTTGTCCTTGACACGCCGGGAATAGCATAGATGTACATACTGCAGCCGATAGATAAATTTACTAATATATGTACCATCGCCCCATCTTCTAACGCTCTCTCTCTAAACACGCCTCAATGGTGTAGAGGAGCTGCGACCTATTTTATCTTTTGTTCTTGTTTGCTTTTGGGTGTTGTCATCCCAGTCTCTCGTTTCCCCTTGTCACTCGTTGTATAGTATTTGTTTCGCCTCCAAGCGTTGTCTTTGTTCTTTTCGTTTCCTTGCTCGCATTCAAGGACTTTCTAGCTGGGAGAGCCATTGTTTCAAGCTTCCACAAACCGCTTAGCTCTTTATAAAGTTCCTTATCCGCCGATCGGATCAATCGAAACACCATCAATCCAACATGGAATGCTTTCGGCAAATTCTCCGGTGTCTGAAGACGCCTTTCAGACGCGAAAAGGGAAGGATTATTGAAATTGTAAGTCGAGTAGAGATCCGGGGGATGGGTTGCGTCGTAAAGATGGACTCTAACAAATGTACGAAATAGGGTCCTCCCACTAATTTCCGAAAAGAAGAATTGCCTGCTTATTTCTCCGATGCCGAGTCAGTTCTCTCGCCCAGCCAAAATCCGACAGAACGATCAGATCTGACCAGTCAATCACAGCACGCTTACGTCCCAGGACAGCCGCATAGCGACCGTGGAGAAGGACAGAACGATGATCGAAATGATGTCTCTACCATCATCGACGAAGAGCAAAATGCGGGCCCAGGTTCGAAGGATGAGCGTGAGACTGCACTCCGCCTCCGAAAACGTATGAAGTTACCCCGATGGTGGAAATCGACATCAGCTGCAGGTCACGAAACTAAGGCCCCGGCCGAATCGATAAAGATGGAAGAAATTCGAAACGCCGAATCGGCGTGTTCATAAACAAATTGTGGATTGATACATGAGTGGTCACAACAAGAAGGTGGGCACTTCACTGTGCCGGGATTTCTTTGGATCTGAGGTGTTCCCTCCGCCCGTTACAGGCGGTTGTCTTGCAGGAGGTATCTGGGAATTGTTAGAAATAGACTTATTTATCTGAGATGACTCTGGTAGTTCATCAAGATCGTCAAAAAGCGACTGAACCCGTGATTTATACGCGTTCGCTGGACTGGGTCGCCCGTGTGCCGGCTTCACCTGCGATTTTGACGTAGACGTGCTCTGTATGTTCAGTTGCTGCCGGGCTCGTGGCGTTGCTTGATCGTGAGCCTGAATTTCTCGTAAAGTGGTATTTGTCCTTCTAGCCGGCAGCACGACTGGTTGGATTTCTAGATCAAGATCGTCACCGTCAGTTTCATCCGAACCCGAGGCCGTCTCTTCATCCAGTTGAGTGCTTGGAACTTCTAGTGCCCTTGATGGTTCAGTCACACTCCCGATACTGTTCACCCGAGCTCGTCCAGAACCTGAAGTAAGCGCCTGTCCAAAGCCCGCAGCAGCTCTGGTAGAGGACTTAGGTCCGTACATTCCCGCTAAGGATCGTGTTTTTCGTGGGCTCGTCATGAGATCGTGAAGATGTGTCCCAGCCCACCTCTCATCATCTTCGTCTCCATCTTCATCTTTCTCGCTGACTGCTCCGTATCCTATCTGCGCGAGCCCAGCTTTTTGTCGCTCCCTCAGCGCTTCAGCTTCTCTTTTCCGTTCAACTTCATTTGAGACTGGGGTGCGGCTGTCTGTAGGCCTCTTGATTTCTTTCATCCCGGCTGCATTTTGAGCTTTTACTTCCTTTCTCCGTCGCAGGTACTCCGCGTGATGTAGGTGTTGAGTGAATGTTTGGGCAACGGCGTAGAACTCGTCTTCGACCATGACCCAACCATCATCGTGTTGAATTCCTTCAATTAGAAATCTGCAATGTGCTTATTAGCGACTTTTTCCGGTTGTGCAGAGCCTCATTGCGATCATACTCTTCGGAAGGACAGCGTCTGATAGGAGAGGTCGGCGGACTTTGGGCTGTATAAAATGATCAGACTTTATACTTGCTCAAAAACATCCCAAGAACAAAACCTACAGGATCTGAAGAAATCGCGACTGGGAGGAGAAACTCGGGGGTTCTTGGGAGTGAGGTCGTGACCAAAATTGGGTTCCGTCTTCACGCGCTTCCGCGGTGTTGACTCTTTTTTCACAGCAACGGTATTCTTGGCCTGAAGCCAGGGCAATTTCCTGGGCATAGTTCAAGATAATATAGAGAAAAATGAATACGTCGCTTGGGATCGCGATTTCAGGGAAAAGGTTACTGTGAGGGAAAGAGAACTGCCGATAGGCATCCATTAATGGCCGATAAGGTGAGGTCACCCACATTCTGGGCAACGCAAACATCTCAATCTGGTGCTTCATTACGAAGTATTTTCTACGAAGTGGAAAATTTGAGAGTAACAACCTCATTCTTTGGGTATCTAATGCCATTTTGGACATTGGTAATGCAAGATGAAAAGAACTGGGACCGCCTCAAACGCCTTGTGCAGGATATATTACCGAAAGCAAGAACGGACTGCCAGTGGAACGCCCATTCAACCATTCGAGGGAAACAAAAGAAAAACGCCAGTATCTCTACCCATGCATGAATCGGTTTAAGCCTCGCCAGGCCGCTTGCTGTTGCAGCTCACGATCTTCACCTTGTCCGCGGACACGGTTGTCTGGTTGTCCAGCTTGAACGATACATCCTTGATCAAGAAGGTCCAGACTTCGTCGCAGAATCGGTATGTATCCAAGTGGCCCTAAAAATGACAGGAGAATGTACAGGTTAGTCTCGAACTGTGATCGCAATATTGCGTGTTCTCTGAACCGGAATGAGTTAGGTACCTTGAAGGTCAGCCGGGCCCGAACTTTATCGGCCAAAACTTCAGTGACAATCTTGTCAAAGGTTCCGAGGATCTTCATTGCCAGCTGGGGCTCGATACGGCCTTCGTTGATCAGGTCGTCGAGAGTATCGGTGAGGGATAGCCCGAGGCTAAAGGTTCCTTGAGTCAGCTTTGGAGCTTTCGGTTCGCTTCAACTCATCAAGTGTATATACCTGCTGCCTCGATAAAGCTCATAGTAAGCTACGGATGCCATTCTGAGATGAAATAATGGCAGACTCGTCGAAAGAATATCGGGGGAGTGAGTGTCAAGAGCAAGTTCATGATCGCTGGCCGAATCGCGGGGGCGGTCGGCTGCACGTGACTTTCTTATAGTCACGTGGGTGGTCTTATCTTGAATTGCGTCAGTGTCAGATGAATTGAATGTGTCTGTACGCGTTATTTGTTCTCACATATTTCTCATTGAGCATACTGCAAGCTCGATAAGTACTGCAGCATGATTTTAAAAGGTCTGGGGCCTCGATCCCTTCCATATAGGATATTACCCAGTCAATTGCACGTTGTTTGTGTACGATCCTTATCAACAACCTTATTCAGACCATCAAAAGGTCAAGGTCAGTCAGTTCCGCTCAAAAACCCTTGTCAGAACTAACGTATTTTATTACGGAACTATAGACTCACAAGGCAACCAAATTTCCATATCCAAGCAGGAAGAAAGCAACCAGACATCCAAGTACTCTTCGAACCAAGACAACAAGCGCCACACACTCCAACCCAAAGCTAAAACTGTCTCCCAAGCCGATGCCGAGCTTCGCGAGCGGCTCGAGCAAATGTCTGGAGGAGGAGGAGCATCTGGAATTGAATACGAAGATGGCAAACCGAATGCTATGAAGCGTGGCGTGCGCAACAACATGTTCCGATTAATCTGAAGCAATCCTCAACACCAACCTATCACAAGAACAAATCTTGATCAGCTCCAAATATCGCGGAAACATATCTAAGTGAGGTCTCATGACCTGCAATGTAGGCTTGGCCCCAGATGCCAAGACACGTGGGGGAAGAATGTTCTCGGTCGTCATCCTCTTCCAGTCCCGGGAGCCCCGGGAATGAGAGGCATCCATCATGACTGACTTCTTGAACTTTGTTTCCGACACAATATATGAGGATACCCAGGCTTGGCTTCGGTTGAGTTTGCTTAATTAGTGTGCCAGGTGGATATGACATTTCTTTGATACCGATCAACGGTCATGCATATGAATGCATTCCGCTCTTCGGGTGTTCCTGCATTCTCCGATTACGATGTTTCGGCGGCGCCACGCAATCAGCCACGATGCTCTTGCTTGAATTTCCGGGTCGGAATGGTTGGAATATTCTTGGACATGCGCTTTTGGTGAGTTTTCATCTCGTAATTGAGGGCAAATTCTTTGCAATACGCAGGGTCTTGGATCCGAGTGGGTGTGGTGCACGCATGTCCTGTCAATGTTCCCGGCAGTGTCTCATATGCCAGGTCTCAATGTCTGATTTTGAATGGGGGTGAAGTCTCGCCTAGAGCGTTGAATTTCGACAGAAAAAATGAGAGACCATAAAGATAGCAAGCCGTATCAGAGGGATGATAACTAAAGTAGCCCAAATTCAATGGAAGTGTAGACCAACGAAATTACCACCGTCTGAAATAGATCACAGGTAGAAATCAAATTTCATTTCTATGTCATGAGTCCCAACTCGAAATAAAGACAAAATAAACAGACAATATCCCATTAACACCTAGCTACGAACCATTTTCGCATTGCTGATTACCACCAAGAAAAGAAAACCAAAGGAGAAACAAATGCTTGCTAACGCTTCAAGGGAAATCTCATTTCCGAACAACCATGCCAGCCAAAACACCAGCGCCAATGACACCACCGTCGCAGGCCTCCCGCAAGAAAACAGACTTACCACCTCGTTGCGGACCAGTCCGCATGATAAGGCGATCAATGTATTGCTGGCACATCTCCTTGAATTGCGGGTAATGTTGGATAATGCCACCAGTGTAAGCTACGACGAGCTCCTCAGGACCAGACTGCCAATCTATTGGCGTGGGATCGATGACGGGGACGACATGTTCTTGAGCTGCGTGATTGGCAGCAACAGCGGAAGAGTTGAGGCTTGCAGCGGCAGCGTCTGGTGCACGGAAAAATTCAGTAATGGCGTCACCGTTGCTCTGGGGCGAAGCGGGATTCTCAGGTGAGCTGCTGTTGCTGTCTTCCTTGAGTTCGATCTCGCGAGCACAGGATAGGAGTCCGACCACTGCAGCGGCGATCAGCCCAGCTGATCGTCTCTGTACCGTACGAGCAATCTTTCTGAATGCGCCCGCGGCTCGGTCATCCCAGCGCCAGTCACTACTCTCTGGCGGAGGGAGAGATTTATTCAAGTCTTGGGCGAGGTCGTTGTCAGATCGGGCTTTGGCGACATGGTCGGAGATGTATGTGGTTGTTAGGGCGTATGCTTGGATGAGGTTTGCAGGAAGGGAGCCTTTCGATAATTTGGTGACGGTTGTGAGGTAGTCAAATAGGATCAAGCGAATCAGCTCACCGATGTAGCGGCCTCCGGTCATGTATTCGAAGGGCTGGAAGCCTGGGCGTGGACAGGCCCGGTCTAGCTCGATATCCCATTTCGTGGTTACATTGAGCTCCTTGAGCGGTGGTGCAGCACCAGAAATAGTCCACTCGGTATTGACGATAGTCTCCACAGCGCTAGGTTCCATTATATTCACAGCTTTGGCCTTAGATTCGTGCAATGCATTGAGCTTCATTGGGATGGTCGCGTTACAGCCAGTGCCCACAATGATACCCATGGCGACTCTACTGTTTGGTAGAGATTTGACCTTGTATGCAAGGGAAGCTAGCGTGGCCACTGTGTCATTGGTGATAGCTTGAATTTTCAGTTTTGGTAATGCGAAAAGCTTTCGACGTTTGGTGGAAGGTTCATCTTCATCATCAGGGCGCCTTGTGTGTTTGTCATATCCATTCAGAAGGATCTGGCCAAGATTGAGATTTGATGACATAGCGAAGCCTTTTCCCATGGGCATTAATGTGGCTTCTGCCAATGATTCTTGCCTGAGCATGGTTAGTATAAGACTAAACGGCGAAGCGCAGAATAAAAAAAGACCAGAAACACAAGCAATAGGGGAATAAAGCTCACATAATGGGGAAACTGAACGTAATTCCCATATCTAATTCGGCCGGAATATCCTTTTTAGTGGCATCCGATGATAGACTCTCTGCTATCACCTCCGCAATGCAATCACCGATCCAAGAAAATAGATCCTCGGCCTTGTCCTTCTTAAAATGCTCTTGGATAGGCCAAGCTCGTTCTAGCGTTCGCTTCACCCGCTGGCGCTGGGCTTTCCGGATGGTGTCCTGTGACCTTTCTGTGGCATCTGTAAATCGAATGTCGGAATCCACGGCTTCTCCAAGCAACTCGATAAAAGCGACTCGAAGGTTGCTGCCTCCTACATCGATCGCTAGATAGCGACCAGTTTCCCGACCAGTAGGAAGCTGAGTCACAGGTGTTGGCAAAAACTGCTGGTCTGATGTCAGGGCAAGGTTGCGATATGTGGTAGAAAACCGCCGAGCTAGTTTATATAGCACGGCTTCATCCAGAGACAATGGTGACAAGAATTCTTCCAATTGTTGATGATGCGCCAGATGTTCTTGTTGAATGGCGTTTAATTCCGACCCGGTATCCTCATGTTCCCCATCTTCAATCGAATCGTTCTGCATGTTGTGCTCGTCCTTGGACGATGAGTTGAGCAAAACCATGGAGGATAGAAGATGGAAGATTTATTCCAAATTAAAAATAAATGAAATAATCCTCCAAAGGCCTGCAAATGCTTGACAAAACGAGCTGACACAGCTATGTTCAATCGTGACGTGTAGGATAAATGTTTAGCAATCGAGATAGGGCATCATATCCTTTAAAATTTGAATTGTGGAGAAAAGCCGGAGCTAATCCAATGCCCCAGCTAGTGACACTTGTGTTAGCGAGGTTGCAATAAAGGGAAAAGGGAACATTTCGGTGACGCGGTCTGCAGGTCGGGCTGCGGGGGAAAAAAAAAAGAGAAAACACGACGATCATGCCAGAAAGGTCCAAATCCCCATATGTATTTTACATCCCCTGGAATTTGGGTATGTACTGATTGCCCTTGTCCTGATCACAATAAATAATTTTGAGGGATTCGGGGATAGGAACTATATACTGGGTGTTTCTTGGGGGGGGATAATATCCCTAGATGCCCTGAGGGAGCGGGTGAAGAATGGAAGTATAAAACTCCCTACTTAAGACAGGGTAAAAAAGGAAATGCAGAAGAGAACAGATAGCTTTGACCAAGGAATTTTGTTAGTACCTTTAATGTGTTTGGGTTCAAGTATAGTCGGAAAGAACAGTCAGAAGTGGGGTGCTATTATCAGATCCAAATCAGATATGACCAAAGGGTTGAATGCCTTGTTATAACTAGGTAAGAGAGTCAATATATAAGAGATGAGATGCGACCATCGGAAGGCACGAGGCGATGTGACGCTGTTCGGGGACAAGTTGAGCACCCCGGTTGACTTTCTATTGGCGAAAAACCCTAGGAAATTTAATCTCTAAGCTATATCCTTCTACTATCGAAGTCTATGTAACCCTACTTTAAGTATATCCGGCTAAAGCCCTTGGTAAAGAGAGTATCCCGGCCAGTTTCTCCAGTCTTGGCTCAGGATTAGACGAAACACGAGCCTATAGGGCGCGGTTGAAGGCGTTTCCAAGTCGAGGACTAATCTACAGATACCCTCCGTACTCCATACCTCTTTACGACAAGGAACATTGGCGGGGTCAAAGGTTTTTGGCTTGGAAAAATCGCGCCAAAGTATCGCCAAAGTATCATGTTCCAATATTGGCATTCGTTCGATACGAGCCTCGCCCAACCTCGATATACAATATATCTACTCGTGGCACTCGTGTGGTGATCGGGCCGGACATACCCGTATTCAGAGGTAGGCGCATCTCGCTTTGATTCAACGGGAATGAACCCGTCCGTGTGGTCTCGATCGGTCGCTGACACCCGCCACATCAGACTGTCAGATCTGACGGGAGTCGGTTCCAACTGCCCTTAAGGTGAGGTTGCCTTGTGATTGGTCATTTACAAATCGGCAAATAGTCCGATGGTTCTCGTGTTTGGCATAATATCATGCTATCACATCCATAAATGTAAGTTTCAAGTACGAGCCTCAAAGCACGCGATCCATAAGCCATTATGCACGGCCTGTTCACAGACCATACCTAACAAATCCCGGCGCTTCTAGCCTTGGGCCATTTGAACTAAGCTAGTCGATGCCCCATACAAATCGCCTCCGAAGTCGGAGTGTAGCCTAATCGGACGAAAACACGGATACATCATATGGCCTGGACCAACATACGTAATGTAGAAGATTAATGGGAACACACTGAAGCACAGAGGGGGCTAGGTTCTTTATATCAACTAAACCAACAGTTCATATTAATTGCAGGGCTGCATCTTTATTTTAATGAATGGCCTGGGGCGATGTGGAAGATCTTATGTAATGGCCTTGGCAACCGCCCAGTGAAAGCTCCTTACTCTCCACATGATCTTATCAAAACAACGTCACTTCGGATTTTACCCCATCATGGAGAAACTACCACTCCACAAGGGAGATGAGGACACCCTTGAATCGTCAAACCATGATCGTCGTGCGCATGCTAGCACCATCACTTATTTGGGTCGGATCGGTTTCATTGCGTTACTCTTCATCGGCTACATCGTGCTTCTAAGGCCGTCTTCACCATGTACCCACTCAGCTCAACAGACGGAGCGCTATGATTATGAGGCTCAAGAAGATTTTGACAACTACTTACAGCTGGCACGCCTCACTCCTGATGCACAGACACTCGAGCAAACTAAGATACCGCTCGAGGCTCACATCATGAGCAAATGTCCAGATGCCCGGGACTGCTTACAAAAACTTATTTTACCTGCCATGGAAAAAATAAGTGACAAGGTAGACTTCAAGCTATCATTTATTGCTAGGTGAGTATCAGACCAGATATCGAGAGGAACTGATGGGACCAGACTCCATGCTGAACATTGAACTAATCATAACAACAGCGTGTCCAAAGATTCTGAAGAGATAGAGTGCATGCATGGCCCAGGTGAATGCATCGGTAACATGCTCATGCTCTGTGCGGCCAACCTTCCTTTCCCTCCCACTGCGGACGAAGCGTCTCTTCCACCTCAATACCCAAGGACGCCTATTATCCGGTCGCTAGGATTTGCAAATTGTCTGCTCAATGACTATGCACGGATTCCAAACCGCGAATTTGTCCACCAGTGTGCAATGGAGCATGGGATTGACTTTGACTCTCTAAACAAGTGTGCAAGCCAGCAGAATGATGATCCGAACGATGGCAATGATGGCGGACCACCACTCAGTGGCCTTGCGCTGCTGCGCAAGAGTGCGACACATGGCGAGCAACTCGGCGTCAAGACTAGTTGCACAGTACGCCTCGACGATGCTGTGTGGTGCATCCGCGATAGTAACGAGTGGAAGAACTGTGCTCAGAATGGAGAGGGCAGTCAGCCTTCAACCCTGGTCGATCAAGTCGAAAAACTTTGGAAGGAGAGAAACTAAGTTCTAGATGGATGATTTATCGTCCATACCATCCATTCAAAGCCATATGATAGGACATGATAAATTGATCAGTGTAATCATTGATTTCTTACTGCACATCTAGGTATGCATAATATCAACCTGTGGACCTTTTAGAGGGTCTTTCTACCTATCCACTACCCAAGTATAGCTTGACAGTCAGGCCAAGCCTCTTTTTCTAGACTCTAAGAGTGTATAAACACAGCAAATCAACTATGTTGTATGTTGTGTCCGACACGTGACTTTCCGATGGCACCGAATGATGATATTCCTTCGTAATTTCTATCGAAATAAATATATCGAGGATGGCTTAACTTGCGCTAAGCTACTGCCATAAATTCTGAACCACCAATATGATGCCCTATGAAGAGGTTCTGCCATCCACAACGCCAAAATATGAGTTCAAAGGAATCCAGCATTCTCTCCAAATTTTGGGAGAGAAAGTGGATGAAGAGAAGACGGAGTTGTTTAACCCTTATATTATTTTCACTATTGACGAACGTGCCTTCCTTGATTGTTTTGTGAACTCGGACGAAAAAACTCTCAAATCATCATGGGAAATTTATGACCATCCTGCCAACCATCTTGTCATCAAAATGGAATCAGAAGTTCATGCGATAGCACATGGAGCTTTCTCCAAAGTATTCAATGCTTGGATTGGTGACGAGCGGACCGAATATCCGCTTCTGCCCACATCGACAGCCGCCCGAAGAGGCGAGATCGGGCGTGTAAAAAGGCCAGATCTTGCGTGGACCCCTTCAGACTTACCTATTGGAAGAGAAACAACGTGGCCTTCCTTCGCGATAGAAGTAGCTTGGTTGGAACCCCGCCGCAAGGTAGAGCAAGACATAGAATTTTGGTTGTGCCAAAGCAAAGGGGACGTGAAAGCCGCGATGTCGATCACGGTACACTGTCGTGGAGGCAAAATCTCATTCGAGAAATGGGACATAAATCGTTCTCAAAGTGCAAAACAAGTATCAGTGTTTCCATCCCAGAGGATGGACGTTGTGAGAGATCCTGCATCGGATTGTCCAAAATTCAATGGACGGATTGAGATCCCCTACGAAGATATCTATCTTCGACAAAAAGGAGCTGGAGACACAAACTTTATCTTGAAAGAAGAAGATGTCGCGCTCATGGCCAGGAAAATATGGATCTCTCAATATGGCTTACAGGGGAGACATGCTTCCAGCTCTCGCTAATACCCAGAAAAGGCAATCATCCAGTTACGTACTTGCTCTGTCGCCTTTGTTGTTTGATCAGTTCTACGAACCTCTTCCTTCTCTTTCCCTTTTCTCCCTTTTAGCTATCCTTATCATCAACATCTCGCGGTTATTGTCGTTGCCGCGAGAGATTTCGCTATGCCGCCACCATCTCATCCAAAACAGCGTGGTAGGTTGCTTCTAGACTTCACCCCACCCATATCCGATTCCTAAATCGCTATATTGCAATGCTGATAAGGTGAAATGGTTTCTTCAGATACCAAACGTGCCGTGTCGCGCGGGCTGCATGGTAAGGAGGACAGTTTGTACCTAAAGTGGAGTGTGGTGATGAACCCAAGCGAACTCCTACAAGAGCTTGTTAGCAACCGCGAGCATGCTCGTGCTTTGTTCCATGGATTGAGGCGCCAGGTCAAGTCCATCCGCCACCGCTCGCAGTCCTATGATGATGGCCAGGTTACGATCTATGACCGTGTTCTCCTGCGTCTATATGATGAGGGACACACTATGCAGCATTACGGTCTCCTTGAGTTCTACCTGGCCGAGTATCTGGAAATCAAGAATTGTCGCTCAGAGGATGAGAGCAACACTGTCATTGCTGCCCATTTCGCTGCCCAGCGCATCCTGGATAATGGTATGTCGCTGCACCTTGACGGAATTTATTTTTGTGTAATTTAACATAAGCTACCAGGCCCTATCCCCAAGATACCTATCATTGGAGTTGATGATGTAGAAGCTGTCACCGAAGATATGAAGACTAGCAAGTCACCACACAGCTCTGGCCCATCCAAATCTCACCATATCGAAAAGCTCATCCGGGTGTACCAGAAGGCTAAGGCTGACTACTACATCCTCGAAGTCACCGAGAGCCACCGCGAGCGAACTAACAGCGTTCGGTTTCTCCGTGACACTGCCGAGAACCTCCTGCGATACCTGAAGTCAGTCGACAAAGACAACGATTTGATCCCTGAAATCGAAGACATCATCCAGGTCAGCCAAGCACACGCAAACCAGCTCGCCGGTGGTCGCAAGCGCAAGTTTGAGCACACGGATAATGACTCGAGGGGCAGCCCAAGCCTCAGCCCTCACCGGCCTTATGGATATCACGGGGACTACCGCGCAGGATACAACCGTTGGGACCGGTATGTTCCTGAAAATGATACATGGGACCATAGCCACAAGGGTGCGTGGGATCATAGCCATGTCACCAGAAGAATTGGATGGGATAGCCGTGCATTCGACTCCTACCGTCCTTCGTAGGCTCACTGCGGGACCTGAGCTCGTGATCGAAAGATACGCTCTGAATTAGGGGGGGAGGGGGGGATCCTTTTCTTCATTCCTGCTCTGGGAGAATTACAGACAGTCATGTACTCTACACCTAGTCTCAAATTGAAATCTCAGCTCAAAACCACAAGCAAGCATCCTCCTACTGGTAGAAGAGGTGACTGAAGTATAGAATTCCAACCCATGGTCGCTAATAGAGCCAAGCTCCACGCTAAGCTACTCTCATCCTAGCGCCAATCACAAACCCACGTGTGCAGATGACATAATCCGCCCCAGCTCGGACTGGAGATCCATGCCCTGGTGATCAACATCGGTCACCCGGTCTCGCGAATTGAGGGGAATCTTGTTATTTTCTTCCATTTCGACTTCGGAGAAAACACAATTTCTTCCCTAATGGAGACGGTACCTCAAGAATCAGGCTCATAGAACGACCCCAAACCGTGTCTCTCCCGAGAAATGGCGGACCTTCATGCCTCCGCAGCGGGCAATAATGCATCTTCCACCAGCTCCAGCACCTCCTCAAACCCACAATTTACTCCAGTTTCGTATGGCTCAGATGAAGGTCATCCAGCACCAGCGCCCACAAAATCCCCCATGGGCTCATTGCGACTGGAAACCAACTTTGATGACCATCTAGATGTTGGCGATCCTCTATCCGATTTCGAGAATGACGGCGACTACAACACCAGAGCGGAGCTTGAGGGTAAGCTACCGCGGAGTGGTCTAGGCCCGAGATACACATTAGAGGAGGAGAGCGAAGTAGTGAGGAAATTTGATCGACGGCTGGTTCCGTTTCTCGCCCTTCTATACTTGCTCGCCTTCCTGGACCGCTCAAGTACGTTTGGTTATTCCACACAGCGGAGTGTTTGCCCCTGTGATTGCAAATAGGTACTGATGATTTATCCAGACATCGGAAATGCAAGAATAGCAGGACTACAAGACGATCTACAACTTTCATCTTCGCAGTATGAATGGCTACTTACTGCTTTTTATATTACTTACATTCTCTTCGAATGGATGACACTGATGTACCGTGTCGTTCCTCCGCATATCTATATCTCTTTATGTGTGTGTGGATGGGGACTTGTCGCATCGTTCCAGTGTCTAGCTACTTCTTTTTGGGGCCTGGTTGTTCTCCGGGCGCTGCTCGGAATCACCGAGGCGGCTTTTGGCCCAGGTGTTCCGTTTTACCTGTCTTTGTTCTATCGCAGACATGAACTGGCTTTCCGTAACGGACTGTTTATCTCAGCGGCACCGCTCGCGACATCTTTTGCCAGCAGTCTGGCCTACTTGATTGTCAGATTTAGCAGCGATGGCCCGATCTCGCCGTGGCGAACTCTGTTCCTTGTGGAGGGATTTCCGAGTGTAATTGTTGCGGTGTTTGCTTGGTTTTTGATACCGGACTCCCCTGGTCGGGCTCGATTTCTTAGTCGCCGACAAAGAGTGGTAGCTCAGCAGCGTCTCGAAGAAAGCACAGACGATTACCAGCAATCATATGGAAGTCGATTTAACTGGCGAGAAATTCTCAAAACTGCAGCGGATCCCAAGGCTTATATGGCGGCCGTAAGTGACAGCTCTATTTGGGCGTGTGCAAAGCTCTAACATATCTATTACAGTTCATGTTCTTCAGCTGTAACGTTGCTTTCAGCTCCATGCCTGTCTTTTTGCCCACTATAATCAAAGAGTACGTCCCGCATCAGCACCCATTCATAACATCGACAGCAACCTTACATAACCTACAGCATGGGATATTCCTCCTTACAAGCCCAAGCCCTCTCAGCACCTCCCTATCTCGTCGCCTTTGTCGTAGTCCTCCTCACCGCATACGCGTCAGACCGAAGTCGCTCCCGAAGCCCATACCTAATAGCCCACGCCCTCATCTCGTCGCTCGCCTACTTAGCGATTGCAGCAACGGGTTATTTCCACTCACGTCTGCCACAATGGCTTCACATATCCATCCGCTACATATGTGTCTACCCCGCCACGGCCGGGTTTTTCTCCGCAATCACTCTCATCATCACATGGTCAATGGATAACCGAGTCGAAAAGGAAGGCAAAGGCGCCAGCATTGCCATTCTCAATATCATCGGACAGTGTGGGCCCCTACTTGGGACGAGACTGTATCCTGAGACCGACGGGCCGTGGTATACTCGGGGCATGGCTACTTGCTCGTTTTTCATGGTTGTTACTGCGATCTTGGCTGTGGGGCTGCGGATTGTTCTACAGCGGATGAATCGGGCGGCTTCCGAAACGACTTATACTATTGTACAGGCTGGTCCTGTTGATCAGGGCGAAGAGCGGGATGTGCTTATGGGTGGTGGAAGAAGGGATGATCTAGAGCATTCTACTGGGGATAGAAGGCTTGTGTACATCATATAGCTGATACAACAATGACTGCTTGGGATTACACTGTCTTGCAACCAAAAACGCTCGATTTCATACTTGAATCGCAGTTTGAAAGGCATACTCAGGCCTAGTCAACAACGAAGGCAAAGATATGTAGGCATCCGAGCTGGAAGGAAGGTTGGGTGCAGAATAGCGAAACCACAGCAAGAACTGGACCCCAAAGAAGTGAAAGTGATAAATCACAAAGACACTGATCAAGATGAGAATTCATAATTGCGAAGAGTCTGTATATGGTGCACAAAACCTAAAATTTATGTACGCCTAATGGTGTATATTTCGAGTTTCTTTTGACATCAAAGCAGCCCAGCAAAGGGCGAATCGGCAATTTGTGACTCCTTCCAACCAACACACTTCCAGCAACTCAACAAACCTTGAGGGTCATATTTCTTCTTAATGCTCACCAATTTCTTATAGTTATCACCCCACCACGCCTCGGACCAGTTAGCAGTGAACGGGTTGGCCTCGTTGCTGTAGGCGCCACTGCCAGGGGTGATACTCTCAATAATGGCCGTCATGTTCTGAATGGATTTGACCTTCTGCCTCCGAACTGGAAGTGTAGCGTTCCACTCCCAGGAGGCACCCGATCCCAGTTCCCAGATAGCCTGGCGCCAGGCGGGAGAAGCACTGGTCGACCCTTCGGTGTAGTTGTACAATACTGGTCCGACAACGGGAATGTAAGGTGTTTGGCCCAGCGATTGGATAGTTGCGAAGTAATTCATGAGATTCATGCGACCCTCAGGGGTCTTGAAGATGGAGCGGGGGATCAGTCGGCTTCCGGGGAAGCGAGTGACGCCAACAGCAACAGAGGTGGTCTTGACGTACTTCTCATAAAATGGGTACCAAGAAGTAAATTCTTCGATAGTAGCGGAGCCGCCGTTTGCTTTAGCGTAGGCGATTACGCTTGCCATAGACATATTGGCTTCCTTGATAGAGAGGAATGGAGAAATGTTGACGAGTGTGTTACCGGTGATGTGGCCGCCCCATCCTTCCTGTCCCCACTTAAGGGTGTTGTTGACGACAATCTCCATGAATGGAAGCATATTGGTGGAGTTGCTGGGGAACTTGATGTTGGCGGCGACAAAGCGGATAGCAGGCTCGACATGGTGGGTACTTTCGAGGACTACGCCAAAAGTTCCACCACCGCCACCGCGGAGAGCCCAGAAGAGGTCGGGATTCTGGTATTTGTTCGCAGTACGATAGACACCATCTGGGGTAACGACCTTGAATTCAAGGACACGGTCGATACCAAGACCATACACAGGGCTTAAGATGGAATGGCCGCCGTTTTGGACCCAGCCCCCTGAGACACCGACGGTGGGTGAGTAACCACCGAGTATGGCTACGTTGTTCTTGTGAGCAAATTGGTACGCCTCGTCGAAGTTGACTCCGGCGCCGACGGTGATGGCTGGATATCTGAGAGCAGGATTTTTGGAGCCGCGGGGGGCGAAGTCCGCACTGTAGTGCAGAGATCGCAGGTTTCGAGTCCAAAGAGATAGCGTGTCATGGCCACTGCTACGGGTGAGGTAATCATGGCCACTGTTCTTGATGACGAGCTGCTTGCCGGAGCAGTTGGAGAATTGGAAAGCTTCAACCACATCCCTTGCGCCCCGCACTTCAAGATAGTGAGAGGGTAGATTGCCCTGGCGGCAGGTGACATTTTCAAATGCCAGGGGATCTGTGGGATTGTTGCTGTCGAGGAGGCACTGATTACGGGGATCAGATGCCCACATCTCATCCTGATTGTTCATGTATCCATTAGGGGAGTTTGTCCGCAGCCATGGATCTGAGTAGTTCGTCTGGATAGCAGCGCAGGCAGTATTGTCGCGGATCACCGGTTTCCCATTATAACTGGAGAAGCAAGGTAAAGAGAAAGGAGTGAGATGCTTGATTCGGCCTCCGACTGTTACATTCAAGTCCTTCAAAGTGCACGCAGAAGTATGGTTTAATAAGGCTAATAAGACCAGCCCAGAAAACCCGGCCAACATCCTCGGCGAACGTAGAGAAATCGATAAAACCCACAAAAAAAAAAAGCAATGATAAGATAGAAATATAAAATAACAGGTTCTTAAAAGGCAGCGAGTATCTTAAACGTTTAATTAAACCAGCCCAGGCAAATGATCATCAACCAGGTTTATATAATAATTGGCTGATAATGTTGGAATGGATTACGGCAGTCTCTAGCTGCCAGTGATGGCGGGTCAAACCTGCCTTACACCCCTCTGTCCTAGGTTTTCAAGCCATCAATAAGTTCACCAACTCACCCATTTCTTTACATTAGACATAATCATGCCGACCACAAGACAGACCAAGCCGTCCGATACCAACCAAATACCAAATATCGACCGAACTCGCAACCGGGGAGTTCCTGGTCCCAAAATCGAATGGCTGGACTTGGACTTTTCTGAGACGTCCCCTGTAAGGCAAATGAACTGGAGGAATTCTTGAAATGAGGTTTAAGCGTCCGAGGGATGTCGTCACATCACTTTCGCATACCCCTTCGAACTGCCCCACAGGTTATGGATTATCATTCGTAAAGACTTGAAGATAAACAGACAAGAGACCAACAAATACATACACGTTTGAAATCCCAGTTCAGTCGCAGTAATTCAAAGTGGATTCCAGGCTAAACCTCTTCCGTAAGCCTTGGCATTCACATATGCCAACCCTGGAAGGCCTCGCACTCGTACGGAATCGAGATGAGCGGCTCCGATGCGTGAAAGTCTCATCACACTTTCCTGAATATGAGCTGTATCCAGTTTGTAGCAAAGGATGGGATTCAATTTCGAACAGTGTTCAAACTGCTCCAACGTGTTTGCTCCGACAGAGTTCGCCTATCTCTTGTTTCTATGATTCCATTCATGTTGCCCTCACGAACTGTATCAGGGTATCTACAAGGGTACGAAGCCCATAGATATGGGCTTTCTGTCTAATATTAAGAGTTCAGACAGTTTACTCCATACAATTTCCCAACGTGATCTTTTGAGTATCATTTTTGCAAAAAGTGTATCCCTCTAGTTTCTGTACGGTACGTTTCGACATATGAAATTTTAAATCTATACGCCAGTACCACTTTCTCATTCGAAGTAAGCCTCTATATTTTAGAGCTCATAAATCCTCTAGATCGAGGAGTACTCCGTACCGACCTAGGTATCTACTAGAGATCTGGTGGGGCGATTGCCCTCCGCTCTGGTCGATCCCTTCCCGAGCCGGCCACTTTACCGTCACCTCGATGACTGGAGAAAAATGTCTTTTTTTTCTAAGTATTCATTTTTTCGCAGAAACTTCAACATGTTTCCATCTCAACATGGAACACAAGACGAATCGATATTGGAAAAATGTCCTCATTAGCGTGCCGGTTGTAGGGGCTGGGTTGGCGACCATCACCTACCTATTACGCCTCTACTGCAGGCGAATGAAAGCGGTGGGGCTTCACCTTGAAGATTATCTAATGGGAGCCGGCCTGATCATCTCCTATTGTGTTACAGCTTTTGTAGTAGATAGTGAGTATTTCCCACAGATTCGGTGATATCATACTAATCATGAAAGCCGCCTTCAATGGCATCGGTTTGCCGATCGCATCACTCCCAAAATATCAACGGAGGCGTATTCAATTCGTAGGTGATGGTACATGACGAGTTTGAGGTATAGGAAACCTAACCCGCCACAGGATTCATGGATGATACAGAAGTTCTGGGCCCCATCAATGGCCTTTGTGAAGATCTCGATTGTCGTCTTCATCAAACGACTTTTCGGCTCCATCCGTGCATACGTCGTTATCTCCAACTGTCTAGTCGGATTTATCGCCATATGGGCTTTCGCGAGCCTGATGGTTAATATATTCCAGTGCATACCAGTACAATACTACTATGACAAAAAATTGAAAGGACACTGCATGGCGGCCCAGGTTCAATTTTTCCAGACTATGGGCTCGATCGCATTGATTGAAGATGTTATCATTCTCTGTCTGCCGATTCCGGCATTTTGGAGATTACAAATGAACAATCGGCAAAAGATATCATTAATGCTGGTGTTTTCTTTAGGTGGAGTGTGGGAATCCCCAATATGATATCTCGCTTGTTTCCTACTACTGACAAATTGCAGTGTCTGTATCTTCAGTTTAATGCGCTTGATTGAATTTCGCAATTTCCACATCACAGACCTTGCGGGTTCGTTGCTGTCCCAGCTCAGACAATGACTCCAACTAACAGGTTCCAGCATCAAGTGCCAAAGAGTCCATCTGGACTTGCCTCGAGGTCAACGTGGCCACCATCTGCGGCTGTCTCCCATTTTTTAACCCACTTGTGCAAGGTGTCCGCAGAAAAGTCAGACGTGGCGACTCGAGATATAATCCCCAACCTTCGACCGGATCCAACCTCCAATTACATACGCGGGGAAACAAAGACAATTGTAGAGAGCTTGATAGTGATTCTGGAGCATCAGCAAACTCGAATAGCCGCAATGCTATAGCCACAGCAAGTCGACAGAGCCCAGATGTAGAGAATAATAGGCAGGACGTGGATGGGCAGTCCGACACATGGTTAGATAGTGAGGATCTGGCGAATCGCGTGGGAAGGCAATGAAGGTTGTCCTAGTCAAATTAAACTAGAGACTACCATTTTGAGTACATGTTGGACAAAATACAGCCTATCTTCCACTTAACCATAACAAAACCAAGGTTCCTGTTTAGGGCCTAGAGTGCCATATATATGCCTCCGCGGAGCCAACAAAGCTCAAAGCTCAACCCGGACCCACCGATGGGCTAATGGGCCCTAAAATGGGCCCCAAACAGTACAAACGTAAAAGTTGAACCGGCGGGGATGTTGGGGTTTCCAGATTACCCTTCAGTCTCGCCCCATTTCTAAGCCTTGCCCTTGAGGTGGCTTCATACGAAGAATCATGAGCCAGATGAAAGGCAGTCACATCTCAAGATGAGGACATCATCGTGTTGCTCAAGCCGTTTTGGGAAATCGATGTTGTAAGGATAGATAGGAGCCAGTGTGGTAGGGTAGGGATATGATGAGAAGTTGGAGAGTCTTTCTTTATATATTAATTAGTGGCGCAAGAACATGATACACCATCTGATTTCGGTACTTTTCAGATATCTTTTACTTCAGAAAACTCTCACTTCAGATATTTCTTAATTTAGTATCTAATCGTAGTATCTCATCTTTCACAATATGTTCTTAAGCCCACATAGCCTTGAACTTGCTATCAAACTCGATGTGCAGTTCTTTGAAGGCCTTGGCAACCAAGAACATAGATCTGTGAGACTTGTCCACTGGCTTGTCTTGCGTAGGCTTGAGACCGTTGGTCGTGTCTTTGGGAGCGTCGGTGGCTTCACCCACGCTTTCATCCAGATCGTCGTCATCCATCTCATCCTCCCAGCTATCTATCACAACCTTCTTCGCTCGCGGGCGAGCGGCGGGGACGGGGGCAGCCGCCGCCTTGGCGAGTTCTGGTTTCACAGGCAATTTTCCAGCATTTTCAGCCTCGATCTGATCAACGGCCTTATCATCCACGAGATTCTCGTAATCGTCACCTCCGCCAGCAACATCCAGCATGTCTGCACCGATGTTGCCTCCAGGCTTGAGGAACCCTTCGATGCTGGCCTTGATGGTTGCCAAAGTCAACGAGAAGTCGTTCAGCACAAACCAGATGTCTCCGCGGCGAATGCCATTTGCGGTCTCCAACTGAGAAACACTTCCGTGTTTGAAGAAGTCGTACAGGTACGCATTGAGAGGACCCGCGTTCTCGTTGGTGTCAATTGGCACATATGGAATGACGGAATCTTCAATCCAGACGCCACTGCGAACCATCTGACTGAGTTCGAAGACAGTACTGCATTCGTCTCCATTTCCTGAAAGGGCGTAGAATGGGGATACGATTGATGGGGAAATGTGCTCAAACTCTGAGAAACCGAGTTTCTTAGATGAACTTTCTCCACCGCACTGGGTTCCACTGAATGGTAGCGAACGGTCAGGTTCATTGATATGCTGCTTGATGAATGTGGAGACATAGCCAGTGTAGATGTCCCGAACCTGTCTATTGTGAGCACGTAGGGCGGATGCTGCTTTTCGCGGTAAAGGTGGAAGAGCCACAGCCGAGGACGGCTTCTTTTCTGCGCTCTGGAACGATTCCAAGGTGGAAGCTCGCAGGGGGATACGCCCGAAAAGGTGAGCCATGACCAGCATAAGGGACTGAACTGTCTTCTTGGGCTTTGTCTCTATGTCTTGACAGAGATCCTGGAGGTATCCCGAATTCAGTAGAGCATGGAAAGCAAAGCTAGAATTCTCTGTGTAGTACAGATGAGAGATACAGCCCGCAAAATTCGTAGCCATGCCTGTACCGCTTAGAAGGTTGTTCCGTCGGAGGTATTCGATTGAGAATCGGAGGTGGTGGAGCACGGTCTGCTTCATCTCGGGGCCACCGAGATGAATCCGAGGACTTGAGAGTATCGAGTTGATCGACTTGACGGCAGATGGAGCTTGCTTTGAGCCCTGTAGCAGGATGAACAGCCGCAGGACCAGACTCGTCGTTATGGGGAAATGTCCATTGAGACTTGGCAGTCTTGAGCTCATCAGTCGTTGCACCTTGGATGGTGGAACGTGCTGGAAAACGACATTTCCAAGCACGTCAAATCCACGACGTCCTGCTCTTCCGGCGGCTTGCCTGAAATTCAGAGCCGTCAAGAAAATGGAATCACCCGAGAAGACGACCGTCTTACATGGCATGTTGATACCCAAGGCCAGAGTACCAGTGGCAATCACGACACGCAAAAAGCCTTTCCTAAAGAGGATCTCACAAACTTGGCGGTACTTGCGATTCATACCAGCGTGGTGGACACCGATTCCTCGCTCTAAACCATCAATCAACCATTGAGGCACCGAGCGCCACTGCAGCTGTTTAGCATATACATAAAACTCGGAAGCGGTGACCTTCTTAAAGTCAGCCAAATGGAATCCATCCACAGGCCTCTTTGGATCAAAGAGATCAAGCCAGCCGAAATCAGTAGATGCTGATTCTTTGGCTTGCTCTGCCTTGGAAGTTGGCTCTTCGTCGGCGTTTCCACTTGGCTTCTTCTTGGTAGCCCTTTCAAGCTTCTTCTTTGCTGAATTTTTGGATGTCTTCCATGCTTCCCATTTCGCAATCTTGGATTTCCAAACCGGGCTCTCTTCTTTCCACTTTGTCTCAGCCCTTTGTAACTGTGCCAACAGCTCTTGGCATATATCTTCACACTTGCCGCGGTCGTAATTGAAGAACAGGGCGGGAAGAGCATTCTGAGCGTGTAGCGAGGAGATCAAAGGGAGGGTCGTATCGAGCAGGTTGTCATTCAGTGTATCAGAAAGACCATTCATGCGAGAGATTTCTTTCGACAAATTCTCTTCCTTTTCGATTGCGAACCCTGCTGGGTGGTCAAGTTTGAGCAAAAGTGCTTCAAATGGAGATTCCTGGTCTTTCATCCACTTTCCTAACACCTGTTTGAGTTCCCTTTGCCATTCTATGATGTGCACTTTTTGGATGACATTATTCGAGAAAAAGATGGACGGGGCCAAAGATGGATCAACGGGGAACTGCTTTGTTTGGAGATCATTCATTGCTTTCCACAAAGTGAAACAGTCACGTGGCTCGAAGTCAAGATCATCTGGGATCGATCTGGAGCGGTCCAGCAGGCTGGTGACAGGATGCACAAAAGTCATATCACCTGCTCCCTCTAGGCCCAACCGGGCCAAGCTAGGAGTATTGGAGAACCCCTTGAACGAAAAGTCACCGGAAGGCTCATACACGTACTTTCGCAAATCAGAATAACGATGCTGATGTTGGATCATCTTAAGGTCAAACCCATTGGTTTTCTGGGCAAGATCCAGCCAGTTGTAGAATTCTTGAGGATTTCCGACGGTAGCCGAGAGAGCGATAATTGGGCATGGGGCCATGAGAAGCAGCTGTTCCCAAACGACACCATCCTCAGCCTGGCCGATACAATGGATCTCATCAAAGATGATGCGCCTCAAACGGGGAGTCCATGCATTGGCGTTGGAGGGATTAAGCAGCATGGTCTGAAGAATCTGGGGAACCGTGATGAGAATTTGGCATCCCTGGGGGTTGTTGATGCGGTAATCTCTTGTGTGGATAGCCCAAACGGACTTTCCACTGGTCTTGGCTGGGAATGATTTGGAAAATCGTGCTTGCACCTCGGCTGCAATCTGATTGACAAGAGCCTTTGTGGGGGCAACATAAACCAGAATTCCATCGTTGTCTTCTTTCAAAATCTGTCTCATCGCATAGAAACTGAGACATGTTAGCATGGTTCTGAAAAAGTACATATTGCTACTTACGAGATGAATGTTTTTCCTGCACTCGTTGGGGCCACGATGAATGCGCTCTTCTTTGCATCGATTTGGTCCAGCACTTCACGCTGCCAGCGATCGGGCGCAAAATCAGGCGTCCGGGGGTCGGGCATTGAGTCTATGCTGCGCTCCATGAAAGGCCCACCGTGTTGAAGCTGGAATTCAACCGGGCTCATCTCGATACTCATGCTCGGTGCTGCTTTAGGAATCTTGAACGGCGGGAAAGATAGTTTCTGTTCACTATCGGCACAAAGCTGGGCAGGTGGCAAACCTAGTACTTGACAGACTGTCGAGACATATGCGACCATATCGGATGAGATGCCTTGCTTGATTTTCGTGAGACAAGTGACAATTTCCCAGATGCGTGTCACGACCAACATGTGCTTTTTACTTTGCACATTTGTGCGTTCAACAAAAAGAAGCCGCAGTAACGTATCGATCATGCAGGTCAAAACTTCTGGTTCCAGAACCTGTCGACTGTCTTTGGGAAGACTAGTCAAGTACCCGTTGAGCTTTGTAAAACGAGTTACAAGATCATCAATGAGAGCGAATTCGTCATTATACATGTTCTTCCACTTCTGTCTCTGTTTTTGGGTTACTTCCATTGCTTTTTGGTGAACGAATGCTGCGGCCTTCTCTTTGGTGGATGGTTTGCCAGACTTGGAGTGAGATTTCTTGTCTGATTTCGAAGTCGAGTGAGATCCGACGTCTCTGGTTGCCGAAGGAGTTTGATGAGACTTCTGGCGTGAGCTACTGCCAGATTCAACAACGATCGGCTCTGGCTGTGATCCTGAGAGACTTGCAGCATAATCTCTCATCTCGGCCATAAAACGCTGGTTCCGCTTGTGGTTCCGCTCAACCTCCTGCGGTGTTAAAATGACTTTCTTTTGATCAAGGGGCTTGGAGCTATGCCAATGGGTATCTTCGTTCTCCTGGGAAATTTGGCTATCGCTAGATTTATCGACTGCCAGGTGAACAGGCTTCAGGATCTTATCGAATACTGCATTGCTAAACGGGAGCACCTTTTCAATGCCATGGGGGTTGGAGATACTTCCGTTGATAGCATCCTCAGAGCCAGCTCCTGCCACAGCCACTTCGCATTGCAGTGTTGTGCCGCAAATGCGGCCCAAAAGACACGCAAGAGTGTTGAATGAGGGTTGTGTGACCGAGGATATTAACTTTTGGATGCCCATTTTCTCGACCATTTGCTGAACTTCGAAGAACAAAGTTCCATCTAGGAGGTCAGCAAGATCGCAAGGTAGGTTATGATCGCTCATTGCTTTATCCCAATGCTCCGAGCTGAGCAAAACCTTCGCCGATTTCACGAATTCGTTGAAGAATTTTGAGGTTCTAGGTGCCGTGGTTTGGATTGATCGATCCGACAGCTCGATGTTTTGCAAAAGTACAATGTGCAAAAGCATAGACTGTGCTCCAACCTTGTTATCGAGATTGTCCGCCACCCCGCCCAAAAGCATGGAGCCGAGGGTAACAACCACAAGACATTCGCGCTGGGACAGCCCAGGCTGCTCAAGAAGTGCCTGTTCAAGAATTGTTTGAGCTTGGCTTGACAATTCGTTGTTGACAGGATCATATTCAAGCGCATCCTCCTGGCTGTCTTCGATTTTTAATTGAGAGAGGGACTTCCACAAATAATTGAAATCAGTTGTTTCTTGACTGGGCTTATTTGAATCGTCTGTTTCAGGATGAATCGGCAAGGGATTTGTTTTAATGGAGCTTTCAATCACCATTGCCATGACCTGTGTATAGGATGAGTGTCAAGCGCAGTCTTTTGGGGGCGGAAGGAAGTACCTTTGTGTCACGGAACTCGAGAGTATTGAGGAGAGCGAGGTTGTAACCGTGGACAATAAACCAGTATATCATTGTGCGAAGCTTGAATCTTGAGATCTCACCACGCTTATTGACAAGAGGGCCTTTGTTGTCGCCATCTTCAAAGTCGCTGCTATCAGAATCACTTTCTGAATCGGCGCTGTCGATATCACTGGCAGTATCATCCTTGTGATCGGAAAACGCGCCGTCATGACACATGAACAAATATGCCCCCGAACTTATCAAATGAGCTTTGAACTCATCGGACTGGAAGCTGTCAAACCTCAAAGCTTGGAAAAATTGTGACGGTTTGACGCGGACAGAGACAAGATGCTGTATGATTGCCTCTCTGGCGAGAAGGTACCTCGCATGAAGGTCTCTGTGGACTCCTTCGGGAATACACAATGTGGCATTCTCGGCAAAAAAGACGACCTCAAAGAAACACTTGCGCTGTTGAAGCTTTTGTAATAACTTCTCGGCAAGGTACGTCGCATGCAAGACCTGGAAGCCCGGGTTGAAGTCAAGTTTTTCGTTGGAAAAGCATTGGAGTAGAAGCGAGTCTCCTTCGATTATGAAAAGCTCGTCACCAACAAAGTCACCGACGAGGTCGACGACTCGAGAGTCTAGGTTATTGTACCTTTATTTCAAAAATGAGTATAAACGGGCTGGCTCTAACAGCTAGAAAGCCAATGCTCACCAGTCTAACACAACATGGCGATCCATTATGTTCTCGATATTTCGATAGCTCGATAGCTCGATAATTTAGCCTAGATGGCTAGATGTAGACTGTTAGTCTCATGGTTGGTGTATTGACATTCCGAGGCTCGAAAATGAGCCGGTAAGGCTAGCTCAGGATAGCAAGGGAAAGAGAGCACAGAGAGGAGCGGATAAAATAAAAGCTCGGGAAGGAAAAATATCGTGAAATGCAGTCCAAAGGAGGGGCATCAAACAGGATACATTCTTATATTGCACCTATTGTCATTTGATGGCTCGGGAATACAATAGCTTACCGTTATTCAAAGGGAATTCTGGTTCATTTGCTTCTATAAGGCGTAAAGACAGTCGCTAGAATAGTTGAATCTTCTTGGGTCACCAAAGTGAAAGGATTTCGGGCAGAAAAGTTGATGACCGCCTTCTCCAGTATACGATATACGGGCATTTACTACATAGATCAAAACGGAGTAGAGATCCGGTTGCGAAATACATTATGCTGTGTAATGAGCTTGGCAGAGATTCTTGTATTTTTGGGTGTCTTTTGCCCCCACACTATTGGCTTTAACCTCATTTTACTTCCGCCTTCAAAATAATTACATGATAATGCATACTTTTCATGATGACCTTCTGACGAGACAATCAGACCTATAGATGTAAATTAAATCCATAAAGTATTAATCTCAGAGCAGCAGGCACACGTCCAGGACGATGGCGTAATTAAACAGAGTGAGAATCGAAGCACAAAACGCTCTCTGCTCCAACACAGTATGCTTTCCGCCGAACAAAGTATAAAACTTTTGGCCTACGGGTCAGGAGACGGAGAAACAAAGGGATAAAAACCCTGCCTCACGAAAAATATATATATATAGGTGCACAAAACAGCTGCTTTTGAGGATTCCCCCTTGAACGCCTGTTTATATTGCAAGTCATGCGACCTAAGGCCTCATGAGCACGCTGGTGGACATGCTTACTGTACCAAATTCCTCAACGCCAGTATTATTTTTCGAAGATTCTCACCAGCTATATGCATGCCTTTCCTTTGAAATTGACTTTTGGGAAAATCTCCTGCCGAGTGAGAATACCGCTTACCAAGCAGTGTGTCCTCCATCAATAAGAAGAGTACTTCCAGTCATGAAGCTGCTCGCATCGGAAAGACAGAAAAGAGCCGTACCACGAAACTCCTCGGGCATTGCCAAGCGACCAAGCATATTTTCTGCCTCCCAAGTAGCCCTGGCAGCGGGGTTTTGCTTGAACACCTCGTCCACCATCGGGGTGATGATGTGTCCGGGGCACAGGCTGTTGACACGAATGCCGTGACGACCCCATTCCATAGCGAGAGAGCGAGCGAGCTGAATGACCGCCGCCTTGGAGGAGTTGTACACAGGTGAGGTCATGCCTTTGTTGGCAATGAGGCCGCTCATGCTCGCTACTAATAGGATCGAGCCCTTCTGTTGATATTTGAACATCTGGCGGGCCGCAGCGGTGGCTGAGTTGAATACTCCATTATAATTAATCGACATCACGTCGTCCAAAGCCTGCTGGGAGTGCTCCAGTGCACTTTGGAGATGGTTGATTCCCGCTGCGGCGATCAGACCGTCCAGTCGCTCTCCCTTCGCTGCAATGGCTGCAAATGCATCGTTGACTTCAGCGCTGTCGCGTACGTCAATGCGGATATACTCCAAACTGCTGCCGTAGTCGCCTTTGGCCCTATCTTGAGCGACGAGGAAGTCTGGGTGTGGGGACTCGAGGCGGTCCAAACAGTACACTAAGTATTTGATATTGCGTTAGCATTCGTTCATCTTGGCACCGGAGGGGAAAGTGAGAGTGCAAGTACCTTTGGCCCCAGCCTCGATCAGTGCTTCCGCCATTGATAGTCCCAGTCCCCGTCCACCGCCGGTAATGGCATATACTCGGCCCTCAAGATCAAACTCGCTGAAACGGTGGTGGTTGCGCAAAAGTTCTTTTGCCGGCAGCTTTGATTGGATGTGGTCTGGGCCGTGAGTCACACTGTGAATATCATGAGGGCTCAGCGAGCTATTGATGTTCGAGTACAGGCGCGACGATGACGAAAAGAGAGAACGGGGAGTAATGACAGTAACTCTTGCTAGCCGTGTTCGAGCGGGAGCCAGTACTCGGGGAATAACAGACATGACTCAGGGACAGATTGGGTATATAAGAGGTGGGAGGAAGAGGGGAGAGTATTAACTATTAGCCTCAATAACTGTGAAGCGAGAAAATTCGAGGGACTGATGCAACCAAAGATTTCACGATATTCCATCCATGGCATCAGGGTGATAGGTTTATATGTCCAGAGAGTTAGAACGGCACTTCCTTAGGGAGCCTACCGAGAAGGATAAGATCCTGCATAAATATTGACAGTGAAAAATCAATTCTAGTTGCGCGTGACTAGGTGGATAACTGTTTTCACCATTGCTGAGATGGACCCAGGTACTCCGATTGACCGAGAACATACACAGTACGGCCTACGCTAGCCACGGAAGCTCTGATTAGCCATAGAGATGGGGAGGTCGAGGAAAGGGGGTCGCACCGCCACCCAGAAGGAATATCGTGACCCTTGGGCCGAAGACGGTAACTTCGATGGGAGCTTCGATGGAATGGCCCACCCGGCGGGAGTATGCACGGTTGTCCATCACAATCGATTGTTTGTGATCATGATTGGCTTAGAATCTGTTTCTTTTTTTCCACGCCGATCCCCGATCTTGTTCCGGGTCGAGAGGGTTGGATAATTAGGGGAATATCAGAAGATCCCGCGAAGCTGAAGCTCCCGTGCAGATGCGGAATGCCGGCCTCCCCCAATGAGACACTCGGCATTAACGGCTAGGAACGCAATACATTTCGTTTCTTCCCCCTTTGACTTTCCGGAATATTCTGTTTGCCATGGATATTTCGAGATGTTGGGAGGCTCAAAATCAGAAGAAAAAAAAAAACCGTAAGCAGTGACAAGTCACGATCATGCCCCTTTCTCGGCGTCCCGGAGCCCTTGGGATAGACCCTCCGAGTTCCACCTTAAATCCACCCGAGCCCCATGGGCACGCAGGTTGTCCAGTCCCGAGCTCCAATTTTGATTTTATTTTATTTTTAGGATGGGAGGAATGGACCACATGAGCTTAATAAAATCTCATACCTTCATGCTCGGCATTTCCCAATTGGGTAATCCTTTTTCACATCTCACACCGACTCCCATGCCCAAGGGGTAGTTTTGCAATAGCTCTGTAAAATACTCCGTATTTCACTTTCAATGGGATCTTTGGGTCTTTAATTTGCACTTGCGGTGATAATCGGAAAGGAATTTAACGCTTCTTACATAAAGCTTTCTCTATCGCCGGGAACTAAAAGCCAATACGGAGTGCAATATATGCATACACAATATGCATGCCGAGTCTAGCCCATCTGTAATTTTTTTTTTCCGGCTTACTGAACTCGAAATCGCTGTCGAGGTTACCTTTATAGACTCATTCTGCAAGCCCTAAATTGTGCACGTGCTCGAAATACCAATCCCAATATGGGGTAGGCATCGGCTATCAAAGGATCGAAGGTGATCTCGAACGCGTGTGTACTAGATTGAGGTTCCCAGTCCCTTACAAAATAATTTTTGCAGACAAGGAAGAAGCCCAGGCAGTCACACCTAAACTTCGGCACAACCTACTCTAAACCAAAATAGATTTTAGGTTATAGCTCATAACCCAAAACCTATCGTGAGGTCGAAGCAATAGACCTACCTAGGTAAGACCTATCTTAGGTTAGGTAAGGTAGGTAAGGTTAAGTTGGGTCGGGGCTAGTGTGGGTTATGCCGAAGTCTACAAGCTTTGTTAAGGCGCAATAAATTGCGGCCAATTTACCAGTATTAGCCCACCCCTAGGCTCAGCTCAGACTCAGTGCGAAGAAAGAGAACGCCAAGATGTGGCAGAGAAATTCGGTATGCAGGTATCTCGATATAGTGGCCCTAGAAAAAGGGATTAGAATGGGAAGATCACATGTTTCAATCATGGTATAGTAGTATCTGGAACATTTTGCAACAACCCCAGTAAATCCACGAATCCATGGCCCTCCGTCACCAGCCAATTCGCCCATTCATTCTCCATTGGCAAGAAGTTTTGCATAGAAGACCCGGCTTCTGAATACACACTTCGTTGGATGAGGTCCATTTGACTGCAAATCTCAGGGGGAAATGGGAAAAGATTCTCCAAGGCCTCGCTTCCATGCTGAGTTATGAAGCTATCCGACACGCCATTGGTATCCGTTTCCATTTGCTCCATCGAGGAATGCACTTGACTCTCTATCCCTCGGATCTTGTGAAGAACCATCTCCGATCCTCCATATTTGCCTCGTATGTTTTCCATAATGGAGCAGAGTATTCCAATTTCTTCTTGCCGCACTCGCTCTTTCTCCGCGCATCGTGGCCGGTAGTAGATCTGTGGAATAGATGCCAGCATGCAAAAGAAGCCGTGTATTGGGAGAAGAGATTTTGATCTTTCCCTGATGTTTATTTCTTCGTAGAGTCGAGCCATACAGGAAGCGGCGACCAGCGATCGCACGGATGTTACCCTCTGCTGATTCACTTCTCCTTGCAGGAGCTGGAGCATGACTATAGCACCGAAGTATTTGATAAATAGCTCCGAGATAGCGAAGCAAAAAGGTCTTTTGATTGCGCTGAAATCGTACAGATGAAGGTCATCTGGCAGATCTTGAAGCCAGCGCCATAATCTTTGTGTGAATCTGAGCACTTCGTCCTGAGAAACAGGCCGTCTTTCGAGTTGAAGGTCTGCAATTTGCCCAATTATCGCGCACAGCTTTGAGGTTTGAAGGAATGCCTTCGATTGAATATTTTGAACGTCAAAGTCGTTGATTGTTAAAGGTTTCACGTCGTAATATTTGGAACCAAAAGAGGGAGGACGACCCCAGCATGCCATTTGTAATTTATCAGCAGTCTGGAAAAGAAGATTCGGGTTAGAGACCAGGTTCGGATTTTCTAAGAAAGAGATTGATAGCCCGACTAACATGAAGATGCCAGAATATTCTTCGAAGACAGGGCGCACCTGGGTTGTCCAGGTATGTGGATTCTCGATGAAGTCCCATTTGAAGGGCAAGCCGAATTGCTACCCCCGTCCAGTACCATGGCCCATCCAAACTAATCTTATCAGGAGGTTTCACACTCCAGCATGATAAAAAACACAACGCCTTCAAAGTTGTAAGATTATCGGTTTCGTAGTCCAAGTATAGCAGGGTCTTGACCTTCTCATAGAGCGTGTGAGCTAGGTGCATAGATTCGGGACCATGTCGAGTAAGGCTCCCACTTAGGCACACTGCTTGCTGTAAGAGAATAGATGAATGAGGGGATGAGACATCCTCTCGCGATATGATAGCGTAATTATGAAAAACCTGTTCAAAAAATGCATCTGTTAATGCTCTGCGAAGAGCAGGTCCAGGAAGAATTTCTGCCTCTGTTGCGGAAAGAATGGCATGTCTGACCCGCAACGACTGTGATATTGAGCCTTCGGAGACTGTCGGCTGTGTGGGTTCATGGAAGGCCAGGACCGAGTGTGCAGCGATGAATCCTGTCTGTTGCTTGGGCTGTGCGTCGTCGCGCGCAGACTCAGGAGATGGAAGTGGGCCCAGATCTGAGAGTCTAGATGAAAAATCCAGCGCAGGCTCTGCTCTTGCGTCCCCAGGTGTCGCATTGATATTTTGCGGGGACAAGCTGGTTTGTGAGAAGCGTCTTGGGCTTGCCGCTCGTGTGCGTTTGCGCGCACCAGTGCGTCGTCTTGAGCTCGTTAGTATCGAGGTTGAGAACAAGGAAAGCCAGAAACGTACATGCACGAGTGGTTAAACCGACGACAGTTACTGCAAGTGTTATCGCGGCTGTCTTCCAAGTCACATTTTACCTAAATGAATGGTTATTACCGAGCGCGCGCTAAAGATCGGCCAAGGAGTTACCTTTCGAGTATGACAATGAACACAAACAGTATGTGCTCGATCTCGAATTCGGGCCATTTTATTAGATGATTGAGTTTCAATCTGGGAATTTGGCACGTCCTTCATAGCTCAGGTACTTTGTGAAAGTGGCAGCTAAGATTTTGTGATGCCGAGAGCATCCTGCTTTCCCCTCATTTACGGGTGCGACTGGCCCTCACTACTCGGACCCAACCAGGCCACCGCCTCAAGTGCTTGATCACTGTACAATGGCTAAAATGGAACCTATAGCCATCATCCTTAGTATTTCTATAATAACAACTGTACTAAATATCAAGAATGAGCAAGCTATTTGAATTGAAAAAATTGAGCAATGAGAAATGAGGACTAAGTTTCCACATGTCCGCGACAGTAGGCTTCTGGGTCTTACGCCTGCAGGCGATGACCATATGAATCATGGTAGATTTCACTGTGGGATGTCACCCTGGGTTGATCTTTGTGAAAAGAACGCGGGGCTTCTATCAACGTTCAAATTGATGGCTGCATGTGGTGGCGGCCATTGGTCTTTTTGGGGGTTCGGCTGTCGGCGTTGATGCTCGGTAAATCGGCAAATCTGTCTTATAGACCTGACGTCTGTCTGGAAGATGCCATATAAGAATGTATAGAGGCAGTCAATGCGAGAATGCATACTCCCCATCTATATTTCATATTTCACCTTTCAATCTCAACTCATCCATCATGTCCAAGTTGATTGTCGTCCTCGGTGCCACTGGAGGTCAAGGCACTGCTATCGTCGATAGCTTTATTAAGCTTCCAGACTGGCGTGTGCGTGGTCTTACTCGTAATGCCGCGAGTCAAAAAGCACAGTCTCTCGCTGCAAAGGGGGTTGAGGTCATAGAAGCCAACGTCGATGATCAAGCCAGTCTAGAGAAAGCGTTCCAGGGCGCTACTGCTATCTTTGCGTTCACCGACTACTATGATTACTTCTTCCAACTTGGACCCGAGGAGTCAATGGCGCGTGAGCTACAGCAAGGAAGCAATTTGGCCCGAGCTGCCGCGAAAATTCCAACGCTGGAACGATACATCTGGAGCACCTTGCCTAATACCGATCGTATCACCAATGGCCAGGCCATAGTGCCGCACTTCCAGGGAAAGGCCAACGTGGACGTTTTTATCAAAGAGAACCTAGCTGAGCTCTACGAGAAGACTACCTTCATCATTTTCACCATTTTTGCCGCAAATGTGACCCATTATGAAATTTTCCGGCCGATCTATATTGTGAGTAACCTGCCCTTGCCTCTCGACTTTCAGACCCTAACCGATCATTACGCATTAAGCCATCAGCCAAAAAATGGGTGCAGTTTTATCCAGTGCATCCCGATACACCATATCCATCGATCGGCAACCACCGCGTGAACAGTGGCATCTTTGTGCGGGGTGTTATTGAGAACCCACCCCCGTCAGGTACATATGTCAGGTGTAATGTCGAGGATCTTACGATGGACACCTTCTTGGCTGCCTGGGGTCGGTCGAGTGGAGTGAGTCCCGAACCCAATTCCACTGCCGTCATCCAAATTTCCATGGAGCAGTATATTGCTCTGTGGGGTGAGATGGGAGAAGAACAGGCCAGCCAATGGCGATTCTTCCGGTTCATGAAAGATGCTGGAATCAACCCAAGCAATGTCGCAGGGTTCAAACTAGTTGAGGGGAAGGATCTGCTATCTGACGATCTTCAGGCTGCTCTTGTGCCAACTGAAGAGGGTATGAAGACCATGGACTGGTCCAGCTTTCGTTGAAGCACTTGGATAAGCTAGACTCCGCTACAATTCAATCAATCATGTTCTATTGGTATATTATTGTGAAAATTTCTATTTTAGCAGATTTCAAATTCATCTGTTTCATAAATCTGGACCTTGTAATTATGGATTCACTCAATCATTTCAACTCATTATAAGAGCCTGGAATTTACAATCAACCTACGAAGTATATAAACGATTCCCAAAGTCGGTATAACGTCAACAAATATTGTATTCGCATGTGGGCCGGACGTGGAGTGTTAACAGCAACAAGACAGACTAGATATGCCTGGAGAGAAGGGCTTGGAGATAGCCGAAACAAGTTGCCCCGTATACCCCCGCATTCAGGTATTTAACTTTGACACTACTCGTTTTAGAAAGGCTCTACTCTTTACGTTTGTGCTCGTCCGAGGTATGTTTGGACATGTCGCCCAGGAAAGTGCCGAGTATACCGAGCGCCGTCACCGAGCATTCATATACTACTTTGACCTTTAACTACGGTCATATATAAAAAATCTGTTGCCGAGAGTCTCGGTTGAAGTTCACCACGCATAATAGCGGGAAATCTTGTCGGTACCGCGGTATAGAGATAAAAAGGCAACCCAGCGTGGGTTTTCATTCACCATAAATCTTCCGTCTTCGACATTCTTGGAGATTTGAAGGAAAACAGCAAATAGTCACCAAATCACAACTTAGTTTTGCAGTAACCATGTCTGAAGGGCTATCCGAAAAGGTACTTCTTGGTGCTCAGATGACCAAAGAATTCCTTGGGGAGGAGCTATTGACAGAGCTGCGAAAACATGCCGTACGTCTCACTCCAGGTGGGGTATCCAAAGACGATGCCACTAACTTCAATATCTTCTTCAGAAAGACGACATCTTCACCAAGACAAGCCAAGAGTATATTGCGGAAGTTTGTTTCTCCAGCTACGCGCGCCCAGGCCTCAAGTTCCGCGAGCGCTCCCTCATGAACCTTGCCATGCTTACGGCTCTCAATCGAGGACCCGAGCTACGTATTCATGTCGCCGCTGCGCTTCACAATGGACTCACGGAGGAAGAAATCTGCGAAGCTTGCAGACATGCAATGATTTACTGCGGTGTTCCCGCCGGCCGGGATGCGCTTGCTATCGCGAGCGATACTGTCAACACTATTAAGAACAAGTCGAAGGGATAGATTCAGTCTACTAGGGGCAAATATCGATATGTATTCAAGCACATGTGCAGATGTAAATTCCTATTAGATTCAGAGATATCAATTCGCATCAATGACATACCACTATGCAACATTTGGGGTTTCTTACTTAATTGCACATTCATCCGGATGTTATGTTGATGAACTTTTGTTGAAATTCTGTTCTCTGTGTACTTATTCGCTTTCTATTAGTTACATAAGGAGGGCAGCTTGAGAAGGGGTTTATTTGGAATTTTAACAGCGTGTCTACATACTGCACAACTTCTGTATACCACTTGTGTAAAGATCTTCAAAGACAAAAATTGAAAGCACACGGGCTGCCGAATTACTTTGAAATGCCAAGGAGGAGTTCTCCGAGCTTTCCTGAATGCTTAGTCCATTCGAATAATATGATAATTGAATAACAGCCATTGATAATTACAGTGTTCAGATTTTAATCAATAATTTCCCAACTGTAACCCGATTTTCCAGATCTCGGTGAGCCTGCTCAACATCCTCGAGGGAGTAGAGTCGATCATGCTTTTGGACAACCCATTGCCCAGACGCAACCCTGTCAAGAGCTTCCTTGCCGTAGCGTGCCATTCGGTCGCCAGCAGTGATATAGTTTTTGAGAGCAGGGCGCATGACACTGATATTCTTGACTGCGAGTTTCTCTACGGGAATACGAGAAATGGGGCCACCTTGGGGGTTAAAGATGAGAATTTAGAACACGAAACGAGGCGAGCTATTCAAACTGCAAAAGACTTACTGGCATTTCCAATAAACACGATCTTTCCAAAAGCCTTCACAGCTGCAAAACTGCCATCACACGTGTCTTTGCCGACACCGTCATACACCTTATCATATTCGTTAGCAAGTCAGTCCCTAAAAAGCTCGAATGAAGACAACCCACCACGTCAACACCCTTTCCGTCAGTCGATTCATGAACCTTAGTTGCCCATTCGTGGTCTTTCCGGTAGTCGATTACATGGCTTGCTCCAAATTTGAGGGCTAGTTTGCACTTTTCCGGCCCTCCCGCGGTCCCAATAACAGTCGCTCCACGGTCGCGGAGGAGTTGACATAGAAGAAGTCCGAGTCCACCTGCAGCAGCGTGAACCAAAACCGTCTCCCCGCTCTGGACCGGGTGCGCGTCGGTTGTGAGGGCCAATGCCGTGATTCCGGTCAGGAAGACACCAGCAGCATCTTCATCCGAAACACTGGCTGGAATTTTGGTAATCTGGGAGAATGGAACGGCAGTGTATTGCGCGTATCCACCTTGCCAAAGCCAGACCACTCGGTCACCAATCTTGAGGTCAGATGGCGCATCTTCGGGTAAATCCTCGATGATACCAGCTGCTTCCTGGCCCAGAATGAGATCCGATGTCTTTGCACTTGGATAGTGTCCCTGGCGGAAATAAACATCCACGTAATTGACACTGGCGACAATATTCTTCACGAGAACATATCCCTTGCTTGCAACCGGACAGGGAACTTGATCGGAGACTTTAAAACCCTCGGGACCTCCGATTTTGGCCAAGAGGTTGGCTTTCATCATAGCAGACATCGTGAGACTAGCCTCAATATTTGATTCGAACTTTTCAGCTAAATTGAAATATGTTCCTCCTGAACCAGATGAAGAGCTTGATCAAGTGCCCCGTCAAAGAATTTCATGTTGTCGTCTGACATTTGCCGAGCGCCGAAGTGGATGGCGAACGCTTCGGCACATGAGGGCCGAAATCCGGGGACCGAGCAGGATAGTCTGATGATGAAGCCAATGCCCCTAGAACCACCGAGGTGTGGGGGAGGAAACTTATAGCATTCTATGAAAATACCAATATAGATATAAATGCCAGGTAGATGAAATTTGAAGGGAAAGCCTGTTTTATCAGCATCTAATTCAAACCAACTTCGTTAAAATGACTCTGACCAATTTGAACGACCACGCGCCATACAAGGTGCTGGAGCAACCTCTTGGCACAACTCATCACGTTCGAGTTATCACTATTGGTGCTGGTGCAAGTGGCCTGAACATGATTCGGACTCTGCGGAAGAATATCCCCGACTCGGAAAATGTGGTCTACGAGAAGAACCCCGACATCGGGGGGACATGGTTCGAGAATAGGTATCCCGGTTGCAAATGCGACATCCCTTTACACAACTACCAATTCTCTTGGGCTCCAAACCCTCACTGGAGCAGCTTCTATTCCGGTTCATCAGAGATTCACCAATATTTCAAGGGTCTAGTAGCCCGTGAGCATCTGCAAGACTCAATTAAGTTGCAACATCAGGTCGAGAGCGCTGAGTGGAATGAGGATGAAGGCCAATGGCATGTGGTTGTGAGAGACCTCGCAACTGATACTATCATAAATGATGTGGCTCATTTCTTGCTTGATGGCTCAGGTATTCTCAAGTGAGTAATTCAAATGCAACACCTCGGTCGAACGGTGATTGATTAAAGATTAGTCACTGGAAATGGCCAGAGATCCCTGGTCTCCATTCTTTCAAGGGCGATCTGGTCCACAGTGCGAATTGGCCAGCGGGCTGGGATTACAAGGGCAAAAGAGTAGCAGTAATCGGGAACGGATCATCTGGTGTACAAATCGTTCCTGCTATGCAGCCAGATGTTTCAACCCTCGTCCATGTATTCAGATCGCCGATCTGGGTAGCACCCCCAGGCTTGGAAGGAATGTCTGCGAGTACCGCCGGTGAAGAGATTGCGAACTTGGAACTTGACGGCGATCGCTTCACACCGGCTCAAATTTCTCGATTTGAGGAAGACAAGGAACTTTACAAACGCTTCATCAAGGCAACGGAGGAAGTCGTGAACAACAAATTCAGCTATGTGAGTTCCCTTTGTGACTTCTCTCATCTTGTTCGCATTTTTGACGTATTCGGACAGCTTGTTACCTCCACGCCTTTGCAAGGAATAGTCAAGGAAAAAATGAGAGATTATATGAGCAAAAAGCTGAGAGGAGATACAAAGCTCATGGACAAGTTGATACCTGACTTCCCATTTGGATGCAGGCGAATCACACCTAGTGTTGCCTATCTCGACTCGTTGCATGAGAGTAACATGCACCTCGTGACTGACGGCATTGCAAATGTCTTTGAGAGTGGATTCACAACAGAATCCGGCGAGACAATTTTTGTTGATGCCATCGTTTGTGCTACAGGCTTCGACTTGTCATTTCGTCCTCGCTTCCCAGTTATTGGAAGAACTGGGAACTTGCAAAATATTTGGACCTCACAGATTCCCTCATCATACATGTCATGTGCTATCCCCGGGATGCCTAATTACTTCAGTGAGTAGTCTACATTATACTTACTCTATGAATATCATTGTCTCATTATTTACCAGCATTCCTCGGCCCCAATGCCCCAATCGGACACGGCAGCGTATTGACCATTACTGAACATGTTGCCAAATACATAGTCCGGCTCATTCGCAAGTGCCAAGAAGAGGGGATCAAGTCAATTTGCCCAAAACAAGATGCAGTCGATGATTTGAATGAACATATTGCCGTTTTCATGCCTCGAACAGCATGGGCGGGGAGCTGCCGTTCCTGGTTCAAGAATGGTGAAACAAATGGTCCAGTTACGGCACTTCATCCTGGAAGTCGAATCCACTGGTTTCATATGCTACAAAACTTCCGCGGTGAAGATTACGAATATACACGTTGGACTGCAAACCGTTTTGAATATCTGGGAAATGGGACCTCTACGCTCGAAGGTCCAGGTATGAACTCAACTTGGTATTTAGACGAACCAGATAGTTTGTTTTAGTATTTTTTTACTTTCCCTTTTTTAATATCAACAACTCATATTGAAATGCAGCTATAGCCTCAATTTGTTTGTTACTGCATTTTAATTGGTATAGAGGACATTCTGCCTATGGCACTTGTCAAACCTGGTAGTCATCCTGACATCGCCTTTTTCTGTTGAGCTCTCCATTTGGGCTCTGTTGGAGTATGGTCAAGTAGACCCTCCATTTGATGGAGATTCCCATCTCTACAGCGCATGTTTGCTGGAATAAAGGGCATAAACTTCTAGTCCTTCTAGTCTTTTCCCTCTGCCTATCACACACAATAGAAGGCCTTCTACCTGCCTTTCAATCCAATACACATCCCACATCAACCTTGTAACCCTGTAATCTCTTATTAATTGGGGTTAAACCTCAACAAATCCAACTGAACATTAGGGGATCCAGAGCCCGTTTGAAAGTTTTGTTCAAGGACAAAATATTTGCCAAGATTCGCATTTTCAATTCGATATTCATAACAAGAACACACTGACGGCGTGAAAGGAACTTAAGTATCATATTCAAGATAATCAAAGCGTATATCGAAATCCTTCCAATCCTTCAAGGACTTTCTCCTTACGGTCAGCCGCTTCGTTCTCCAAGTAAAACCAGACAGTGATTCCACCGTTAATAAATATGCAAACCACTGTACATGCGATACTGGCATATAGCCCAGGACGATAGTCAGGGTAATGCTGCTCTCTAAACACCAGTGGACCCAAAAATCCCACCAAGAGCAGCTAAGCTTGTCTGAAGAGGAACTGCAATTTGCCTCTTGCTTGTACCGACAACGTTGTTTGACATAAATATTAGAACAGTTGGTATAGCACAGTTGTTTCCCACAACAGCCATAAATATTCCGGCCATTTTGCAGCCCGTGTTATTTCCCCATCCCATCATAATGAATCCAGCACAATTAAGCAGCATGAACCCAATGATAAATGGACTTCTAGTTCGGACACGGTCTGATATTATACCTGTTGCAATAGAAAAGATGGCAGCCATCAGATACGGTGGTGTCACTAAAATCTGGCTGAGCGCGGTGCTGTAGCCTAATCCCGACAGGACCGAGGGTGTGAAGAATGCCATTGTGTAGGCACCGGCAGTGGGAAAGAATAGCAAGCCGGCCAGCACCCAGACTTTCCAATCAGTGAGACCTTTGAGAGCTTTTCGAATTGTGATTTTGTCGTCAAGACGCTCGCCTCGGTCTGCCTGAAGCCGCCTTTGAATAAGTCCGAGCTCCTCCGGACTCAGCCATTTTGCATTTTCTGGGAAGTCTGACACAAAGAAGAATATAGGAACGGCGAGGAACATTGTCATGGCACCAGGAACAATGAATATCCAGTTCCATCCCCGTCTTCCCCCGAGACCTTCCAGTGTGCTCAGCCCGTACGAGATGATCCCATTGAATCCGGATATCACTGAGCCTGACATGTACCAAATGGAGAGTCTGCGTTGGGTCTCATATCTTTCATACCAGGAGGATATTAGGTATATGCAGGCGGGCTGATTGAATGCGTAAATTAGTATCTAATCATCCCGGATAAACAATTGCTCACATTAAATCCTCCTTCAAACGCCCCAAGAAGTAGCCGTAGGCCCACCAGCTGGGAGTATTGAGTAACAAATCCAAAGCACATGGATACTGTTCCCCAGATCATGATGAGAAATGCGAGATAGTACCGTGTTCCCACGCGTCGAACGATGAAATTGCTAGGCAATTCACTCATCAGATATGGTGCAAAAAACACCACGAGAGCAACAGAGAAACGATTTCCCGTAAGCTGCAGGTCCTGGGACATCCCAGCGACTTTTGCTGCGGATATATTGGTACGATCAATCAGCGACAGGGCGTAAAGAAGGCATAGCCAAGGAAGAAGTCGAATGTCGATCCGACGAACCAGTCTCTTCTCAGCTTTCTTCCTCTCGGCAGTCTGTGTTGGGTTGTTTTGGAACTCGACATGATACTCGCTTATATCATCCTCACATGAAGGCCGTTCCTTGAAGATTTGTGCCATTTTGATCCCGAGTTTGAAACAGAACAAGGATGCCCTAGTCGAGAAAATGTGGGGAACCTTGGGAAACCTGGGGGAATCTGGGGAAATCTGGGGGAATGACCGGGCCACAAGGTCCATTCATTTATCTTCCCTTGCAAGCCCACATCAAGACTTCGGACATGTTTTGGGCCATCATTTTCTATCATGCGTCCTTTCGAGGTTTCGGTACTCGGTACATCATCTACACTGTCTTTGTAGACAACACTACCGAGGCCGAGGGTCTTACTTCTTTGTCCAATGTTGAGACTTTTATAAATACCGGAGGTGTCAGGTATATGTTATCTGAGCTCCAACAATTGAACTTGATTTGTTCGAATTTGACTTATATCTCATCCATATTGACCCTTTGTCCAGAATGCCTGCCGCTATTGTCACGGGTGCTTCTCAAGGCATCGGTCGAGCCATTTCCTTACGTTTAGCAGATGACGGCTTCGACGTGGCTGTGAGTATATTTTGAATATCTTTGGGTCCATACCTGTAGTCTTTCTCACCCAAAGGCTAGGTGAATGACATCGCCGCGAGACATTCTGAGCTCCAGAGTCTCAAAGCAGAAATCGAGTCCAAAGGTATGTATCTCATCTACTGGGGTATTTGGTGCTCATTCAAATCAGGCAGATCCTCCGTTGCCGTAGTCGGCGATGTAAGCATAGAGGAGGATGTGAACCAATTGGTTGAGGCCACTGTTGAAGCTCTTGGTCACTTGGCGGTAAATTTCAATGACCCCTCCCCTTTGGGTAAAGGTTCACTAACCTCGAATGTAGGTCATGGTCGCAAATGCGGGTATAATGCTCACGAAACGGGTGATGGACCTTACGATGGATGAATGGGACCATGTTCAAGCTGTTTGCACCCCCGCTTCTTGTGATATTATCTCTAGCTTACGTGCAAAGGTCAACGTCAAGGGAGTCTTTCTGTGCTACCGAGCTGCTGGCAAGTCTGATTACTTGAATTAAACATATTTGATTGATGTGGTTCTAATCTTATGTGTAGGTCGACAGATGATTGCCCAAGGCAACGGGGGAAAGATAATTGGCGCATGTTCTATCTCGGGTTATCGGCCGGTATTGAATTCCATCCTTACTCCGGCTGTATCGATAATACACGAGAACTTACCTACATTAAAAGCAACCGACTGCCATTGCCTATTCAGTGAGCAAATGGGCCGTTCGAGGCTTGACCCAAGCGACGGCCATTGAATTCGCCCCCCATGGCATTAACGTGAGTTTACAATACCCGTTTCTACGAATGTAAAAAAAAAAAGACGAAAAAAAGAAAGAACATGATTTAACTCTTTCCCAGGTGAATGGTAATGAATCATGAAACTCCGATTCGAAGACTCGCGTGAGTAATGAAATTGATTTTATATCTAGCTTATTGCCCTGGTATCGTCAAGACACCGGTAAGAGACACAGCATGGACTTCAACAATTTACCACCTTTATTAATCATGCGTAGATGTGGGATCAAATCGACGACAACTTTTCAAATGTTCATGGCGTACCAAAGGGTCATGCCTTTGAGCAAGCAGTCCAATCGCGCTCTGCGATGAAAAAGCCTCAGGTATAATCAAGATTAGTCTTTTGTTCACTAACATGGCCTTACTAACGAGCACCGATAGACTCCAGAGGATATTGCCGGCTGCGTCAGCTTCCTTGCAAGTAAAGACTCCGGTATGATAACTGGACAAAGCATAATTATTGATGGAGGTAAGTGCGCTCAAATCAGTATAGAATTGACATGTTGCTTATTGTCCTCATCATTTACAGGCATTCAGTTCTCTTGATTGGATCTATGGAAATCTGATTTAGTCACAGATACCTAGCTATTGCTCGTGGTAAATTGAATGCAATCAATGCGTTTTGGTATCTACGTTTACATTAAGAACTTTGTAACTACATTTAGAGTGTTGTGTGACAACTACCCATCAAAGAAACTCATAAACATCAGACCATTGCTTTAAGCTGATCAAAATTGAATCATCAATATCACACGCACCTTACCATGTACGCTGACAAAGCATACGTTCAATCCATGCATATGAACTCCAACCCCAGTATACAGCACCATCGACTTTCTTCGGCAGTGTTTGTTGGCCTCGGCAATAGACGGCAATCGATGCAAGCATGATTCGGCAGTCAACTACCGATCGGCGTAAGTAGTCAGGCGAGGGGCTAGCGAGGGGAGATGATTAATGATAAGTTTCAATCGATTTTGCGATTCTATTGAAATTCATAGACGCCAGCGAGATGTTTCCAGTTCTCTATGCTTTATTAGAGATTGTTCCCAACGTACCTAACAAACGCATTGTTGTTGTCGGTGCGACTGGTGGTCAAGGTGGCACTGTTGTTTCCAAGTTTTTGAGCGATAAGACGTGGAAATACCGTGGAATCACTCGAAACACGCAAAGTACAAGGGAAAGGGCCCTCTCTGCCAAGGGCGTCGAAATAGTTCAAGCAAATATCGACAATATAGTCAGCCTTGACAAAGCATTCGAAAGAGCGACGGCTATCGATGTGGGGCAGGGAGATTGGAATTTCTCCAGATCGTGACTCAACCATGGTTGTTCGCCTGTCACCTGAAGTCTATACAAAGCTTTATAGAGACATGGATGAAGAACAAGTACGTCAATGGGATTTTCTACGGATTTTGAAAGACGACGGTGCCACGAATTAATATGGATTTCCCGTGGGTTAGAAACGTGAACTGGAAGGCGCTTGGATTCTGAGCACAAGGGTCATACCTTCATGCTATGTACTTGTTAGTTATCATACAAACATGACGCTTTTACATTTAGTTTACGGCTTTGTATTATTCGAAAGTTCGAGATACATTTATTCGTAGTAATGGTGACCAGTTAAATAAAGGAATCTTGGTATATCCGCTTGCTTGAGTTATCCGCTAAATACTATCAAAGACCTCATCAAAATTCGAGAACCCAAACGCAGTAACGAATATGAGCTCTGGAAGGTACATGATTTTGGTTAAATTAGACTGAGAAACGTGTTATTGAAGAAGAAGTATAAGGTCTCGTCGTTTTAGTTCAATTTGCGAGTCCGGTTTTTCATTCAATTCAGTCTCCAATACTAGCTCTCAAAGAGCCAAACACTTATCTAGGCATTCAAGGCGCTATGTCCAGGGTCCTTTTGAACACCTCATAATCCCAAAGCTTGCCATCTCTCCAGAAGCCCTCAACTAGAGGAGCATGTGCTGGTTGTCCGTCCACCGCAACTTCTCTCATCCAACCCCAATAGCATTTCTCTTTGATGCCATCACTCTTCCAACTATTGATATCTTGGCTCGGATTCTTATTGAAAATGGGCAGATAGTCAAGTAGAACCGCGTCATGGGCAATGCACACCAAGACGTTCTCATTTTGATCCAGAGATTGCATTTTGGCAACCGAAGCCCGCGCATTTTCAATGTCGGGGTATGCCGTGGGATACTCAGCGCGCATGTTATACCAAGGCGTTGTGCGAGCAGCCCCTTGGTCGGAGGTATTAGGATGGTGGGCTGTGAGAGAACACGGACAGGCAAGGAGGTTCCTGGCTTCATTGCGCCATGTGATAACGGATTCAGGGATGGGGTCTGGAAGAGGTTTCTCGGGGGATGGGCGAAAGTCACCTGCAAAGTGGCAGATATCCCCACCCATGAAGACGAATGTGGCGCCGTCTTCTGCAGAGGATGGGGTGGTACGTGCCAACGCACAAAGGTGGCCTGGACAGTGACCAGGAGAGTCGAGGAGGTAAAAAGATCCGTCTCCAAAGTAGTCGTATGCAGGGAATCCACCGATTGAAAAGTCACGTTCAAAGTCAACCTCGATCAGGTCCCGATTGGCGAAGTCTGAGGCCAGGACTGGAGACTTCGGGTTTTCGGGGTAGCCTGGCAGCAGCCCGGCTGCCTTGAAGCCACTGCCAACAGTGATAGAAGTCGATGAAGGGAATGGATACATGTTACCGCAGTGATCATAGTGGTGGTGGGACCAGATACAGGAGTCTAGAGCCAGTCAGACATCGTGGTTGAGGCAAACCCGGGGAGAATTTGAACTGACTGATACTCTCCAGTGTCACACCTCCATCTTCCAGAATCTCACTTACGTTTTTTTCAATCCGTATTCCATCCATGACCGCATTGGCGCCAAAAATATACTGAACGGCCGGTGCAAGATTCCAGTAGTCTTTGCGTGTTCCAAGATCGAACATCACTTTCTTTCCTTGGGCCTCATTCTCGATGAAAAATGCAAGGTCAAAGAAGTTAAAGGTTTCATGTCCAGGAACAACGGGGTCAACAAACACAAAAGCCTTTCCGGTCAGGTAGGTTGTGGTGTCAAGCAGCTTGACCCGCACGATGTTGTCCGATAGTGGGATATCCATGTTTTCTTTTAGCAAAGATCAATGAGAGTCTAGTTGTTGGAATGTAATGGTCAAGACTATATACTTCGGTTCATCTTTAAGCCGATGGTTTCCAAGCTTACAACATTTTACCGAGGGCCAGCGTCAAGTCTGCTTTGACACTTCGCCGCTCGGCAACTCGGTTGTAGATTCCTTGCCAAAGAGAATGACCAATTATATACATATCTTGTTATTGAGTCTGTGAGCAACTTACCACATATTTCAAATTGTTCCTAATGTTTCTAAAGATGTTGATCATTGTTTTGATTGATGACAAATTGACAAACTAGGGAGGCTACCCACCGCCAGGACCTTTTGGGGATAGGCATGTTCACTGTTTGCCCAATTTCCACAATTATTGTCTTCGTTTGAAATTATGATACACTGTGTAGCTTACACTAGTTATCTAGTTCCGGCTGACAGTTTCCGACTGGATTCTCAGCGCCGAAGGTGGCAACCTTTTTCTGCCAAAACACCGGGTCATCTCCATAGGCCTAGGTAGCTCTCCTATTATGTACGCTATTACGTATACATCTATTTTTATAAGCGATATAAAGGAACTTGGTGGTTGATTTGGCTTCATAAGAGATATAACCTGAAAGATAAACAGAGAATAACTGCTTCCTACGTACTTAATGCGATAAGATCAATACTAAAGAAATAATGCCTTTTTCTTACCATATCTCGAGTTATATCATCCAGAAAAACGTATTTAGACCTATTATACGTTGATCCGACAGCTCATTGTTCATCTAGCTTAGTCGAAACTCTTTCACACTAACACCACAATAAGAAGGTTTAGGAGCGCAATAGAGAAACGATAATGGGTCGTGTCAGGAAATGATATAGCTCGGTATCGCTACAATACCAAGGATTTTTATCAGATAAAGACTGTGCTCGATTCCTGTGAGACATGCTAAAAATGGCAAGGAAAGCAGGAGAAACAAAGTAAAATAGCTACTACTAGGTAGTCTTCCCATAGATGGCCTAAAAGCCCCACAGGCATACTCTCCCTAACGGCCCTAGTGGGGAACCACAGGGTACTGCAAATTCTGGCAGTCCCCATTGCATTCCTGGTAAAGTCCAATAAATCCGTAACCCCCACAATTTTGAGCAGGGTTGCCGCTGCAGGCATATAGACAATTTCCCATCGGGGTAACCTTCGGTTTCTTGGCAGGGTCAACGCTATTGCCACAAAAGCACTCTTGGGAGTTTTCCAGGCCTGCAATTGTGTATCCATCCGCCTTACATTTCTGGATACACTTTTCAACGGTCATGTCAGACCCCCGTGAACTGGAGCCTGTGAGGATGCGGACGCCGCCTGCGTTATCGACCGTGCAACCAATCCACTTCCAACCCAGCTTAGTCGTGACATCGGTATAGTAGTGCCGTGGTGATCCAATCTGTGTAGGTGCACCACAGCCAGTGAATATAGTCGCATCGTTGGGGCCCGGCTGAATGGGATTACAGCCTGGTAGGGCATCGAGCCATCCTCCGACTTCTTCGTCGATTGACTGTTCTAAAAGGCAGCCATCTGTGACGGTGTCGGGGTATAGATGAATTGGCGGGCATTCAGTTATATCACCGCCACCGTCATTGCAGGTGTCAATCGCTTCTTGAAGAACATCCACATTCCACCCGTTGACAAAGTCTCCATGTAAGCCATATCCCGTGGGATCGCCGAAAGAAAACACAAATGGCTGACTGTCACCATACCACATATCTGCAAATTGTTCGGTGTGCCATGTGATCTCGTAAAAGATTGACACGATTCGAACGGGATGCGATGCAGGGCACGGGCCGTTGTCATAGGTCTGAGTCGGATATGCCACGTGCGACTTATGATCAGGGCTGTCCAAGTTAATTCCGTCCCAGCAGGAAGGGAAGTAAATCTGGGCCCGGAGACCATTGGGGCAGTTTGTCTTCGGAAATCCATTTGTTTGGGGCGTACCAGGACCATTGTAATTGAGACAGGCGAAGCTACGCGCGTCAGCAGCGATTGTATCCTTATATTGGCGGTCAAATGGACTGCCAGCAATCATCCGGAAGCCAGGCGGGGGAGCCACAATTGCACCATCGGTAGTTGGATCTGGACGTTGCCTAGGTCTTTTAGCATCACTCTTTAGTTAAGAGATAGGATATTCTTACTCGTAGTAGATCAAAGCTCCGCCGTTCTGCGGGACTTGAATGAAACTACCATTTGGGGCATGGTAGTAAAGTGCCGCTACCCAATAGTTGGATTTGTCCTCAATCGGGGAGCACGAGTTGCATTCTGAAGTTTGTGTCATGTCGTAGTTCATGGTAAATCCGAAGCCGGACCCTCCCATGATAGTGTGGACATGATTGGAGGCTACTCCAGGTGAGATGAGCGGGTCTGCTCTCTCAATCACCAGGGGTGTACTGCATGGCACCTTAAAGAAGGCAAATGCAGCGTTGAGGTATAAAAAAAGAGAGAGATTATACTTCTCAAGAAAGCGCATTGTGAAGGACCTGGATCCTCTAAGACTGTTCTCCTCAGCCGAAAAGTTTGATGCTTTTTTTTCTCTAATTGTGGCAGGTGTGACTCTTTTATCATGATGGTCTTGGCCTCATTGGTGTCACTCCAATCTAATCATCTATATTATGTGTCTTTTTCATTCAAAAGCGAGAAAGGTGTATCCAGAAGTTGAAAAGTACAGAAGTTTTGTTAACTCCGTGATTCCGCTGTGTACACTATATTAATGCACTCGTATTCTATATGGTTACCTTTCATAGCGCTCAGTGCCGGAGTTCTTGTCAGAATCGGCCTAGTGGACATGGAACCCGCAGGTACGGCCATAGACTGACATTTGATCAAACATGTATATTTTGCGGGGTTCGCCTGCGGGACATTCGGTAGATTCAAATAAAATCGTGATACGGACTTATCGGCATTTACCAGAAATGTGGGATTGTCAAAATACACAGTACATCTGAGTCCCATTCAGTAGAAAGGCTATATTTTTGGAGCCCGAGGTTCAGCTACTCCTGGTGACAGGAGTTAATGTGACAGGAGTTAGCGGCTAGCTAGTTTTCCTTTCCGTCTCTCTATCCCTCCGCAACCATATGAATTGTGCACAGACTTTCTGCTCGGCTCTTCCAAGAGTCTCCCCAAACAGACCCTTTGTATGGCGCTCCCTGGACGGATGCAGTAGGATGCATATTCACTAATGAAGATTGTATATTATGCTAAATCCAAGCATGAGAGAATACGAAAAAGAATTGTTTTGACTAAGGCTATTCCAGGAGGCACAGAGAGACTTCGAGCTGTAGTAGACTTCCGCACCTAAACACTGACAAGACTCTCCCGACTCCAGCTAACTACAAATCCTACGCCGAGAAGCAGATGGTAAATATAGAACTTCCAAATACAAAGTCATCGAGTTTCATTCGATCCTTATTCTTTCGCACCTATATCCAGTTCAACAGGATGTTCCACTGCTTCATATCGAAGAAAATTTAGATGTTGGCATAAGCGTCCCCCAAACCCGAAAGCCCAGTGCCATCGCCATTGATGAGATATTCCGGGAAAGCACCAAAATAGGCATACCTCTCCACGTAATCCTGTGAATCCAGCCAAGGAAGAGCGTGTTCCAAAAACGCAATCTGTTGTTCCTCATTACCATAACACTCAAATTCGGTGATCCAGATCGGCAACCCCAAAACATCGTGCGCATCTGTGACATTACCCTCAAACCAAAAAGCCCCATTCTGGCCCTCCGGAGTAACGCAGTCCTGGTAATAATGAATCGCTGCAAAATCCAAGTGGCAGCCTGTGCAGTTTCCCAGGAAGTACTGAGTCCAGGTGGCGGTATTGTAGGCACCGCCAGACGAGGATCCCACGTTGTTCCACAGCACGCTTGGAGATCCGATCCGCACAGTTCCCGCAAATGGCTGGATGTACGTGAGGTACCCCGCGGCGGCCTTTTCCGGTACGATATTGGATGAGGCATCATAAGTCAGATCGGGCTCATTGAATCCAAGGATGTTAAGTGTTCCAGGAGACTGTACAGCTGCGGTCCAGTCTGTATCAGGCCCATTTGGTAGGCCCCAGAGCATCGGTACGCTGGTTATTCATTTAGTATCGAAGTTGACAGCTTTTTGAGGTTCGACTTACAATTCGAATGAGGAATCTAGGTTCCAGGAGGGGTATCCCCAGTCATAGCCCCACGAGACCTTGTTGTCTCCTTTGAACAAATTTGCGTAGACTGCATCCTTGGAGGGGTTGTTGTTGTTGTAGGCAATGCCTCGTTTGCCAGTGAGGCCGTGTACGCCACGGAGAAGAAGAAGCACACCTGATAAAATGGAGGTAGGAGCCATTGATGATCTTCGACCTTGAAATGGGACAGGTGAATTTGATTCTTGTTTTTCGAAGGAATGAATAGCTTTACACAAGTAGGGAAAAAGAAAGGTCGTCTTAAAGTACACTACAACATCGTGTGTGGAAGGCCGTGTTGACCGTCACTCCGAACATCTGGACGTGACCCATGATTCAGGCTGTAGCCTGTACGCACACTCCCTGTACTATGAGCCAATTACTACAAGGCTGGAAACGTTCTGGCCTTGGCCTTGGCCTTCCTGATCTCCGGACTTATCCCTCTTATTCTGGGGAAGGGAGATGAGCCACCCAATCTTTGCAGATAAGAGGAATCCTCGACGGGGGCTGCCGCGGAATCGCGGGGCTCCTGAAGGACTCAAATTGAAATAACATCTCGATCTGAAACAACTTTTCACTCAATTCGTCAGCGGATTGACGGATTTACGGAAGGGATATGGGACCGATGCGGGATGCTTTCTTTCACAAGTCCCTTGCATTAGCCCCGGATCAAAGACATATCCAAAAAGTAAAGCCAGCGGAATCTCGGAATTAAGGTCTATTATGATTGCCGCAAATAATTTCCGCAAATGGGATTCTGCAACATTTTAGGCCCAAGCCACGAACGGCCCATTTTGTGGGGGAGTCCGGGGTAGACGGATAACTCCGCGACGATGCTAAACCATGCAACTTCGTGGTTCATGTTAATTTCAAGGCATGCTATATAAAGAGAGAATCAGGGCTGTCGTCTTTCCTCAATTTCAATCCAAGCCAATTTGTTGAGAAGAAATGGTTCGGCTCAACATATTTGCCCTCGTGCCCTTTGCACTCGGGGCAACTGCAGCTGTGCTTGATATTCCATCTGTTGATGCTGCTGTTGCCGCGGCGCTAAAGGGTTACGGGAACTATGAAGCTTACTCTGGCCCTCAAAAGAAGCCACCGCCTCAGGCAAATGTCAGCAACTTGAAACAAACCAAAGTGGCACTTGACGATTCATCCTATTGGCTTGACTATCTCTACGTCTAGATAAGAAGGACCACATACCTGTCATGATCAACGCTTCCGAATGGGAAAATAGAGTGAAATGGCAAGACCCGAAAAGCTTAGCACAAGAAGTGCCGTTACCAGAATTGGAAGTACGGTTCTTTAGGGTATTAGTAAGTTAGTGGGTAGGTACTTAGTAGGTACTTTTCCTTTTTCCCCCTACTAGCTTACGTCTCGCTTCTTAAGGGTCCTAGATTCCCTTAAGGACGTAGATCCTTAACCTCGCTAGATTTCTTCATATACCCTTACCAGACAAGGTTCGTTGTCTTACATTAGGGCCTATAAGTCCCCATTTTCGGTCCCTAGATCGAAATCCCTCGTAGTAAGCGCTTACCTTAGCGCTTTTCGGCTGCCTAGTAATTTAGGGTTAGACTGCGACATCACCCGTCCATGGGCACTAGGAAGTGTCCACGGCCCGTGGGCCTTTTGGACTTTGACACCCATCGCCCACCCTTATGCAAAAATAATGCAAAAATTGCTCTATTAGGCTAATTTTATATACATAACCAATTCTTGACAGTGTCCACTTTGCCAAGAGTGCTCGCATATATCTTGGCGGCGCTGAAAGTGTCTCTATGTACTTTAATGAGCGTTGTCGCAGTCTACTTATACTATTCTCACAATATTAGTAATAGATACTAATCTTAGAAAACTCTACTTAAGATATTTATTACTTTGGCTAACGTTATCTAAAGCCTTAAATAATAAAGGTAAGGTAATCGATATAGTTTATAGTATTATAAACATTATATCTCAAAATAAACTATATATTGACTTAATATATCTTAGCCTAAGTATAATTCAGAGTAAAAGTCTGTCTGCCTTTAATATCAAGGATTAGGAACAAATTTAACTCAACATAATTACAATATATTACCTCCCCTTCTAGTTTCTTAGAAGGCTAGAAATGTTTAAACTTATTTAATTTACTTCTTTCTTGAAAGATATACGTTAGAATTGAGATTATAGGAAGGCGGAAGGCCTTCACTACAACTCTAAGACCATAAGCATAAAGCAAAACTCAAATCTCTAGTAATACTACGAAAGTATAGTGACTATGAGTATAAGCTAGAGCTGATGTAAAAGACAGTATTTTATTTGATAACTGAGCATCTTTATGATTCTGATTATGCAAAAATGCGTCGAATTGGGCCCGGGTTGGGTTCTGGGCCGAAAACTTCCGTCTCCTACGCTGCTTGGCTCGTAGTAGTGTACTCCATATAGGATGGTCACGAGGCAGGATGTGAAGTCTTGGAAGTTTCTGTGGGCAACATTAAGGTTTGTACGAAAAAGATTACTGTGGTTTCTCTGCAGTCTCGAACCCGGCACTACCACCAATCCAACAGCCATTAACGTCATCACCCAACTTCCTAAACCTGACACTGATCTCGGATGGATGGCCCATGGCCGAACCCTGCTTAATCTTGACATTCCGATCCGTGCTTTTCACCTGGCCATTGATTAGAAGCCCAAAGGCCAAAGCAGATGCTGCGATTCCAGTCGCAGTATCCTCACGGTATCCGGAGGCTTTGGGAAATTGCCTCGCTTCAAACTCCTGTAGTTTGAGATTGGAAACAGTATATGGATACAAACCGGTGCTGCCAATCTTCTCACAGAGCGTCTCTATCCGGGAGAACTGTGGCTCCAGAGAATTCAGCAAAGAAACCGACTTGAGCGGGACCAGCGTCTTCACCCTGCTCGTGGCTGCATTCTGGATATATAGTCCAGGGTACAAATCATCTTTTGAAACCCCCAAAACAGACACAATCTCATTGACGTAATTCTGTTCCAGACGGTCCATGACCGTGCATGCAGGCTGGGATATTTCAACCCATATCCCATCCTTTGCGTCGTCTGTGTCGCCTGGAACATGCGAGACCTTTGCTTCGATAAGACCGCTCTTGGTCAAAAGGCGAACCTGGTCCCGTTCGAGAATTCCAAGCTTTGACATTAGCCAGACGATTCCAATGGTTGCATGGCCGCACATCTCCATTTCGTGGGCGGGGACCCAGAAGCGAAATTCATAGTCGTAGTGCGAATCTGCCGGTGCGGGGAAGACGAACCCGCTCTCGTGCTTATGGCTTGCGGCAACTGCTTGCATTTCTGCGTTTGACATGCCCTGAGCGTTCAACACGACTGGAAGAAGATTGCCGCCACCTGGACCTGCAGAGAAGACTCGCAGTAGATGGACATGAGCTACCATTGTAGATGGATGTGATGTAGGGGATGCAGAGTTCCAGTAAGATGAGTAATTGCTGGACGTGTGCATATCCCGGGTGGATGTAATATGACCTGAAAAGTAATCACCTGAATGATCAGAAATCAGGAAAATGAGGACCAAAGACTATTAAAGTCGTTTGTGAATCAAACATCCTGAATCTCCCGTCTACCTCGGGTATGCACAGTCAACTACAGGGTGCGGGATACATTGACCGCGCAGTAACGTTGGACGTTGATCGACAAGTGGTGCATACAACTGTGGACGATTGATGAATCGGTAAGGGCTCGTACCTAGGGAATAAGGGATTATCACTAAACAGGTGTCTGAATCCAAGTCTATCTGTTCGTCTGTTCTGCATACATCTAACAATGTCGACAAAACAGGGTCGCAGTTTTACTAGCGCGCCCGAGGAATATTCAGAACCCCCATATGTGTTAGGACAGTCCCCTGAGAGGTTTCCTACTACGATATGCATACGAGTGGAGAATTGAAGATGTGCCTGATGATGGGTATGATGATATTCAGACTAATCGCTGGCCCTCCCAAGAGGATCCAGCCCCTCCTTTTCTGGGGATGCCTCCGTGTACGGGCGACCTTGTTGCTCAAAAAAGTACGTTAGCGAGGTGATATATCAACAGAAAGCTCTGGTGCACAACCACCTCCTCCACATTCCCTATGCCTCATTGATAATTGGCGTAACAATATGCCTGTTTCCGACCTTATTAAGCTCAACCTCTATTTATTCTGTATTTTCTATAGTATATAAGATCAGCACTCTCAAGTACTCCAAGTCATAAGGTATGTGAATACACACATTTCCTTTTAGCATACGTAGAAGATACAGTAGATGAGACAAAGCAAACATTAAGGATAAATCACTATTTATGTATACTATGCCTGGAACACGATACGAGTAGCCCTAATAAATCAGGCCGTATAAATTCAATGACAAGGCGGTCTACCTTTATACTCAAGGTCAAATACCAATATTACACCACAGTGAATTTGTCTAAGTACAGCATCATCGTGAATAGCCTAGTAAACTTCCGCAAAACTCGAAAAGCCCGAAACCTAATCTAACTCGATCCTTGAAAGGGTCGGGCTTCGAGTCTATTCCTAAAGCTCGTTGTGGGCTTCGCGCTTTTAGTTTAGGGCCTATAGCTCGAAGGGGAGGGCCTAACGAGCCCCCTACGATTAAATGGTGTAAATATACTATTTTCTTATAACTATCTAAATAATATAGAAATTCATAGTATTTTGAGTATTTTGAATATACCGTTTACCTTGAATTTAATTAATCATTGATTTATTCAACGGGCGACCTCCGTGCTTTTGCAAGCAGATAAGCGAGGCGATATATCAACAGACAGCTCTGATGCATAAGCATCTCCTCCACATTCCCTATGCCTCATTGTATAATTGGCATAACGATGTGTCTATTTCCGACCTTATTAAGCTCAGCCCCGATCTATTCTGTACTTTCTATAGTATATAAAAACAGCACTCTCGAGTACTCCAAGTCACAAGGTATGTGAATACAAACATTCTGTCGGATGAGACATACAAGCGTGTTTCCAGTGTTGGGGTAGAGTTTGCACAGGCGGAAGACGCAACGCAGTGCTTGCTGAGAATCCTCAGCGTCAGGAGTATCAATGGGCATTTCTTCTTTGTCTCAGGAAGGGAATGGGCATCCAGCGGATACATGGACCTGAATCTGGAAAACTACCTGAGTGATACGTTGATTCGCGAGATTCAAAAGGACCAAACCAAATCAGCTCCTGTTGAGCTTGGATTATTGGTGTAGACAGCAACAAATTTGAGTTAAAGCGATGCCACCGCGGGAACAAGCTCTTGGTTTCTTTATTTGGTCTCTTTTGGTGTTATGCGTTCGCATAGTGTCAATGTCTTCTGTTCTCATGGCAGTGGCACGTCATATCCAGGCTGTAATGTGGGATACGGCATATCCGGAAACCCCATATACCCATTGAGTATGTCATCTGTGCTTATGTTCCAGAAGAAGTCTGGCCATAAGGCAGTATCATCTTGCGTGGCGCCATAATTTCCACCTATCAGGGGGAAGTCCTGCGAGGTTGAAGTAGAAGGTCCGAGGCCGCCATCGGGTAATCCTGTAGGTATTTGGGCCGTATCTTCAGAAGGCACCAGGTGATACTTTTGCTCAAACCATTCAAGAATATGCCACAGCCATGCCTCGTAGAAGTGTTTGGAGTGTTTTTTCCCATCTACAGTCACTCTGTCCTTGCTAAGCCATTGCATCCGTTGCAACACGGCCCGCAGAATGTGTGGCATATTCAAAGCCGAGCATAAGGCACGAACATGTGGACTGCGTGGGGCGTATTTTGCCCCCGTGACGGCCAGTTTGCAGCTTAGAACCAAATTAAATCCTGTTTGCAGCCATTGCGTATAGCTGATCAGTCGAAAAGTATCCGGAGCAAATGTGAAAACGTAATCAAAGAATTTCTTTGCTTCACTCATGCCGCGATTGAGAAACTCAACTTGGAAGGGTGATAAATCTAACGATTGGTGGCCACTTTGGAGATGTGGTGAGAGTCCTGAGTCTGCATGGGAGCGAGGCACGGATGAAGCCGAATAGTTGGCTGTTTCATGTTTATCAAATAAGCAAGCATGGCATAGAAACAATTGTAGAGTGTGTAGGTGAAATTGTAGTAGGGCTATGTTGTGGACGTTGAATTAGTATCAGCTCCAGTCTATTCAATCAAAATCACAAGCGGTGTCACTTACAATTGTCCGAAAACGTTGCCGGCAAGTTCGTTCTGTACTCATCGATTTCGGTTTGGAATGCATGCATATCAACCTCTCGTACTGGATTCGCAGTAGTGACCACAGCATCATCGATCCGTTCGGAGATTCCTTGTAATCTTACTAATTGTATTAGGCAGCGATCACTGGAAATCTCAGCATTTGATAGTAATTCAAGTGCGTGCTTTTCCACATATGACAGCCGAGTCATCATGCGATCCTTTTGCAATATTGTGGAGCGACTGCACACACCCATACTCAGTCAGTAATATTAGGAAAACATGGGCATTTTTACTGACGATGAGGATAGCATGTAACACCCAATCAGAGCTCGTCTTCTCTCGTTCACTGAATGTCTACTGCTGTTTTCATCTGAAGAGACCTTGCTCATAGCCATCCGTGAATAGAATGATTGGGTTTCCGACAACCGGTCAAGTCGTAAATCACCGACTATACTCCAAGCAAGATGAAGGTAGCTAGAAAATCTTTCATGCTGGGACTGATGCTGCAGCCTGGGATATTGAGGCTTTGAGTCAGTAGTGCCATCTTCAATAAAATCACCTTAAATTAGACTCACCATCCCAAGGCCACAAGGAGCCCCAGCAATACGTCCATGGATGGATTATGGGCGAAGATCATCTGATCAGCAACTGCTGTTTGGAATGTTTCTTCCAATATCTGCTGAGTGGCTGCATTTTTGTATGATGAGCCCTTGAGAATAGCCAGCAAGAGAAGTGGTTTCTCCGCTCGCAGCTGAGCAAGCGTCACTTCCGGTGCAATAAAGATAAATGGAAAACATGGCATCAAGGTTTTCCGAAAAGATTCAAGAAGAGTGACGGCATCATCAAATCTCACAATCCCGCGATCAATAACATCTCGGGATCTATCTGGGATGGAATGAAGTCCTGGGTCAGACAGGGCTAAAGGAACATCAAGCTGGTGTTTAGTTTGCTGACTATTAACGACTCGCCCTAAGAGCTGATCCACTTTGGCTTCGAGAGCCTCCACTCGTCTGATTTTTTAAGCTTCCGTCAGCTTATATTCACTGTCACGAATCAGATGGAATTTGGGAGCCTTACGTCCCCTTCTTAGCGGGATTGTAACGAGGTCGGGCGGCCCGAAAATAGCACTCTTTATCAAGGCGGCGACATCTAATACCTTATATTAGAATATGGTCATAGTTGAGTATATAATCATGATCAAGTTTCACTACTCACCGATCACAAATAGAGGAATCCGAAGTTTTAATACATCGGATTTTGCCACGAGCACAGTTTTGACACGTTTTGATGTGTCCCGACGTAGATCCCATGTTCCAAATTGAGTATAGTCGATCGATTCTGGTGAAAGGTACATCGGGACAAGGAAATGGGCGAGTTGAAGAGGATAAGGACAAGGACACGGACAAGGACACGGTCGAAGTGTAAAAGTCTTGGCATCGGTGACCCGCCAGGCAACGGCTTAACTGGGATCCACTATATCGTATCAATCTTCATGGCAGCGTTGATCATTGGTTTGACTATAGATTCGAAGGATTTGGGGAAGGATTTGGGAGTGATATTACCTCAAGTTGAAGTTTAAAAATAAACACACAGCCTCATGATGATTAACAAGTGTGAATAGGCAGCGTTAAACATCTTTGGGTCTGCACATAAATAGTGATGAATCTATCATGGGGTTGCTAATATCAATTCAATCGCAGCACTCATTGTCTTCAGACTTCATTTGAGCCTAATTAATCCCCCAAGGCTCTTTACTATCCGTGATCATGTCCAATACGGATGATTGCACTTTGCAAACATGTCCATTAAGTGATGCTTACATCCAGTATCAGCCTAACATAGCTGGAAACATCTTTTATCTCGCTCTTTTCGCCATCTTACTCATTGGACAAATCGGTACGGGTATCGTATTCCGATCTTGGAGTTTCATGGTGCCAATGGCCGCGGGCCTTGTATTGGAGATCATAGGATATTTGGGCCGAATTCTCTTACATGATAACCCATTCAGCTTCGATTATTTCTTGATGCAAGTTACCGAGCCTATCACATGATTGAATATATGCTGACCGAGGCGTGATACATTAGGTATTTGATATGTCTCACCATTGCTCCGGCATTCTTCACAGCTGGAATCTATCTATGCCTCGGTCGTATTATTACAGTTTACGGCGAAGAGTTCTCGCGCTTGAAACCAAGAACCTACACCTACTTGTTCGTGACTTGCGATTTGATTTCCCTGATCTTGCAAGCGGCCGGTGGAGCCATCACTTCAATTGCCGATGAACAGTCACTTCACGATACTGGTGTCAACATCATGATCGCTGGACTGGTCTTTCAAGTTGCATCGCTGGTAGTGTTCTCTATTCTAGCGATTGAGTATGGAGTCCGGGTTTTACGAGGAAGGCGCCTGCATTCCCCTACTCAAGAACCGCCGGCAAGCTGGATGAGGAGATCGTTTTTGCTTGGTATGTATATCCCCTCGATCTTTCCAATGGGCAGTCCACTGACTCGAGTTTGATTATCAGGTTTGGCGTCTGCCATTCTAACTATATTGATTCGATCTTCATTTCGAGTGGCCGAGCTCCAGGGTGGATTTCAGAGTAAACTGGCCAACGACGAGATAGCCTTGATGATCCTCGAAGGCGCTATGGTTTCAATTGCGTGTATTTGCTTGACTGGTCTACATCCAGCTCTGCTTGTGGGTAAAAATTGGAGAACGCCTCAGGCAATTTCACGAGACATGGAATCGGAGGATAAATAAACCACAAGAATGGCGGATCAAAGCTGTTTATGAAACTGTGGGTTTGGCGGCTTTGAAGCCGCTAATTTGAATCATGACACGGGAATGCTTATCGCACATCAACTGAAACCATGGAGGGGCTATGTTAAGGCTCTGTACAACAGTGACTGATGGGATTCAGATTTAGATTGTTTGGCTTATAGATAAGTATATGACGCACTGTTATCATTTGGTATCTGCTTTCAAAGACAGGCAGTTCTCTCAGAGGATTTTTAGATCGCCTCAAAGTCGAGTATCGCCGTAAGTTAACGTCAACCGTGGACAATATTTCCTATTCAAGACAGACATAAAATACGGGACAAGATCATCCCCGATAATCTCTCAATAGGGATAACGAACATTACCAGCCATAAGCAGAGCACCCCTACTGATCTTCTTATATGTATTCTGCGGCCACGTTCTCAAAGCTTAAGCACTCCCAATAGTTGCAATGCCAAATACCGTGTTCGCCAACCTGCGGCTTCAAAAACTTCCCCACTGTCGTTGGAAGTCTCGGCTTTAGCAGCTCGATAACCTTTGTTTTGATATGCCCTCCATATGTGTTCTCTGGCATCTGCTATATCATCATTGGTCTCACCTCTGATCGGTACAATGAGCGGACATAGCACATTACATTGGCAAATTTAATTAATGTTCCTTGAATACTCACAGTAAGATAGGCGCCAATGGCCTAGGCGAAGCCTATGTTCGTGCTTTGGTTACCGCGGGGTATGTATCAAAGATGGCATCATTGGCAAGAATAATAATTGTCCAAATAATCAGAGCTAGTTTTTGCATCGGCGACCCTTGACGAAGAGAGAGGAAGGAAGTTGGAACAAGAACTCGATGGGTAAGTGCAAGCCACTCCTGTATATTGCCTTTTTATATCGCTCATCGTTTAGATTGACACCTCCAGGATTAAGGTCTAGTTGAATATCATTCATGCATTTCTAGCAATGAAGAGATCGGAAATTCGATCTGTGGGGACACGTCTCTCCCACTTCTCTCCTACAACTGATTTCCATAAGAGCCCGGCGGCAGGCAACACATGACTCCATCTCATAATGAATAACCGAATTAGGTCTGATGTAAAACAAATTTGGAAAGTCCGCCACAGGCAAGAGGTGCAAGAAAATCAAAGGGTAAAAAACTCCGCCCCCAGCTCCCCAACCGATCTAGGTATTATTCACCGTCCCAATCATCCGACGCCCTTAGAGAAAAAAACGCCAATCTCTCGCCGAGGTGCTCGTAAAAGAAGCAAAACAAAAGCAAAGGAGCCATGATTGTGCATGGCCCACTTCAGTCATTATGGCATACCCCCGAAGCCCGCACCCGTCTCGGGTCCGAAGCCGCTGCGAAGACTGCCAAAATCCAGTTTCATGAGCAGACGATCCACGCCCGCTGCTTTGTGGGGCACGTAATGACTGAATCCGGGGCTTGTGCGATCATCTTGGCCAGAACCAGCCCACATCTGACCGAAATTCGTTGCTAGCCCTTCTCCCGAGCGACTATCGTCAATGACCCGCAAGCTCCCAATGAGGTTCTTGATGCCCACCTCGACATCGTTTCGAGTGGCACGCAGCTCTTCCCATACCTCGCTTTCTTCATGGGCATAATCTATCAAGGCGTCTTCCACGCCTTCATCTGTTTCCAGATCCATGTTACGTTGGATGTTTTCCAACTGGATCACAAGAGCGACGAAGCGGTCGATATTTGTGAGAAGTTCTCTCATTGTGTTTGTGAAGGGTAATTCGGTCAAAAAGAGGGATTGCACTAAAGATGACAAGTGCCGACGGTGGGCAACCGTCAGAGCTTCGGGATCGTGTCGTCCCATGGTCTGCTGGCCAGACTCGAAGGAGTCTCGGGTAGGAACCCGGTCGGGAGACACCGTCTTAGAACTGTGATGCGATTTAGACGAGGATGCGGTTCCAGGTCGGGATCCAGGGGCTGATGCTGTGGACGAAGAGCATCCTTCAATCCATTGGCGAAGGTGTTGCCATGACTCATTGACGACGTCGCCCTGAAAAAAGCCACCAATTTCGGAAAGCATAAACAAACAAGCACTGGCTGTGGCCCAGATATGGCGCATTTGGCGCACACGAGTATTGTCTCTATCTCTTCTCGCCTTCAGTTTCGCTTGGCCAAACATACTGCTGCTTCTGGGTGGTCCCCATGGTGTAGGGTAGTTTCGCCGCAACGGAGTTCGTTTCCAGAGATCTCCAAGTCGGATTTGAGCTCGCCGTATTCCCAGGAGATAAGAATGGATCTTAGAGTATATCGCAATATCGGAACCCGAGATGAATAGGTCCAGAGGGGCTCGGATATGCGCGGCGAGGTTTGTGGGCATGGGGAAGAGCAGGTCTTCGAATGAGACTTTGGAGATTCTGGATATCAAGTCGGGGGTTTGGGCAGGGGTCATTGGTCGGCCACTTTTGCGGCCATTGATGGACAGGCAAAGAAGCTCTCGAGCAAGTTCAAGCTCTTCGTCGGTTGGGTCCTCCTCTTTTTGTAGCGAGAAAAGCTCCGCCCATGTTTCAGCCAGAGCAGCCGTGATCTCGCCTTCTTTGATAGTAAAAACATCGAGTTTTTCCAATGGACGAGTCACCGATGGGCCTCGGCGCCGGCTTTCCTCTATTCGGGAATCTGCATGTGCTACAAGAGCCACCGCGAACTCCCCTCGTCCTAGTAAGAGGAAATTGTGAAGCAAGGTAAGAATTTCAAGGATTTTTGGGAGGGGCAACAGTTTCGACAACGTTGACTGAGAAAGGGAAAGGCGGATGCAGTCAACGGCGGTAGTCAATTTTGAAGGCAAAATTGGTGGTTTCAGGCTCGCAAGTTGCTCGATGTGCTCCCGATATAACGTCACCGGCGTAGTGGAGTTTCCCGCTATTGAGGTTTTGCGTTTCGCCCGAATATGATTAAGGGATTTTCCAATGAATAGTATTGAGCCTGCCGTTTGTGCCGTAACAAAGCTTGGAAGCAGTCGGGCGTTGATACTGAATTGTGCCTCGTCATTCTCTTTCTCGGTATCCTCCTGGATGAAAAAGTCTTCCTTTCCGTAGATAGGTAGTTTCCCATACAGTAACCACATCGAAAGCTGTTTCATCCACGCTCTCTCAGCCGATGTCGCCAATTCAACGGCCATCTCTTTGATATCAAGATATCCTGTTTGAGCTTCGGTCCGCAAATGATCCATGAGCGCTGCCCCCGTGGAACCATGCAGACGCTCAGTACTATTCCTTTCGGGTTGAATGAACCGGATAACAGCCCAAAGCCACTCCATGCGTCGCGTCCACGGTGCAAACTCTCCCACAATAGTCGACAATGGGACAATACCATACCCTCCGACATATCCACTGTCCTCAGCAAGGATCGCCCTCTCAACCTCCAGGATCTTCTGCTGGAATTTACCTAAATGTGTTCCAACAATAGATGTAGAGACCGAGCAGCAGATGACAGATGGGCTCGTAGAGGATATATCGGAGGCATGTTTCCGCAGCTGCGCATGGAGTCGGCTCAGATGGGCAACGGAGGCGAGGAGGGCTTTCTCCGGAGGTGACAGAAGGGGAAAATCATCTTGAGTGACAGCATTTTCCCCTTTTCGGGTACTGAAGAGGGGGGATGGCTGGCCGGAGAGGGAGAGTAGGATCTCATGGAGCATTCTGATGAGAGTTCCCTATCGGGTATCAATGACGAGCTGATCACAGGTGCATGTGTGGGAATCTCACCTAGGGAAGTACCTTGTCTCTCCTGGACAATTTTTTCGCTGCCAGTATAATAGACCGCGTCCTACGAATTCAAACCGACACATATGAGGTAGGCGGCAAGCTTCGCGTTGATGTTGAGACGCGCAAACGTAGCGTGTTGAATAACGAGTTTCAGAACCGACCAGAGGAGATCGGAGGGCTTGTCATTCCCCGGAGTCAGCCCCAATTCTATTCAAATGTACCACAGCTTCCAACTCGCAACAAGACACCCTATAACTCGAGACCAATAGCTCCCAGTAGTTTATTGGAGTATCGCGGGGCTAAAGGCCAATCGGCCTCTCACCGCCCATTAGTCATCTCTTAGCTGTCGGGCCACCCCTCTTACGTCGTTGTCCCTCACTTGATCTCTCTCCTACTTTGTACTGACCCGTCCCTAACTTGTTCACACCTATCTCCCACGGCGTTTCATTTACCTTTCTTTTCCATAATCCTCTCTTATCCGTCGATTGCTTTCGGATTGTTACTCTTTTCCGTGCTCGTTGAGCCAGGTACCTGGTACGCTAGGCGTTTCAAATTGATTTATCATCACTATTGAAAGACTTGCTTCATCGCAAGACTTTCACCTCCTGACTTTCATCATTCCTTCAAATCTTCCTGTTCGAGACGCGGCTAAGTCCGGAAAGCGCAGAGCCTCTGAAGACGACGTCGGAGCTCGGCCAGATAAAAGAACCATGACGGTATGGTCGTCTCGATATGAGGAATAAGATTTCCACTAATGCAAAACACCCAAGGACACCAAGATGCAGGTCGAGAGCCCTCAAGAGACCATCGAAGCTATCAAGCATGGAGAAATCGACGAATCGCTGTATAGTCGGCAGCTGTAAGTGTCTTACATCCCTCTATAAACTTCGGTATGTACTGACGCCTGAAAGATACGTTCTTGGTCACGAGGCCATGAAGCGCATGGGCTCTTCCAATGTTCTGGTCGTAGGCCTCAAGGGCTTAGGTGTGGAAATCGGTACGTGATTCGACTATCAAACAAACCTTGCTTTCATCCCAGCATCTAATTGTCTCCATAGCCAAGAACATCGCCCTCGCTGGTGTCAAATCCCTCACCCTATATGACCCCGCCCCAGTCGCTATCTCGGATCTCTCTTCCCAGTTTTTCCTCCAGCCAGAGGATGTCGGCAAGCCCCGTGCCGAAGTAACCGCCCCGAGAGTCGCCGAGTTGAACTCCTATGTCCCTGTTACGGTCCATGAGGGCGAGAGCCTTGTGGGTGATCTCGAACAACTAAAGCGCTACCAGGCAGTAGTCCTCACACAGACACCTCTGAAGGAGCAACTTGTGATTGCCGACTTCTGCCACAAGAACAAAATCTACCTTACAATTACGGACACCTTCGGTCTCTTTGGTTATATCTTCAATGACTTTGGAAAGAACTTCACCGTGGGTGATCCAAACGGTGAGGACCCTGCTGGTGGAATTGTGGCGGATATCAACGAGGAAGGTTTGGTTTCGGCGCTCGATGAGACCAGGCACGGACTTGAGGACGGTGACTTCGTCACTTTCACTGAAGTCAAGGGTATGGATGGCCTCAACAATAGCGACCCTCGCAAAGTCACTGTAAAAGGCCCCTATACTTTCACTATTGGCGACGTCTCCGGTCTTGGATCCTACCAGGGTGGTGGCCTGTTCAGTCAGGTCAAAATGCCCAAATTTATTGATTTCCAACCACTAGAGGAACAACTTAAAAAGCCGGAGCTTCTCATGTCCGACTTTGCCAAGTTTGACCGGCCACAACAATTGCACATCGGTATTCAGGCTCTTCATAAGTTTGCAGAGATTCATGATCGCGAATTGCCTCGTCCCCACAATGATAGCGACGCCCAGGAGGTTCTGAAGATTGCTAATGATCTTGCTGCGGCTGGTGAGGAAAAAGTTGAACTGGATGAAAAGATAATTAAGGAGCTGAGCTACCAAGCCCGCGGTGATCTGAACCCGTTGGCAGCTTTCTTCGGTGGCATCGCCGCCCAAGAAGTTCTGAAGGCTGTGTCCGGCAAGTTCAGTCCTGTGCATCAGTGGTTGTACTTTGACTCTTTGGAGTCTTTGCCTTCATCGGTCACTCGATCTGAAGAGAGCTGCAAGCCTCTTGGTACCCGCTACGACGGTCAAATCGCGGTGTTTGGCAAAGAATATCAAGATAAACTTGCCAATGTCACCGAATTCTTAGTCGGTTCCGGCGCTATTGGATGCGAGACACTGAAGAACTGGGCCATGATGGGTCTGGGTACGGGTCCTAAGGGAAAGATTTACGTCACCGATATGGACCAGATCGAGAAGAGCAATCTCAACCGTCAATTCCTCTTCCGCCCCAAGGATGTCGGCAGACTCAAGAGTGAATGCGCATCTGCGGCCGCTCAAGCAATGAACCCAGAACTGGAGGGTAAAATTGTCACTCTTCGTGATCGTGTCGGCGCCGATACTGAACATGTCTTCAATGAAGATTTTTGGAACGGCCTTGATGGTGTGACAAACGCTTTGGACAATGTCGATGCACGGACGTATGTCGATCGCCGCTGTGTCTTCTTCCGCAAGCCATTGCTGGAGAGTGGTACCCTGGGCACCAAGTGTAACACTCAGGTCGTCCTTCCTTTCATTACAGAGTCGTACTCAAGTTCTCAGGATCCCCCAGAGAAGTCGTTCCCTATGTGTACCTTGAAGAGTTTCCCGAACCGCATTGAACACACCATTGCATGGGCCAGGGATGTCTTCCAGACTTACTTCGTTGGCCCACCTGAATCAGTAAACATGTACCTCTCACAGCCGGACTACATTCAGCAGACCCTAAAGCAGGCGGGTAATGAGAAGCAAACCTTGGAGCACTTGCGCGACTTCTTGGTCACTGAAAAACCTCTAACTTTCGATGATTGTATTGTGTGGGCTCGCCAACAATTTGAAGCACAGTACAATAACGCGATTCAGCAGCTCCTCTACAACTTTCCTCGAGATTCCAAGACATCATCTGGTCAACCGTTCTGGTCTGGACCTAAGCGTGCTCCTACACCTTTGAAGTTCGACAGCCTTAATCCCACTCATCTCGGATTTGTTGTTGCTGGTGCTAATCTCCATGCGTTCAACTACGGTATCAAGAACCCTGGTGCGGACAAGGGCTATTACCGCAAGGTAGTCGATGACATGATCGTTCCTGAGTTCACCCCGAGCTCGAATGTCAAGATCCAAGCCAATGAAAATGACCCTGATCCGAACGCCCAACCCGCCAGTTCGTCTGGTGATGAGCAGGAACTCCAGAAGCTGGTGGCGTCTCTTCCTTCTTCCAAGTCTCTTGCTGGTTTCCGCTTGCAGCCAGTTGAGTTTGAGAAGGATGATGACACCAACCACCACATCGACTTCATCACTGCGGCTAGCAACCTCCGTGCGGACAATTACGAGATCCCTCAGGCCGACCGACACAAGACGAAATTTATCGCAGGAAAAATCATCCCGGCCATTGCCACCACTACTGCCCTGGCCACCGGTCTTGTTGCCCTCGAACTATACAAGGTTGTTGACGGCAAGGATGACATCGAGCAATACAAGAACGGCTTCGTTAATTTAGCCCTTCCGTTATTCAGTTTCAGCGAGCCAATCGCTAGCGAAAAGGGCAAGTACCAAGGCAAGCAAGGCGAAGTCACAATTGACAAGCTCTGGGACCGATTCGAGGTGGAAGACATTCCCCTCCAGGAGTTCCTCGACTTCTTCGCCGAGAAGGGCTTGGACATCACCATGGTTAGCTCTGGAGTCAGCTTGTTGTATGCAAGCTTCTATCCCCCATCGAAGGTCAAAGATCGCCTTCCTCTGCCGTGAGTATCTCTTTTCTAGCCCCATGCGTGAGTAAGATTACTAACACTGTACCCTACAGTATGAGCAAGCTTGTGGAGCACGTCAGCAAGAAGCCAGTCCCCGAACACCAGAAGAACATCATCTTCGAGGTGACTGCAGAGGACCAGACAGAAGAGGATGTCGAGGTTCCTTACGTGATGGTCAAGCTGGGCACAAAATAAGGCGATTAGAATCTACGAAAAGCCAGTTAGTTACATATTGCTAGTACAATAGCCAAATATCATGATATTACACAACATGTTGACAGGTCCGTGTGATTTCCAATCTTGGAAAGTAAGCTCTGGAGCCCCCCGGGGCCCTATGAACAGATTACATCATCAAGTGGGTTCTGCCAAGACCATCCAGATCGCTTTGTCAAAGCTGATGGATCGTCCGATAAGCAAACATGACTCAGCATTCGGTCATGCCCGTCATCCCCGCAAAGGCCATCTATTCTTCCTTTCTATATAATGGTAAATTCCCCATGTTCTTTACTCTAAGATTTCAATCATTACGGCATCTTTCACGTCCAATACTCCGTGCAGAGCCTTTTCGTACAGCTTATCAAAGCTTTCTCTTCCCTGCACAAATCACCTATTCCCGCAATATGGCTGTAAGAAAGTCGGCTACAATAGCTCCAATTGCTATACTGACTCTGGATCTTAGACTAGAAATCCCATGAAAATCACCGATTGGGTGAAACCCGGCGACAAGTCTGGCGAGTTCAAACGTCAGCAATCCATCTTCCGGAACTGGATCTCTAGAGAGGCCGGTGCCCAATTTCCCCCAGAGAAGGGCCGGTACCATCTCTATGTCTCTTATGCCTGTCCATGGGGTATGAAAGAGCTTTCAATTGACTTATCGTTCGATCTATAACTCATTATCTATTAGCTCACCGAACTTTGATTACTCGAAAGCTCAAGGGTCTCGAAGACTTCATCTCTTTCTCTTCGGTGCATTGGCATCTTGGAGCGGAAGGTCAGCTCTATCTCATAAGTCTTGGGAAAAATATGTAGTCTTAACTCATCCTTTAGGTTGGCGGTTTGCTACTCCCGATGAGAAACTGTCGGGGGAAAACACCATTCCTGATCCTCTACACCCGGACTTCACCCATATCCGCCAGGTCTACTTCTCCAATGATCCAGACTACACGGGCCGGTTCACCGTTCCAGTCCTCTTCGACAAGAAGACCAAGCTGATCGTAAGCAACGAGGTACGAAACAATCTTCCCAAAAAGAAAAGTCATCTCCAATTCCACATTCTTACGAAACCAGAGCTCGGAAATCATCCGCATGCTCTACCATGAGTTCGACGATCTTCTCCCAGAGAAGTACAAGACAATCGACCCCTTCCCCAAGGCTCTGCAGGCCGAGATCGACGCTTCGAATGAATGGATCTACAACGATATCAATAATGGTGTATACAAATCCGGTTTCGCAACCACGCAAGAAGCCTACGAGAAAGCCGTGACGACACTCTTCTCCTCGCTTGACAAGGTCGAGGCCCATCTCGCCAAACAGGAAGCAGCCTCAAAGCCGTATTTCTTCGGTGACGAGATCACCGAGGCTGATATCAGACTCTACACCACCATCGTTCGATTTGACCCGGTCTATGTGCAGCATTTCAAGTGTAATCTGCGTGATATCCGCTCTGGATTCCCGGCTATTCACCGCTGGGTGCGCAGGCTGTATTGGGATGTCCCTGCTTTCCGGGATACAACTGACTTTGAGCATATCAAGTTCCATTATACTAAGAGTCACTCGCAGATTAATCAGTTTGCTATTACTCCTCTGGGGCCTGTGCCGGATATCCTTCCTAAGGGTGAGGAGGTTAGGGCTGTGCAGGAGGCTAAATAAGCGGATTAGTGATAATGCTTGTCTGCAACTCGCGAACTGGATAACTTCGGAGTGATCAGAATGGTATTCATGCAGATTTTTTGAAGTATGTAATATTCAAATGTGTAGATTTTCTTGCAATAATGGACAAAATGGAAATCAAAGGTCCCGTGGTATTATATCGACGCCTTGCCATGCTGATGTGGTTGGTGGTGGGTTTCCCAGTGCCCCTGTATCAAAGGTTGGTAGAAAATACAGTTGGCTCAAGTGAGACAACTCGAGCAATAGAAAGCAAATAAATTACAGATTGAAGCATTGTTGATTTCAACCAAAGTTGAATGCAGAAAAAAAGAAGCCAATATTGTGATCTCTCGTGATATGGCAAAGGGATCGAAAATCGGAATGGTGTGCATCTCAAATGCACCCATGAGGGGATGTGCCAAGTCTGTCGATGGCTTTTGTGGGTATATTTGGAACAGCGCTTGTAAATTTAAGCCAGTAAATAGCAAAGATTGATCCAAAAGCACCGGAATAGATATGCCGGGTTGAAGGTCGAAAATGCAAGCGAATGGCTGAGTGGTATCGGCGGGGGTACGCAAGAAGGAAGATGAAGTGAGGGCTTGTTCTGACTGGCAGACTATCGTAGGCCAAGCATGCGTTTCGCGTTCTCGTAGACCACGTAGCTGATTGACATGGCCGGTGCCACTTTGAGAAGGTTAGGTGTGAGACCTTTGTACAGACCGCGGGGTCCCTCGGTTTTGAGTGTGACGCTTAGAACCTCGCCAATCCCTGTGTATGTAGGCGGGTGCATGATCGTGCCCTGGGTTTGAAGCCGAGTGCGGAGAACATTGAGGGGGTAGACAATACAGGCGCTGAATCCTCCACTCATAGCGCCAATTGCACCTGTCGTGAAGTTACCGAGAGGTACGTCATCCTCATGACAGCCAGTTTCACGAGCCTTCTTGGCTAGGAGTGTCCGTTTGAGGTATTCAAATGTCGATAGATCGATTGCGGCGTAGGGAAATACACCCACGAGGCCAAGCGGGAGTCCTCGGAAAAAGCCAACCAAGCCACTCTTGTTCCACACCTTTCTGGCGGTAGCTGCGATGAGCTGATTGCCTACCGGACCACCTTTCACTGTTTCACATTGCATGCGACTATTGATAATTGTGAGCCACGATACTCTTAACAGATAATTCAGGTCGATGTACTCACAATTTTAGGGTATCAAGGGGGTAAACAAAGCATCTAGTCACAGTTAGATCCAATTTTCCTCTCACCAGAGATGCGCAATACCTACTGGGCAACCATTCCACCAAAGCCACCAGACATAAACTGTGAAGTGGGAAGGAGTCGCTTGGTATCGTGATGTCCTTCGAGTTTTGCAAATGCTCGTTTCGCAGACTGTTCTCCGGTCAGCATTTCATTATTTGCGTGGACAAGGTTGAATATCAATGGTACAAACCTCGTAAGCACCAAACTTGATTGCAGACTCTGGCATAACCTTCACCACGTTCAAGCCGTTCCCTGCTGATAGTTAGTCGTTGCCGGTTCGAGCCCGGATCGACAACTCCGACGAACCTGCGAACAAACTTCGTATTCCTCCAGCTCGCCATAGTACTTTGAGCGCATCAAGCAAAGTTTTAGAAGCGTTCCCCGCCGCGGCCAACGGGGCTCCATCCTTCGCCGCCTGGACCGTTGCTTTGACGCCGGTCTGTGCAATGAGATAAACTTTGAGACGATCGAGAGGGGGCGGTGGCCGTCCTTGACACGGCACCCGCAATTCCACCTGCAAGGAAGTAGCCTAGTTGAGGGGTATTTTCGGTCAACTTCCGTCCATAATATCGGAAAAACATCCGCATGGCGGTAGTCTGGGGAAGAGGCAACCACTCCAACTCCAAGTCGCCGTCTAGCGAGGCACAATCATGCTCGAAAACGGGTCCCAACTTTGAAATTTGGCTGGTTTGCGCGTGCGCGGAAGGAAGGAGGGAGGCCAAGGCGGGGAGGGACAAAAAATTGTACAAAAAGTGTTGGATGGCCAGAACGGAAGGTGAAAGAAACGGAAGGTCTGTACCTAAACCCTGCAGGTCATTGATATGGACATCTCCTTCCGGGTTTAGATTGCCCGTGGCCGTGTAGTATGAAAGGACTGCGTGTAGGTCGGTCGGAGACTGGAGAGGGAGGAACAGAAGGAAATCCCTAAAGAAAGAAGAAAGATTATATGTCAGTCTAGACCGTTCAGCCTCCACTCGACAAGTGCGGATGCATGTACCTCCACTCTGTGTAAGAGATCACCCCGTCATTGTTTTTGTCGACCTCGGCGAAAAACCGGTCCAACTTGGAACTCGATACCGTGACGCCGGAACGTGAAAAGGCATTTCGCAATTCTGTCTTGTCAATTTCTCTGCTGTTGTCTCGATCAATGGTCTGGAACATCTTCCATAGCCCGTCCTCGGTGCGGTTGAGAAATGCTCGGAATTCTGGCGATTATCGGATTAGACCAAACAAGGGCGGCAAGGACACCCCTACCCCGAGTGGCTAGGTGGTTCTCGTGAGCTTACCAGCTTGGTCGATACGTCCATCGCCATTCGTGTCCACCTCCCTCACGACACTCACAACCATGTCGTCCGCATTTTTTAGAGCTAGAAAGAGATTAGGCGCGCAAATATGGCGAAATCGGGTCAAACTCACGATGATCGATGTTCTTTAACCCTTTCTTTAACCCAGTCAGGTCAATATGGCCCTCTCGTCGGGTATCCAAGGATTCCCAGAGTTTGTCGACTCGTTTGTCGCGTTCATCTTTTGACTCTTCGGATGCCATGATGAAAATTGTTACCGAGCAACCATTTCTTTGCTTTTTTATAAGGGGAGATTTGAACCAAGTCCCATAAGAGAGCGAAAGAAGATCGAGGGGGCCCCGGGGACATAAAAAGGATGACGTGAGGTCAAAGTTATGCGGAGGTCGAATATGAATAGCCCTGTAATGATTAATAGGCGCCCAGCGATTCGGCCTTTGACGCCATCGGATTATCTTGCACGGGACCAGGGCCAAGCCCTACTATTCCTTTTCGGGATTACAACCTGACCTCATATTAGACCTGATTTTGATATATTTATATTCTTTTTTTGATATTTTTCTTTGTTGGTGATTCTGCATTTCTCATTTCATTTTTAGTACGTGGCCTGCGGGGTCAGCTGTATAGCCCCCGGACTTCGGATCAACCATGTCGTGACGGCTTTCAATTTGCGAGCTTTGCCATCATCAAACTTTCAATATGGCAGCCAACTACTGGGCATCGTCCCAGCGTCGACACTGGCTATTCTCCAGAGAGAAGCTAGCAGATATCCGTGAAGGATTACGGGAGAAGGATAAAGTTGCTCATTCGCAATTCCCGCTGCCAGATCAGCGATTGCTGAATATTTACTTTAACCAACGTAGGTGTTGTTAATATGTTCCTTGTTTTGGAACTTCCGGGCTAATCAAAATCAAAGAACTTATCAAACTCGGCAAACGCATGTCCACCAGACAGCAGGCCATTGCGACAGCACAGGTGTATCTGAAGAGATTCTATACCAAGAATGAGATTCGACAAACAAATCCATACCTTGTACTCACTACTGCCTTCTATCTTGCCTGCAAAATGGAAGAGTGCCCACAGCATATCCGTTTTGTGGTCAGCGAAGCGCGCGGTCTATGGCCCGGTAGGCATCCGTATATAAAGCCTAACCAAACCAAATGCTAACTACTCACAGAATTTATTACCCCAGATGTAGCAAAGCTTGGGGAATGCGAGTTTGCCTTGATATCCGAATTGAGCTCGCAACTCATCGTGCATCACCCTTATCGGACTTTGTCCGAACTTCAGACTGAACTATCACTTACCTCGGACGAGGTCGCTCTCGCCTGGTCGGTTATCAACGATCATTATCTGACAGATCTACCACTTCTACACCCGCCTCATGTGATTGCAATCATGGCAATCATCGTCGCCGTTGTATTTAAGCCCGCCCACCCATCCGCCTACCCTGGAACCGGGCAATCGGCTTTGGCGGGCTCTATGAGAGATGGAGGCGGCATGCAGATGCTGGCCGCTTTATCAGACAAATCCGGATCCGGTCCCCCTCCTAAAATCCAGAAGCTTATCGGCTGGCTTGCAGAAGGTGAAGTCGACATCAAAGCTGTCATCGAATGTACACAAGAGCTGGTCTCGTTGTACGAGGTGTGGGAGCAATATAGCGAGAAAAACTGCAAGGAATTGCTTGGTAGGATGGTTAAGAGCAAGAATTTGGACAAATGATGCTGTCTCGCATCCTGTACTTTAATCCAACTCTTATACATCGAGGTCTCGGTATTCCCGATAGGCAGTTGATCCACGTATGCTCACACTAGTTTTGGCGGCTTCCCCCTTTTTTTTCCAGGATATTTCTTGCAGCCTATCTATCTGGCAAGAGATGACTGCCATCAAGATTTCATGTCAGATTATAGCGGGAATCAGCTTGCAGTCTGAACACAAGCGCTGCGATGCGTCGAACTTTGAAAACATTACGATAACTGTGAGACTACTCCCTTCATATCCACCCTCCACTGTTGGAAAAATGGTGATCCAAGCTCTTCCAAAAACCTGGGAGATGCACTGTTCAGCTGTCGGAGCAGCCAGTCCTCATGGACCAGCTCGGTGTCACTTTGAACTCGAAGTTGATTCTGCGTACTCTGAGGATCAACGAACATCTGAAACGCCTTTGCTCTCTCGTTTGCATATATGTCTAGGAAGTCGGGCGACCTGCCTTCAAGAATGATTATCGCGAGGATGTCGCATAGGGCTTAGGAGTCAATCAGTCCTGTTGAACGTCCCATACTACCCACGGGCTAGTAGTGAAGTGAGTATCAAGGGCGGCATGTCATAGTTGGAATGAAGAACTAACGTTATACAGAAGAGCTGCATCTTCCGCAAGCACACATTTTCCCCTTCGGAAAATAGTAGCACTCGATTGATGGATCCGATAGAGAGCAGACATGATTACTTCTGCATTGATTGGCCTGGGACCAGGAAGCATTCTCTCCAGAAGAGACGTGATATGAGCGATTGAATTCATTTCGTCAACCAGCGTCTGGTCTTCCGGATCCAAGCCGACAGCACATCGGTACAGAGTCCGTTTTCCAGGCTCGGCAGATTCTAATGGAGTGACAATGTCCCAATGCACATTGGGGAACGCAAAATGCTCTTCCGCTACTCAGATCCAGAATCCCGTTTTGGTTTCGCGTGCTCAATCGAATTTCGCTCGGTCCCTCAATTGTCCCCGCATGTATCTCCACTGTGCATCCGTTGGAAAACTCATTCATAGTAAGATCATCTGAAGAGGTATGGATCCTAACAAGAAGAGAGATTCAGGAGGGTGGGGATTTATACTCGCTAGTGGGAAGACCGCGCCTTCCCAATCCGTGGATACCTTCATGGCAGCTTTAGGTCAGAAAAGCGTTCGACGGGATTTGCCGGTTTGACGTTTCGCTCTCTACAATCCAACAAGACATATGAAATGAAATGCTGGGTCAAGTTGAATGTACGGAGTAATTCCTGCCTATCTCTGCGATTACATGTTCGTCCACCACAATCAAGGCTTATGCTAGCTTTGCGTTAGCTTTGATCAATTTAATCCAAGGAGATCCACTTATCGCCCACGATGTTAACGTGCGTGGGAACATTAAACGCTACCTGCAGAGGTGAAGCATATTAAAGACCTGACAAATAAGGCATGCACTCCCCAACCTTGCATTCCATGTTAAAGGCACTACTCTGTATGTTGTACAATGTAGGAATAAAATGCAAGAAAGACGAAACTAAACTACCGTTCTAAATAATGCTCATAGTAAAAAAAAGTAAGAATCTAGACTTATATATTTGTCGTGCTGTCATGCAGTACAACAAGGGCCTCGACTCCGCAAATCGCGATTTCAATATCGCCCAGAGTTTTGAAACCTCCCAATATTGACAGAAGCATTTGCCACGATGTAATAGATTTCACATATTTGAAATTCAACCAGGGCTTAAAATACTTGATCGGTTACAAGTCCCTTGCGCGGTGTATCCCGGGATTGGATCGCAGATTGTTCATTGAATTACATATTTCATGCATGAGAACCCCACGATCTCGGACACCAAACAATGCACCCTACACAGACGCTGGATAGATCAGCTGCAGGATTCAAGCTTCGGGGCAACGTTTACGGGGTACAATATGTGATATATCCGACCTTGGCAGTGTGTGCGACTGCGCCTCGTGAGATGCTCCAAATAGCCAAAGGGGCGGTGAAGCCGAAAACTGGAGAGGCAGCTTACGGTGGTATGTTGTCTCTAGTAGAGTTTGGGCTTGATCCATTTTCGGTGCCGTGTAATAGACTGGAAGTTATCACTGGTGGAAGATGGAGGGTCGGCACATCATGCAACAAGGTTTATGTTCCAGTAGGCGCCGGGAGAGAGAGAAAGCAGCATATCCCAATCAGGGACAAAAGAACCAAGACAAATGGAAACGGAAATAGCTCCCAGACCAATATTGTAAAGTATATCGCCACTCGTTGAATAGTGGGAACTCACATTTGATTATCATTCGGTCGCATCAATATGTGGTGAGTCACGGGTAGGCAATGCTACCCAGCGAGAAGGCGAGGAGGCGCCTTAGGCCCCTGCCCTAGTCCGGATTCCGCATTGATGAACTCCGATTTGGAAGGGTGTGAGCTGATAAAGTAGGATCTCAAGGTCCACTGCCAATAATAAGCGGGTTCATCTGCATCTAGGGCTGTGTGTGTCTCGAGACACAACAAGGTTTTCTTTAGGGGGTCTCTGCGCTGCGTGTCGAAGGATTGGGGAATTCGCATGGGGAAGCCGATCAGAGTAAGATCAGCGCCGATTTGGGCACCCTATAGGGGGGAGAATAGAGGGGAATGTACCCGGAGTACCTGGAAAGGCAAAGCCAATGCACAGCCTGCAGCTAAATCCGAAGGGCTGAGAAGGAAAATTTCAGTCCCAATTTACCTTTCCGGACATCTTTGATAACCACCGGACAGTTCATCTCGGCAACGTCGGATCTATCAGAGACAAATTCCAGTATGTAACAATCGTCATTGTCCTCTCCAGTTAGTATAGGCATTAGAGAAAAGATCTGGTAACGTTCCAATTGACGTCAGGTTTTTGAAGTATTTTGGTGGGCCGTTGAAGGGTCCATTTTTGGAGGATCTGCGGGTTCTGATTGGTTCAAAGACTATTGCCACTCTGTTAGCGCTTCGGTCTGGTTGGTGCGTCGATGTAAGTGTCTTCCCACATCTGACATTACAGAACTGTAATTCTTCATATAAAACACCCGATCAATCCTCCTAAATGGTAAGAACTCGTAAATACAGTACCCGTACCAATCCCCATAACACACCCCTCCCCTCTTTTTCTCCTTCGCCTCTTCCCACACACTCTTCTCATCCTTCCTTCAATCTCGATCTTTCCTATATTTTTCTATTTTCTATATTTTTTTCTGTAACTTTCTTATATTCTTACTTTCGAGTAACTTCTCACACAATGTCTGCCTACTTCTATAACCAACACCAGCAGCACCAGCAACACCCTCATGGTGCTCACATGCAGTCGGCAACAAATACCCACCATGGTCGCTCGCGTCGTGCCCCAAAGATGGCCTCGCAGAATGCTCAGCGTCAATTCCGAGGAGTCAAGAGTATGCGGGAATTGGCGGAGGCTCCGGCTGTGACAGCCTTCCGTGCAAGATTCGAGGCTGGTCGATCTTTTGATCTGGATGATGACCTCGAGTTTTGCCCGGGTCTCCTGACTGAAGATGATGTACGTTTTGATCGGCGAATTTTTCGAGCCCCCTTATCCATCAACCCCCTTGAAGATCACCTCAATTCATTTTTTGGATAAAACATCAAGGGGACAGTCTTGCTGACTTTGATCTGTAGCTGCACTCCATCCACTCCGCTTCCGACCGCTCTTCTCTCTCCAGCGGCTCCCCAGACACCTCACCCCTGCAGCACCAAATCCAACCGGTGCAGCAGGTGACACCATCCATCTCTTTGTCCCCCGCTCAAACCAACTCATACGTTCACTCTGGTGTTGCCGGCAACCCTAATCATGTCAACTACCAGCAGCAGCAACCTGCGAACCGGACCCGCAAGGTCATTCCGATTGTTAACCCCTCGACCGGAATGACTCTGTCGAGCCCTCCTTCATCGATCACGCCCGCGATGATGCAGAATGCTCAGCGTCGATGGTAAGGGTGCCATCTGCCAAAGTCGTAGGCTGGCACCCTACATCTCCATTCGTCCATTGCACGTCCGTTATTTAAGCTGTTCTGCATCATCCGGGTCCCTCAATCGCAGGTCATAATGTTTCTTTTTTTTCTCCACTTGCATTCTTGTTCGATACGTTTATTGCATTCGACACGACACAATCTGGAAAAATATTTGTTATACGAACACGGCGACAAAAAAAATCATCAAAATTCGAAAACAAAAAACCGACCTGTACATACACTCTCCTCTTCGCCGATTACGACCACCTTCGCCTCATATTCTAGATCCTTTGCGATACTCTTAGCTTGTTGCGAGCGACGGCGCCTGCGATTCAATACCTTGCATCCTTTTCCTACGATACCTCTTTCGTCTCTCAGGGAGGGACGAATACTTTCTTCGGCCTATGTTTCTTTTTTTGTTTTTTTCCCGGTCGGGCCACCGATGATGTACAGAACACACGTGCAGTGACATTGCTACTTGACGTTGCATGTCCATGACCTTTGGAGTTGATTTTACCTTTTTCTTCTTATGGGAGGGTTTTGCGTGCAAACGACTTTGCCAGATACACCTACGCTGTGGCAACTTTCTTTATTTTCTTTCTACGATCTCTTTGTTTGGGTTTTTTTTACCGGGGCGGGAATGGATATCATTTTCAAGGATCTAGAGGCGGAAACGATACACGTCTGCATTGCTTGGGCACTGTTGAATATCTTGGGCTGTTTTTTATTGCTTTGTTACCTGCTACTTTTCTCATCTTTTACGGATTGTTTCTCTGTACATCGAACTTGGGGATTGGTGAACAACGCTTCCTTGCCACTGGTATGTGGTTGGTTGGGTCTGGTAGCGAAACCATGGGATGGGAGTTGTTTCTGTTTGACATCGATATCCTTGGGGGTCTCTCGCGGTGTGCGAGTCTAGACCAATATGCACTTAAAATGCTTTCATTTCTACTCTCCTTTCATCTCTCTTCCTTTGGCTCTGTATCTCTTATATCTTCTTTTTAGGGAACTCCCGGAGAGTTATGGCATTAATTTTTGCGTAGAGTTCGACCACATCTTGTCTTAATAACTTGGGGCTCTGGCATTACAATGTAGATTGGATGGGTTTGCTTGCACCAGGGGTTTTCTTGGGTGGCATATAGATGCGTCTTCAAGCATTCTGTTCCGAGCCATCCATTCTACTGCCGAACGGAGCTCATCTCATATTGATGCTGTTTCAGTCTGGATCTTTGAATTGTTTGGGGCAGTATAATTCAAGTTCAGCAATTAGTATTCTATGTTTCGTTTGGCCTGTCTTTGCAAACCCGACCAATGTTAGATATAGTGTCATGAGCGGTGCTTGAAGACATGTAAGAATATATATATGGAGGGGATGGACATTTGGCAGGAATGAGGCTAACCTACAAGCCTTACGTCTCTTAAATTATAAACCGATCACACATGTATAATCAGATCTTTAATCAACCTGGTCCCACTCAGCGACTTGATCGGCCGAAGATCAATGGTGTTCATCAATGGAGTTCTACAGGGCACGGAATACTCCATGTGCCAACACGAAATGCCATTCTAGACAGAGAAGGAAATCTCTAGAAAATCAAAAAACCCACAGTCAACATGTCACAGAGAGATCTCTGTAGCCTCTCCAATATGTTTCAAGTGCGTTGTACAGCCTACATGATTGGGCTCCTACCCGCTGGCCCTCGTTTCAGGATCAACAAACGACATCCTCACACTCCACAGGGCTTAAGGTCTCTTAGTGTCATTCCCACGCGCCCAGGGGAATCCCCCCACTTATCTAAGACGTGTAGTAACAGACAAATTACAGAGTGCTCCTGCTATTCCATACATGGATATTTCCGTACTCCATGCGCTTCCGAGGCCCCCTTACCTCCTGACATACGGAGTATAGGTTCTGGTCTGAGACTGACGGCGTCTGCTGTGAAGCATGCCCAGCTTGGGCCAAGGGCTTTGCAATGCAGCACTTACCTCCGATAGGTGGATGTGCAGGACAGAAACAAACGCTTGCACTACAATATACGTACTACTGTCGGGTCGTGCTTGCATTTTTGTTTTCTGCACATATGAAGTTTCACTTTGTCTCGTCCTGTCGTTGTGATATTGTTTTATCTCATTGTTTTCTTCTCTTCATTGTACACATTGTCTTCTCTTTCCTTTTTCCATTCTTAGCTGCAGGTATTCGAGTCAGGACTACTGCCTGCTGACGTTCATTTTGGGACATTGCCATTGTCCTCCCATTCATTCAGAACAAGTCTGCCCTTACAGATCTGCAGAGCTGCCGAAAATTTACCTTTTTTTGGTCCTGTCTTGTTTTGTCTCTTATTCTTGTGTTTCTTGTCCATTGCATTCTTTAGTATCATATCCGCAGGCCGGCCCTGATCTAATCACTCCTTTCTTTCGATTTTGATATCCCCAGTTGGGGCTTTGGGCAACATGAAACTCATTCTTTTTCTTGCTGTTTTCTCTTCGTTGAGCTTTAATGCTCTTTCCATGCCCGTGGCTCCTCTAAACCATCTTCAAGGCCGGTCCTTCAAGGTGGAGAGAGTCAAGCGCAATGGCGACGTTGCCCATGGACCTGCGGCACTGCGCAAGGCGTACCGCAAGTTCGGAATTGATGAAACAACCCTCAATGGTGTGGATGTGAGCGATTTCCAGCCTTTCGACACTAAGCATACCACTACCGCCTCTGTGAAAGTTGCAAAGGAAGATGCGGTGAATTCTGAACAGACGGGCGCTGTGGATGCGACTTCTGTTGATGGAGATGTGGAATTCGTCTCCCCGGTCAATATTGGAGGCCAAACCTTCGATATGAATTTTGACAGCGGTTCTGCTGATATGTAAGTTTTGTGCTGACATTCTCTTGGAAGCTTGGCCTAGCGATATCTTTTTATGTTCCAGTTTGCAGAATATTCCAAGCTAACCAATTGCCATATAGGTGGGTGCTGAGCTCGAAACTTCCAAAGTCACTGCGAAGCAGCCGAGAAGTGTATGAACCGAGCAAGTCCTCCAGTTTTGAAGAACTCAACAACAGCACATTCAAGATCAAGTACGGCGACTCATCGTATGCCACCGGGGAAGTAGGCAAGGATGATGTCTCAATTGGCGGTGTCAAAGTCGCTGGGCAATCGTTCGGCCTTGCGACGGATATCTCGCAAACATTTGCAGAGGACACCAAGTCTAATGGAATCGTCGGCCTCGGTTTCTCTTCAATCAACACCGTCATGCCAGTTTCACAGCATACGTTTTTCGACAATGTCGCCCACAGCCTCAGCGAGCCAGTATTCACCGTTCGACTGCTCAGCAACGGCGTCGGCGAGTATGAATTTGGAACCGTTGATCATAGCAAGTATCGAGGCGTCATGGCCAACGTCAGTGTCGATTCATCCAAAGGGTTCTGGCAGTTTGACTCGACACAATATGCCATAGGAGGAGGCCCCTTGCACCCGATCATCAACGCACCCTCCGCCATTGCTGACACTGGCACCTCGCTCATGCTGGCTAGCCCTGATGTTGCGGAGGCGTACTATAAGCAAGTCGATGGCGCTATATTCGCCAATAATGCCAACGGGTACATCTTCCCCTGCACTTCAAGCTTGCCCAGCCTATCCGTTGCGATTGGGGCTGGTTATTCGGCCACCATCCCTGGATCTTTCATGAATTGGTCTGAGGTTGGGACCAATACAACTACTGGTGAAACATGTAAGATTCTTTCTTTTCCGTTCAAGCTTCTTTTGAGGTATGAGTTCTGAGCTAATCTTTCTTCGTTGATAGTGTGCTATGGGGGCGTTCAGTCGAGCGGAAGTTCAAGCATGGCAATCTATGGCGATGTGTTCTTGAAGGCACTGTTTGTGGTCTTTGATCAACGCGGTCCTTCTCTGGGATTCGCGGCGCCTGCTTAAAGCAAAATATTCTCAGATCTCTCAGCTTCTCAAGTTGTGTGATGATGTACAGATTAGAAAAATGAAACCCATAATTCGATTTTTTCATGTGTTGGCATGCAGTGAGGAACATTTGCCATTCATATGCACAAAAATAGTACGAACTTGGAAATTTTGATTTCTTCATATTCTCATGGGTATGCGTTTAGTTTTATTTTTCTCAGATATACCGAACACCTCCACATCCCTTACCGAACAGTAGCATTAGTCAAGCTCTTAACAGTACAAACACCACCAGAGGCAGCAACCAGCTTTCCAAGAGCAGGCTTGCCCTCCTGTCCATGGACAGAAGGAACGGCGCTGCTATCAAAGGCAACCTCACGGTCGGCAGTAGTAGTGAAACCCGGCTGGAAAGTCTCCCAGACCTTCTTCTTGGGGTTAAGCTGCTTCTCAGGCTGACCATCGTTCCAGCCCTCGAAGCTGATACGCTCACCGGCAGGGGCATCGGCAGGAGGGTTAACGAGCTCGACAGGACCGGCGTGCGAGTCCTCGCCCTCCGCAACACGCGGGGACGCAGCGAGAACCATAGCGCAGGACTTGACGCCACGCATGGTCACAGGCTTCAGGTTGCACACGGCAACGATCTTGCGGCCCTGCATCTCCTCGAGCGGGATCAACCCATTCAGTCCAGAGCACACGGTTCGCACGGTCTTGCCAGTCTCCTCGTCGAGAGAGGTGTTGTCGCTGCCCGGGGCATCGCCGCAGTCGATCGTGGACACGTACAACGAGTCCGCGTTGGGGTGGTTGATCGCGCGAAGGATGTGTCCGACGCGCAGGTCAATCAGTGATGGGGCCGGGGGAGCAGCGGGGGCAGGAGCAGGCTTGGGGGCTTTCTCCTTCTTCTCCTTCTTCTCCTTCTTCTCCTTCTTGTTGGTTTTCACGGGGGCGCCGTCGGCGCCGACCTGGGTCTGGGCTTTGGCGGCTTGCTCAGCCTTACCTTGGCCGATGACGAGGGGCTTGGACTCGTTGTTGGAATCTGGGTTCTGGGCGTTGGCCTTCTCACGCTTCTTGCGCTCCTTCTCCTCCTTAGGGTCGACGGGCTTGGGGACGAACTTGACGTCGTTCAGGTCGATGGCGATCTTCTCCTCCTCGGGGATCTGGAGCGAGAACAGGCGGCCATTCTGCACGAAGTCGACGTGACGCACGATATGGTGGTAGCCCTTTTCTCCGGTGCGCTGTTCGGGAGTCCATTTCTCGACGAGGGGGCGAGGAGAGCGTAGATGGCAATATCGGCGACCGAGGGCTTCGCGCCGAGGAGGGTGGTGCGGGTGGCCAGGTGGATGTTCAGCTGTTCGAGGATTCCGGCAGTGACGTCCTTCTCGTCATTGGCGAGAGAAGTCTTCAGGCCGGAGACGGTGTTGAGCCATTGCTTGATGTCGGCTTCCTCTGCCTCACTGAAGGTGACTTGAGGGAAGATCTTGGCCGAGGCGTGGAGGTAATCGGGCTCGGTCGAATCGGGAGAGACTACAGCGGGATACGACCGGTAGAGAAGAGAGAGGAGAGAGGTCTCGGGAGCTGCTGCCGTCGCCATGGTGTATGTTCGTAGAGGGGTTGGGAGTGGAAGAAAAGAAAATCGAGGAGGGGCACGGATTTGTGTCAGGACCCGCGGGGTTGTCAGTCGGGCCCGCAATAGGGTCGACCTGAGAGAATTCAATTTGACGACGATCCCTTTTCTATAGGGATCTGGTGCAATTACTTGTTTTATTTAATATTCAAGCAATCGCCCTTGGATGCTCCTTTTTTCCTGGCCGTGCTGCGTATGCTGACTCAGCGGCTGCCAGGGCTCCGGGGTCCCGTGGGCCCATACACTACTGACTTTGGGACTGTTAGAGATCAAGTGAACAAGCAAATAGCTATCAGATCCCCGTCATACATAGCCCCAACCAGGAACTATGCTGTGGAATTGCAACTTTAATTTGGATACAAATAAATTCCCTTTTTGTGGGCATTCGGGTCTGCTAGTTGAGCTCTGGCTTCTAACATGATAGGAAATTCCTAGTCTTGTTTCACTACGGCCCATCGACTACAGTGTATCAAGCAATGGATAAGCAATTGAGCAAGCGAAAGAACTTTCAACCTCAACTCATACCGGGCGAGTCTTCCATTTGACATGTATGTCTGCAGCCAACGTCTGCTGCCGTGCTGTCTTACCTTCGCTCATTTCAATATCTGGGTTGGCACCAGCTTTGGCAAGCATCTTGATGACATCCTTATTGCCCACATCAATCGCCTTCAGCAGAGCAGTTTGCCCTTTGCTAGTTTGCTTGTTGATGTCGAGTCGCTTCGATTCTAGCAAAAGTTCCACTGTCTGTTGCTGATTAAGACAAACAGCAATCATTAATGGAAATGCATCCCTTGGACCCAGATTGGGATCTATTCTATCCTGCGCTAGGAGGAGACGAGTTATATCATAGTTGTTGGCGGCAATGCAGCGACAAAGCGGTGTCACCCCTTGGTTGTCTTGAGAATTGATATCGACCTCGTCTGGCATGCGGACAGCTTTCTTAGCAAATTTCAGAACGACCGATACATTACATTCACAACTTGCCGCAATGCTCAGTGGCGTACAGCCATCATTGTCGCGTTCGTCAATTTCGACTCTTGGATCTGCAAGAAGAACGTCAAGCAGAGTATCCCGATCACTTGACTTGAAGCTGTATCGCTCAAATAGCATACGCAAGGGTGTGCAACCGCGCGCGTCTTTTGCACTGGGGTCTGCGCCTGCTTCCAGCAATGCCTGCACGATTCTGGGTTGATAATGCAGACATGCCAAATGAAGCATCGAATTCATTTCTGATAGGGTGCCCACAGCATTCGGGTCAGCTCCATGGGCAAGTAGCAGTTTGACATCCCGGTACGCCCTCTCTTGTTTCTCATGTGCAACATCCAGAGCCAATCTACGGTTCATATAGGGGTATGTCGATGATTCGATTACATGACACATCCAAGAAGAGCCGTCGCCAAAACGATAGTTCGGGTCAACTCCCCACTTCAAGCAGTTTTCAATCGATCTCCAGTCATCTTTCTCATGGCTTCTCCAACTTTCATATAGGGTTTTTTGGATGAGCTTTCCTAATGCGCATCCGAGGAAGCCATCCTTAGAAACTAATAGCTGTATCAAGTTGGCATTTCTCTTGTTAACCATGTAATACAGTCCATTCTGGCGTTCAATCCACGCCGTCTCCGGGGCATCAGAGAGTACTTCGATTGCCTTGATAAATGATTCTTTCTTATTCCTTCGCAGGCTTCGTTCAAATGCACGCAAGTCCTGCATACCTCGCTGGCAAAGATATCCAATTAAAAAGCGATAGAGACCCCGATTTGCTCGTCAAAGATTGTGAATCTCGTTGTCTGATAGCTCACGTCCAATAAGCAGCATCAGCTCAATGGGTAGGTCAAGAATTGATTTCGCCCCAAGTTGTGATCGCCAATTTTGCTCCAGTAGGGGCGAGGCTAGATCAGCTATTTTTTGAATCGCTTTTTTCACTCGGTGCTCCTTGTGCGTCCATACTCTTGGAAAGCAGGCGGGATTATGGTTCAATTGAGCAGTATATCTTGCGAAGGTAGAACTTGACTTATAATTCTGCGCAATAAATGCAACCAAAGCTCTCTGGTCGGGATGCACAAGAGCTGTCCACGATTTCTTGGTTTGAAAGAAGGCATCGAGAAGGTGGGCTAAACGAATCGCTTCTGCTGGCAGTTTTGGAAGACTCGGTGTATTTGATTTCGTCATCTTGCCTGATAGTATTTCTGCGCTTTCTAACCGTTGTAAAGGCTGCTAGGGGTGGTGAGTCTGATCATGATCCTATCCGAACTCTATAAAGAGATTGTGGTCATCATGTAGTAATGCAAGGCTATTCTTAATTGTACTTTTTATACTTTTTTCTCTGAATATATTAGAATTTGCCAGCAATTAGATTGAGAAAGTATGTTATAGGCTTACATGTTCCAACAATGCTCTAGTAGCTAGCATCTAGGGGCCTGAATCAATATAGCAACGAAGAGCAAGAATTTGGGTAATACTATCTCTTTTCTTTTTGGTCCCTGCTTTTCTTCTTTTTTTCCCCTCATTTTTGCTTGTTCAGGAGTGGACAGGCTTTTCAAGATTGATGTTAGCCCGAAAGATCGTTTTTGTGCTGTCAGATCTGTGCTATCTGGACATTATGGACAACCATAGTCATTCTGAGCCTATAGGCAAGGGTTGTCTATAATGGCAGCTCGATATCGTAATCACTAAATCTGGGTATTCAACAGTAAATGAAAGACCTTGGCCATATGCCAGGTCTTATCATTTTATGCATAATACCACTCCGGGAGGGGCTTAGATGTGTAAAATGTAATGTATGTACTCCGTATGTATACAACATACGAAGGATTCCAGTGTTTTTCCTAAACAGCATTAGCGTAGTCCTATTATCTCCCTATGATTGGTCAGTTGAACGACACTAAAATGAGTCATAATGAGTCGGGGAACCAGTGGACAGCCAGCCAATCATGTGCTGCTTACTGTGGGCCCAGGTAGTGCTGCGGTTCATCTCCTGGGCTTCCCCATCCTTTTATATGGCCTGGCCTTGTCCTTCAATTTCTTCCTCAGGACTCCCACAGAGTCTACCCCTATACACAGTTACCCTAGGGTACCTTCTTCATCATTCCCGTATAGAGCGTCACGGGTCTGCAAAGGCCCGTCTAAGAAATCCAGCGATGTCCGCCTGCAGTTGTTCCAGCGCCGCGGCAGCGATCCAGACCTCTTTCCACTGGTTCCAACCCGCCCAGCACCGGCACGCAGGAACGCCATCAAGGGCCTGCTGAATATTCGCCATGGGCAAATCTTCAACCGTACAGCGATAACGACCTCTTCTCATCGCTGGCACCGCCGTTGGAAGTCTTTCCCTCGACTGTGCCAGTCTGTCAATCCTTTGATACCCTCACGCACGAGTCGGCACTTTGGACAGAACCCGATCTGTCCTTTGCCGATACCGATTGGAATTTCATATCTGTGGATCATTCGACGCCTTACCCTCCTGGCTATGATGGTGGAGATGTCCCCGTCATGGACCTTGGGTATGGGTCTGTCTCTGCTTTCAACTCTCTTTCGGATTCAGGATCAATCGAGAACCAACAATATGTTTCTGCGTCTCTTGCTCCTAGTTCCGCCAATTCGCTAGGTAGGATTATATTCCTCCCTCAAATCTGAACGGAGTCTAGTTTCTAACGATTACACAAGATGGCCACTCGCATCCCTCCCCTGTCTCTCAATTCCCTGCTCCCGTGTCAACTTCTTTGTCCAGTCCCGCTACCTCACATGGCGATGATGCTCCAGGCCGCGTGAATTCATCACGGGTGGAAAAGCGCAAGCTAAACACCCTCGCGGCGCGGAGATGTCGACAGAGACGCGTGGATCGGATGAAGGAACTGGAAGCCGAGTTGGAGAAGGTCCGACAGGAAAGAGATGATTGGAGACTTAAATGTTCGAAGCTAGAAGGCGAAACGGATGCTTTGAAGGGTCTTCTGACTCGCAAAAACAGGGATACATAGTTGGAAACTCAACATTGGAGCTGGTCTCTCAAATGAATTCAATTGGTTTTTGGATATGTGTCTACCCCTATTTCGTATTACATTAAGGATCTGTGATGAGCATTATTCGTAGAGTTGGGTGGAAATGCAGATTTGTCGACATCGGGCACCCCCGCAGGGTGGCTCTTCCTAGGTCACATAAATCGTCGACTGTGCATCTCCTGCAGCAAATGACAGGCAGAGAGGTCTTGGGTGATCTCTTATCCGGACGGTTGCCTTCGTGGGGGTTCGCCGAGGGTATTCACTAGTCCAAGTTCCGCTCAACCGATGTCACACATCATATTGAATTACGACTTTGGGACTTTGTGTTCTATTTGTGTAACATTTTCATACCTCAATTACATCTCATTTTGTTTCCAAAAGCAGACTCCATTCCTCGGTCCGTTTGACAACGCCCCCAACAAACTCACCCATCGACACGAGACCCATAATGAGAGCTGTACGATTCCATGGACGAGGCGATATCCGTGTTGACGAAGTAGAAGAGCCGATTTGTGGTGAAGGCCAGGTCAAGGCAAGCTTAGCATTACTAGTAGCTTTCGTAATGTTACCTCCTGCAGAGTCTCTAACGGTCCTTGATGTCAACAGATTCGACCTGCCTTTGTTGGAATATGTGGCAGTGGTAAGCCACACGCTCAACAGTCATCGTTGGGTAGTCATCTCTAATTCAACCTAGATATTCACGAGTATCTTGCTGGCCCATCGCTTATCCCTACCACCCCGCATCCATTGACCGGCGAAAAGTTGCCGACCACTCTGGGACATGAGTTTAGTGGCACAGTCGAACAGGTCGGCTCAGGCGTTACAGGTTTGAAGGCTGGGGATCGGGTTGCGGTCATCCCTAACCAATTTGACGACACGTGTCCGAGCTGTTCCATAGGCAGGTTCAATATCTGCGAGAACTTGGGATTTATCGGGTTCAGCAGTAAGCCATGGTATGACCTATAGCCAGGTCACAATATTGACAGTCAGAAGGCCAGGCAGGTGGTTTATCGGACCACATAGTCGTGGACAGCAAACATGCGATTCTGTTACCCGACTCCATCCCCCTCGATATTGGTGGTAAGAATAGATTTCCCCGTTTCAAATTGTGCTCGACTTGTTTCAGTTCTGATGATAGGGTGGATATACAGCCCTGGTGGAACCTCTTGCCGTCGCATGGCACGCCGTAAGCCGCTGTACCTTGCAGACAAATGATACAGCACTGGTTGTTGGTGCTGGACCAATCGGTCTGGCCATTGTCCAGGTACTAAAAGCGAAAGGTATTACATCGATTATTGCTGTGGAAGTTTCTGAGCGACGACGCGAATTCGCCCTGGCCCAGGGCGCCACCGAAGTCCTTAATCCCCTTGAAGTAGATGCGGTTGCGCAGGTACGCGCCTTGACAGGGAACGTGGGTGCAGCTGTTGCATTCGAGTGCTCTGGGGTTCAGGCTGGACTCGATACTGCGATGGCTGGACTTCGTGTACGCGGGACAACGGTCATCGTTTCCTTGTGGGAACAGAAGCCTATTCTCGATCCTCTTACTGTTGTGCTTCAGGAAAAGCATATAATAGGGGCTTTTGTTTATGATATTGGGGACTTTGAGGCTGTGATTGACGCCATTGCTTCCGGTATGCTTGGCCGCTACCCTATCTATTGTCTTGACTTCCTAATCGGGTAGGTGCCCTCTGCTGACCTTTTGCTTCTTTGGTACAGGTACTCTCCAGCCTCGCCCGATGATAACTAGTAAGATCCGAATGGAGGACGTGGATGAGAAGGGATTCAAAGCTCTCATCGAGGGGAGAGATAAACATGTAAAGATCCTGGTTGATATTTCTGCCTGAATGCGGTTTAGCTCATACGTCTTGGTATCTCTACGGTGTATTTCAATGAATTTCGCTCTTCGTGAATTAGTCTCCATAGTTACCCCGACTATGCGCCAAGTTTTATACATCCTGGCCACGCGAGATGATCGGGTAACCGGGGGCCAAGTCGGATATTCTTGCCTGAGCTGCACCTTTTCGGCTGAGCCGATTGGAGCCCTGAAAATAATAGCAACCTGGGAAGTACGGAGTCATCATAATGAGTTGACCTTGGAGGCGATGTGCATATCTTATTCATTAGGTATCATCGTTCAATCCCAAACAGAATTAGCTATACTAGATTCCACAAAGAAAAAATTCAAGAGAATCTTTAAATAGAACTTTCCTCTCATAACTTCTAAGAGTGCAATTTTAAACCCTAAGGTAGAAGTGATCAACTACCCTTACGAGCATTTAAAATCACCAGTGCCTTGATCTACCCTGTACTCGGTGGTGTGATGCACAGTGTATCTGGCGTCTGCTTAATCATGTCAGCCCCGTGGCGCCACTGTCTTTTTCCTTGAAAAACTCCCATCGCTTCTCTTTTCCAGACTGTACACAAAAAGCAATTCCGAGGCATTTATCTGCAAGTAACTCGGGTAATTAAAAAGCTCATAGGCTTGATGACAAATAACTATAAACCTCCAGTATCAATTGTTACTTTGTCGGATGTCCACAAACGGTGATCCCAGACCCTCGGCGGTATTTGGCAGTGGGGAAAGAGGATGTTTTGACACTTTACGGTTAAAGAAACCAGGCAGTTCACCGAATCTTGAGTATGAATTACCAAATATCTAGATGAGACACTGCCCAGAATCTTAAGTCGAGATTCATGATAGGAAGATGTCTTGGTACAGGGATGTGAACTAACCTACCTCAGTATGTATCAAGTGTTGATCCCCATACTTTTGTTCTAATTTTACACGGCATTTACTGCAAGTGTACTGCCCCCAAAAGAAAATTTAGTCGCTGTGCCACGCATCAGGCAGGAAGATCGGAAGATCATAGGGTTTCTGGCCATGATTTTGACATCCAGGCAGCACGTTGCCAGTGTTCGCATCTGATCGATCCAGCCATTTTCTGGAAAATCACGCCTCAGCCGTGAGCTGAGACATTCATGGATGACGCCGCTCATGCCCGATATACTTCATTGGCCCAATGCGTGGATCCATAGGGGATGGGGGCGGGAGAATTTTTAGATACCCTTTGAATATATAACACTTTGGCTTCGCTTTGATAACTCTCTTATTACTTATAATTCCCTTTGTCAATAATCCATTGTGGTCTATCATTCCTATAATTGGAATCGAATATCCAGTGCTATTTTGACCACGTTGTTTTTCTACTGTGGGACCCTGCCTACGTTATACCCGATATTCTGGCCTAAAAGCTGGCATTATGGGTACACCACTTACCGAAACGGTTATCATTACTGGTGGAAATGGATTATTGGGCTCAGGAATCGCCATCGAAATCGCAAAGAAGCAACCCTTCGTCCATCTATTATTGACGGCACGGGATATAAGGACCGACGATGTCCGCGAACTGATGGGGAAGATCCGCCTGATCGGCCCCAGGTCGATCGAGGTCCTCGCTCTGGATTTGACTGACCTGAAATCTGTGGCATCTTTTGCCAAAACCACCGTCGATCGGGTTCGCTACAAAGACATCCCGCCTGTGACCAGTCTGATTCACTCTGCTGTCGCTACATCTTACGTTATTGATGACCTCACATCAGACGGCTACGACCCTGTGTATCAGACCAATTGTCTATCTCCATTTTTATTGACCACTGGACTCCTCGAGGCTTTCCGGGCTGGAGATGGTACACCAAAAGGCGGCGCCAAGGTGATCAACATCGGCTGTTCTGCGACATCTTCTGGGAGACTGGATTACTTCAATCACGACAATGGAAGAAACGGAAAGCGGCCGGGGACTGCGCTGAGTGCAAAGGAAGAGAATATTCGCTTTGGAAGCAGCAAGTTAATGGGGAGTGTCGCATTATACGCATTGAGGCGGAGCTTGATCTGGGTAAGTTGATCTTTCGGAGTCAAGTCCCGATTTCCAATTAATAAGATCTAATTATAGACTGGCAATATATCGCTTGACATCTTTACCTTGGATCCAGGAGGCATGACTGGCCCGAGCAACCTGCGGACTGGGGCGCCTATGTCGGTCAGAGTCGCACACCAGACTCGGACCGGGTTTCGGCCATTCTTGCGCATGGTATCCCGAAGCTCCATAAACAAGGTTAGTGTGCCAGCCAAGGCGATCGCCAAAGTTGCATTCCGCGTCGATACGGTGGAGAGCTGGCAAAAGGAACGCTATTTTGTTCTCGACACCGATTACGAGGCCGCATCCGTCTTGCCGAGCTTACGCGATGAGGGACAAGTGAACAAGCTCTTACTACAGATGATGCAAATGATTGATGTGGAAACAAAGGAGATGGATCCTCCTGCTCCTCTTCGGCCTCATTTGAGTATGATATCTCCTCCGACACTTACACTATGAAGGAACAAAATTATCTCCTTATTTTAGCATTGGGTGAATTCTTTGTATATAAAATTAGCGAATCCCATTGGCCGAATCAAAACATTTAGAGTCTTTCATGTGTTTCAATCCCAAATTATGTTATCAAGTACCTATCATCTCATCCACAGGGGGTCAGGTACTGAGGGTGACTGCAAGCGGATGACCGGATTTGGTGAGAACGACAACATTGTGAGACCTTGGATCACATCGAATCTTATCTTCTCCTTCTTTGGCCTTCCGATTCTCTTTAACTTCAATCTTTGCTTGAGAAAATTCATTTCTTCGATTCTATAACTGGCCTTTTCAAAAAGAGATCGGGGGTTGTCAGGGTCTCCGGCCGCTTTATTAGTTCTTGGCCCCCCAACATAAGCACCGCGCCGGCTTGTGACAGCGCCCGCAATGAACCGACACGTCCTTGAAAAAGGCCACTCTGCCTACCCTAGGGGTTCTGCATTTTCAATCTCACCAAACAGGTAAGCCGACCATCCAGTCCAAGTGAGGCGGCTCGCTTTTCATTGCCCGAGCTCGAAGCCATGTCATCATCGTGAAGCTTGAAATCAAAACTGACCAGTATGCCTTCGTCCCCAGGTTCCAGCCTCGTTCACAACCTGCCCTCCGGAGACGCCGACAGCTCTTTCAGCGCCTCTGCCTCCTTGGCTGCGTGTCACTCGTGCTGTTCCTCTTGATCTTCCCATCCTGGCGCGCCGCCATCCTTCCCACTATCTCACTCGGTCTTCTCTCCTATCCCGGTGATTTACACCTACAGACGGTCCGGTATTATGATTTATCAGAAGTGCAAGGCACGGAGAAGGGCTGGGAACGTGGAGAACGTGTCCTGATGTGCACCCCGCTCCGAGATGCCTCGTCGCATCTCCCGATGTTTTTCTCACACCTTCGAAACCTCACATACCCGCACAACCTAATTGATTTGGCATTTCTGGTATCCGACTCTCGGGATGATACCCTAGGCATGCTGTCGCGCATGTTGGAGGATATACAAAATGACCCAGACCCGAAAATGCCCTTTGGGGAGATCTCGGTGATCCAGAAGGATTTCGGCCAGAAAGTCCAGCAGGATGTGGAAAGCCGCCATGGATTTGAGGCACAGGCCAGTCGACGCAAGCTAATGGCACAGGCGAGGAATTGGTTGCTGAGCGCAACGCTGCGTCCAACACACAGCTGGGTCTACTGGAGAGATGCGGACGTGGAGACTGCTCCGTTCACAATCATTGAGGATTTAATGCGGCACAACAAGGATGTTACCGTCCCGAGTGAGTGGTGACTGTTGCATGAGTATCCGGATCTATACTAATTGGCTTTGTTTGTAGATGTTTGGCGTCCACTTCCAGATTGGCTTGGCGGAGAGCAGCCCTACGATCTGAACTCCTGGCAAGAATCTGAGACTGCATTGGCGCTCGCAGATACCTTGGATGAGGATGCTGTCATCGTGGAAGGATATGCCGAGTATGCTACATGGAGGCCTCATCTTGCCTACCTCCGCGATCCCTACGGCGATCCAGACATGGAGATGGAGCTGGACGGGATTGGAGGTGTCAGTATCCTGGCGAAGGCCCGGGTGTTCCGTGCTGGTGTGCACTTCCCAGCCTTCAGTTTTGAGAAGCACGCCGAGACGGAAGGGTTTGGCAAGGTGAGACGGTAATCATCGAGGCAGTAGTTACAGTTACTAATGTTTCCTAGATGGCTAAACGGATGAAGTTCTCGGTTGTGGGACTGCCGCATTACACTATTTGGCATCTATACGAGCCCAGTGTCGATGACCTTCGACACATGGAGCAAATGGAGGTGGAGCGACTGGCTCGCGAAAAAGAAGAACAAGAGCGAGCCGAGCAAAAGGATGGCGCCCAGTCCAAGCCCCTGGGTACCGATCAAACTGCGGATGGTGCAGAAGTACAAGGCTCTGCTGAAGGCCCGGCTGGACAGCCCATGAAAGACGCCATGGATTCCACCCAGGGCCACTTGAAAGCCCAAGCCGAGACAGTCGACCAAGCTGAGAGAATCGAAGTAGTTGAGAGAGCTAACCTATGATTTTTGACTGACTTTCCCTAACTGCGTCTTTGATCCAGCCGGCTGGATTACGCATTACATTCTCACTTGCAGCTCGAATGTCTCACCTCCCTGCCTGTGAAAACTATCTGTTTGCTTAGACTGCGGCGTTTTACGCCCAAGCTCTGCGAGTGTCCTCCGTAAGAGCTTTGCTGTGCGTTCTTGTTCCGTTCTTGCATATGTTTTTCTATATCTTTGGGGGCAGGGATATTTCTTTTTTTCATGGAGTCACAATAAATCATAATGGTCGGCGTGTGATGGAGGGCATAATTGGCCATTCAAAAGCAAAACATTCATGATTTCAATTTCAATCTCTTCTTCGCAAGAATTCTCAGCGGGTTATACGGCCTGTCCTTGACGATGCTGTTCAGTAATCTGATCTATTTGGCCAAAGATTATATGAGAGACATTATAACCATGATTATTCTACAATTTTCCGATGATTAGTATTGTAGCTGGAAGTATAAGTAGAATTTCCACAATTTAGAAGGAAGTACGGTGAGAAAGTGTCGATGCGATATGTGACTTTCAAGCCCATTAATGTAAATGTAACGAAATGTCCCCTGCTCTCCAGGACTACATGTCGGATGAAGCCGAACACCTCTTAGGCGGTGGTCTGTGCGTCTCCGCTTCGCGTCAACGCGTCCGAAGCCAACTCATTTCCACGAATCTCAATCTGCTATTTGCATATTCTATACACATTGTAATCTGCAATGTCGACTCAAGATTCGCGTCGGATACTTTTTACACATACCCGTCCCCAGGAGGGCTTCCGGTTACTGGAACTTACCCCAGAGCTGGAAAATCTACTGACATCAAAAGATGCACCTGTGTAAGTTGACACAATGAACAAGAATCCCAGCAGACAGGTAGCAACCTGCAGGCTACTATACCCAAAAACCCTTCTCATCCCCAATTGGTAGCCCTCGACTAACTCGCGGACCCCCACCAGACTCGAGCTCAAATCGCCCTCCACAGCTCTTGCACAAGCAGTAGTCGACCCCGCCGCCCACGACTATGTCAACCTATGCACACCAACACAAACCTACCGCATCCGCCAAGTTCAATCGTCAAACTCCCTGCACATTCTTCGCCCAAGCCGTGGCGAAATATCCCAAGCAGACATCAAAGTCGTTGAAGATGAAGCTGGCGAAAGTGGCGCATTGAACCTCCCAGATGAAGCCGTAACAGCCGTTGCAAAGTGTTCTTCGACGCTGGAACTGCACACCCCGCCGGGAGGGTTCTCAGCCGTCCCGTTCCTAGAGAAGAGTCTGCGGCTGTATGACCGGCGCAGCGACGATGACGGGGACATAGCGATGGGCGGGTCGGCAGATTCCACGGGTCCACTGGGCTCCAAGGAGATGCGCGAGGCTAGGGAGAATCTGTTTCAGGATATCCCTGTATCAACGGTGGAGTGCGAGCAGGGTTGGATGGAGCTTTGTGCCTTTGTAGATGGGGCTGAGGAGACGGCGTGTTGGCGGCCCTCGGTGCGGTCTCGATTGGCTGTTTGGAAGCGGCTGGTTGAGGGCGCTGTTTTGCAGGGAATTGATCTTGAGAAGCAGTTTCTCGTTGGGGACTTGTGGAAGTCTGTTCTGGATGATGAGGATGAGCAGACCGAGCCGCCATTCCCACGCGCGTTATTAGAGGCTGTTGTGAGGCGCATCTGCATTGCGGATGAACGGCCGCCTTTGGCGGATGATATGAAATGTGAGTCGGAGACAATGGACGGTGGGGTTCGGTTGCAGGGGTTTTCTAACGATTTTATGCTATTCTCTAGGGGCGAGCTTTGATAAGGTCGAGTGTACGCAATGGGTTGGCGAGACATACCTGGGTGCCACTGCTCCGACTATGTCGTCTGCTATTGGAAGAAGTGATTTCCTTCGCGCGTGGAAGGACTGTCTGCCTGAGACATGGAGAGGAGAGGCAGTGCTGTCAAAATTGCCGGTACCTTATCCTTCCTCGCTTGAGCTGCGACGTGATAGCTGATTTGATCTACAGACTGGCTGCTACAACAGTCCCGGCCCCACGACTATCTACTTTGTTGAACCAGCGCAACGGCAGCCAAGCAGCAAAACTGCTTCTGCGCCAGCTGCAGCGGCGAAAGCTAAGAGTACCAGAAATTGGCACGAACTGCTCAAAGGCCGCCGTTGATTGCAAAAAAAGGCTACCGCACTTGCTGCGTAAAATGCTATGGCATCTAATCTATGATGCGCGTATATCTAGAAGCATCGCGATCATATCTGCCGCCCAAACTTGCCTCGATCCCACACTCCCGAAAAAGACAGTGAGAAGAATCACGAGCAAACAAAAAAACAAACCTCGAAATGATACTCCAACGAATGGATGATTAGCACCAAGTGTACTTCTCATTCAGCCACCACTCCACATCCTTGCCCAACCCTTGCTCCTCGCCAGTCCACCGTAAACTGGCAATGCTCTCCCTTTCGCGGTGCACGAGCTCAGCCTTCGGTTCCACCAAAGCTACGGCTTTCTGCAAAAGGGCCGTAGGGTTCCAGAATTCAACCTTGCTCATATTCCACTCGTGTGCCTCTTGTTGTGCTCGCCGGAGGATGGCAGCCATGGCCTGGATAGTGGCCTGCTCCTCCGCCGGAGATGTGGGGTCATCATACACCCACCGAAGGATGTAGAGAACATTATCCTCGGGTGTCTCGCCGAAGTTTCGGTTCCAAACGCAGTACACGCGAGCCTGGTCATCGCCAGCGCCCTTGACTACAGGCGGGGAGCGCGTGGAGAACAAGTTCTCGGCATAAAACTCCTCTCGAGCCCAATGCCAGACAAAGTGATCGAAGTTAGGCAAAATAGCAATCTTAGCACCACTCGTCTTCTGCGACGCCACCAGCATCTGATCGCGCAGTTTGGCAAGCACATCCTCACTGCACACACACTTCTCAACATCCTTAGCAAATAGATCTCTCGTGGGCGTCTTCTCCTGCCCCGCAGTAGCCGGCAAAGACATGTGGGAAGAGGAGAACGGCCGCCACCCAAACTGAGCGTAGAACTTCTTTCCAATATCCGAGAAAAGCACCGTAAACAGCGACTTCCGCCGGGGCTCTTTCTCCATCTCCCATGTCTCAAGTTTCGTACTCAGTTCTTCCAGCATCCGCTTTGCGTACCCCTTCCCGCGAAAATCGGGCCGGCAGTAAACACTCCCCACGCCATGGGTGGAAATTTTCTCCACCTGCCCGTCGTGTGCGAGCAACGCTGTCTTCTGGTATGACTCGCACGAGCTCAGAATTGTGCGCTCATCCTCGGGCTCGTTACGGTCCACCAGGATCCAGCAGGTTAAGCCATCACGCGTCAGCCGTTGCTGGAGGAGATGGTTCTCGCGTGCTATGTACGTTTCCACATTCAATGGTCCTTTCCAGGCGACACTGTTCAGCCGGATTGAGGCAATGCGCTCTGAGGGTGTGGCTGGGACCAGAATCAGATCTGGGGATTCCCCTGCGGGTAGAGTGGGGATATCTGCAGCAATCATGGCGAGTAAAAGTTGCAGTCAAAGTTGGGAATGTGTAGAATAAGGGGACAAGGGGTATACCAATATATAAATAAGAGAGAAAAGCTTGAAATCCGGGGTTCTACAAGACAAACATCCGATAAAGGTGGAGATACCGACGGAATTCCGCGAGGTGTATATATAGTCATTCCCAACTTCCGGGGGTTTCTCATACAGGTCACACGAACATCTCCCAATCTAAATCTCTACAATTGGACACCACAATGCCTGTTTTTGCCCCATCTTACATTCCACTTCACGATCCCGGATCTGCCTGCCTTATACGTACAAAGAGGGAAAAAAGGACGTACGCCTTGTTTTTCTTTGTCACTGGCCCGAGGCGAAGCGACGGCAAGCGATGGAGGTTGCATTGATAGGGGCCCTTGACGTAAGAGCCAGTTGACTCGCGCGGAGGGTTTCGTGGGGTCATGTGAGCCTTGGCGATTATGTCATTGTGTTTAGCCCTGTTGATCGTCATTTGACATCTACTCCGTATATTGTACATCTGGCTATATATATCTTTTAGGGCTTTCACGGAACTGGAGCTCACGCGACCATTATCCATGCCTCTTACTTGGTAGATCATTCAACTACACCGGTGTATCAGTAGACTTAGACATGTCCCCCATTTCCCGAACCAGTCTTACTTTGATCAACATTCCAATTTGGACTTCAGAAAAGGACTGGATATTGGATCTATTCAATATAGGAGTCATATACAACACATCTCCCAATAAGTCTATTCATCAAACACCAAGGAAAAGCCTGGTGCACTTATCACAATTTGACTTGAGACGGAAAATATAGACAGGCAGTTCAGAGCCTAGCATAGCGCTGCTAGAAATTCTATCTGTATAACCCCACTAGTTCTCGTGAGATGAATATCGATATCATCTACTCTGACAATCCTCAGCCATGCACTTGCTGAAACACGAGCCCGAGTCATATCTCTCATGATACATGCTTTAGATAGCTGGAGTCATTGTCTATGCCTATTTTCTCTTGTTAGGATGTTTGTTTAGTCTCACCTTCTCTCTTACAGACTCTCTTTCTCTCGACTTGAGCTTCCATTTATTATGGCAACCATCCAGCCATTCGAAATCAACCTTAGTCCCTCAGATGGGCAATCATCGATCTCTTCCCCCATCGCATAAGTAAATAATGATTTCTCGGGTATAGAAAAAGTACAAGAGGATAGTTCCCTATGATTCTCTTTCAACAGGATCCATTACCCTAAACTAGATATTTGGCTAGCACACTTACTTACACAGTCACACCCCTAAGGCTTGACGGCCTGTTGTCATCAGCGACATCCAGGACATTGAGGAGAGGGGCAGCAACAGACTGAACAGACGAAACGGACATCATGACACAAACAGAGATAACCAAAATCAGATCAAACCCTGTAACGCAACAGACATTGTGCCGTAAGGGATATTCGTTTCGAATGGAACCATTTTTCACTGGGTTCATCAGCATAAGACCATACGGAAAAAGCCAAGCATAGAGAAGATAACGAGACGACCTTGGGGACTAGTCGCTAGTGTAGTTGAATTGGCTAGAAAAGAGAATCATGTAGTTGAATTTCAACAAAGGAGACGAATGAAATACAACGTAAAAATGGGAGATGGTATGAAAAGAAAAGAGGCAGATCGCAGAAAGAAGATCAGTGGAGAGCCCAAGGGATCAGGCAAGATGCAAAAGTAAACGTAAAGCTATAAGAAGCCAGGGTTAACAAAGAGGAAAGGAAGGATGGAGAAGGAGCGTTATGAAAGTGGGAATGTGAAGAGCAAGGGGATAAAAAGAAGCACTTGGGAATGAAGCGCCAGAAAGGAAAGATGTGAACCTGATCTATGTAAATAAATGCCGTGCGAGTCCCAAAAGTCGTCCGCTTTTCGTTTTATGTATTTGCGCCACTTCTTGCGGACGGCAATTCCAGAATTTCCTTCGTCCATCATGTATGTTCGGTCATTGGTCACGCTAAATCAAGAATGAGACAGAAATTTGGTGTGGACAGGGGGAAAAAAAGAGAAGATGGGAGGAGAGAAAAAGATAAAAGACAATGAACACGAAATCCCCCAAAGGCCTGAAAGAAGGTCGGAGAATTGCGAGGTCATGATGGCTGCTCTGAGTCCACCGGTTCGTTAAATTTCTGTCGTGCCTCTTCTACCCACAACTCCAACCGAAGCTCGCCGGCTTCGACACGTCGTACAGGTACTGTTTTGGCACGGCCATTCGAAACCTTGGGGGCGCTTGCTGGGGCTCGCCGTTCCGGACTTTAGAGACGGAAAATGGTGCAGTGCAAGATCGTAGGTGCACCTTGCCCGGTTCCGCCACAATCCAAGTTTGTTCTTCCTTGGTGGTCCCCGCCGGTGGCAAGGCATCTTCCCGTACTTCGATGCATACGGTGAAACTGAATTCATCATCACGGGGAAGTGGGGTCAATCGAGCACAAGCAGAGGCGAGTCTCGCTAGACATGCCCGAAATTGTGCCTCGAGGTCGACCGAGGTTGGTGCGGGCCCCCGGTCTGAGACAGGGGCATCTGGACTAGATGAATCTTCATTTCTGTCTTCAAACGTTGTATTCACCTCTCCCGCGGGCGCACGCGGGAAGCCCGACAGATCAAAAGCATATCGTTCGAGGGGCTGATTTGTGCGAAGAGATGAAATGATGATACTGACTGCGGTGATTGTGCCTTTGAGAATCTCCGTCCCGACTGCGATTGAAGCATCGTTGATGTAGTCACAGACTTTTGGGTGACGGGATTGCCGGACGGGATAGTTGTAGGCCCGCACGGGGAGGAAGGTTGCGCGCGGATAGACGGATCGCAGAAATAGGATTTGATGGACGGAGACGGTGAGGAAATTGGTGAAGGAGGCCGCTAACGCTGACTGGTTTGTGGGCAGCGATTTGGTGGCAGGGACAGGGGCGGAGAAAGTGGTCATGGTGGTGGTGGTGCTACTGCTCTCACTGGCAATCGGCATTGCCGTTGAACAATCCGGTATCGATTCCGCGGTGAGGGTGGTCTTGACGAAGTCTCGAAGAATCTGAATGATGTACCACCCTGAAGCTAATCATCGCTCTGCCTTTCTAAGTCATCGGTCAACGTCGTGTTCCGATGAGGTTTAAAGTTTTATGTTTTGTAATCGGTCAAAGTTTTTTGAGTCCCCCGATACTCCAGCGACACGGCGGGTCACAATGATCCGCAGGATGATATGGCTGATGAGATCAGGGTGAGTAGAGCGACAGAAAGGAGTCGCTCGACGCGGTATTAAAAGAGAAGGGGGAGAGGGGGGTGGGTAAACTATGAGGGGAAAGAAAGATGGTTGGGCATATAATGCGTGCGTTGGAGGGGTTGTTTGTGTAAAGGAAATCCGAAACGTACGCTCAAGTAGAAGCAAACCTCAAAGCATGAGGGATAGAGGAATCGTATAATTCTCGAGTGACGATCCCAAGTGTAAGAGAGTGGTCACTTTTTTTAAAAAAGATTTAAGAACCCTGGAGGGTAATTCGAGGAGGGGTGTTAAAGCGAAGGTAAGGAGGGGGAACTTTTGAGAGATGGTAACCCTCGAGAGAAATGCTTTTTAGGAAAAGAAAGAGGGCTGAGCCCAAATTGGCAAATAATCAGAAAAGGAAGAAGTTATAGAGATGAATCGATAGGGATGTACCTCTCTTCATCGAGGGGAAAAGCAAAAGAAAGGCGGACAAGAGGTAACTTGGTTGGGTCACGGTTCCTGTCACGTGGTTGCGTCATGGGTTTGCAGCCCATTTCTTATTTACTTCGCTATTGATTATACTATGAATTATGCACTCTGTATACGGTATTTAGCTTGATCGAATCTGTCGTGTACAATTCGGTCCGGGCGTTTTGATATTTTCTTGTATTTCCTTGAATAGCTAAAGTCTTGTGGGTGCACCTTTAGCATGGCCTACAGAGATGTACTAAAGGTGAAAAAAAAAGAGAGAAAAGAGGAAAAAAAAAAAAATACAGTATACAGTACAGTATACCAGTATTTATACCATATTTGTAGAAAAAAAAAGGGCACACAGCTTTTTGTTCTTTTTCTTCCCCACTATGCTAATGGATACTTCTATAAGAGGGACGATCATCGGCGAAAAAAGGGCAAGGGGTGTGTACCATGTATGGAATTGTAGTGAACGGGATATAGCCGAGCACAATTTGATTATATTCCTGTACCTGACTAAAATATTAGTGAATTCTAGGAATTTATAGATTGACACTTAATACCATCCTAGAGTCACCTATAGATACAATGTAATGGATTTACCTAGTAAATTGGATGCTCACATCTTTAAATTTATGGTATAGGAACCCGTATCAGCGAGGTACCGGGTACACTGTACTGCATCATACACATATCCACTCTCTCCAGTAAAAGAGTACGCACCATCTGGCTTACCCGATGATCTTCTTACTCTGACGGCAGTGGCGGTCATCAGACTAGGGTACGTTTTCCCAAGTTATTTGTGCTTTGCGCTTGCAGTGTATTGCACTGGATTATCAATTCCTTCCATTTGTTTCTATATCTGCCGGCTTCATGTTCCGTACACTTTTACCTATTCATGGAGCTTTAGGAGGAGTCCAAGTGTATAAGTACGGTATACCAGTACACTATATGGTACTATGGGTATACCCTCCTCGAGATCACTTGATGATTACCTACAATATATCTATCCAAAAACTCTCTCATAGTTATTAACTGACCCATATCACTGTGAAACTATCCCAGATAATAATTTTTCCAAAATGATGCTCAATTCAGTGGAACTTCCATGTTCTCCCAAGGACCCTGGCCCAATAAGATCGATCCAAAAGATCAAAGTATCCAAGGTTGGATCTCAACGGAAGCTCGAGCCAGTTCAGTCCGGATCATCCATGCAGCAAGTGGTACACGTCCTGAAATAGTAAACGGTAAATTGCGACTACTTGAGGTTCTTGATTGTCCATTAGATGTCTGATCGACCTCCGCGGAGCTCTGATCTCTGGAGGTTCCTGGATTAGTCTTTTCCGCTGGGGATCGTGCGGCCCATCTAGAGATATCATTGGAGAGAACATTGAGCTTCTAGTCTCAATTGCCTAGGTAAGCATTAGATTGTGAAGACCCAAAGTTCTTTCACCATATGATATGCCCCATATACATTTTAAACCTCCGCCAGCCAATAACGTAAGGAGGCAAAGGATCTAAGATATATTAGTTTCTAGCACAAAATTTCGATTGAAAACCTAAACATTTGCTTTGAAAGTATTCGGCGTATGCAGCCTCTGCTTTTGCCAACATCAGGCTTTGATCATCCGGCGTGTCTGACTCAAGATTATGTTAGGGACATCACCCGTAATGTAAACGCTACAATGTCCCTTTACAGGTGTCCCTTTAGATATAACACAGCGGTAAAGCTAGAGTAAGATTCAGCTGTAATTCCACCATGAATATTCAACATATCGGTTGTACCACTCTATTATACGTTGTATACATCAACTTTTTTGTGTTAAGCTATTTTTGCTATCTATAGTCTATCTTGTGGCTCGTTCTTCTCATGCTTATACTTACAGCACTGACCAAGGGAGGAAATATCTTGAAATATTTTGAAACCCCACATAAAAGAAAGTTCCTGAGAAGATTAGTAGAATGACTTCACAAGGCTGCATAAGCCGTCAACTATTCTCGTGTTTAGTATGCATAAAACGTAGGTACTGTCCACAAATCGACCTCAATAAAATGCACTACGCTGGTCCGACTCACGTGCCACGCTCCCTCACTAGATTGCCGCAATGTTTTCATCAAAAAAGCACTGACAGTATCAATATGACCATTCATCCAAGTTATTCTACTTTGGCTGAGTGCCAAGCCTGGCACTTAATAGAAGCTGCGAAGCTGCAGTATCGATATCAAGGACGTACATGCCTAGGTATCCAGAAGATGCACGAATGACAAGTCTGAATGCACGTCAATGTGAGGGGTCGCCACCTTGCGGGGCGAGATGTAAAAAGAATGCGAACAGTTGTCTGAAGCAGGGCTTATAAGTTATGCGTGCATACGCCATACCTACCATCGAATCTGACCCGGCGCGTTGGAAAAGCCCTTGAACTAAGTGACCTTTCTCTAAATCACAGGATCGAAGGATCGCCCGGCGCTCAAATACCCTCCTTGATGTTACTAAGTGCTGGTGTACTAATGATGCTCCCTTGGACTAGTGACCTAGTGTGTCCATAACCCGCCATTGCCGGCTCTACGTGGGAATCTCTATATAGAGTGTAGACTTAGATACACGGGAGGGGGGAGGGAAGGGCGCTCATAATTGCTGTATTTGTAGCGGCGTATTTGCTATGTGGATTTCAAATTCATGTAGTTGAACATCACTCGAAGAAAAGTCCCAGACCTGTGAGTCTTAGAATGAGGTATGTCTGAGGGGAGGGCACGAACTACGAACGTACGGTTACATAGCTGAATCACCTGAACGCGAGAAAGCAATCTCTTTTGCTTCGCGCTACATCTTGTATCTAGATGTTGTACAATACTAGCTTTTCTTCATATCTATTTTTCAGCTATGGGCACGTGAGATCCTCACAAATATCATTGGGACTGACATACTTCGTATCCATGTGCGGGCTCAGACCCTAGCATATTATTCTTATTGCGACCTCACTGAATGTTCCTGCTAATGCGGGGGAGGGGGGAAACCAGAGCTTACCACACAGTCGTCGGCTCTCAAAGAGTTATGGACCACCTATCTCAGATAGTGGTTACTATCGGCCGCCATGGTCGTGCAACTAGTGGTGAGCGGACGAACGAGTAATATTGTTCCTTTCTCATTCTATGGTAATTGATTGGGAAAGACAGGCCCGAGGGCGTGCCGATTAAGGATCTGAGAATGATTCTCAAATCCGGATACAAGGTATCGCAGAGAGTACAATCAATGCCTCGCGCAAGAGAAGAAACGTATTCCAGAGTTTTTTGAAGCTCTACAGGAGTCGTTCACAGAGTTTTTGGCTGAATTGCCTAGTGTTGGTGCGCGGTGTCAGCACTGTAATTTTGGCCACACTGACGCCTTGATCAACGCTCATGAGAAGGGGCAAGTCTGTCACCTCATCCCGTGATTGGAACTCCACTTTAGAGGAAGCGGAAACAACCAAAGTCGATTTCCAAGTTGCTTGGTACAGCGTGGATATAGTGGTGAAGTGAGCGGGGGCAACAGTCTGCACATCCTCTGACTCGACGTTGATTCTTAGGCGGTACTGGTACTGTCTTCTGATCCTTCTGGGATTGAAGATGGAATACAAGATCGCGGAACTGAGCTGGAGGCGAGGACAACGTGTGTCCGGCATATAGACGATGTGCCTCGTCGAACACGATTTGTCGAGACTACCCATCCATTAAGGCATATGTAATGACAAACCCAGGATGCATGAAGACTGTCCGCCGGAGACTTAAAAACATAGAGCACGGAAAGAATTTGGCCAGTCAGAGCGGGTTGCGTCTTGGGTGGTTCTTCCTGAACAAGCAATCTACCAGTCACTATTTCTTTTCGTAGGACCACTTGAGCCATTTAATACTCCCCGGGCGCGAGATAGAGATGAGAACTGTGCGGAAAATGGAATGATGACTGATAAACATTTCTTCCCATGCACGACAAAACCGATCCAAGTCTTCAACCTTTAACACATAGTCGTACCGATGTATGTATGACCTAGAGCCCAGATTAGTTAGCATCATGGCGGTTTGCATGTCTGTTGCGGGTAGCAATTCTTCTAAAATTTTGCCGGTATGTGATGCAACCGCAGAGAAGCTTTGATGACTGGACGACCACTTTCAAGTGCCGCTTCCATGAGGATCGCGGATTCGACTGAGGCGACAGGTGTACATGAAATGTCGTGAGTGCTCAGATCTCAGATATTCGCAGTCCAAAGTTCCAGCAGCTGATTCAAAGTATCTCGACTGAACAGCTCTGTACTGAAAAACGCACTGACTGTTAAGAGGTTGTTACTGACCGTCGCCTCGAAGTCGATGGTTAGGCACTTGCTCACGCACTTGCTTGACGGAATCCCCAGAGGCGGTATCCGGGAACAGCGAGAATTAGATTGGAACCATATAGGTTAAGCAGCCCACAGTGCGTGTTACGTCGAGCGTTTAGTGGTTCAACTCCCTTCCGTGGCTTTCAAATTGAGCTCGACGCGGCTGGCCAATTTCTAGCTCTGTAGAACTACAAGCAACGCCACAAGAACAATGTCTATCGCGTCCACGTCGTGTACGCTTGTGGCAAGCTCCAAAATTTCGGCCGCGGACTTGAGACTGGCAAAGTGCACCGAGCTGCCCGTATTTTTCTGCAAGGTCGCTTCATCGATTTTAAGGAAGTCATTACCGGCTTTCACGACCGGACGATCTTGAATACTTGCCTTCGTGGACCGAGTAGTAAGGTGGTCACCTCAATCCTTGAATGTATTGAATTCGTTCTCTGGGCAAATCCCCTACAACAGGAAATCTAGGTCATGCCATATAATATGCCAGGACATCGCGTCTACAGCCAAGTAATTTACTACAATGACCAGGCCACAGATGAGTCCCTGGCGTAGATTGAGACGGGACTGCAGCCCCTGCGCTGCCTGGCGGAACTCTCCCCAAGGGTTCATCTTGCGCCACAGAACGCAGTAGTCCCGAAGATCTGGCGAGTTAGGAGTAGCCACCAACTTCTCTGGACCGTCACCGACAACTTGGACTCGGAGCATCGGGTGAATATTGGTCAAAATCTGCCAGGCCCTCTCCATATCGATAAACCGATGGAAATCTGCGAGTTGGGTTGCATGTCCTTGATTGAACCAATTCTGATTAGCACGACCTGCGCGGAAAATCCACTCCAAGATGGGCGTGTTTTGAAGGAGACAGGCATTGCTCACATGATTGGGATGTTGCTGAACCGGCTTCGGGCCTTGCTGGGTCAGGATAGACGCCAAACCTGTGACGGTTGGATTCTCATACATGTCACGGAATTTGACTGTAAGTCCGGAAGTGCGAATTGCAGTACAGCACCGGATAGCTGAGTTCGAGTCTCCACCCAAAGTGAAAAAATTACTTTGGTCTTCCATCCCCAGGACCTTACAGAACGCAGCGCGCACGACTGTGACAAGTTCGGGTGCCGCATTGCAAGTTTTGCTTCGTCAATATTTGCGCTGTGCTTCAAATCGCCGACCTCAAAGCTGTACCAGGCATAAGCGACGACCTTTTGCACAACAGTGTCGTCTTCGATGTCGAATGTGGTGCGGAAGGTTTTGTGATGCTGTGCAATTCTCGTATTCCGTCTAAAATCTTGCTCAGATCTTGGCCTATAACCGATACAGCAAAGGAACAATGTAAGTTGTGTCCGAGCTGTTCTTGCAATAGGAAAAACCGGCGCTGAATGGAACTGGCCTGGGCGACCTTGACGACCTCCTTGTTTGAGGTGAATTTAGAAACCGCCAAGGCCCTATGATCCTGAATGATGGAGTTCAAACGGGTTGCCGATGGCTTAAATCTTCAATGCGTGGTTTGCGAGGTGAGGAATGGTGGGATACTGGACGATGTCATGTATACCGATATCAAGGTCAGGATAGAGCTTGTATAGATGAAAAATGAACGCCATGGAGGCAAAGGAGTCTAATCCCAGCCACCGGAGATTTCGATCTGAATCCACTGTCGTAATACCGAGGGACTCGCAGATAGCATGACTCATGATATCCTTGAGTTCTTTTAATAGGCCGTACCCAGTCGAGAGAGTCCTATAAGATCACTAATTACCATGAAAGCATTGATTATGGTGTTCTGCATGTTCAGACGAGCGGATGGTGTGTCATATTCCAATGAACAGTAGGTCATGCCGGCTCTGAGCGCTGCAATTATGGCAATGATCATCGTCAATCTTCGATCCAGAAACGAGGCAACGACCCTCGGCCAGTTACCAGGGGCCTGTATTCGCTTCCTCGTCATCTTTGCCATTAAATAATCTAGCTCTGCAAAGTTAATATGTGATGAGACAGTGGAGGGAGCGAGGCAATTGGGGCATTGCTTCGCCGCCTCCACAAACAGCGAGACAAGATTTTCGGAAGGCGAAGGCTGTTGTTGAACTTCCAGATTATGTGACAGGACAGCAGGCCTTTCTAGATAGCCATCGCTGTACGCAGCGAGTGATTGGGTTGTGTGGGAAGATGTGGCAGGGGAGCAGAGCTTCTCGCAAGCTCCTTGTAAGCGGCCCAAAATGTGCTGCGTGAGACCGGAATGCGATTCTGATCGAATTTGCCTGTCAGAGTAACAGCTTCTTAAATTGGCTGAGCAATGATGGTTAGCGGTGCATCTGAGTATTCCTGATTTTCGGCCTTGGTGATGTGAATGTCTTCCGCCGATCCTTGAAGCCCTTGGTCAGGGCGGTTCTCGAATGTAAGCAGCATGTAAAGCTATCTTGAAGTCTCTGTTAGGCATTTTGTAATGTCCGGCGTAGGTAAGTAATTGTACTCAAGGCCTTTCTGTCAGCCTGTCTGGTTTTTTTTTTTTTTTTTTGGCCATGACTCGATCGGTATGTCGTCTTCGACATTCATGACGCATAGAATCGAAGTCAAGTAATTTCCAATGGCATCAATCCCGCCAGTAAGATCGGCCCTTCCGCTGCTTGTGGTCCAGAAGATTGTTAATTTTGTTTTGTTTGTCCGAGGTAAAGCCAAACCAAGAAGAGTCCATACAATGGTGAAGGACGTAACGCCGAAATTCCTGTTCACACCACTCAAAGCACTCGAAGTAACACGGCAGGGCCATCGAGACTGAATAATCTTGATCTCAGGTATCAATTGGTCACTGGCATTGACATCGGATTTGACCGTATCTGGTCCCGTCGCAGTCGCGAGGTATTGGCTCCAAAAGATGTGTGCCACATTTTTGTCAAGGAGACTCCATTCTCCAAGAATAGTGGAAGCAGGAATACCATCAGCGAGATTCTTGTTGGCATAAGCTGTGCGAAGATCGGCCATTAGTCTGCGCAGGCTCCAGCCATCGATGATGGCATGGTGCATTGTTAAGACTAAAGTGTACCGATCATCGGCCGCCCGAGCGAACAAAAGCCGATGGAGAAGACCACTGAGAGTTTCGTGTAGTGTGCTCTGCTCGCTGTCGGGTATATTGCTCAATTTGCTAGATATCATTGCCAAGTGATGGACAAAATTGAAAACTGGAACCTGGATATTCTGGTGGCGTGCATGCATTAGTGGATCTTCCCTGTGAGCTGTCGTGGTTGGGTAAGGTTAATCTCATGTACCCGTGGACGGCCCGGACGGGTATTTCCGACCGACGAGTCAAGTTTCCCGGCGGTCTGATAAGTGGGGCAGAATTGAACGTGTCTTACGATCGACATATTGCCATGAAGGAAGCTCGGTGGCACAATAGGACTGAGACATGCGTTATGAGACAGGTGACGCTACGGACCGGGCCTTCGACTGATACAGGCCTCACCAACGAGTTTGACTCATTTTTAGCCTAGGCAGGAAACTCCTTAAGGCAAATTTTTCAAAATAACAAGTTCTGGTCGAGATGATTACGAAATGGCTCTGGACAGAAAGTTCACTACTCATCGTAATAGACGGCGGGGAAAACGGCGAGTCATTGATTAACGCCTAATGTACTTTTCATACAATTCCTCTCAGCCTCCCTATAATTCCATCTCTATCTCCAAACACAGAAGTAGCTATATTGATGTTACAAAAGAACATTCAAGCGGAAGCTGAAGGGTCCTATATGCCGGTACATATGACAGTGGTCCTTCCAACTAAAGCGCTGGTGTGTTTCGCACTACTCGAGAAAGCGCCCGGGATCAGCGTCGATCAGATCCATGTAACCCTATCCGGTGAGATTAAGACACAGAGTTCACCAACCGACGGATTATCTGATTGAGCTATAGGCGCAGTCCTGGCGCGAGGGGTACGTGGGCGGGCTGACTTTGACACCGACAGGGGAGGTTGCCTTCGGATCACCTATCGACGCAGAGTTTTGGTAGACGCCAGACCTGCACAAGTATTGGTCTGCCCCAGCCGAAGTCAAGAATGCGGAGACGCTCGAGTTTCTCAATTCTATACTAGCCGAAGGGTAATCTAGCTACACCGCGTATACGAACAGCCGCCTCGAGCGGTATGTCCACGCAATCGAGATCCATCCCTCTCTGGAATCCTACCGTGGTCCCTCGAATCCGCGAGTTCATGACGCAACTACAGCAGCAAGACAACTAGACAGAGCTTGACCACTTCGCCTACATTATGGCACATAAAGACCTGCATTTTGCCAACATCATGTGCGATCTAGATTAGCCAGGGTGTCCAATCACCGCGGTCCTAGACTGGGAGCTTAACGGGTTGGTTCCCGGCCCGAGGTGGAACCCCCCGCGAGCATTTTTGTGGAACATGAAAAAGCCCAGCCCATTTGCCGGTTGGGTTGGGCTGGGCTATGGGCTTTGTGGGCTTTGCGGAAGTCTAGCCCTACCTAGGTAGTTCCCCCGTGAGGCGCGAAAGCCTTCTCGTAACTAGGTCTCCCGGAACCTAAGGACAATGCTTTAGATTAAGGAGCTCTATATATCTTCTTTAGAGTGAACATGGCCGTTCACAGCTCGCCCTCATCAGAAGGCGTCCCCAAACCTGCTACGTAGGCTCAACAGCTTCTCCACGCTGTGCAAGAACTGTTACTTCCAACCTTTCTGCGGCGCTACAGCAAAATCAGCAGTAAGCCCCTCCGTCGCACAGCGTGTCTCAATGGCCTTCGTGGCCTGGGTACATGGTGTGTGGTGGATTATTACATCGTGTCCGCATTTGAAACCTTTGTAAATTATGGATATGGACTGACCCCCGAGGACGGCCATCGGGACCCCTACTGTGCACACCACAATGAGAAGTTCACCCATAATGAGCGCTTTTCTCAGCTGCCGCTCATTCGCCTCATCTAGTCCGGATCTGCCTAGCTCTGTATCTGCTTTATGCTCTCCGGCTTTGTCCTATCTTACCGGGTCTGGAGAACTTTTCGTCGAGGTAAAACGTGCAGCCGTCCGGCCAAATTGTACGAGGTCATCGGCTCATCCGCATACCGGCAAATGACACGGTTGTTTCTGTTCCCGCGGATCATCAGCTTTGTTATCATGTTGCTGACAGCCGCAAGCGCATGGGACTACCCGGTAGAATTGGCGGTAGATCGCACTATCATCCGGGCCGAAAGCGAGCTTGACCAACCGCGGCTTGCCAGCCTAGGGGCTCAGCTGATGAGTTAAATAATCATGGTGGTTCGAATGCTGGACTACGGCCATTGGGACGAATATTACCCCCTATATGATGTGTATCTGTGGACCATTCCGATTGAACGTCGCAGCTCAGTACTGCTATTGTTGATACTTTTACGGGACCCATTGGGCTTGGCGCTGGGATGGCTGGTAGTCTTCCTGTTCTTTTTCAATATCCCGTATCGGGCTATGGTCACGATTGATGAGCCGTGTGTGCGCTTCGGACGGTGGGTAGAGCAACGGATGCTTGCAGCAGCAGACTGATTGAATCGCTTCAGAGTGAGTAATAATGGGTGGTATTTTTTGGCATCGCTCCCATCTGGTGGCACATCTGCAGTCTTGTTTAGTTCTCAATTTCTATCAGATGCTCTGTTACCATAGATGTCCTGGCCATACAGCTACTAGACATGAGTCATGTGATATCTTGTGATATATCACTATATAAATGAAGCACAGGAACAAAATTTCACTAAGCTATCGCTAACAGAGACTCGTGGATCCTAGCGTCAGGATTTAAAGAAACAAGCAATAAGCGTTAGAAGTAGCCGAATGGATATCACCTGGGTAAAGCTTCAGGGTTTACTTGAAGATGGTTGCAGATATGATACCAGTTAACCAAATAGTTAAATCGGCTGCTACTATGATCTCATTAACATTAGTAGATATCCTAGAAAGGAACAACTACGATTGTAGGTAAAAAAAGTCCAATAGCGTGTGGCCTCTCTGTCCACAGCCACAGCATTACGTCTTTTGCTAGGTGCAAGTCCACTGATGATATTTGCGGTCACCATCTAATTGTAATATATGATTCATTTTCAAGTGATGACCAGCACTTCTGACCATAGAGCGTGGACAACACGGCTTCCCTTCCGCTTAGCTGCTCTTCAGATACGTCGGCAGGTTAGTAGTTAGGTAGATGGCTACCAGCGAGCCCCTCCTATTGTATGTTTCTGGTTTCTATTTCTATCAATTCTTATAAGCATAAGAAGTTCATGCAGTAGTTGGGCCAGTAAACCAGAGATGAGTATTGTACGCATAGTGAGTGACATGTGTGAGGCCATATAAGCAATGATTAATGGATCATCAAAAGTTTATGCTTCTTGATGACTCGGCGGCGCGATTGAAAGGACTTTGAATGTTCAATCATACAAAACCAAGTGCAAAGAAAGAAAAAAAAAGTTGGTAACATGAAAATCGATGTACATTGGGAGGGCCGACCGCCTTCGAACTGCCCCTCCTCCGCGTCTCCTTATCTGCCGACGCGCAAAGTATTAGATTCTCAATATCTCGTGACTGAGACCCATTGGCTTTGAGCCCTTTCTCTATCTCTCATTCATCTTTTGCTGGACTACCCCCCGACCCTCAACCAGACTCACCAATCAAATTCCCTTCGCCATGGAGCAAGAACTCCTGTCGCTCCTGGCAGATACCCAGTCGCCGAAGACCGATACCAGAAGAGCCGCAGAGTCCCAGTTGGGAAATCTTTATGTCCACGATTCCTTCGCAATCTCACTTACAGCAATTGCCTCACATGAGTCCGTTCCGGTCAATCTGCGTCAATCTGCCCTCTCGGTCCTACGTACCTTCATTGCTGCCGCCTGGTCCCCCATTCTCGATGAATTCAAAGGGCAAATCCTCATCAATGATACAAACAAAGCCAATGTTCGCCAGGCTTTATTGATCCTTGCGACAAGTGATACCCCTCAGCGCAAGGTGAAGAACTCTGCAAGTTACGCTGTGAGCAAGATAGCCAGTGCCGACTTCCCCGACGACTGGCCCGAGCTGCTCCCTTCACTGCTCCGTATCATTAATGACTCCGCCAGTACCGATGGCCAGATGCACGGGGCGCTGAAGGTGCTCCTGGATCTTGTCGATACAGGGTTCAGCGAGGAGCAGTTTTTCAATGTCGCCCGTGATCTTGTTTCGTCCCTTTTCGCTGTGGCTACCGCCGAATCCAGACGCCCGATGCTGCGTGCTCTGGCTGTCGCAGTCTTCCGTTCCTGCTTTGATACCCTAGAAATGGTTCTAGAACAACACAAAACGGCCATTAAGCAGTTCATGGATGAGGTGCTCAGTGGATGGTCGCCGTTCTTTGACACAACTTTAAAGGCACCCCTGCCGCAGCCACCCAGCGAGGAAGAAGAGCATAAACAAGGGGAGATCGCATCGCAGTGGAGAGGAATTGTTGGGTTGAAGTTGCAAGTCGTCAAGGTATGCGGCATTTCATCCTACCCTTCTACCACATTACGCCTTTTTTTGGTTTTGCTGGGCTTCCACTAACACGACTTTTTTATTATAGACTCTCATGAAGATTCGCATGGTGTTCCCTGCTCTTTTGACCGCGCAAAGCCCGCTTTTCTTTTCAACAGTCTGGACGGAACTCACCAACGCGTTGCCGATTTACCAAAATTTTTACATTGAGGAAGAAAGACAGAGTCGTTTGGAGGATGCGGACGGACTTCCCCACTCACTCGATTTTCTCGTTTTGGAGGAGCTTGATATTATTCAGGCCCTCTTAAAGGCACCCCCGGTAAAGGCGGAGCTACAGCAGCAACTCCAAAATGCCGGTGCGACTGCCAGCACGTCTAGCTGGCTCCCGGAAATTATGAAGCTTGCGAGCTCCTATGCGCAGATTACAACAGAGGAGGAGGCTCTGTGGGAGATTGATGTAAACCTTTTCCTCTCGGAAGAGACTTCTGTTACGGCCAACTATACCCCTCGAACTTGCAGCGGAGATCTAGCGATCAAGGCCGGTGAATGGCTGAAGGGTACAGCTGCCGAGGGTCTTTTGGGCTACATGAACACCCTATTTGCCGACTCATCTGTCTCGTGAGTACATGTATCGCTCAATAATTCGTGGAACTATACTGACCATGACGCAAATAGATGGAAATCACGGGAAGCATCTATGTACATTCTCAATTGTTTGCTTCGAGACTTTGGTGAGGTGGATCAAGAAATCTCACCTGAGCTGGCATCCCACTTTACCCAATTCGTCCAATATGCGATTCAACAAGAACAGGAGCTCTTGCGCGCACGAGGCTACCTTGTGGCTGGGGCTTTGTCTAAAGTCGCCGGTGAGGCATTCCAACAGACTACATCATCCTATTTAGAGGCAACTCTAAAGGCGATAGCTGAAGATCCTGCCGAGGTGGTCCAAGTGGCCTGCATTCGTGTGCTCCAAGATCTGATGCCCGCTTTGCCAACGAGCTTGGCCCGCCCCTTCCAACCTGCTGTGATTGCGGCCATTTCAGAATTTATTTCTGTGCATGACCTCCGTGAACAGACTGACTCTGATGACCTCAAGGTCACGTTGGCGGAAACCCTCCGGGACACTATTATGGCCGATTCTAACGTGGTTCTGTCGTCCAGTGCCATTGACGTGCTGTTCAGCATTGCTAGCAGCGGAGCCGAAAATTTCCAATTGACCTTGACTGTCACAGAGGCATTTGAGGATATTGTGGACCAAATTACCGACAATGGCCCCGATTCTTACATGCGGCTTTGCGAGAAGGTGCTTCCCTCATTGATGGCTGCGATTGATGTAGGTAACTTGACCGAAGAGAATGCTTTGACGACCTTTGCAGCCGATCTTCTTCGCGCTCTGGCCGAGCGAAGTCCCGAACCAATGCCCGCTGGCTTCGTGGAGACAGTGATGCCCAAGTTGAACCGCCTGCTACTGGAATCCGACGAGGCTGAGTTGATCCGACCTGCCACAGAGGCGGTACGACATATGCTCTCTCACGACTTTGCGCAATTCATTACCTGGCGTGATCCTCAATCTGGAAAGGAAGCACTCGAAGTTGTGTTGGTCATCATTGATCGCCTGCTAGGCCCGGCCGTGGATGACAACGCAGCCACAGAAGTCGGCCAGCTAGCAGCAGAGTTGGTCGAGCGGGCCGGCTCCGAGCGTCTCGGTCCCTACCTGCCACAGCTCCTGCAAGCCGTGGCGCAGCGACTAGCAACCGCACAACAAGCGCAATTCATCCAAAGTCTCATCCTCGTCTTCGCGCGACTCACTCTCATCAGTGCTCGCGAAGTAGTCGACTTCCTGGCCCAGGTCAATCTGGGCGGCCAGAGTGGACTCTCCGTGGTTTTGAGCAAGTGGCTCGAGAACTCTGTCAACTTTGCCGGCTATGATGAGATCAAACAGAATATCTTCGCCCTAGCACGACTGTACGAGCTTGCCGACCCCCGCGTAGCTGAAGTGCCCGTCAAAGGTGACCTCATCATTCAAGATACCGGCCGAATCAAGACCCGCTCGCAGGCCCGCAAGAACCCAGACCAATTCACGACCGTTCCCGCACCACTGAAGATTTTCAAAGTTCTGATCGAAGAGCTGGGTGCAGCATCTGGTAATAAGGAAATCGACGCCGCCACGGCGGCAGCTCTGGATGAGGCTGACAGCGATGATGGCGACGACGACTGGGAAGATCTCCCCGGGCAGTCCCTGGATTTCGGCATCGGAGCCACAAAACAGGGGCTGATGAGCTTCGGCGAGGGAGGCTCTGAGAGTGTCTTTGGTGTGCGTCGCCGAGACGATGAAACGCAGAGCTTCCTGGCGGATTTCCTCCGACAGGCCTCCACACAGCCTGGTTTCCAAGAATTGTATGCGGCCTTGACTCCGGATGAGCAAGCTAAGCTGCAGAGTCTTTAAGTGGAGCTGGGTGAAATCTCACTCGAGGCTGTGGTTACAAATACCCAGGCCCCCCGGGCCCGGGTTATTAATGGTTTGATGCCTGAATGCCAATAAAACATCCAAGAATTTGTATATGTCGCTTGTACGGAGTAACATACTTTTTTTTCGCTTCCTACCGTACTGTAGAATAGGTATTAACATATCCTTCTAGATCGCGTTTCGTCCCACTCCGGACTTTATACGCCATGCTCTGTACGTTCATCTGCCATATTTTGTTTTTGTTCTATTGACTTTTGGCTAGAGTTCCAGCCATTTGAATTTTGCCCTGAAAAAATATGTAATTAGTGACTAGATTTCATGGAATCCACATAATAAACAAAAGTACAAGAAAAATCCACAGAGTTCTACAAGTAGACGTTCGCAAAGCCCATAAATGGGCTTCCACCCCGGGTCCATAGCCCAACAGTAGACCGAAGGGCTGTGCCTAAGCCCCAGCCCATCAGTGGCTTTGGGCTTTGTGGGCTTTACGGGGATCTACTCATGGCGTACCGTGGAGAGTACCGGAATGACAGGTCCTTTTATTGAACAAGACCCTGCTTTTTCAAGAATGTCGGCAGCACCTTTGAAGGTTATCTTCATTAGATCAGATTCAACTTTTGTAAGAGGAAAGATCTCACCGGTATAGCTGTTTCGACTACCCGAGTTAGTACATTTTTGTAACCCTGGAAAGTTCATCCAGATTAACATGATTTTAGGAATACATGGTCCAGATCCATCATCATTTCTTATGAAACCAGAAAGTAATGGCTGTCTCAAATTGATATAGCCAGTAAAGGTCTGGCTGTGAAAGGTCCCATGCACGATAATAGATTTGAGCGGCAACTCCACAAGGACTCCGGCTATCATAACTAAGCTCTACCTAGGCCCACCAGAGCTATCATAGGCCGACATACCCTCCTTTGCAATATGAAAATCGTTGGGAGTTACCGGTAGGGAGATGTTCAAGCTAAGAAGGAATGATACACCAACGCCTAGATGTCTATTCGCTGGTATACATGTCCACGGGTAGTTTCAAGTCTAATATCATCATCGTCTTTCTATCTGAGGAATTGTGAGGTTCTAGTCCATATTACACCCCGGGATAATATTAATACTCAACGCGACCCCTACAAGGAAGATAAAACCTCATAATGAAAGAAAAGGCGCAGAATGTGCTGGATCTGTGCCACATAAAAGGCCACCTTTTAGAAGAAATGTTATTGTGGCTCGGAGCGAGCAATTAAAATTTTCTCCACGATTGATGGGTTGGGAAGACATGTTCTTATGAAGTCCTAGTATTGACAGTTAGCCCTGAGCTCATGTCGATATTCGAATCGGAGAAAACCGTACTGTCTCTAGAAAGCAAGCCCAGTCCGGGGGCAATGGTAATATTACCATTCGCTTCTGCCACGGCCTTCTCAGCAGCGGAAGGGTTGGCTTCATACATGAGCATTACATCACTTGCTGGGGATTTTCGGTGCATATTCATTGCCATCCGCCCTTCCTCAAATTGCGCTATGTAAGAGGTCAAAATCTGAGGATTACTTACCCATGTTACCAAGGCCTATGAACGCCTAAGTATGAGGGCTTTTCTTCCCTAGATCCGATAGCAGTGATCCGCGTGCAACTTTGGTAGCCATCTCTGTTGATTTTGGCAGATAACACTGTGTGTATATGGATTCGACGCTTCACTGGTATCAAAGAAACTATTGTGTAGGGGATACAAGCTGTTATAAAGCGATGCCATTGCGGCCGCGACAACCGTGGGCCACATCCACTCCGCGTCACATCCGAGGTACCTGTCGTTCGAGGAAGGTCGGATTCTGTATGAACTTGAGACATGTAAGCCATTGACTCGTGTACTTTACTTCCAAGGCCAAAGCTACTCCAGGCCATCTCCGTGTGGAAATCAAAGCTTGATCTACCGCAAGTCGTGGGGTAATCCCCTTGTGTACCTTCTCCGGTCACACAGTCAACCCATCAGATACCTGTTATACCAGCTATTCCTCTATCCAGATTCACAGTCTATCTTCTCTTTTCTTTGTGTCTCCTTCAACACAGACCATGTCTCTCAGTCCTAATCTCGTTCATCGGCATACACTCTCGCCCACCATATTCCTACCTCGTGCGGCAGCAATTGAACCAAATGTAAGATTTACTGCTTATGGAATGTGCACTTGCTCATGTTCTCTGCGAAGGCTCTAGCCATCTACCACGTGACGTTGAAAGGACATGTCCTTCAAAGGACGTATGCTGAATTCGCTCACCGCGCAGCTGGTCTAGCATATTACTTAAGGCAGAATGGCTTCAAGAGAGTTGGTATCCTAGCAACAAATACCCCAGCCTTCCTAGAATCCGTATTTGGCATCGCCGGCGCAGGTGCTGTAAATATCGGTATGTATCGCTTCACATGGAGATCGCGAATCTAGGCTGATCTAAACAGCAATCAATTATCGTCTGAAGCCAGACGATATTAAATATATTTTGGAGCATGCAGACGTCGATATGATTATTACAGATGTCCAATACGCACCCCTGCTAGGGAAGTTCCGTGAAGCTCACCGTGACATCCCAGTCCTCGTTGATACGGATAGTGGCGAAGATAACGGCCCATACGATCACGCTATTCTTGAGGGCCTAGAGATAGATCGCCGTCTAGGGGGGCATGGCTGGGCAGGGCTCGAGATGCTGGCTCCAGACGAGGATGGAACGATCGCGCTCGCGTATACAAGCGGAACTACCTCTCGGCCCAAGGGCGTGATATTTACCCACCGTGGTGCCTACTTGGCTGCTATGAGTGATATTGTGGAGTCACAGCTTAACCGAAGCCCCGATCGATGCGGCTACCTCTGGGTGCTCCCAATGTTCCATGCTATCGGTGCGTTGTCTTCATCATACTATGAAACACCCCACTAGCGCCCGCTGAATTTATGTTGAATTATAGGTTGGACATTCCCATGGGCTATTACCGCCTTGAGAGGAACACAATATTGTCTCCGAAAAATTGAATATCCGCAAATATGGAAAATGCTCCGCACCGCGCCTATCACCCATTTTTGCGCAGCCCCGACAGTCAACACGCTGCTTTGTCATGCAGAAGAGGCGGTACGACTTCCAAGAAAAATACAGGTTACGGTCTCTGCTAGCCCTCCATCGGGCGCTTTGTTTGAGAAGATGACAAGCCTCAATCTCCACCCGGTTCATGCCTTTGGGATGACAGAGACCTACGGCCCGGCTGTCATGTCTTACTATCTTCCGGAATGGAACCAACTTCCTTCCGGCGAGAGACACCGTAAAATGGCCCGGCAAGGCCATGGTGTCATTACGGGTCTACCTGTACGAGTCATCAAGCCGGCCCATGGAAACACTCTCGTCGATGTTGCGCGCGACGGAAGTGAAATTGGCGAGATTATGATTCAGGGCAACCTGTGCACCAAAGGCTATTACAAGGATGCGAAAGCGACTGAGAAGCTATTTGAGGGAGGCTGGATGCATTCCGGGGATCTCGCTGTCTGGCATAGTGATGGAGCTGTTCAAATTGTTGATCGAGCCAAAGACATCATCATCAGCGGTAAGCCTTAAGATCACTAGAATACGCTGTCTTTACTGATAACTACCTTTCTCAGGTGGGGAGAACATTTCGTCGGTTGCGGTGGAAAATATTCTGACGAAGCACGCTGCGGTCGTTGAAGTTGCTGTCATTGGCATCCCCGATGAAAAATGGGGCGAAGTACCCAAGGCCTTCATAGCCCGCCACCCAGATTCGAAGGTAGAGGGGGCAGAAATTCTTAGATGGGCGAAAGAGAGTTCTGGGCTCAGTCACTTCATGGTTCCCCGAGAGGTTGAGCTCGTTAGAGGACTGCCAAAGACTAGCACTGGGAAGATTCAAAAGAAAGCTTTGCGGGAAATGGAGGAGAGACGTCGGAAACGAAGTGCAAACATATGATTCAGGCTAGTATATACTTCTTCTTATTAAACTGGGCTACTATGTCCTGCATCCTGATAGTAGATTACCAATCAATTGATTCAAGTTCGGTTGTCACATTATATGCTAATTGGTCATTTCAAGTCATGGATGACTACAAACTCGGAGAAGCTAGATGCCGGGATGTGATGGTACAATGCTCCTATTGCGAAAGCAGATTGATGCGCATCCGCGGCATTGCATCAAATCAACTAGTTGCTCTATAGTGGCTTCGAGTCGCCTCAAATTTAGAGAACCCTTCGGAGTATGCCACCAAAATTCTATGGTCAGCAACTCAACAAATTATTGGCCACGGTGAAGATCTTTGGGCTCCACAGTCCCTGCGTTTTGTTCAACTGAATACATCATCCATCATGCGTCCTTTGCTTCTATGTCTTGAGCTTAATAGAAACATGCCATATTGGATGAATCTCTTTCTTGACCTAAGCGCACCACCCTAATTATTACAAGGCTCGGAGACTTTGATTCCTACTTTATGTGAGGCATTGCCTATAAGATGCCTCCGTCGATTGATGCGTATTTACTTTCCTAATCAGGAACCAAAATCCTACGCTTTGATTGGACGATTAATATATTTTGCTGCCAGACGTATCCACTTTCGTCTTACTCTAACAATGAACAAGATACCTAGACCGCCTGGGTGTCATGTAACCTTGGAAACCTTGAAGGTTAGAAAGTGGTAAGCCTACACATAACACGGAGTATACCTGCCTAGATTGTGCGTGAATAGAGGAAGCAAAGTGAGACCCAATTCTTTTCGCTTCCGGGTACTTCGGTACTCCGTAGGCATGTTCATCCTGAAAATTCAAGCTTATCGGTCATTCCTGGACATGCAACATCCACGAATGTACGGAGTCTCACTGTATATATATCACCATTTTTGATATGTACATACTCCGTTCCTGGTCTACAGAGTGGTCCAGGGCTCAGATCCCGCCCAGGATCCGACCCTTGGAAATGCTAATCGAGAAGTTCCCGATTTGGAATAGACGAGTTTCCAGTACCAAGCTGTCGGATCTGGACAAAGATACTGCGGGTACTGCGGGTACTCCGTACTCGTGGACTGCGTGGACTCTGCGTGGACTCTGCGTGGCAGAGAAAAAAACCCAGTGGCGCTATTCCAGTATCCTCTCCCTCGGGTTTCTTAGGTTTGTTGGTTTCTTAGGTCCCTTATGTTCCTTAGGTTCCTTAGGTTTCTGGGAATTGATAGCTTCATTTTACTTCCCCCTCTTCTACTTTCTGGGAAATTCATTCCTCTCCCTACCTCTCTCTGCTCCCACTATCTCTACCCTTTCTCGTCATGGCACAACCCAATCTCGATGAACGCATCCAAATCGACGTAAGTAGACCATTTTGACGTCTTTGAACCCGCATTTCCTTGTACCTACACCCAAAAACAGGTCACTGTACCGATCTTACATCTCCAATTCCCACATTTGTCAATTTGTAATGCAATCTTCAACAAATTCCCAACCCCCCACTAAAACCCTGCAGACAAGCGATGACGACTCCCTCTTCGAAACCCAAACCCTCGCAGGCTCAAATCTCTCCTTTGCCTCCTCCGTCCGAGACTACAGCTACGAAAACGGTCGCCGCTACCACGCCTACCGCAATGGTCAATACCCCCTCCCAAACGACGAAGAAGAACAAGACCGTCTAGCGCTACTGCACCACCTCTTCAAACTTGTCTCGGGCGGGGATCTGTACCGTGCACCAATCCAAAGCTCCGACCCCCGTCGCATTCTCGACATCGGCACCGGCACCGCCGAATGGGCCATGGAAATGGCCGAAGATTACCCGCAGGCGGATATCATCGGCACCGATCTCAGCCCCATCCAGCCGAACTGGGCACCGCCTAATTGTCGCTTCTTTGTTGATGATGCCGAGAGTGATTGGACGTTTTCGCCTGGTGAGGCGTTCGACTTTATTCATTCAAGGTCTATGAGCGGTGGCATTGAGGACTGGCCGAGGTTGCTCAAGCAGGCGTATCAGCATCTCAAACCCGGCGGTTGGTTTGAGGCGCAGGAGTTTGACGGTTGGGTTACTTCCGACGATGGGTCCCATGAGCGTGCGACTGCTATTACTAGGTGGCATGACTTGTTGGGTCAGGCTGGTAAGAAGTTTGGGAAGCCGATGGATATCGCCCCGAAGATGGTGCGGTGGATGGCTGAACAGGGGTTTGCGAATGTTACGGATGATATTTATAAAGTATGGCCATTGTCATATCCGGCTGTTTTTCTTTCCTTGTCGGTATGCTGACGTACTTTCAGTGTCCTATTGGTGGTTGGCCCAAGAATCGTCGCTACAAAGAAATCGGTCGCGTCGGCAAAATGGTTATCTTGGAAGCTGTCGAGCCGTACTCGCTCGCTCTCTTCACTCGAGTACTGGGCTTCTCGTACCAGGATGCACAGGAGTATATGGAAAAGGTGCGAGCGGAGCTGTTGAACAACAAGAACCACCTTTATGTGCGCTTCCATTTTGTCTATGGGCAGCGGCCTTTCGACGATGAAACCATTGATTCCGAGGCATCTTGAGACTTTGGAATGTGGTCACGATAATTATGATAACGATACCCCACGACCTAACCCTGGGTTTGAGAATACCTCCTTCCCTGTCGACTGCTCCAATACCTGTCGACGCCCTTACCTTACGACATGGATCATGACTTGATGACTCTATTTCTGCAGATCAATGTATAAAGGCAGAATTTCTATGCACAAGACCGTGTGCTTTGTTTATGTTCATATTCATGTGGACATGTGTGATATCATGATACCATGATGCATGAGAAGATGAGATGACGTGGTGCAGTGCGGTGATCCTGTCTCAGACGGTCCCACTACGACTTTACTTCCCTGGCATCAGCCAGCGACCTGGGCTATATATCCACCGAGTGGTTTTTCCAGAGACCCAGCTCTGAACCTAACCTGAACCACTCGATTAAAACACATTCAGCACATGCACACAACAAGCCTGGTCCCGAGTTCGGAACTGGCTTTGAGTGTGTGCTCACGCCGTCGTCACCGCCCATTCCAAATCCCGAGAACCTGACAAACCCCCGAAACAGCCTCTTCGGGTGAAGGACTTGCCCGCAAGACTTGGATGACCTGAGGCAGACGTTGCTCGTCACAGGTGGCAATTGTTTCCAGCAGTATCTCCAGCAGTTCCTGTTTCCCCTCGCCCTTCCAGGAGCTCGGCATTGAGTTCATAATGGTTGTTGGTGAAGGACGATCCTGGGAGCTGGGGCTGGCATGGCTTGAAATATCGCCTGGCACGGTTGTCCGGGTGGGTAGGGAGAAGGGTGCATCTGTATAGGTGTTGGTGCTTGTGTGAGTGGCGGTGATATCGGTGAAGGTGTTGATAGTTGAATAATGAAACGGGGTTTGATATAGATGCGTATTCGGATATTGGTTCGGACTTGGATTCGGGTTTCCGTATGCATCTTGCCCCCATTGATGATGTGCATGCGCCCTGTCCTCTTCATTTGGTATTGAATATCCCTCCTCGTAATGTGTTACTCTTGGGGCTGGTATGGAAGCCGGATAGCCGGTGTGTTGTAAGTATGGCGGCGCTTTGCCTCCGTCAGGCATATAATTTTCGCCATTGAGTCCGTATAGCGTCGGGTGGTGCACCCCTAACATCGCATCCTGCGCATGTAAACCAGCCACTGGGAGACCCTGCATCGGTACTGGGACTGTTCCGGACATATCGCTCGGAGCGAAGGTCATACATCCTGCGTAATATCCAGACATTGTCGCATCTTCTAAAGGATCTACCCAAAGTTAGCGCAAGCGCTAGAAAAAGTGGCACGAATGCAAAACATACTTGCAAAAGCATGCGATTCAACTGCATTCGACACATCCAGCTCCGCAACTCGCGGCGCATACCCCGTCGCGATAGGATATGCCGAAACCGAAGCAGAAGCCGACCGCGACAAAGCGGACATCGACCCAGTCCCGCTCTCACTACCTGTACTATCAGGACTCGTAACAGTCATAGAGTTCGTCATAGTCGTGACCGACGAGGATGGCGACGACCCGCGCCAGCTGCCGTCGCCAGTATCCGGTGTACCTCTAGCCGAGCCAGCGCCAGCGCCGGTCGCATACCCAGAGCCATTCGCATGGCCATGGCCGTCATGATTGTAGCCCGTGTGCGCGGGCGCATATTGTGTCCAACTCTGACTGTTCCTCGGGACGGTTCCGACCCCTTTGTCCGGACGCGAGCGCTGGCTGTGACTCGGACTTTGGCTATGACCGGTCTCTCGTGTGCCCTGGTTCAGACGCCCCCGCAGTTGTGCGACTTCACGACGTAGTTGGTCGATTATCTCGGATTGGCTGATGTGGGCGCGATCCTCGGGTGTTGTGAGATAGGTGCATTCTGCTTCAAGGCCACGGATTATGCAGGCGTGGCATGGGATTGAGCGATCGCACTGAGTGGTGATTAGTGGATTAATGCGAATAGAGATAGTGAGGTAGTAGATAGTAACGTGGCGGAAAAGTACCTTTACTTTGCGCTCGCGACATCTGAGGCAAGACTGCTGAGGGCGTATCTTCGTCTTGGAGTCGGGGGGCATTGTGAGTACCACTCTACCGTAGTATGTTTCAAAGATCAATTGGCCCTAGATCGGAGAAATAGAAAGCCGTTGGACTTTCTGGGGGAAGGTTCCACTCGGAAAAGTCCTTTTCGCCCAGTCAGATTCAGCTATGCCATGGACACTAAGGGGATGGAATTGTGACGGATCGCATTTCAACTTCATTTTCATGTCCAGGTCTCCCTTTTTTTTCCTTTTCTCCTAGGCCAAAGCCCTGCAGCACTCTGATTGGTTACAATCCGAGATTGTCTTCTCGTGAAGATCGGCATGTCTCTCTCCACCTGCCGATCTTGGAATCAGATTCAGTATGCACTTCGAGCTCTTGTGTTGTATGTAGGTATATGCAACTTCATCAAATAAACACTCTGTCGATGGTACCGTCACAATGTTTATCACGTCCCTTTTCGATTATTGCAGATCGCAATGCGTTGTGGATGCGACGTCGGTGCGGGGAATCCTCGAAAAGTGAGCCAGTGAAGGAAGTGAAGGAAGCTGAGTGAAGAGTACCTGGGGAGCATAAAATGGGCAGATGTGCTATGCAAAAAACGCCTCAACCGATTACAAGCTTGCGCCATCAAGCCATTTTACATCTTATCTTGTCTTGTCTATACTCTTTTACAAAGACACCATGAAGACACTCACGCCCAGCTGGGCAGCCCGAAGCATGGCTGGCCTCCTGGCACTGCCACTGCTACCAGTGCAAGCCTCCGTTGAGAACCCAAGCTTAGCCCCAGCACCTCCAATGGGGTTCAACAACTGGGCACGCTTTATGTGCGATCTGAACGAAACGCTTTTCACCGAAACAGCACAGGCAATGCTAGACCGTGGTCTCCTCGACGTAGGCTATGACCGTCTTACGCTGGACGACTGCTGGATGACCCACGACCGTGCCGATGACGGCTCCCTCCAGTGGGACACCGAAAAGTTCCCGCATGGGATCCCCTGGCTCGCCAAGTACATGAATAGCAAGGGCTTCCAACTCGGCATCTACGAAGATTCCGGGAACTTGACTTGCGGCGGCTACCCAGGCTCTTACAAATACGAGGAGCAGGATGCTAAACTGTTCGCTAGCTGGGGCATCGATTACCTTAAGCTGGACGGATGCAATGTCTGGGGGAGGAAGGCCGCTCGCTGCGCGAAGAGTACCGTGTCCGCTATGAGGAGTGGCATGATATTCTGACTGCCATGTCGAAGCCGCTTATATTTTCCAATTCCGCGCCCGCATATTTCGAAGGCGAACCGGGAGACTGGGCGGTCGTTATGAATTGGGTCCCAGAGTCCGGCGAGTTGGCGCGTCACTCGGCGGATGTGATTAACTATGCCGTGGATGGCAATGCCTGGGATAGCATTATGTATAACTACGACTTCCACGCGCGTCTAGTGCGTTACCAGCAACCGGGCTACTATAATGATCCCGACTTCTTGATCCCAGACCACCCGAACCTATCGATGAACGAGAAGAAATCCCAGTTTGCAGTCTGGGCCTCCATTGGTGCGCCACTGATTCTCAGCGCTTACGTCCCCGATCTCTCAGATGAGGAGATTGCATTCCTGAGCAACAAGGCTCTCATCGCCGTGAACAAGGACCCCTTGGCACAGCAATCTGCCCTTGTTAGCCGTGATGGCACCTTTGACGTCTTGACCCGCTCCCTGGAGAACGGAGACAGACTCCTGACCGTGCTGAACCGCGGAGCTGATACAGCCACCACGACCGTTTCCCTTGCGCGTCTCGGTCTGTCGTCGAAGTCTTGCAAGTATGAGGCCCGTGACCTTGTCACCGACGAAGTCTCAACTATCGACTCTGCTATTAAAGTCCAGCTCGATACCCATGCTGCCAAGGTCTACCGTATTGCGCTGCCCAAAGAGTGCTCCAAGACCACCCCTACCGCGATGGTTTTCAACACGCCGTCTGACCTTTGCATGACTGCTTCTACTGATTCTGTTACCTTTGAGAAATGCAGTGGCTCAGACTCCCAGGTCTGGCACGTGGCCGCAACAGGCCATGACACTAAGCTAACTTTGAGTCCTCTATCGGATGATTCGCTTTGTCTAGCTGCTGGAGATGGGCTTTCGCTTGCCAAGTGTGATGGTGGAGACGGTACTGACTGGGATCACTATATTTCGGGTCATTTGCGTAGTTCCTCTGGAAAGTGTTTGACTCAGACCAAGGAAAAGGGCAGTGTCGAAGCATGTGTGATTGATAGTGTTGGGCAGATCTTTGGATTGCCAAGTGGAGTCCGTCTCGCCAAGGGAAATTTGAGCTAGATTAGATTTGGATTAGCGTGAAACTCAATTATCTAAATGTGGACATGGATCTATACACTGTTTGTATATAGGTGCAAATACGATCCTCCTTGATGAGAGCCTTAGCAAAGAAGGGGAAAGAAAGATGCTAGGACTTCTAGGTACCCTAAAGATGTTTGAGCAATGGGCACATAAACAGGAAAATCAACAGTCACCCGAACATTCTAAGGTTCATCTAGAGGAGTAGGAAGAGTACGTAGTCACGTCATTTATAGGTACATTCCGCCCTATACACAAGCCAAACTCAGACCTAGTGGTAGATACGTACAGCAATATCCACAGTTTCCCTAAAAGTTGGAAAGTCTATCCCTGCAAAGAGAACCCAACCCCCTCTCCAGTCCCCATCTCAACAAGATTAGCCCTCATCCTCTCAGCCCTGTCGCCAAGCCCAAATGCAGCATCATCACGGTGAACCCATGCTCCAACTCCATGCTGCAGCACAGCAGTAGCTCTGACCTTCTTCTTCTCTTCGGCATCATCACCCCCCATCCCCAGAAGCCTTCAACCCAAGACTTCCATGCAAAGTCAACCTAGTCTCCTCCCCACCCTCACTCTTCCCCCGGTAAACTCCACGGTGCAAGATATTACTATTATAAAACACCGCATCTCCAGGCTGCAGCTGAACAACCAATTGATCCGGCAATTCAGCCGCATAAGGATCCGCCTCGCGCTCGACCTGCGTGCGCGCACGTGCATGTGTTCCCGGCACAACAATCAGCGATGCATCAGGGCACAGCGCCAAGTTATACTGGCAATGCGACTGGCGACCACCAGGCGCCTTAGCCGCAAGCTGGGCAAGTTCTTCTTCGGCAGTTGCGTGCTCGGAGATATCATCACGGTGCCAGCGAAGCTCGAAGTCCTTGGTTTCCGGGGCCACAAGCAGGTTGAACAGTTCCATGACGAGCGGCTCAGTCTCGCCGTCGGTGTTTTCAATGCCCATTAATTCCTCTGCCACGGCGAGAATCGTTGGGGAGAAGTAGCATCGTGCGAAACTCTCCCGTCCTGGCATCTCGGGGTGCATTAGGTGCTGCACGCCCCAGATTCCGCCCTCCGAGGCGGGGGGTACGGTCGTCGGCCAGGGTGGGAATTGTTTGGGGACGGTGCGGAAGTGTGGCCAGCCTCCGGTGCGGGTTAGGGTTGTTGCTTTTGTGGCGATCTCGCGGTAGTGCGATACCTCGGTTGGGGTTAAGAGGTTGCGGACTACTACGAAGCCATCGCGTTTGAGAGCGTCTAGGTTTGGGGTGGCCATGATAGAGAAAGTCTTTGAATGGGAAAGAGATTAGACTCTGGAGTAAGTGAAATCTACATGGGTATCTAACGGTGAATTTTATATCTGCGGGGTTGAAATAGGCTAAAACAACAATGCGACGCAATGTCGCATTTTTTGGTTTTCTGGAACTTCGATCTCGATGTTACCGTGGATCTGATGTGACCTTTTTCGGTAATTTACACATCATACGATCTGTATTGATGTATTTTAAATGTGCACGTATATCATACAGTATGTAGTTTTTTTATTTATAAATCTCAAGTCAAACATAACAAACCTGAGTCAATGCACGTTCGTCCTTGCAGACGTCATGGGGGAATGCCAAGAATAAGCCAAGAGCTCAAACAGCTGAATCCTACGGTTTGATATTGCAATCTTTTTTTCTTGGAAATATTTTGCTTGATGCTCTAGTTTCTACTTTTGGGGCATATTTCATATTGATTCCTTCAAATTTTGAGATACCACCTTGCACATCTCACCCCCACCATGCCCCTCCTCCACGCGGGCTCCGCCCTGCTGATATTGCTTCTGATACTGCCCCAAGTCCACGCCTTTGGAGCTGGAAATATTGCCTCTATCTCCGCCGTCGAAGGCAAGAACTGGCGCCATGGTGATATCGAAGATGTTCTCAAGACACTGGCTTTCATCTCCGGTCACAAATGGACTTCCACCATGGTCAAGCGCGTATATTTTGGCAACTGGTTGCGGGATTAGTGAGTTAGCAAAGAACCAAAAGATTGATATGATTCTGACTTTTTCCATAGCTCGCAGGCAATGGACGTTGGAACACTTAAAAATCTGCAGGCCGATACCATCCGTGTTTTGGTGTGGGTCCTCTCGTTCCTGAGCTTCGGCTATGCCACGGGTGAATTCGAGGTGACTCCGGATCGCCTAGGCGTTTACCGCCCCGAGGAACATATCGAGTAAGTACAGTTTGAGCTTCTCAATAACTTTGATGTGCTGACATCTTCTTTCTCACAGTAACCCTAAGGACTATGCCGACAACGAAGATGCCCGCCAATATGATAAGCGGTTGCGCCCACCCGTTCGTGCCATCGAGCTCGAAATCGACCCGAGCACCGGTATGAAGAACTATATCGCCAATGAAAGAGGCGATTGGGCCACCAGTACTGGCTTTATCAAGTTCAGTCTTAGCCGCAGTATCCACTATGGACGGACCTACACCAATGGCGGACATAAGAAGGGCAACGAAGAGGACCTGTGCGAAGCACTCCGGTGTCTAGGTCAGGGACTACACACGCTGGAGGATTTCGCCGCGCACACCAACTATGTTGAACTGGCGTTGCGTGAGATGGGTTTCAAGAACGTGTTCCCGCATACGGGTACTGCCACCCAGATCAACCTTCAAGGACATCGCGTTTTCCCGCTTATAACGGGAACCTTTGGTATGGTTGATTTCTTCCACTCCGTGATGGGAGAGGCAAACGACCATTTTACTCAATCCGAGGTTAACGAGATGGATCTTGCGCTCGGCAATGCCGAAGCGAATGCGCAGTCGAACAACTCCCTTGGTGCCTTGACTGGGCTCTTGGGTAAGATCCCTGGTACTAGGGAGCTCGTCAGCGAGGCCGAGGGCCTCAAGAGGTCTTCGGCGGAGCAAGAAATGGCCAACCGGAGTCGTAGTGCCGGGACTGGCTATGCGCAGTCTGCTTCCAATAGCCACGAGCGGTCCCGTGCGGAGCCAGCTCAGTCTTCGGGTGGCTCGAAGCCTGGTGCTGGGCTTGACGGCATGCCCGATTTCAACCCCCAGGAGACAGTAGCCAAGATCTATCCCATCCTAGCCTTCCGAGATAAGGTGGTGCGAAAATTAAACTCAATCATTGAAAAAATCCCAGGCTTGGAGTCACTCGTCGAGAAGATCTCCGAAACTCTGACCGTTTTCATCATGTCGCTACTAGCACCTTTCGTTCGACCTCTGATCAAGGCTGCTTCCAAGTCCATTCAAACTGGATCAGCAGGTGTCATTGATGCCTCTGGCAAACACCAGTACGAACCATGGACCGATCCTCACTGCACAGACCCCACCCACTCCTTGCTATCCAAGGACCACTTCGCCAACATTTTGAATGAGCCCGCCGGACGAGTAGCCTCCTCAATCGTCGAGTACGTCGCACCTCGCATCCTGTACGCTTGGCAACACATCGATGTCTCCGAGGACGAAGTCCTCAATGACTGCATGCAAGTATTCCACCACCCAGCGTTGCGCAACATGCGCAACGATGCCCACCGCGCAATGTTCGAGGCCGTCGAGAAATGGGCCCATGGCCGCTCAGACCGCGGCGCTTCGCTTGACTCCATCCTGAGCTCGGAGGGTGTGAGATCCGGTCGTAACACCGGTGGAGTGAGCCACACACACAGTGGTGGTCATGGTGGATTCGCAGCATTGGGCGGTGCCTCGCACGGCCAAAGCCAGAGTCATAGCCAAAGCCAGAGCCACGGACACAATAACAATGGCGGACATTCATCCGGTGGATTCTCCTCATTCCTGCCCCAACAAAACCAGCAACAATCGAACAACAGCTCCTCCGGCATGCCCTGGGACAAGCTCTCTGGCATCCCCGGCTTGTCGAACTTGGGTAAACTCGAGAGTAAATTCTCCAACTTCCTCCCCGGTGGCTTATCACGCGATGCAAACGACGAAGGAGCCCAGCATAGCTCATACCAGAGCCACCAGGCAGGGGGGTGTGTATGAGGCCGCCCACCCTCCTCCACAGCAGCATGGCGGATATCACCAGCCTCAGCACGTACCTCAACCAAGTCACGGTTACCAGGGTCATCAACAGCATGAACAGCATCATGGCGGCTCGCAGGATCCTTCGTCCTATAGACAGCAGGACAACCACTACAGCCATCCGCAACCGCACGCTGCCCACAATGCCCCACCACATGGTTCGTATGGTGGGTTTGGACAGGATCCGAGATATGGTCATGGTCATGATCACGGGCATGGACATGGACACTCGGGTTACTGAGGATTGGATGATGAGACGAGATAAATGATTTGGCTCAATATGTGGGTATCGAGTATAAATGAGCTGGATGATTGTATTTTAACGAAATTGGATGGTCTTTGTGTCGACTTATAAGACAATGGTGTGAACAAAAAAAGGCGAAAAGGTGGATGGTTCAAGAAATTTGGAGGTTGTGCTGCATGATATCAAAGCTCGTTTAAGAGTTTTGGCGTTGATTCAACTTGTGCTTTCTTTGAATTCAAGCGGGCTGTTGAAATTTCCCAGGATATTCCTTAGGGCTATGGCCAGGGTGGTTTGGTTGGTTAGGTTCTTCCTCAATCAATCGCTCTGTTTACTTGGTCTCTTGCCCTGAAGGCTGTGTCACCATAGACATACATCTACTTCATAATGGTCTTGCTCAGTTCATTGAAATATACAGGGTTCAGACACCCATACCGCAAAAACAAAAGCTTAGCCATGAGCTGCATGCACACTTGAACGTATGAAATTGCTGGTAAGAAAAGTGAGCAAGACGTATCAGATAGAAAGGCCCGAATAACACAAAAGTATATGCTGGGGAACGAATATAATGTTCAGCAGACTGCTGAGAAAAAACGCCAGGGATATATCTCTTCGTGGCGGTCAGCAATGCAGGATTGATGATAGAAGGCTTTTTGGAGTGTTGGACTGCATTGGGGGTATGAGGTTCCATAAGGCCCCGGCCCTTGTGATTGGTGTGTTCCTTTCTGCCTGCGTAGTATCTATAAAGGGCTCTTACACTTTCCGAAGGGCTTTATTAGTATCATTCAACAAAGGGCATAGTAAGCTCTTTGAAAACCCAAATAGCACCTATCTCCCTTACATGACTTGACATAAAGGATTCTTTCTTTATCTTTGATTTCTTTGTGCCTTACCAAGGCATTCTCTCTCAAGTCCAATGCTACCGGCCACACCCTGGGGCTATATAAACCCTTCCCTCTTCCCTCCAACAACAGGTATTCACCAGCATCGTTCTAGTTAATACTACTCCAAGCCCAATACCCAAGTACAATCCGACTGCCTAAGTATTGCACGAGTCTTGCAGTTCATCTATCATTATGTCCGACGACGCTCACCAGTGGGAACAGGTAGCAGAGCTCCACGGCGGCAGACCAGTCGCAGATTTGCGGATCACCCCCCAGATATCCTTGAGGTGCCATGTAGGTCAGTTTCTTGGTACTGCCTGGCCGCTGGTCACAGTGGACCAGTGGATCAACGAGAACCACCTTATCTGGACCCTCTGTGCCGCCCTCGCAGCCCACGGCCAAGACAGTTACTGGACACGCTCATTTGAGGACACCCACGGCGCCCAGTGGGATCAGATACAGGCGAGTGTGGAGCAAGCCCAGGGTGCTGACCGATTCCTTCTAGCTATCCCACCCCCTCCTTTGGCGCTGGCTGTGTTCCGAAACAGCAATAGGACTGCGGGTCAGAACCACGTTATCACGGCCACACCTGCTGGTGTTCCTTCCAACGGTGGTCTCCTGGATTTTTTGCGGTATGTGTATCACGGAGGAGTTACCTTGGCTGATGTCTTCATTGTAGCTCTTCATGGCAGGGAGTTTACTGGTCTCGCGGCAATCTCGCCCCCGTACGCTCCCCTGGGGTTGCCAGACCCGAATTCGGATGTGCCAGTATTGGTTCTCCCTCCTGCACATGGAGATGACACCCCTCTCCCCCCTTACCGCGATGCCACTCCACCTCCTCGTTACTCGCCACCTCCTCCTTACAACGACGACTCTTTTGCTCCTCCTGATGGCTCCCAATGATGTGCAGCACTCCTTTTCGGGGTATTTGGACCTTCTGTGACGCCCATCGGATACTAACAGTTACTGTTATCAGGATGTTCTATGAGATTGGTAGGTTGAAGTACTACTTAGAATGTTTTCCTTGGTTATATATTTCCTTTATAGAATGAATACAGTTGATATCTCCATAATTCTTCGTAAGATACTTATAGCCCTGGCCGTGGGATATTAATTACTTGAGTTGAAAGATTAGTTTTCTTTTGCACTCTATCTTGAAGTTCTCTTGTTCTAAAACATTGTAGGTTCCTACGTGTATAAAGAAACGCACGGACTAATTGGGTACAATAGCTTAAGGGCAGCCAGCACAAAGCACAGCCTAACTTTGAGTTTCAAGCTGTAGCTCGTCAAGTCTCTACTACTAAAATCCAATATTTGGGGCAAGACAGCTCATGTCACAAATCATCGAGATCATATGTGTCCTCATATCCAAAAATAGTACAAGGCTGTGTAGACTGATCGACTGGTGGCCTGGTGCTAAATATAGTAGAAGCCAACGATCGCGTGTGGTTGATGAAAGAACCTACAATAAGCATGCACCGACATTTAATTCACGGATTAGGCGTACCAAAGGTCTTTGGATGGCGATGACTTATCATTCGATAATCTGGGGATCGAAGTAGGTTTTCCCAGCTGAATTACAAGAACTTCAATGCAACTGTGCGTCAACATTCAGTCATTGCCTTGATCTTACGTGTATATTTCTCGTGTTGATGTCTCAGTCGAACTTTTGAGTATATTTCCAACAATTGTATGTACATGACTTGCAGTATAAGAGGGTCGTTAACGCCTTCCATATACCTCAGACAACAACAAAGATTCAACTGCAATCCAAAAAAAGCAAAGTATCAATTTGACAGACATTCCAGCAAAATGAAGACCCTCTCGTCCGCTCTCGTCCTGGCGACTGCCACCGTTACCCTCGCTGCACCTAGCCCTAGGGCGCCCGTCCTAGAGCCACTGCAACTTATCAATCTCAATGCAGGCATCTATTATACAACCCCACCAACAACGTGCCTCCTCTCCTTTTCTCTCAAGGATCCAAACACAAACACAGACACCAAATGCTCTGGTTACTGGTATGTTCTCATCTATCTGACAGATTTCCTCGCTATGTCTAGGCTACTCTATATAGCTAAAGCTCAAAGCCATAAATGGTACTAACTCTTATATAGGTCTATTGGCATGGCCGGAAATAAGACCTACGACTGCTCCGATAAGGCATACCAGCTCCACCTCCCAAATGGAATCTATGATATTGAAAAAATCGATCTGGGTGTCTCTCGCGCAGACGGCTCTCAGTCTGGGCGGGCAATTGTGAGTGGTGACTTGTGGAAATGTAAGAAGCAGGAATATCCCATGGAACAGTGCAAGTGGGATGGTATTCTCAGTCTCGATCTGACTTCATCTACTTGATTGAGGGGCTGTGAGATGACACTCAAGCTGGACAGAATGTGTCGATATGCGGGCAAACTATTTGAATTTCTTTTTGTTGATCTAATCTAGTCTAATTAGTACTTGTCTCTCGCCTTGTTGCTTTTAAATCATACTTCGATTTGTTCTCGTTTCTCATCTGAAAGCCTCATGTAGCTGGTATAAGATTCCGCTATACACTAGAGAAATCGGGCTATTTGTAAGAGCCAATTCACCCAGAGCTATTCAGAGCCATACACATACTATGTCTCTATATTGAAGCAAGTCCATCGGAGCTCCAGGGCCAAAATCCCCGCTGACTCATCTTATCCACTTCTTGGCGTGGCACACCTAAAATGGTCTTGGCCTTCGATTCCGTCGATCTCAGTGGTCGCAAGCAAAGTGGATTCTTCTGCCCATCTCCATGGGCTCGCTGATGAAAAAGCTTGATGATTCAGCGGGCATGAACAGCTCTTATCCCGAGCTCCAGTCACAGTTGCCCCTATGATGACCGAAAAGGCTTCTTGACATCTGTAAGGGGTATTGCGATTACTTGATGGATGCTACTGGCCCACGGGGCGGAAAGGGGCGGAGTGCTTGCGATCTATGTCGACACCGGAAGGTAATCATATCCACACTCTCTGTGTGACAGCCCCTAATCCGAGTTCACAGATTCGCTGTGACAGAAACCAGCCAGCCTGCGAGAATTGCCATATTGCAGGTTTGCCATGTACTTTCTCTCAACCTGTATCGCAACATCGGAAAAGTACCCGACAGTAAGACTCCATGTCATTGGCCCCTCTTTATAAAATGTCAAGATGCTTACGGGTACACAGAGAGCTTGCCGACACCAAAGCTCGGGTTCGGGAATTAGAGACGACCCTGCTCGGACTTAAAGAATCCACAAAACAAAGCCACAAACGGCTAGCCATTCCTTCTCCGGGAACTCCGAGTAGAGGCTCTTCTCCGGCATCGCCTGGACCCGTCTCTCAGGCGCCTCTATCTTATTTACCCGATACCCGTGATTTCGATACCGCGTTAGCAGCTTTCCAATGGCACATCTCGTATTGTGGTCTCGGGAGTGCTCTTTCGATTCAAAGGGCAGCTTTTTACTCTCTCATTCAAGAACAAACAGGTTGTACATTTAATCTGGATGACTTCGCTCATGAGGTCACCCAATCTTTCAATTCACAACAGCTCAAGTCGACCAAAAAGGTGGTTGGGATTAAATGGCCGGAGTCTGCTCTGGTCCAACGGTGTCTGGAGTATTTTGATAGGAATGGGCTCTATTCTATATTTCCAATTGTCGATGTTGAGGCCGTGCAAATTCTACTCAATGCAAATGTCTTAGAACGGCCTTCAAATATGACCCGTGCTGCGAATCGGGCTTGTCTAGTTGCTTTTGCGGCAATGATCACCCATATCCACCGCCATGAGCGAGCTTTCGCCGGCGCTGACCCAGATGCTTATCTGCAAGCAGCGCTAACACTCCTTCCTGAAATATTACTGGAGCCCCCTGATATAAGAACCTTGGAAGCGGTGACAATTTTGGTAAGTTCTTCGCGTGGCCAGCCCCTCGCGGTGGATATCATACTTTATATGTCTCAGAAGCTTATATATGGCCCTAGATGCTCTATATTGCCCCTCTTGGTAGACCCCAGGCAGCAGAACTACTCCTCGGCATCGCAGTGCAACTCATCTATAACCTCGGGGCAAACAGGATACAAACCCCCAATGAGATACACAGAACAGACCAGCGGAGCCAACATCTCCGAGCTTTGTTCTGGCATTGCTATGCCGTCGACAAAGAATTCTGTATCCGAAAATCCCAGCCGCCCTTGATAAACGACGCCGACTGCGATCTCGATCTACCTACAACATACGCCCAGGAAACCTCAGCACGTCACTTTTACATGAAGCCCTTGTCATCGAAAGAGCTGCTTTTCCCCTCGGACCTCCGGTTCTCTCTGCTCAAGTCCAAGATCTTCCGGTTACTCTATTCAGTGCACAGTCAGACACTACCGGAAGCGAGACGCCTGCAGCATATCCGTGAACTAGACCAAGAATTGAGCGATCTGAAACTGGGGTATCCCATCGACTGCCGGCCGGAAGCTTTCGCCACTGAGAGCGCACCGGACTATCTGTTCCATGATCTCAGTATCCGCGGTGTGAATATCCATTTGGAATATTACTACTGCCTCGGAAAGATCCATGGAGCGAGTAGCTCCTGCAGGATCCCTTCTCCGCAAAGCTGGTCGCCTCTCCCATCTAGCGCCGAGCTGTGCTTTGAAGCTGCAAGGTCGTCGCTGATCTACATCTGGCGAGTCCGCCAATTTGTCAACGATCATACATTTTGGTAAGAGCTTTGAGATTTTCTTCTACCGATTCATGTACTAATTGGTGTTTATCTCCTATTCCAGGCTTCATGCGCAGTTTCTCCTCACGGCCGTTCTCTCGGTCTTTTGGTATCTCATCACTGTTCCGGCTTCATCTACTTTCACAAGGGATCTGAAGACCTTGGAGGATATCTCTGGGCTCTTGGCTCATCTGAAAAGGCCTACTGATGACGGGCAGACTTTCCCACCATTTTATCTAACACATGCTTTTATTGAGAAATTGATCTCGCTGGCGCAGCATTCACAACCTAGCGTTGTGGGCACATGATAGTTTGCTCAGTCTCTTGAAGATAATTTTGTATGTTGTATATACAACCCATGCTATCACACTCTGTGGCTTGGCGAGGTTTAGATTGGTGTGGGAATCGTCTTGTGTCGAAATGTATAGACCTCATTTCAGGCGCTGAAGCATTGACTTCCAAATTTCGCTAAAGATTATTGGGCTGGCCAATCTAATCTGCATTGACATTAATTGTAACATCCCATATCTATAGATCACTGTGAAGTGCTAGCCCTTCGAGATGTGGCTTTATCTAGACGTTTCCTTTTTATCCGACATTTTTCCACCAATCTTAGTCGTTGAAGTATACATCTGCTCTCCCCTCCCCCTTGCATATTCCCATTCACGTTCCTCTCTTTATCTATCTATCCTCTCTCTCTCTCTCTCTCTCTCTCTCTCTCTTTCTCTCTCTCTCATTCATTCTCTCCAACACTCCCTGACCTTACTTTACCCCTCGGTGACAGGAACCTCCTTAGTCATCATACTACCGAGCAGCTAACATACCCGAAACTGGGAATCTACAAATTATCTCAGTTCGCCTTCTTAGAGCCAAACTTGCTTGACTCGCAACCTACCTTAACACCAACTCTATTGGAATAGCACTATTAGAACCATGAGCCATATGTTACATTATTTCGCTCCTCTCTTCAACAGCCCGGCCGGGCTAGCTCAATCGGTAGAGCGTAAGACTCTTAATCTTAAGGCTGCGGGTTCGACCCCCGCGTTCGGCTATTCCTAAAACCAAACCTGAGATTTCTTTTTTGCTCTCTTCTTTTTTTATTCCTTCAGGAAAAGAATGCATGAATGGATCAATTGACTTTTTGTAAGCTTTGCTATGTCCGTGGACAGATAGAACACGGATATCTCGGTGTCTGCCATGAATTATCGGTGTTAAAGAGTCGTCTCAGAACATTCCAATCTGGCAAGTCTTCTGTTGGTAATTGACGATATATATATCTACACTTGGTGGGCAGATTTACGCATCTCCATATTGAAAAAGAACGTTTCCATTATTTATTGATGCAACTAAAGCCGTTTATTTCCTGTCAACTATGTACAACACGGCCATAACAACAAGAGAATTTAATCGTCAGTCATATCATAAGGTACAAGATACACACAAAAGCCCGAAAGCCCGAAACCCCTTTATATCGGATGGGCGAATGCAGCGCCTCAACTTATATCTAAACATACTTTCACAACTTCGTTCCCTCACGTCCACCATCACTGGGACGCCTAGGCCGGATAGGGCCGAGGGTCTGGCCAGCAGCATGGCTCGGCCCAGCCGCTGATGATTCGTTGTCCGTGGTGTTGGTGCGCACAGGTCCCCGTGTCCCTTGGTGAAGGCGAGGGTTCATGAGCCATTGGACCTGCATGCGGACACTGTTGACTGCCGCATTCGTGTGGGCTATATCTTCCTTGATGCGCAGGCATTCATTCATGATAGCCATGCTGGCGCGAGCATCTAAGTCTGTAATAGCATGTGAAAGTTGGCTCACCTCTTCCCGGAGAGATTCGTGCAGTGAGAGCAGATAGGTTGTGGCATTGGATGAAAATACACTCGCAGCAATATCTGCAGGATCATCTGTGTGGACGTCAACGCGGGCGGAGGGTTGCTGTTCTCGACCAGACTGGGTAGCTTGCCCGCCGCTATTGCTGTTCGCACCTAAGCGTGTGGATTCGACAAGAGTGGACCGAATGTTTGCAAGCCCATCCTCAAATATCTCATTCCGCTGTTGTAGGTGTCGCATGCTTGACTCAAGGCACTTGAGCCGGGTATTTTGAGTTTCAAAATATGGACCCATGGCGACTATGGGGCAGCTTTGCTCATGTACTGCAATGTCTGCCCGGCGGATCTTGACTGAACATGCGTACTTAGACGCTGTGCAGGGAATTGCAACCTCGGGACATAATTCAATGTGCTCCCGCAGCGTCCCTTTAGTGACAACTGTTTCGCAGTCGACACATGTGACTTCAAGAACCGGACAAAGCTCTCTTTCATGCTCCTAGCACAAGCATCTCGGTCAGCATCTATAGAGGGTTAGGAAGTCCAAGAGCGCAACATACCTCGTATTCATGCTCTAGAACATCTTCTTCGCAATGAGAGCACCGCCGCACTCTATGTATACACTTCTGATCCATCCCAATGTCCTTGCTTCTTGTCATCTGATCGCATGAATTATCCGGGCACGGTAAAAGCCGGTACCCACAGTACTTCTCGACATGTGACTGGACATGGCCCCGGGGTATAATCTCTTGACAGCCCTCCGTTATCAGCGGGCATCGCACTCGGATCTCGTCGCACATGTTGATCAGCAGGCGGGGCACGCTAGCCGACACCTCTTGGGTGGGATTTCGGCAAGAGGGACACGGGAACTCATCCGAGTCGGCCGAGCGGAATGTAGTGATAGCCGAACTGAGACAACTCCCGCAGAAGACATGGTCGCATTGTAGACGAACGGGCTCAACGAAGGGACAGTGGCAAATCGGGCACATAAGGTGCGAGTCGTATTCGGAGACGAGGTCAAGGCTGCGGAGGTCGATTAGCTCGTCGTGGTCGCGGCCTTCCTCCATTGCTAAAAAGTCTTGTAAATTCATGTTGCGCGGACTTCAAGCCTATCATAAGGCCCAACAAATAGTGCAAGGTATGGACGGGTTTTTGATCCCTATGTTGTTGCTTGGGAATGCGGAATCAATGCGCGGGTTCCTGCAGCTCTGCGCTAGATACCGTCGACCGGATAGTATGGATCCATGAGAATGACACTCAGAAAACCATCAGTTCAGCGATTGGAAGCAAATGCTTGCAAGATGTAGACATGCTAAGAAGTCCTGAAGAGACGGGGACTGCGGGGGAATCAAGGAGAGGCCAAAGGCGGAAAGCGGCTGATCCGCACTTGTTGCCTCCGCTTATGATTCCTCGTCTTACCATCTCCACCTTCAACCTCATAAACATCTCAACACTTTGATTTTATCTTGCTTGGCTGATCGGAGGTCTTTCTTCGTACTGACCGTCCACGCGCCTACATTTCATATATCGCAACACCCTGACATTTTGATCTCATACACCTCATTATGACGAACCCGGCCCAGCTATTCCTACTCGCCGATCATATTAAATTATCCCTTTTGGAGCGCGAAAGGGCAATTTCACTCGATCTCGAGCCTAATTCCAAAGATGGAGAGATCTCTTGGTCTCTCGAGTCCCTTCGAGAAAGTATAGAGGCTCTCGAAGCCGAACAAATTCGACTAGCCAATTCGCACGACAGTGCAGGCGCCGCCGCACTGAAAGACCAACTCAGCCCCCTCCAAGCCCAATACAAAGATCTTTCAACGCAGTTCTATGGCGCAGATGGCGAGCCATCGGGCAACAATACGACGCAGGCGTCGAAACCAGCCACCCCCGATCTCAAGCAGCCAATCCCGCAACATCCACCTTCCAAATCCGTCCGCTTCATGGACAACTCTGCTGCTGCAGCCGCTGTGCAGGATGAGATTGATGTGGAAGACGAGCGCAATCGCAGCAATCTCTTCCACCCATACCGCGATGAGCCATCGCCACGACCGGATCAGTCGAACATGGACAATCAGCAGATTTACGATCACCACGCTCAAACTATGCGTGACCAGGATGATCAGTTAGATCGACTGGGCGAATCAATTGGTAGACAGCACCAGCTGAGTATTCAGATTGGGGATGAGCTGGACGGCCACGTTCAACTTCTGGATGGAATGGATGGGGATGTCGAGCGCCATCAGAATCGACTGGATGGCGCGAGACGACGGATAGATCGGATTCGTCGTAAGGCGGGAGATAACTGGAGCATGATGACTATCATTGGGTTGATCATCGTTCTGGTCATCTTGATCGCGATCCTGAAATGATACTTCGATACGGGTGGATGATTGATGTTCTTCCGTCGCTATTGCTTGTTACTTCTTCTTTTTGGGTGAGCGGGCGTTTACAACTTTACGCTATACGGGACGATTGACTCTCCCAATGCTTTTTTTTTCAATGGTTTAGGGCGTTCAGGTAGTTGAGTCGTTCTTAGACTCCTGGTTAGATTCTTGATCATACTACATCTGCAAGCTAGCCCTTGATCAAAACATCCCTTACGTATTCAGTGATATGCTTCAGTAAAGTGTGTAGTGTCAATTGTCATTGACGAATGAGATAAAATCGAATGAATCACCCATAACAGACTCCCAACAGCCTCATCCGCAGACTGCCCCAGTATAATACACATAAACGAAGTTCGGGACCAAAGTATTACAAAATGTTAACAGCTTTTACTTCTGGCTCTTAACATGTTTTGTCTTTTGCTGCCACTCCTCGAAACTGACATCTTCATCATCTAACTCGCCGCGATCCGCTTTGACCTGTATCAAGGGGATTAGCTCTCTGATCAAAGACGAACTCCATGGGTCAATGCTTACATCGGCCTCGCTATTACTAGCCAGCTCATACTTCCACTTTGCAGTGCCCTCTTTAATACCCTTGAGGACTTGTTGCTTTTGGGCTTCGTAGTAGGTGGCAAGGTCGTCGCGGTCTGTATATGGTTAGTATGGCCAAGAGAAGTTCGTGCTGGGGATATACTGACTTTGATCGTCCTCCTTGAAGCGCCGGGCTGCTGAAGAGTGGAAAGTGGCAGCTGGCACAGCGAGGTTAGTCCGCATAGCTTGGCGAGAGGCGACACGGATGGAGAGGAATGACATGGTGATATGGTGTGGGTGAGGATGAATATAAATGAGGTAGAGACTTTGAACAGATTTGGAGATATGACGGTGTAGTAGGAAAGTTATTTGAGATCAGGAGGAGATCTCTTCCGGGGCATACGAGCCATTTAAGGGAATGGCCCTTGGTCGATCTGGTGCCGTCACATAGCTGTCCTGATGCTATATGACATCATCGGATTGGTGGGTCCGAGGTTATCTCCCTTGTAGTTTTGACTTGTGAATTGTGAAGATATCCAATTAACATATTGACATCTGGGAGAGAGCCTATGAGGCATTTCAAGCTTTGCATTGATACCCTGGTGTGTCGAGGCAGTTCGAGACGTACGATCTCCCCGCAAAATAGTCATTGGTAGAATTGTGGAGACATTCGAGACTCTTCACTGAAATTGATCTTTCTTCATTTAGGATAATCACAATCACCCGAAGATGCTAGACGATCTAGCCGTACATATATATGTACAATGTATCAATCGTATGGAAGCTCGGGAGGGATGAAAAGATCCTTGAGGCCTCCCCGGCTCTCTTCGCTATAGTCATCCTGGACCTTCTGACACCTCTTCAGACCCCAATCGGTGACACCAACCATATAGCAACTCTCGATGAAAACAATACTTCCAGTCCCAACTTGAACCGGAATGGGTTCTTGGTTGTTAACCTTGTCAAATGCTTCCGAGTCTGGTCCATGGCTGCTCATCCAGTTATCGAGACTTGCCCCAGCAGCTTGGAACCCACCCGAGCCGGACCCGTTTGCAATATAAGACCCCTCAATAAGACCCCTGAACTCGCTCATACGGTTTCGGTGGTATGATGGTGGTCGGAAAGTGTCCTCGCCGAATAACCACCGGGGAGGAAAGATAACAAAGTCGGCAATGGCTGTGCCAGGGTGAGTATTTGAGTTGGCTGTAAGAATGTGTATCATGGAGATTTTGATCCATATTTCTCTGTTCGGTAATATTTTGAAATAGTTCACTACATTCTACCCTTATGGCCGACTAGCCTTTCACTTGCTGCATATCTAGATTTACTGGGAAACAGTTCGATGAGAAAAGAGTCAACAATCTATATTTCAGTATTCCGAGGCACTCTATGAAACAAACCTGATTTGACTGAAGACGAAAGAAGTGGCTAAATCACCCGAAAAGGAAAAGGAAAACTCACAGCTCTGTAGATCGTAGACGGTCAACGAAATCGATTTGTATGCACGCCGAGGGCGTTCACACAGGCCGAAAGCCTGTTCAATGCTTAATGTTCCTACATCTCCATAGGTGTATCTAGGTAATCTTTATGTTCGATATCAAATCGAATCTGCATGACAGTCTTCCTCCAGACAACGATTCTGGTGATACGACGAGTACCTCTAGGAAATGCCGACAAAACGATAGCAGCAACTCCTTTCCCAAGCTCTGTGCCTAGAATAGCCTGATATTCAGGGGTATCATACGCCCAGGCCACTTGATTCAAGGATTCTGGAGAGTCCCGAAATCCTGGGGTATTAGGTGGCTGCATTCTAGCCCAAATTGTCTCTATAAAGACCCTGGTGTCCTCGTTAATAACGTTCTCGAGGTAGATGTGTCTCAAGGTATTCTGGTCAAAGTGAACATTGTACTGTGCGTGGGCGACTTCACTCCAATGAGGCCCATCGTATCTTCGTACATTCCTTAGAATGATAACTCCCATTGCAGTTGTGATCTGATGAAAGTTAGTCCCAGTGCCTCTTATAGGGTGCCAAACGACCGACTCTTTTATGATCTTGACGTCGTGGTAGTCTTGTTCACCAGTAGGAAGGCCACAATTCCTGAGGTCACCTTGAAGCACGGGGGGCACAGGTCCCCAGCGGTTGAATTTTGTCGTCCATCTTTGTGTCCTGTTTTTATTATGCGTCAAATCTTGAAATTCGAAATCTAATGGCTTGACTGTGCAATTAGGCTCGTTTGCATCATCGATCCATCTTTGTCGCAACTCTCCCCACCTTTGGCGGTTACCATATTGATAAAGGTCGGATGGATGGTCACTCTCAGCGGGTGGGACTGCGGGATGCCCGGCAGGAACAGCAGGATGGACTATGTTTACTAGCTCTATAGGGGCATTGCCATCCGGGGCGGTAGAGCTGGTCGATTGGCGGTGGCGGCGGAAGCAGAGGCCGAAGCAATTCCAAGTGCAACAACCAGGCATATTTGTAAATCTATTGGATCGGGATGTATGAAACTAGAGTATTGGATATTGAGTACTGAGTGGAATATTGACGGTGAATGATGAACTTGTACTTGTACTTGTCTATATACCGGGAGATATTTCGAGGATTATATAGCTGCACACTGAATGGTTAGTACGCTCGACCGTGAGTATCGCTTTCAAGTATACACAAAGAAAACAAGAAAAGAACGGTGTGCACAAAGAGTCGATACAAATATCAGCACTCAGACAAGGCTGACAATGAAAGAGAGAACTTAGGCCATGATCTCAGATGGACTCTAAGAAGCAGACAAAGAAGTTAAATTCGAAGACAATAAGAACGAGCACAAGTGGGACGAGAATACCGATCACAAAGAAAGTTGTTGACAAGGAGAACATTGTAAACAGTGTGAACCAACAGAAGAGTGTAGACGACAAGGAAGTCAACTGCAAATGCTAAAAGCCAATTGGTGTAGAAGTTTGAGGTTGGAACATTTGAGGTTAGAGATATAGAGACCATGATTTCGGTATGCACTCTGCTCCAATCAACCAGTCCTGAATTTAGGGCATTGGCATTGTCGCTGGGATGTCGACTTTAGTTGCGAACATATATTCGTTCCAAGCCAATGGTATCTGCGGTTGTTGCCTAGGACGTTGGATGTTTCTTATGCATTTGTCCCTACATATATATATCCCCCTTTACGTTGTTGTCTAGTCTTGATCCAATCTTTGAGACGTCATGCTGAAAGATGTCTAATGACAGGGTAAGGAGTACTCTCCGATTGAAAACGTTCAGAATCATAACATACTGTGCTCTAGTATAACGAACATGCAAGTCAAGCCTGATACTATGTACTAGAATTTGACCCGTTCTACCCCTGAGCTTGATTTGAAGTGACAGCTATTTCTCCGAGGCTTCCCCTGTCTCCATAATCAAAAAGAAAAGGGGAAATGATGCTGCCAATCATTGTCAATCAACTGCACATATGCATTAGCGTAGCTTGTAACACTTATTCTTGGCGTAAGACCTGATTCCTCGAACCTCTAAAATGCTACAGAGTGGAATTACCCTATTTATTTAGATTTGTGCCGATTGATCGACCTTATATATATCTCCCCGATCACCTTGATAATACTTGCTCACACCTCATTCTACCAATTGCTCCGGAATCTACTGCACCTTGAACGGCCGAAGTGGCATTTCCCCCATCTCATTCGTGGATTAATACAAAAGCCGCTTGAAACAAGTCCTATCAGGTATGAAAAGAACTCATAAGCACCGTAAAACGATGAGAAGCTGTTAAAATAACTTTTTAAGCAGCCCAAGATGAAAACCATCCTCCTAAGCGTGCTCTTACCGACATTAGCCAACGCAGCGACAACAAGCGGTAAATTCACTGCGCTAAGCTTCAACGTCGCAGGTCTGCCATCAATCTTCCAATCGAACGATGTCAATGGCACAAAACCTGAAAATGCCAAGCAGCTCGGCACCTACTTCTCTCAGTATGGCTACGATATCATCAATATGCAGGAGGTCGAACTGAGCCCAATCTTCCTCATATGTCAATTCATCTAACAACGCTATAGGATTTCAATTATCATGCCTACATCTATGAAACAGACAAGCATGCCTACCGGACCGCTACCTCCGGCGGCGCAGCCATCGGAAGTGGCCTGAACACCATCTCCAACCACGACTGGGTAGATTTCACTCGCGTGAAATGGAACACGTGCTCCGATGCATCTGGCGCAGACTGTTTGACCCCGAAGGGCCTCACATTTATGCGCTGGAATCCAGCCGATGGAGTCTATGTCGACTTCTACAACATCCATGCCGACGCGGGGTGAGTAAATGCTATTCATACATTGTAGTCGATCTAAAGACTGACTCCCACCAAGAACCGAGGCAAAAGATGAGACTGCCAGGAATTCCAACTTGCAGCAAGTCGCAGATTACATTGACACCTGGTCAACTGGTAACGCTGTTGTAGTCATGGGCGATACGAACAGTCGATACACGCGCGCCGATGACACAGGAATCCGGGTCTTCAAGTCCCAGAATAATCTAGCTGACTCTTGGGTTGAGCTTGAGAAAGATGGCGTTTATCCCACAGCTGGGGCAGATGCCCTGCTATGCGACAACCCGTCTGCTGTTCAGACCTGCGAGACGGTTGATAAAGTGTTGTACCGGGGTTCTGATGTTCTGACGCTCAAGGCAGACAGCTTCGTCTATGACGGTGGGAAGTTCACAAACACTGACCCCAAGTATCTGGGCCAGATTCTTTCCGATCATAACCCGATTCTTGTGAACTTTACCTGGTCGCTTTCGTCGTCGCTGCGACAAAGCCAGTTCTCGGGTGGTCCGCATGGGAAGTGGTTTAATGATCTGCCAAGTATTCCTTCGTCGCCTGCTGTTTCTGTGATTACTTTCTCTGGTGCGAAGAGGCTGGATGCTGTTGCTTTGACATTGAAGGATGGCACATCGTTTAGCCACGGAGGAACTGGTGGCACTAAGGTCTCTCTTACCCTGGACTCTGGGGAGTATTGGACGGAGACCAAGCTCTGTACTGGGCAGTACAAAAGCCATACTCGCAACTTCTATATCAAGGCTACTACTAGTGCTGGTAGGATCTTAGAGGCAGGTACCTCGACTGATAATTGTCAGACTTTTACTGCCCCCGATGGCTTTGCGGTTGTGGGTTTCATGGGACAAGCCGCGGACGAGGTTGATCAATTGGCTTTGATATATGCGGCCTATTAATAGCGAAGGAAAGAAATTACTTGAAATGTGAATTTAAATTTGTGCTGAATATGCACCTGTTCATTTGCCATTCTGGCCAACCGTATCAAGTCATGGTCTATGCTATGTGTGCCCCAAACGCCGAGGTATTCCGAAAAAAAGTTACCCATATGCACCGCGCTGTGTAAAAAGATTTAGAGGGACAGAGCACTTCAGTCAGTGCTATCCTCTGGGAGAACATCGTCTGGGTCCTCGCCAACCGCTTGTCCCACCGAGCGCACAACTCTCTTGATCGCCTTGGACGCGGGACTGTCCGGGAAGTTATCCACAAAGCTTTCGCCAAAGTCGCACGCCATGCCAACGCGGGGATCCAGAGGTACAGAACCTAGGAAAGGAATGCCCATTTTCTTCGCCAGCCGGCGACCCCCGCCAGTTGTCACTCGAAATATTTGCGACTCATGGGTGCAATTAGGACAGACAAATCCAGACATGTTCTCTACCAAGCCCAACACCTTAATCCCAGCCTTGCGGCAGAAGTCGACCTCCTTGCGAACATCCAGCAATGAGACCTCCTGCGGGGTAGTCACGACAACAGCACCGTCCACGCCAGACTCCTTCAGCAAAGAGTTGACGGACAGGTGCTCATCAGAGGTTCCGGGAGGCGTATCGACAATCAGGTAATCCAGCTGGCCCCAGTCAACGTCCTTGAGGAATTGCTTGATCAGTCCGTTCTTCTTGGGCCCGCGCCAGATCACCGCATCGTCACGATTGGGCAGCATGAACTGCACGCTCATCGCACCCAGGTTATCTGTCACCCAGACGGGACTCCACCCGGCGTTGCTAATGTGGATAGTCTCTGACTCCACGCCCATCATCTTGGGGATCGACGGCCCGCAGATATCTGTGTCCATGATGCCGACGGTGGAGTCTGGGTTGGTGGCGAAGGCGTGCGCGAGGAGCGTTGAGAACGTAGATTTGCCGACTCCTCCCTTTCCGGAGAGGACTAGGATTTTGTGTCGTATCTGGGAGAGTCGTTCGGTGATGATTGGGATGTCAGGATCGGGGCCTTTGGGCGCGGTGGCGCAGATCTGCTGGTTTGGGCAACCGGCACAGGCATCGCCTTGACCAGCTTGCTCGGATTCAGGGCCTGGGCAGTGTTCTGTGGAGAGTTAGTGTGTGTATTGTGTCAATGGTTCTGCGCACGCATACCTGGTTCAGGTGCCACAAGGCTGGGCGTCACCTTGGACGAGACTGCTAGAGACTCCTCGGCGGGCTCCTCCACATAAGGCGCCATTCTGAATTGCTACTCTGTATGGCAATGGAAACGAGAGCAAATGGAAAATAAGTAGTCAAATGTTATGTAGTCGCAAGAAACAGAGAAATTCAAAGTCCGGTGGCGGATTGATGCTTGATAAGCGGGGATGACTAAAAACCCGCCGCGATTGGCGGGGCAAGACATATCTGCGGTGTCGGAGCCCTTGCAGGTGCAAGTGTAGGAAAGTCCCGAGTGCAATGTTTCATTTGACGTGATCACTGCTAGAATTCTGAACTATTGGAGAACAGAAGGGTATTTCATATAGTTGTTAAAAAAACTAACTAGAGCCTAAGGCATGTTTGGAGAACCCGGCCTCCAAACAAGTATGGGTAAGGCATATCTAACTATTTCTTATGTCCATTTGCCAAACCAACCAGATCTCCATATTTTAGTGTATTTGTCGTTGCGGTGTACTGATTGACTTCCGGCGAAACAGTCAAGATAATGGCGGAATGAGTATCGGTTGATGTCTCGAAATGCTCCCGTAGCACCATAGTCAATGGAGAGGAACGGTATGGGATACGAGGTTTCTTGCTCGATCGGGCTCGGATCACTTCTTTCAATGCGAGAAGGTCAGTATTTATCTGTCTCCCTTCTTGCTTCTCTTGGGGTGTTTGTTTGAGCGCAGACGCAGTCGTGCTGGAAAGGAACTCAGCGCCAGCCAAATCTACAAACACAAGCTTGCCACCAAGACATCGATGTGCCCGAGCGGTATTCGCAAATACTTCAGACTCATGCTCCTCTGCCGCTTTCACGCGACATTCAAACTCGGCTTTCTTTGCTTCTGCAGCATCGACGCGCGCTTGGTCCACTTGATAATCAGGATTTGGAACGAATTTCCCCTCTTCGGTCTGGACAATTGCACGACATTGTTCCTCAATATAAACATCCGTTGCATGCTTCCCCACAGGAACAAGCTCGGATTGCCGCTCAACAACCTGATCACGCGCATTCAGGAGCTCCTTGGTGATGATTTCCAGTTCGATCACGGCATGCGTGCGCGAGCTTTGATCATGCATTGTCGATGTCGCAGTTTGGCGGTGCTTCAAGCCTTGTTGTAGCTCCCGGTGTAGCTCTTGGAAGCTCCAACATGCCTTTGTAGCAATTGGTCGGACTCTCACTTTTCCATTTTCTAACATTTCTGTTTCGCCACGGATGTAGACCCGGCCATCGGATCCCTCGCGAACAAAACACTCGTTCCGCTCATTGAGGAGATCAAAAGCAATATTCTTTCGCAACTCGAACACACGGAGCCCAATGCCGAACTGATGTTTGCTATCCCCCACATTGATGTCTTCTAACGCAGCGCTCAGTTGATGAGCAGCAGCTAAACAAAGCCCAAATTCATCCGCATGCTCAAAGTTATAGCCAATCATGGTATGAGATTTTCCGCTTCCTGAGTGGCCGTATGCAAAGAAATTGCAAGACTTGCCCTCCAGGACTTGTGGGATGATTGGTGCAACGACGCGATTGAATACCAAGTGATTATTGTCATCATATTCAATGATCCCATCAAACGAGAATCCACTCTTCCAGGATTTTTCTCGGGTGGAAAGTACTTTAGTTTGTAAAGGTGAAGTAACAGAGATGCATGATTGTGGATTGCTGTGATGCTGGCCATATTGCCGCTGGATTTCTCCTGTTTCGGCGTCACTCTGGTTGAGAGGTCGCCATCTCACCCATACTTTGAATACATTCATCTTCCTTACAGGCGAGTGATTTGGCGTCTAAAGGAGAGAAAAGACAGGAACCAGGCTCCAGGACTGTCGCGCAGTTTGCTTATGTAACGAGGCAGCAAGCCCCGGGGCCGGGCGAGGCATCAACACGACCAGTACGCTACCATATTGACCGAGGGTTAAAGCCTCTGCTTTTATCAGACATGAGGTTCAAATAATGAATTTGACATAGACTTCAGAAAGCCGAAATAAATGTTCAAATCCCGAAGGACACTAGAGTACTCTGTACTCTATACCACTAATGTGCCCATTCGGGTTCTACCTACATTTTAGGTATGCAAGTCCTACCCGTGAACATGTATTCACTCGACAATAATAATTAATAGCTCCACCGAGTTGAAATAATCCCGGGCCCTGTCAGCACTTAACCAGGGGAGGGACCAGAGTCTTGATGTAGCGCCTCCACTGGAGGATGGACGTGGCCCAGTGAAACAGACCAAAAGCCTGCATCCAACATGCTAGGATAACAAGCGGGGTTCCTGGGCTGCAGCTTCGATTGGATAACCCCTGCTGCATACCGCGTAATAAATCCAGCCCAGTGAGGTAGACAGAACGTACACGATGATGAGTATCCAATCTCAATATTCAGATATCCATTGTAACGAGGAATTTCCATTCTGGCTTTGATAAACAACCAGGGATTGAAAGTCGATGATGTCAAATACTCCATTGGCCATGGGTCACGCCCGTGGACCATGCGGACACGATCATAATGCATTTTATATATGGGGCTCGAGCCCAAGAGGAAATGCGCACCATGCAGGCGGTAAGTGTACACGGTGCCTCGCACAACTTCATACTCCGTACTGGCCGCACTTGCCGCCCTGCACGACCCCGCTGTTGATCAGTGTTGATCGGGTGTATATTATCCATGGACAAGATGTCTTAGGAAGAGACAGGAGACATGGGTGTCCCAAAGCCTATTCTCAATACGATTAGAGAGAGATTTCCCAACAACAATTCGTAGCGAAGCGGACTAAGGCGACTTAGCCGTCTTGGGTTGATCAATGGGCCCCATTTCTTTCTCCTTCCGCTCCATTCGGAGGACCCCCTCTTGATAGACCTCGAGTCTCAACGGTTCCACTCTCGGTCGGGACTGATATAAATAATAATTGGTCTCCTCGGTAAATTCTTCTCTTTGTCTTTCAAAAGGAGACAGATCTCCAATTGTTAGGAACAAAAAAAAAAAGCCCTAAGACACAAAGGGGAACAAATCACCAAACAGCCCTGGAGCACCTCGTGTCCACTCCATTTTGAGCCCACTGACTAAGCATAGTTCCGCTTTTTTGATTATCACATGCTTCTGTCGTCACATTCTCTCTCAACAGTTTTTGCTCTCTCAACACCCTTGTAAAGTGGTACACCATGGATCAAGGCCTTTCAACAGGGGCCCATCAAGATATTGATGGGCTACGTGAGAGAAATCTACGCGTCGATTCAACAGTCGGTCGCGAGGCTTTAACAGCCGCCGGGGAAGCGGAGATGAAGGGCAAAGATGGCAAAGAATTGAAGACATTTGGGAGAACTCCCGATGGAACAGGTAAGCTTGTCATGTATTAATTTACGTTTGTAACTGAATGGAGGACTTGACTGGATATCCAACCCTCTGTTTGTTTGTTGATGGCCCGCTGCTAACCGAGTCCGACCTATCTTCAGTGTTTACGGTCCCTCAGACTCATGATATGGTCTCTCAGTTGCTTTCGCCGTCTGAGCCAAAGAATTTTGGTGATTTTGTGGTGTTGGTTCTATTGGCGGGTCATATTTTCTTTCTCTGGGCACTGCCCGCGGGTGCCAAAATCCCGGTCTTTGCAGCCACCTACCTCTTCTGGCGCCTGGCTTACAATGCAGGAATTGGATGGTTGCTTCACAATCAGTCTCACCACAAGACATTGATTCGATGGGCCGAGAAGACCAAGGTCTTTGTCAACCCTGCCACTGGGGGAAATCCCCACCCCAAATTGTATAATTGGATCAAACGGGAATTGGAAACCAAGATCCCGCAGGATTACTCGTTCGACAATGCTCCAATTGAATACAACACCTGGCTTGTCTTTAGACGTCTTGTGGACTTGATCCTCATGTGTGACTTCACTTCCTACTGCCTTTTCGCGATAGCTTGTGGCCACCAACCCGTTGACGAAAGTATTTTCATGACTGTTCTCCGGTGGTCCGCAGGTATCGTGCTAGTGCTGTTTAACCTCTGGGTTAAACTAGATGCGCATCGAGTGGTCAAGGACTATGCCTGGTATTGGGGTGATTTCTTCTACCTCATTGATCAGGAATTGACTTTCGATGGCGTGTTCGAAATGGCACCTCACCCCATGTACTCGGTTGGCTATGCCGGCTACTACGGAATCTCTCTGATGGCAGCCAGCTATAAAGTGTTGCTCATCTCGATCATTGCCCATGCAGCACAATTCATTTTCCTGGTTCTGGTGGAGAATCCGCACATCGACAAAACTTATAATCCGCCACCTCCCAGAAAGCGCTCTTCCACCTGTGCGGATTCTTCTTCCTGCTTGCCCATGGATCTAGACACACCGACAGCGCCAACTCCGTCTGAAGACCAGGCTCCCAACGCGACATCTTCGTATTCGGCCAAGCCGCCCCAGTCCGTCCGCAACCTCTTGGGGCTGCGCAACCTGGATTTGTATAGAACCACGGATTCATCGATCGTGCTGGTTCAACTTCTTGTATTCTCTATTACAGCTCTGACACCCTCTACACCAGGGTATCAGTTGCTGTTTGTGGTCCTCGCTGCCGCTTCCAGAATCTGGTATTCCGTAGGCATCGGGTATATCCTTCGGAATCAATCCAACACCAAGTCTTGGACAAGGCACTTCGTCAAGTATGGTGACACGCCGCAGGAAGCGTGGAACCAGTGGAAGGGCACTTATCATCTCAGCATGGTCTTGTGCTACTCCAGCTTTATTGCTGCCGTGTGGAAGATGTACACTTTCCCGGCCGATTGGGGCTATGGTTTGGTTCTGTTCCGACACGTGCTCGGAGCAGGCCTGATCAGTCTGCAAATCTGGACTTCGGTCAGCATCTACGAGTCTCTTGGTGAATTCGGCTGGTTCTACGGTGACTTCTTCTTTGACGATTCTCTAAAGCTCACCTACAACGGCATTTACCGCTTCCTCAACAACCCAGAACGCGTCCTAGGTCTCGCAGGTGTGTGGGGTGCTGTTCTCATCACTAGTAGCGGAGCCATCACTTTCCTCGCCTTGCTGAGTCACATCCTTAGCCTAGCTTTCATTCAATTCGTGGAACGTCCTCACATGCAGAAGCTGTACGGTCGTAGCCTTCGCCAGGATGCTGGTCTTGTTAAGAGTTTGAAGCGATCCCTGCCACCCTCCCTCAAGCAATTGCACGGAAGTGTTGACAAGATGTTTGATGACTCGTTCGAGTTCATCGAGGAAATGCTTGAAAACGCCCGACCTAAACTCGCCGCGGGAGTCAACACCTTTGTTAAAGACACCACTGCTCTCTTCCAAAAGTATCCTGCTCGCGTCACAATCTCTCGAATTGATGCGGACCTTGCTGGATTCGATGCCCGCGATTATTCTCTGTCGGTTGAAGGTACCAGCGCTCTGTCTTTCGAGGAGAGCGAAAAGAACAAGGGTCGCGAAGGTGCAAATGCACGCATGCCCCTGGACCGCCGTGGTGATCTCAAGGACTTGACATTTGAATACGGCTCCCCGATCAAGGTTAAATGGACTGCCCCGCTGCACCACAGCAAGAAGGATTGGATCGGTCTATACCGGGTCACAGACAATACCTCGCGAGAGGTCACTCGTGTGTCATCACAAGGCCGATGGGTCGCAACCAACAAAGGCGCATACGACAACTCGACTTGCGAAAAGGGCATTCTCACTAGTGATGTTGTCATCCCGTCGTCCAACCCTCAAGGTCAGGACCCCTGCGAGTTTGCATCTGGTGAGATCCTTCTTTCTGGCGACAAGCTCTTCTGGACCCAGGGTGTCTTCGAACTCCGTTACCACCACAACGGTATGCATAATGTCATGGCTATCTCGAGGCCATTCGAGATTCGTATTCGCCGGTCGGATGAGGATGAAACTATTGCCGATGGCGGTTCTCTCATGGAACCAGCCGTTGAGAATGCTTTGTTGCCTGTCGTTCGTAACTGTTTCGATCGTGATCCCGAAATCGCCCCGGAGACTGTTGACGAGCAGTTCGGTACCCTTGTGGAACGGGATGGCAAGTTTGCCAAACGTGTTGTCTTTGCTGTCCATCAGATGTAAGTTCCTCTTTTTGAAGATTCTTCTGATCGTGTATCATATTCTAACATCTTTGTCTCGCAGGTTCGGTATCGAATTAGCACCTGAGGTTGTCAAGGCCGATGGCAACGTGCGGAACCTGGCTTGGAGAATCTGCAATGCCAAGAAAGTTCTCGTAAGTATCAAATTGCCGGCTGAAATGCGCTTGTTGACCAAAGCTAACTCGGTGATGCAGGCTCCCTACAGCATGTCAAGATCCAATGGAACGACGACACCACTCGAGGAGGCCAAATTTTGATTCCTCCAAGCAATGTCCCGATGCGTCTAACCCAGCCATACAGTTAGGATGGCGGAAGGCGACTCGGGTTGAACGACACGCGTCAATCCCAAATGGATTTGGCGACGATTGATGGATGCTCCAAAGCAAGAAAAAAACAAAACCACAAAAAAGAAAGATGCCACAGTTAAGAAAACCATGTACTGAAGGAAAGAGGAGTCCTGTTTTGCTTTCCTTGTCTTGCATGCAAAGGATGCGAAGTTCAAGATAATGATTCCCATGTTTTGTTTAGATTTCAGGGGCTGGGGTGATTTTCATGTGTCTTGCCTCTTGGGGACGTTTTGGTGATGGGCCTACTTTTTCTTTACTTCATCGTACATAGCTTTAAGAGAAATCTATTGCTTTGCTTCTACCTTCGTTCTCTATGACTCTTAGGAAAATGGGATTCAAAGCCTGCAGTTTCGTAAAGTCGGTAGAAGTGCCCATCTTCATCGGAGCTTGTAGAATACATAGTTGTAAAAGACTACCGTGCACCTAAAACGTTCGGGTCTCCAAGGTACCTTTCGTCTATCAGCTCTAGCACTCGGAAAATAAATCCGAACATCGACGCACAACAAGATGCAGCTTCACTCAAGGAACTCTGACCCGTCCCCTAGATGAACACTCAAACGCGGTTACTCGATTACTATGAAGATATTTATGGTTCAAGATGCACTATTATGGAAGTGTATTATTAAACTATATGCTAATGGATGTTATTCTGAGATGCAGACCTAGGCAGAGCTTGAAATGCTGTCAGCAAAAGTCCAAAAGAACAGAAGGAGCAAAACAAGCACGAATAGCTTCACGATTGCAAGCAAAAGTAGAAGCATATATAGTATTCAGTCAAGCCGGATTAATTCATCCCTTCCCCTGTTGGCCCCTCGCACCGAACTGTCACCCAAGACGGATAAGCAGCCCAGCATTAGGAAACCAACACAAGTCAAGTATAGCAGTACCATGCCGCGGACAAGACAACAATGCAAAGAACATGACCAGACGACGACGAGCCCAAAGCCTCCAGACTCCACAACCTTCCTCCCGTTCACACCCGAAGGCACGAATGGTCCAGTATGAGGGAGATGGAAAACAATGGATCGAAGCCTGTATTCCATGCATGCTGTACGGCTTGGGTGCAACCTGAGGGGCGGTCCCCAGAGGGGTCATTGAATGGATAGACTGGTTGTCATCATAATAACTGGGGGGCAACGTGCAGTGCAATAGAGACAATGATGTACCTTTTGAATGAATGTAGAGCAGAAATTATATGGGAATTACAGCTAGATCTTTTTGAGTCGTCAGCATTCTTGTCGATGACAGGATGAATGAAAAGCAATGATCATGACTCAAGAAGGATCAGGAGTTTTTGGTAAGGTATTTTGTTATCTTCAAAAATTTTGCAGAAGCAGAACTGAAAATGTTTTCTCATCATAATGAGTGCAGGTGGGAAAGGAAGAAGAAAGTGTTGTCTTACCTTATTAGTTGATATTTTCAAAGAGATCCTCAATGTACCCGAGAATTAAGAGAGTTTGTGTTTCTGTCTTCAAGCAATTGTTAGTCCCTGATGCATAGCAGTGGAATATTGAAAAACAATTGCAAATTTGGTGTCATAATCAGATGGTGATGCATGTTTTGTTCATGGCCCATTTTTTGTCGCCAAACAGGAGTTGGAACTCTCTCAATCATAAAGACAGGGTTGGAAGGGTTCAAGTGTACTCACATTTAGCATGTTAGTGATGGATATGGCGAAATATATGGAATATCAAGAGTCAACTCCATCGACATTAGAAGGAGTTTCCTCTGTTTCTCAATAAAGAGGGTGTGTGTGAAGAAGAGAAAAGAAGAGGAAGACAAAAATTTGAAGAAAAGTCGCCAAAAAGCCAAACGGCGCTAGGCGGTGGGGCATACAAACAGTGCAAACACCCAAGATTTCCGTTTCTGGGACTTCAGCCATCGCGATATCTCGACAGCTTCAGTATTGCGCCAAATTACTTAAAATGGCTGATAGAAGACGTATCAATGGGCCACCTGGTGGCACAAGACCTCCAGTCTTTGCATCTCTCCAAGAATCCTCAACAGGCGTTGCAAACCGCGCCCAGCGCCAGCGCCAACCCGCCGAACTAAGGAAAATCTGTATGAATCGCCGACAAGCTTCTTGTTGATCGTAGCTGACCTTCAATACTCTAGTCCTCAAAACAGGATTGATTCCAACTGCCTCGGGCTCCTCATACCTTGAATTTGAACCATCCGCTTCTCTCGCCGCCGCCCGCTCCAATCCCAAATCTCTGATCCCGCCCTCCTCAGCACTGAAGCTTGCTTGCACTGTCCATGGACCAAAGCCACTCCCTCGCTCTGCTGCTTTCTCACCGAATCTCGTCCTTACCACTCATGTCAAGTACGCGCCATTCGCCGCTCGCAAGCGGAAGGGACATATTCGTGATGCCAGCGAGCGTGACCTTGGCGTACATTTAGAGACTGCCCTCCGTGGCGCAATCATTGCCGAACGCTGGCCCAAGAGTGGCCTGGACATCACTCTCACAATCATTGAAGCAGAGGATGACCGTTGGTGGGGGGATGCCCCGGACTCGCATGATGCGTCGTGGGGAATGATGAACGTTCTCGCCGGTTGTATCACAGCGGCTTCTGCTGCCATTGCGGATGCCCACATTGACTGTCTTGACCTTGTATCCGGTGGTGTTGCTGCTCTGGTATCAGACGACTCAAATCAGTCGGCATCATCTGCCCCACGACTCATGCTTGATATTGATCCTGCGGAACATCGATCGATTCTGTCAGCTTGTGTGGTGGCATACATGCCTGCGCGCGATGAGATTACTGAGCTTTGGCTCAAGGGTGATAGCTCAAGGGCGGCTCTTGATAAGGATGATGGGCGTACAGGTCATGAGGCTTTGATTGACGGAGCTGTTGATGCAGCTCGTGGTGCTAATACTGTCCTGGCTGAAGCCGTGAGAGAATCTATCGCCAGGTCCTTTGGTCAAGTCTAAAATAGTACACCACATAACGAATGAATGAAGTTTACAGGCTCTATCATTGATGTAGCGATAAGCTAGTTTTTTCGGTGTACCTGTTTAACGATCCATTTGAAGCTGTGTTACAGTATGCCTTAGCCTTTCGCCATAGATACATCTTAGAGATCTACACAAGTTCATGTCTATTGGAAGCACAGCTACTGTAGGAAATGCTGCTCTTGATCAGACCGTAACGTCTCCTACAGTCGATCCACAATGTCTAGCGACTCGTCTATGACCGTAATGGACCTCTAACATTATTGTGACCTGTGAACCCCCCAGACTGCCGGGCTACGTTTCCGATCATTGGAAAGACATAAGGTAGGCGAAGAGTAACTTTCTCGACTATGTAGATCTTCAAGTGACCAGAACAAAATGGCTTTTTCATCCGACGTCTAGAGCAATACCTCATGCTTTTCATATTACCACGGTAAGCTACAATGTGGATTTTACGGACAGAACAGTGTTTAGGATCCATATAGTCAGACAACATGTCACTGCCACCATTCTAATATTGCTATTTCAAAATCTAGGCCCGGCCCACTTCAACCCGACTACTTCCGTCTTCTCGAGGAATCACGGCAAGTTGACCCGGGGCAAGATATCGTACTCCGTAGGTATGTAGGTATAGGTACGGCAGTTTTATAGTGGGCTTGCAAACAGATGGCCTAAGCTTTGAATTACCATGTTTCGACTCTGTGCTTGCTTTTGTATTCATATACAGTGAGTACTATGTCTTTATGTCACTTCCCCTCGGTGTTGTTAAACCGGTATACTAGGGGCTTAGTTAAAGTCATCTGTACGAAGTACAATATACACGATTGAATACCAAAAATATCGGAGTAGCTACTCCGTACCCCGTAGATTGTCTACGATTTATCACAACCCAAGTCGAAATGACTAAAAAATTTCAGTTCTAAAAAAAAACCCGGTGAAAAAAGGGGTATATAGGGTTGAACGTTAGGCGGGTACGGAGTAAACACTACCGGCTTCCCCTAAATCAAGTTATGACGATCTAAAGCAAGACCCATCGGAATCGATCGATCGTGGGATATCGGATCTGAGGAGTTCGTATACAAATGAACAGACTTGTATGTTGTACTCTGTGTACTCTGTACTCCGTACGAAGTAGTTGAGCAAAGAACTCGAGAGTCGAGAACTCCACCTGCAGGGCTATCACAAAGAACGTGAAAGATCGGCTGGTAGACTAGTGTTTCAATTTGCCCCTGAGAGTGAACAGAATATGTACTATGATGTATGGAGTACGGAGGGACGGAGTACAGAGTACTATTCGTACATTCATACGATATATGGAGTGCACTCTGGCGGAAAGGAATCCGACATCCGCTGTAAGCTTGAACTTGCTTTTTTCTCTTCACTTCATTTGAGTCGGATTTTACTCCATCCGCCTCTCCATAAACACCTCTAATTACCGGCCAAAATTGGTGTTCGTGTGTTCCCGCTAAGCAGACGGCTCACGGTCGATCACCTCGTCACACCAATAACCGGCTCGTGCGGAAATTAGAAGCTCCATCGCATGTCACAGTTCAAAGCCCAAATCCACTATCGTCATCTCCTGGACATAATTAGACCTTCGACTCCCTCGACGAAGCTCTGATTGGCGCATGATCGCTGGTGGATGCCCCTGGGAAATCACCAGAGCATACCTGTATTCCCGTCACTCGGGGATGGATCCTGTCAAAAAAAAAACTGCACGTGTGGATCACAGCCTAAAATGGGGCAGCTTTTGAGCTCTCAGCCTATAATGCAGTCTGGAAGTTTTTTGAGCAAGAAACATTGCCTGCAGGATAGACTCCTTCAGATACAGCTATTGACATAGGGCAGTGTTAGGCCGAAAAGAACCGACCACTCCTAAATGGACTCGGAATGGACTCGAAAGGGTATCCGAAATAGGACAGAAAAGAGCAATTGCCGACGCAAATTTTCGAACAAAGAAACCGGCAGTGCATCGTATATTCTTAAACTTTTAGCGTTGCTCATCTTATCATGGCGAGTCCCCCTGATTCACAAGATGTTGGATCTGCATCTTTGACTGCCTAGTGATACTTTGTACTTTTTGGGACTTTATCTTCTTTCTCTCGCCTTGCCTCTGATATGACACCTGGACCGTGTGGTCAATCATCGTGGATGCCATGACATCAAATTGCTCAATGATTTATGACCGCAGGTCTCGCTTTCTCAGTTATTAGCTTGAGACTATTCAATCTTATTCTCACTGTGTCGTTACCATTCATTTCCCAATTGCGCCTGTGTTGCGCTTGATATTTACCTCGAATCTTCAAAATGGTTGCATTGAAGAAACTATTCCAGACGGATAAGTCTCTTTCTCGTCCGGCAACCAGCCTTGGACTCGAGGGTTATGGTGTAGACCAACCCTACTGTCATCCGGTTGACTCGCCTACGCGAAGTCACTTTGGGGGGTTTCCCGTCCAGAGATTCGCAGTCACTGGATGTGGCGCATCATTTTGAACAGATCGAGAAGCAATTCGAAGATCTACATGATCGACTGGCACGGCCGACATCTTCTCAATCCCCACCGCGGCCTCTGAGCACTAATTTTGTGCCTCCCAAACCTTCAAATGGCCGACATATCGACTTGATGGATGCTCTGTTCGCTACGGAGCGCAATCAAACAATTACTCCAGAACCTCTTTCCCCTCCTGTCAGCCTGTATAACGAGGATGTTGCGGAACGAAACATGACCCGGTTTCTACGGATCCAATACCGGAATGGAATTGCCAGCTCGGGTATACTTTCGGCCCTATACCAGGAGGATGTGGCCGATAGAAACATTGCGAAATATAGCACCCCTGGCCGCTCTTTATCCCACTTAAGTTCTCGGTCATCACCAGCTGCGCCTGGCAGAGTACGGATCCCCGAAAGCCAACGGCGCAAAGCCAGGAAGCGGGATCCAGGGAGGCCGACTTGGGCGTCGGCCGAAAATCTACGGACAAACCTCTCCCCAGACGATGACTCGGGTACTGCATCTCCACGATCACAGTCCCATATTGGCAACCACCTTAGACTCCAGAGGTCTGCGCCGAGCCTGTCTGCAGACGAAGACTTTGTCCCACAAGAAGATGCACCACCAACTCCTGTCCAGCGTTTGGGGGTTCCTCCTGCATATAAACAGGGCAAAAGGTGGAGTAACACTCCTCTACCTGACAGTCCTACAATTCCCATCCCCATGGGCGATAATAACGCCGCTGCCGCGGCTCCTTCGGCACCACGTCAACCTGCTACAATAGCTCGCACCACAGAGAGCTCGCTCCCTCCGCCACAACTATCAGAGCCAGGCTTCAAGAAAAATGCGCGAGGACTCTCGATCAATACGCAATTAGCTGCAAAAGGACCCCCGAAAATTGGACACCGTGCCATCCAACCTCCAACACCCTCAACCTCCGAATTGCGACAGACCCCCAGCATTGCAGAAGTTATGAACAGTCCTTTACCGGTTCCCAGCCCAATCAGTCCCCACAAATCACCTTCACGCCTCAAAGCCTCGGACATGATGGACTTTTTCAGCAAGGCTTATAAGGCCGCCCAAGGTTCCGACCCGACCCACGAGACGTTACAAGACGCTATAGTCCGCGAGGTCAATTCCCACGAGGCATTCCGTCGAGTCCCACCGCCTGCCCCAGGGCCTCCATTCACACCCTCGCCAGAGCAAGATGAGTTCGGCAGCGGCTCCAGACCGGAAACTGCACTCCATCGAAGCGCCTCAGCGAAGAACCGGCTCGTGAGTAGGAACTCGTTCAAGCACAAGAGAACCCCCGAAAACCGCCGTAGCATTTCAACCAGCGTCGGCTACGACCGTCTTCTACGAAAAGTCTCCGGCTCTCCCGCTCGCCGTCGACATACCGACGCTCCAGCCCCGACCCCAGGTTTCCTTGCCGAATTCCAACATGACAAAGAGCCCATCATCACCCGCCCCGGATCAGGAGAGCCAATCACGTACCTGGACGTGCTGAACGCAAGTAGTGAACAACGACCCATCTCAACCGGCGGCTGCGCAAGCCCATCTGTAACTCGTCAACGAGGACGCTCAGAATCCATCGGAAACCCAAGCGGCACAGCCTCTGATGTGCCTGTTGTTCCCGGAACCGTCTACTGCATGCAAGCTCACTCCGCTCCTTCGAGCGATGACTCAAATGAAGATAGCGACGATGAGATCATCCATCTCCCTGACTTGAGCACGCCGCGTGTGCAGATCGAAGGCGTAGATGAGAATAACATCCGCTATGTCATCGATGCTGCGTCGGCGGATGAGGCGCAGAAGCTGATGTATTGGCCTCAGCAGATTCGCCGTGGTGGTGCATCCAATCTTTACGGAAATAGTCTGTCGCCCTTGTCTCGTGCTCGAATGCAGCTTCGTGGTTCACGCTCGGTCGAGACTTATTAAAATGGCTTTAACGTTCTTTTGGGATGATTCACCAGTCTAGGCAGGGATGTTCCTACTTTGCTGCATGATAACGATGCTCTCATGACCTTCTCTCTCTCTCTCCCCCTCTCTCTCTCCCGGCTTATTGCTTTCCCCAAAAAAGTCGTTCAATCGTTTCCAGCCTTCGTCTAGCCCTGTCGAAACAACATTCGATATGGCACCGGTCAATCCTTGTCACTGTCACAATCATACCTTCTTCTATCCATATGTCCAGTCTCAGATAACCCTAGTCAATCTCTCGCCTTGTCTTTTTCCTCTCGTCTTGTCCCAGCTCTTGCCAAACTGCAGATGTTTTCTTATTGTCTTAATACCGTGGTTGCATGGTTTGGCCGGTGTTCCTGTCATGTCAACCTTGTTATTATCTTATTACCGGTGTATATTAAAGCTCCAGCTATATGTATTAACATATCCTATTATTCACTCTGCAGGCGATCGTCTCGCTTCTCATGACACGAGTATATTTGGCTAATTTCAGTCTACACTAGTCGTACAGGTACTCTGATTCAAGCATACCATCATATTTCCTGCATGCTGTTTCTATCAGCTTACTATTGCTCGTTGAGTATAGCGTTTTGCCCTCGGAAACTCGAATCCGCCAGAATTGATAATGTTTTGCACTGTTCATACGCTGTTTATCAATAGCTCAATGCTAGGTTACGAGATAGTATAGAAAAGCTAAGCGGATATGCAGAATGAAACAAAACCCTAGAAAAGCAATAATGACATGTCTCATTTTCATAATATCATTGCCACCACCTGCCATTTCTCCCTAAACTCCATAATGACGAATCAACCTTTTGAAGGGACGCCTTGGAACCCACAGAAGAGAATGTCATGTAACTTGATGCTTCGACTTTGATTCACTATACACTAAAGAGTGTCGCAAAATAGAATGCCTTCAGTACTCGGTGTAGCGGGCACTGTTGCTTCAGATTGATGGTAGTTTTGGCGGCAGCAGATGAAAGACCTGATATGGATGCAACACAGTAGCTTAATAAGAGCCTAAATCGAGATAGTTAGTGTTTTGTCATGAACCATAGATGTGAAAAATCCAGGATAATCAGGTACTTACGGCCAAACATGCACCACTTCTCAGCAGTACGCTGGCACTTGGGGTTGCAGCATGGGGTGACACCCTTCTCAATACCCTCAGGCTGCTCGAAAGGAATGCACAGAGACTTAGCGCCCATGCTGGGAGCCTTGGCATCCTCAGCCTCGCCGGAGTCTTCCTCGGCCTTGCGGGCACTCATGTCCTTGATCTGGTCCTCGCACTCCTCAGTCAAGCAGTGGGGAATAACGCAGATGTTCTTGTTGTTCAGAGCGGGAACAAAGTCATCCCAGTTAGTAATCTGGATGCGGTGAGCCTTGAATTGAGCGTCAGCGCGGTTGTAAAGGTCAGACTGAATGGTCTCAAGGAGCGCAGGAACGCCAGTGGCCAGCTCGGAGATCGGGATGCTGCCCTTGCCATCCTTGCCGGGGATATCACGGCGGGCGGTGGTAACGAAGTGACCGGCAGACTCGCCAGGACCGAACTCAATGCGCAGAGGCACACCACGAAGCTCGTACTGGTTGAACTTCCAGCCGGGGGAGTAGCTGCTCTTGTCGCTGTCGGCACGGACGCCAGCGGCAACAAGGACGGCGACGAGACCGTCGACCTCAGCGTTGAGCTTCTCACGCTCCTCTTCGGTAGTCTTGGCGGTGAGACCGACTGGGACAATGATACACTGGACCTCAGCCACACGAGGAGGCAGGACCAGACCCTTATTGTCACTGTGGATCATGACCATGACACCCAGTGAACGGGTCGACAGACCCCAGGAGTTCTGCCAGACGTGAAGAGGGGGCTTCTTCTCGTCAACAGTGGCACTGGGATCCTCAACGGTGATGCCAAACATCTTACTGAAGTTCTGGCCCAATCCGTGAGATGTACCACCCTGGATACCACGGCCAGTGGCGGGGATGTAGCCTTCGACAGTGGTGGTGTAGTTACCGCCGGCGAACTTCTCCTTCTCGGTCTTCTGGCCCTTGACGACAGGCACGGCAAGAAGCTCCTGGTAAATCTTGGCATAGTAATCAAGAATGCTCAGGACTTCTTCGCGGGCAGCACCTTCAGTCAGGTGAGCGGTGTGACCTCTGCGCATTGTTAGTATGTCATGTTGAACAAAAATAAGTGCCAAAAACATACTCTTGCCAAAGGAACTCGCGTGAACGGAGCAGTGGTTGAGGGTGCTTGAATTCCCATCTCACTGTTAATGTTAGTAACATTCGACACTATGGAGGAATAACAAGAACCGCACCGACTGAGTTCCACTGGTTGAGACGAAGAGGGAGGTCACGGTGACTGCGAATCCACTTGGCGTAGTAGGGGTACATCACAGTCTCCGAAGTGGGACGAATGGCGATCTTCTTCTCGAGAGGGGTTGAGCCACTGGAAATATGTCAGTGTAGTTCAATTGAAGAATAAAAAGTCATAGAATGGCTAAGGGACAGCATACGCATGCGTAACCCAGGCGACTTCAGCGGCAAAGCCCTCAATATGGTCCTTCTCGCGCTGCAAAACATCCTCAGACACGAACAGAGGGAAAGAGCAGTTCTTGACACCCATGCCCTTGATGGCTTTGTTGAAGTACTCCTGAATCTCCTCCCAGATGAAGAACAGCGCAGGCTTGAGAATGAAGCAACCGGAGACATCATAGTAGTCCAGCAGATCACCCTTGGTGAGAACCTGCTGGTACCAGCCGGAGAAGTCCTCCTCCTTCGAAACATCAATACCGATCAAAGCGGCACCCTCAACCTTCTTCTTAGAAGCTTTCTTTGCCTCTGGTTTGCCAATTCCCTTCTCTCCCTTGTTTGAGGCCTTCTTATCAGCCTTATCGGCCTTCATTTTCGCGAGCTTCGCGGCCTTTTTGGCGGCATTCTTTGACTCCTTCTCCTCGGCGGGGGGTTTTGAGTGCGGTCAGGCAAGGTCTGGGGGGCAGCGCCCTCGAAGGCGGGGGCGTCGCTGGGGTTCTGGCTAGCCATGGTGAAGAAGCGACTGTCTGACTAGACAATGAGGAAACCCGAATCAAAGTTAGGATTGCAAGAAAGCGAAATCGGGGTATGACTCCCCTCCGTAAAGTGGGATGCGATATCGAAAATTACTAGCACACCGCCTCGGCAGAACTTTTAGTGCCCACAGCAACCCCCCGAAGCCAGACAGCTCTGCCATCGCACTCCAATAGCTCATATTACATCGTCTGTTTTAAATATGGCAGGCCTTTTTGAAGCACCGCGGAATGCGGACACACTGTGTGGGTTTTATCTGAGCGATCGTCGTTTTTCGTTGCAGTAAACTGACCAGTCTCGCACAGTCTTGGGTGGGCAGAAAATCACCGGTGCTGATGTCCGTGAGCAGAATGGTATGTTGAAATATTGATGATTTTGTTGTTTTTAATGGCCAATAATTGATCCCCTGCAGTTCTGGCAACACAGGCGATCGCCAATGTCATCAAATCTTCCTTCGGTCCGTCCGGTTTGGACAAGATGATGGTGGACGACATAGGGGTATGGAAAGATAACCCCTGTAGAGCTTTGCTGCAGCTTCTGACATCTAGCAGGATGTGACCGTGACGAACGATGGAGCTACTATTCTATCTCTTCTTGATATTGAGCACCCTGCGGGCAAGATTCTTGTTGATCTGGCCCAACAACAGGACAAGGAGGTACGTGCCTCTATATCACACATATCTCGAACACGCACGCTGATAATATCAATTTCAACAGGTCGGAGATGGTACTACCTCAGTTGTTTTGATCGCCGCTGAGCTTCTCCGGAGAGGCAACGAGTTGATGAAGAACCGTATACACCCTACCACGATCATCAACGGATACCGAATTGCCCTGCGCGAAGCCGTCAAGTATATGAATGAAAATGTTACGACTAAGGTGGATAATATCGGAAAGGAGAGTTTGGTCAACATTGCGAAAACTTCAATGTCCAGCAAGATCATCGGTTCCGATTCCGATTTCTTTGCAAACATGTGTGTGGATGCAATGCTGCAGGTAAAGTCTGTAAACCAGAGAGGCGAGGTCAAATACCCAGTCAAGGCCGTGAACTTGCTTAAGGCCCACGGAAAGAGTGGCACCGAGTCCGTACTTGTGGACGGTTACGCGCTGAACTGCACTGTTGCTTCCCAGGCCATGACAACCCACGTGGCCGATGCCAAGATTGCCATTCTCGACATGAACTTGCAGAAGGAGCGGATGAAGCTTGGCGTTCAGATTACAGTGGAAGACCCCGATCAATTGGAGAAGATCCGTCAGCGCGAGTCTGGCATTGTTATGGAGCGTGTTGAAATGATCCTGAAGTCTGGTGCTAATGTCATCCTCACGACTAAGGGCATTGATGATATGGTTCTCAAGCTCTTTGTTGAGAAGGGAGCCATGGCTGTGCGTCGCTGCAAGAAGGAGGACCTGCGCCGCATTGCTAGGGCCACTGGTGCTACCATGGTCAGCACCCTCTCTGACCTCAACGGAGATGAGAAGTTCGAGGCATCAAACCTTGGACACGCCGAGTCTGTTTCGCAAGAGCGTATCTCGGACGACGAGTGTATCCTGATCAAGGGTACCAAGATTCACACTGCGGCTTCCATCATTCTCCGTGGTGCCAACGAGTACAGCTTGGATGAGATGGAGCGGTCTGTCCACGACTCTCTCTGTGCCATCAAGCGCACTTTGGAGAGCGGAAGCATTGTTCCCGGCGGTGGAGCCGTGGAAACCGCACTTCACATCTACCTCGAGGAATTCGCCGTCACAGTGGTAAGTAACATAGTTCACCGTTCCTTTCTCTATTTCGGTCTCTAACGTTTATATTAAAGGGCTCCCGTGAGCAATTGGCTATTGGCGAGTTCGCACAGTCTCTCCTTGTGATCCCTCAGACTCTGGCAGTCAACGCAGCGAAGGATTCATCTGAGCTCGTTGCACAGCTTCGTGTCCGCCACGCCCTGTCACAGCGTGTGCAGGACGGTGATGCTAACGAGGAGGAGAAGGCCATCGCCAAGAAGAAGACTTACCGCAACTATGGTTTGGATCTGACAAAGGGACGGGTTCACGACAGTCTGAAGGCTGGTGTGCTGGAGCCCAGCATGAGCAAGATCAAGCAACTCAAGAGTGCTGTGGAGGCTTGCATATCCATCATGCGCATTGACACGATCATCAAGCTGGACCCCGAGCAGCCGCAGGATGACGGCCATGGCCACTAAGCCTAAGCTCATTTTGACTACCCCAATCCCCAAAAAGGCAGTAATATGATGTGACATAGATGATCAGCGGTAGTAAATTCTCATTTATACTGCGACTGCATATGAATGATTTTCTCTTGCAAGTAGATACATGAAACCCGTAGCCCTAAACAGTCCATTTTACTGGGTCTATATCCGCTACTGGCGCTTGGCAGCCATCAACTTCCGATATTCCTCAACAATATTCCTCCGCTCACCAGCCAACTCCTCACGGCGTCTCAAACTTCCAACCGCAGCAGGGATATTGGCAACATCAACCTTAGCTCCGCCGCGCACCTTAAAGATCTCCCTGGGTTTAACCAATTGAGGCGGCGCCTGAGCAACCTCCAATGGATTCTTCTTCCGTTCCTGGTCACGCTTCTTCAGCTTCGCCCAAGGATCAGGATCATCGTCCCCGCTGTCATAACCCCCATTAGCATTTGATCCCTTCTTCTTGTTTTTCTTCGCAGCCTTCTTCTTCCCTCCAGCAGCCTCAATCTCCCATTCCTTCCACTGGCGCAACTCATCCTCCATCTCAAACTCCCGCTCTTCTCGCTCCTCCTGCTCTTTCTCCCGAATCTTCGCATCATCCTCACGCCACCCCTTCTGCAGTCGCAGCAGATGCTTCTCATGCTTCGTCCGCTTGTGCTGCTCCTTGTTCTTGGCATCGCCAGACTTGACACTCTTGGTCATCTGCGACAATGGCATTTCGCGGTCAACGCGCGCCACAAACTCAGCCAGACGCTCGCCAGGCATGATCTTGGGCGTTTCGGCCTTCTCCTTAGCAGCGGCTTTAGTTTTTTGCGTCTCCGCTGCCGGTGCGGACTTCTTTGATGACGTTGTTTCGTCGTCTGTGGCATTGCGCTTGCGCTTCCGCTCGCCAGTCTCTAGTCCTGAGGGAGCTCGTCGACCTGTCTGCTGGTATAGCATTAGGCGGCGGAACGCTTTCGGGGTGTCGTCTTCGGTGACATTCTTGAGGCGGTGGGTGGGTGCTTTATTGGCGCTCTGGTTTTGGTCTTTCTTGTTCGCGAGTTTTTTGCCGTTCTTGCCTAGCTTGGGCTTGGCTGTATCGCGGACTGGAAGTGCTTTTGCGATCTCTGAGGGTGGGAGATTGAAGTGCCTGACGGGAGGGGAATGTTAGTTGGGGATATATATAGGGTTCGCAGACTTGTATCGCTCACTCTGAATCGGCTTCGCCGCGTCTCTTGTGTTTGTGAGGCATTTTGGGTGGTTTTGTAGTGGAAGATTAAAGGATTGGAGTTGTCGGTGGAACTTTTTTTCATCGAGGTCGGTCTTATCTTTCTTATCGGTCTATATGGCCCGGGGCGACCCCAACATACACATGTGGACATCTTTAGTTCACCCTGCCTTTGGAAGCGTTAATCTACTAAGCCATAAACAAGGAAGACGTATTGCAATAATCGGACTCTTGATGGATGAAGAAAATATTTGTTTCAGTTAGACAATACAAATAAGCCCGAGATAAAGGGTATGCTACGCTAATTAATATGCCCTCCCAAACGCCAGTATAATGCCCACAGGTAGAAAAAACAAAAAAAAAAAAAAAGAAACATCCAGACACCTCGGATATGCAAAATGATAAAAATCACAGGAGACGCGGGGGAATCATTCATCTTCGTCGTCAATTGAGTCTTTCATATCAGCCCAGCCGCACATCCAGCGCTTGCCCTCGGTTTCACCACCGTTTCGAAGCTCGCGAGCCTCGGGTCCCTCACGCCAGCATCGAGCAGAGTAGTCGTCGCTCACGGTTATCAGATCGCCAGATGGCGTCCAAGACAGGCCAGTGACCTCTTTTTGATGACCTTCAATAAGAGGGGTGCCTGAATGGTGGATTGGAATAGTATCTTCGAGACGGCCGGTCAAGCCGATTCCAGAGTTGGTGCGACGAACTCCGGGGCGGGTATTGAAAAGAGAGCTCCTGCTAGGCAGAGACTCGGCTGGTTTTTTCACGGGAGAATTGAGGTATCGTTCATCGGTAGGGAAAAGAATGGGGCAGTGGTCGCTGCTCCCAGTGGCCAGCATCTCCGGATGATCCTGAGTTGCTTTGCGGACAGCCAGTTTCACATAGAATGATGAAATTTGGAGACGAGGGTGGCGGAAGCCATAGAGAGGTCCAAGGCCGTCCTTATCAGAGCCACCAGTCCTTCGTGGACGGTTGTTGTTCAGTGAAAGTTCAGGCGCATGCCCGAGAATCAAGTGTGATGTCGAGTACGCGTAAACAGTGTTGTCTCGGCAAAGTGTGTACAAACGTGAGCCATCTCCTCCAAAGGCCATGGAAGTCAGGCCAAAGCGTCGATATTTCACATGGCTTTCTGGCTCTTGTGTTGTAGACAGAGGGATGACGGGTCGACCACGACGATTGTTGTGCGCTGTTCGCAAGTCCCAAAGTCTGACACTTGCGCTAGCCTCCGAAGCCGTAACAAAGAGATTTTCGCGGCCAGGCGAGAGAAAAGCGAGGGAAGTAACAGTGATGTCGGTCCGGCCAAATGGTGGGGCATCATTTTTGTCCACGGTTGGTTTATGAGAGGTTGTGTATGCATGGGCACCTTCAATGGTATTCAGAACGTGTGGGTATAGCATTTTTGGGGGCGCGGTGGTGGTAGTGCTTTCCGTTTCAGATTCTAGGGAGCATTGGACTTGCAACGCGGGTCGTTCAAACCCTTTGCAGCGAAGATCCCAAATATTGACATTTCCATCCCTACTGCACGTGGCAAGCACTTTGTTGTTAGACGCAGGTTGGAATTGGACACGCTTAACGGAGGAAGAATGGTTCGATAAGCAATGGATGGGTCGTTGTGTTGTCATGTCAATAATAAGAGAGGTTTGATCGCCAGATGCGGTAGCCAGTAGCATGTCGTCTGATGAGAATTCGAGGTCCATGATTGAGTTCATGTGCGGGCGGAACCCAAGATATGCGTTGGTGAACCCGGCTTCTTCATCAATCGATGAATCCAAGAGTCGAATTCCACCCTCTTCGTCGCCCACCGCAACAAGAGAATTTGCTTCCCAATTGTCAGCATGTATAAAGAACAGCCAAGTGAAACATGACTTACTGTTGCATGAAGCATTACAGAATGGAAGGGCCAATGAGCCCTCCGATGCGTAGCTCTGACAGATGTGATGGTCCCCCGGTTGCGAGTGAAAGTTGGAGGTAAGATCTTGCCAGCCTAGAGCGGAGGTTAGAGGTGTACAAGAATGCCAGGGGGTGGAAACCAACCAACACCAGAGTTAGCTCGTATGGTTACTTTATTTGCCCGAGCCCCCATCACAGTTCGCATAAACAAAGCACCAGATGATTGCAATGCCTTAGAGCGGCGCACAGGGGCCACCGGAGGGTTTCGCTTGGGTGAACTCGGCGGTGCTAGTGCATCAAGATGGATGTCGATGTCAGGAATTTTGATATCTTGTTCCACATCCTGCGTCGGTGACCGGACACGAACTCTCTTCAGAGGTGAGGACTGCGGAGAAACAACTGAAGAGAATGAGTTCTTTCGTTTCCTGCTCGGGGTTCGAATAAAGTCTTCCGGCAAGCCATCGTGAGGACTTCTGGTGCTACCAGCCTTGGAGGTTCTCGAAAAAGCCGGCCCCAGACGATTCACCGCGGGCGATGTTAGTGCCCGTAAGGCCTGGCGACTAGTTGAGGGCGTGATCGACGTATCCCCCGTTGGCAATAGAGAACGCGGGGTAAAGAATCGACGGAACGACCGGGGTGTTACAGTTGGTGGTTTTCGAGGTCTGGGACCATCCGAAGCAATAGACGGCGGGGATGAGGGTGGCTCTGGAGGAAGGACAGGCTCTGATCGGGCTACCTCCGGGAGACTGAGGGTGTCCATTGTGTGTTCAAAAAAAAAAAAAAAAAGCAGAAAGAAAACAAAGAGGGCTATGAATGCATCTGGTGGCTGGAAGGCTAAGGGGGGAGAGATGAATCGGGGAAGTTGGATCTTTTTTCGTGTCGCGACGTGACGCGATCGTGTCAAAGCATTTAAGGCATTTCAACGCACATTATAACTCCTGCCAACTCAACTCGTGATCTTTTGGAAGGGTTCGAATAAACCCCTGAGCTATTCATTCCCTTGTTTTCATCTCAAAAGTCATGGAATCATCAGACATCTGGACTGACGACTTTGATGTCAACACTCAATTTCAGATCTTCAATGGCCCAGTGCATTCCCCTCGACATTCCCTACAACCCAACTGCAGCTATCTATCATTTTACTCCTGATCGAGAGCTGAAGTCCTACTGTGAAGACCAAAACTTGTTAGTCAACGGAAAGCCCGGCCCCAACAGTCGCTCGCAGACTTCTACCATTTGAGAGACCAAACGTGGTGGATCCAAGTAACTTGAAGGGTGCAATTTCTTCTTTTCTCCATGCCGGATCAGAGCAAATCAAAACAAAACGCGAACCACGAAAAGAATTCCAAGACTTTGTTCAATCAATTTTAATTCCTTGGCTTCTAGATGACACTGTGACTGGAGTGATCTTGAACGAAGACGCGAACACCTTTCATTATATCAACAGACATCGCGAACTAGAAGACACAAATCGCTTTGCAAAGCTCGAAAACTTGCGGTGCCATATTCGGGAGAACCATTGAGGGTGTATTATCCGCCGTGTCGCCAATTTCAGTCTTTCGACGCTGGTCCCTTCCCAGGAATCCTGAAGTGGGTGGCGAGTCATTGAACCCATAAGACACTAACATCCAGTGGACTCTGTTTGAGAAAAATCTCAGTTGCAGAGGCCTGTATTGCTTGGACCGGATTGTTTCTTTCAACAACGTCGGCTTGGAAGTACCTATCTATATCTAGCTCTTAACTTGGATGTTCTTCAAGTGCCTACTGATAAATAAGTACATACGTATGTTCTTGACTATGTTTTTTTCTTCTTTCAACTGGGATTTGAACCAGATCTACTTCTTTTGAAAGTACAACAACGCTAAAGCACCACATACAGAACAGATAAATGCTGTGGAAATGGAACCAATCGTTAGAAACCCTGACAATGGCGCGATACTGATGAAAAGAAGTAGACTTACCGAGAGTCACGTTCATGTAGTAATATCCCACCGTTTGTGTGAGAGAACCTGCAAGTATTGGCCCGATGAACATGCTGAATGTCCAACTCATATTGGTGAGGGAATAAGCCCGAGAGAATCCACCATTAGGCCCGAATATAGCAGGCTGTGTTTCCTGTAACTCTATCATTACACCTGGCAGACACGTCAGACAAGTCATTCACATTAAAAGAAGTCCCTTTGTATGCGAAGAAGAGGCAGAATTGCCTATACCAACTTACCGGTCATCTCCATCACTCCGCAGCCCGTGATTAGTGTCCTGGCCAACCCTAATCCAAGCATCGAGGCCATATAGACGGCTTGGCCTCTCTCACCGGAGCCAATAGATGATAAGCCATCCGGGCCTGACGTGCCCAGAAGCCAAAGCAACAACGCCGTAGCTAGTAGCCCAGCCCCAGACGGGACCTTTGTGCCCATTCGGTCTTTCATCCACCCGGTAAGTGGAGAGAGGAAGAGAGTGGGTAACTGCAGTAGCAAGAACATTAAGCTTACTCGGGAAGTGTCCCAACCGAAGACTCGCGTGACATGCAGTGGCAAAGTGGTGTCGATAGCAACCAATGAAAGGCCATTGGTAGCATGGCAGGCCATGGCAGTAAGGGCCCGGGGGTGACTAAGAACGACCTTGTAGAAGTTTTGAGCTGGCGATTGGGAGGGGCATGAGAGTAGTGATTCGTCCCGTTTTGTATGGTATCCTTGCTCACGGTCGTCATTTGCAGATGAAGGAATAAGACAGGAAGTCTCATCTGGTGTGATAATCTCCGGCACTGAGTCCTCCACATCTTCGACTCCTTTCATAGGGCTTTCGATCATGATCAGCCGCATAATCATATCAGCGACCAGAATGGCGATTGCTGTCAGCCATGTTGGCCAGTATCCGATCAGATCAATCAGTGTCCCGGAGACCATAGGACCAACCAACAACCCGGAAATGAAGAACGCAGATATTGCAGATATGACTCGAGCCCTGTTCTCAGATCCCACGGTGTCGGCAATCGTTGCAAAGCCAACAATCCATACTGCATTGCCGAAGATACCCTGAATGACACGTCCGAGAAATAGCACCGGTACTGTCGGGAGTGCAGATAGATTAGTTGTGTTTGACGCCACAGTATCAAGAAATACGATGTCATACATGATGGTGCAGCCGCAATAATAATCGTTCCCAAAATCTCTCCTCCCAATGAGAGCAATAACGGCACCTTTCGCGAGGAAATCTTGTCAGCCAAGCTACCGATGAATGGCCCCGATATAAAGCACACAAAGGCGTGAGTCGAAAGTAGTGCTGATGTAGTTGTTTGTGTTTTTGCTGGGTCGAGCTGAAGGCGATCCTCGAGTATAAACTGCAGGATGGGGATGATGAAGCTGTATAAGAAGTTTTCTGGCAGATATTGATACTATTAGCACGTGTGGCTACTATATGGCAAGTACCAGACAAACCCGAGAACAGAGCTATTGTAACGCAAGTGAGGATAAATAATTTCGAGGAGCGCCATTGATATCCCGGAGGCTTTTGTCCACCATGATGCATTTTGTGTATTAAGAAGACAAATGCAATGCTTCAATAATTATCTTCCCGTCCTGGATAATTGCAAAAGAGAATAGAGGAAGCTGGCAAAAGCGAGAAAAAAATTCGAGTCCATGGGCAAGGGAAATATTAGAACAGGCTTAATTTACTACTTCTGGGTTACACCTGGAGACTTGCTTTATTCAAGGCCAGTAAGAAGTAGGGTGAGCAAGGCAAGGGACTGCATGGTATACCAATCAAATTGGTATTGGCGCGAACACATGTTCACATTGGTACAGATTGCCTTGTAAATGTCAGAATCGGGACATGATCGTCGATGAATTACCTATATGTAGTAGTCCGATCTATGTAGATCTACTGATGCTCTCCATGTGAGACTAGCGAGAATACGATCTTTGCCCCGTTCCATTGCTGTTATAATCAAGATATATTGAAAGTAGTTAGGCTGTACGGAGTACAGTATACTGTATTGTAGACCAATGTATTCCATAGTTGTAGACAAAATTTTTCCATGTATAATCCTTGATTTATACATGCAGAGGCCTGCAATAATTTGGCACTAGTGCTATGTGACAAGTGATATCCGGTAGAAAAGAGGCGATCGATATGCACGGCCTTCAGCTCCTCAGCTTCGGCTTTTGTTTTACTGCTTTTTCAGGATTTGTTACATCTCTAATTTTGCACATACCTAGAGGAAGGTTTTGAACTTATCCAGAAGGGTTGGCATGACCTGAGTCGGCTAACATTGACCGAGAACCCTATATATATCGTTCATAAGCAGATCACGCCGCGCAAAGCGCGGTGATATTCTTTTCTTATCGGGCCTAGGTAATCTAAGTTGCCCTACAGATTACTCAATATTGTAGTCAAAAAAAAAATTTTTATGGCTTTCTCAATATATGCTCGATCTTCGCCTTGAAATCTCTTAAGCTTCCTCACTTTAGAGTGCTGAGACCGGCTTATAGGACTATACTGTACGGAGTAGACTATACTGTACGGAGTATAGGAAAAATAGAGTCGGGGTTATTATATATATTTCACTTCTTCATTTACAGGATTGTTTATTGCTTACTAAATATTGACTTTGTAAGTACCTTTACACATTAAGGAGGACTCGGAGGCTGGATAGATCTATTGTTGTAGCGTATACCAATTAGGAACAAAGAGAAAACAGAGTGCCTCATCCTATAGCTAGGGAGACACGGAGTAGTAAGAAATGGTTTCAGCATCAAGAACACTATACCCTTTCTCTATTGTTCTACTTGCCTAAACAATAGGAACTGGCCTGACAACTACTCGTCTTGGCCCGCCGTACAAGATACCACATCCAATCAAGTATAAATAACTTCATGATTGGCGGATTCTCTTTTTGTAGATTATATAATTCACAATATAACCAAGGTTTCCTTGGAGACCTCGCGAACTCAGCCATCCAGCCAGTGCACACTGCATCTTGACCCTTTGTTTCTTGTGTTATGGTATGCCTCTCTTGTCTCTCTCATATATGAAGTGATTTAATCTCTTTACCATCTTGCTTGGATTAATTGGATCGAACATATACTCTTTTCCGTCTGGCATCGGTATCCAAATTATCAAGGGATATGAAACAAGCGGAATGGCAGCATTGATTCCCAGTACTCAAAAAAACCATCATTAAATTTCCTGTTACCACAGAAGCCGAGGAAGGCGGGGGATGCAACTGAGAGAAGTCGATATATCAAATCTTCCAGTCATCATCTTACAAACGTTCAAGTTCCCTATTATAGTACAAAGGTCATACTAAGGAAGGCATCCTATTGAAATTTGCCGCACTTGGCCCTGTGCGACTCTATCTTCAAGGACTGCCATCCCGTCTTCCAGAGGACATCCTTCTTTGTTGGGCTACAAAGGCTGCCGAGGCCTTACATTTTGCTCATCTGAACGGCGTTTCTCATGGCGATATGAACTGCCCCAATTTTTTCACCACCAAGGACTTGAGTCTAAGAGTCTAGAGTTTGATAATTTTACTAACTCCTTCACCCACACATCGCTGCCAAGACTTGACCTACAAGAAGATACTCAAAATTTTGGTTCGGTTATCTACGAGATGGCAACAAGGGTTTTAGCTTTCCTGTGCTTTTCCTAGTAAGAATCTTGAGGTCTTTCTGCTCGAGTATTAGACCATGTGTAGGTTAATACATCTTTGACTTATCTTCTTGATCACCACGGCGAAGCTATATCATAAAGGCAGGGTATCCTGTGCTAGCACTGGCCCATTGTCCGGGTTGCTTAAAAGATAGCATGGCCGTGAGAACACGTATCCGAGTTGGTCATCCTATATGTGACGCCGTGGGTCGATTTCAAACACAGGTTGAATTATACCCCGATAGTGTGGTTCAGATCAGTACAATTTTTAGCAGTAGCTTCTTTTGCTTTTTATTTTGATACTGCCGTTTTTGCCCCAATTTATCCAGCAAATATAGATCATTTGAAGAAGTATGATGGAAGATAGAAGCTCTATATCAGCCATCAGCCTAATACTGAGACGTACACAACCTTGTTGACGCATACATATTCTGGTAGGGCTTTGATAAATTACCTCGCTCACTTCAATCCTTCCTAAACAGTCAACAATGAAATGGAGAAGTTGATACCCCATTTTAACTACTAAAGTAGATAGATAACCACGGATCGCGCCAGGTTTTTAGGGCATTTGTTTGTCCTTGGAATTCAGGCACCACATTGCTGACTCACGACCCCATGTACTTACACCGCCTAGAATGTTCTGCCGTATCCGCGGAATTTTTTTTATCTTTTCTTTCGAGGAATTAGACCGCAATCTGCAACTGCACGATTCGGTTTTGCCAGTCTAAGAATGGCGCCAATCAAGCGCAAGGGGAATGCCCCCGAAGAAAACACTTCCCGCCAGCCCCAAAAACGTGCTAAAGTTGGAGCGGAAGAGGTCAAGAAAGACCATAAATCAAACGATGCCACATCCACCGCTGGGAAGGCTTCAGAACTATCTGTCCTGCGCGATGACGAACCCTCGTTCCCTCGTGGTGGCGCAAGTGTTCTGACACCATTGGAGCGCAAGCAAATTCAGATCCAAGCCAACAAAGATGTTTTGTTCGAGCAGAAAGCATCTGGAAACCAGAAACCCTCCAAACAGGCACCTTCCAAAGAATTTGCCGAGGAGAGCGATAACGATGTTGAGATGGAAGACGAAGAAACTACTACAACAACCAAGAAATCGCGCAAGAAGAAGTCAAAGGGCAAGAAGTCCGCGGACAAGGGAACTGATGACAAACAAAACGTTCGCATCGAGGGCCTTAGCTTCAAGGTACGTGCTAGAAACCTCCTTCATATCGTATTCACTAACAATTGCAGCGCATTGTACCCGGTGCCATGATTTTGGGTCAAGTTTCGAGTATCAACGCCCACGACATCGCCCTTTCGCTGCCCAATAACCTTACCGGCTACGTCCCCCTCACATCCGTTTCAAAGGGCCTCGAAGACAGACTCGAGAAGATGTTGAACGACGAAGGTGAAGAGGATGATGCAGAGGACAGCTCAGATGAAGAGTCTTTTGATCTGAAGGATCATTTCTATTTGGGTCAATATCTGCGGGCATACGTCGTGTCTACCGGCAGCAACCCCGATGATCCGAAGGCAAAGAGCAAAAAGCGAATTGAGCTTTCCGTTGACCCTAGACAAACAAACACGGGATTCTCGAAGTCCGATCTTGTCGTGAACTCGGCTGTCCAAGCGTCCGTTGTCAGTGTGGAAGATAACGGTGTGGTCATGGACCTTGGCATTGAAGGCTCAGAGCTGAAGGGCTTCATGTCTTCCAAGGAGACCGACCCCAAGGTGGATTATTCTAGCATCAAGGAGGGCTCTGTTTTCCTTTGCATGGTCACTGGTCAGAACCCCGGTGGCAATGTCATCAAGCTGTCCTCCAACTTCCAAACGTCTGCCTCGATCAAAAAGTCCAACTACCTCAGCTCGGCCCCTACAATCAACACTTTCCTCCCCGGTACCGCCGCAGAAATTCTTCTCACCGAAGTCGAGTCGAACGGAATGATTGGAAAGATTATGGGAATGCTCGACGCAACCGTCGATCTGGTCCAGTCTAGCATCAACGGTAAGATCGACCTGGAAAACAAATTCAAGATTGGCGCAAAGATTAAGGGCCGTATTATCTCGACTTTCCCGGCTGCTGATCCGCCAAAGGTCAGCTTTTCCATGCTTGACCATGTGCTTAAGCTCTCTTCTGATGCCCGCGGTCCCGGTTCTTCTGATGATGCCCCTGCTATTTCTGCCATCATTCCCGAGGCCAAGGTCGTGAAGGTTGATCATGGTCTGGGTGTCTATGCTCGCATTGGAGAGACAAAACATATGGGCTTCGTTCACATGTCGAGACTCTCTGATGGTAAGGTCGAAACGATTGACGAGAGTTCTGGAGCTTTCCAGCTAGATGCTGTCCACGAGGCAAGAGTCATTGGATACAACTCGATCGATAATCTCTACATTCTCTCATTTGAGAAGAGCATTATCGAGCAGCCCTTCCTTCGCATCGAAGATGTGAATGTGGGTGCTATTGTGAAAGGAAAGGTTGAGAAGCTTATGATCGGTCCCGAGGGTATGACCGGACTGATCGTCAACCTGGCCGACGGAATAAGCGGTCTTGTTCCCTCCATGCACTTTGCGGATACCATGCTTCAGTTCCCAGAGAAGAAGTTCCGTGAGGGCCAGAAGCTCTCGTTGAGAATCCTCTCTGTCAACATCGAAAAACGCCAAATTCGCTTGACCCTGAAGAAGAGCTTGCTCAACAGCGAGTCTGCTATCTGGAAGGACTATAAAGATATCACTCCCTCGGCCCAGTCTCCTGGTACCATTGTCAGCCTCCAGAGCCACGGTGCCGTTGTGCAGTTCTACGGTGAGGTCCGTGGTTTCCTTCCTGTCTCCGAAATGAGTGAAGCCTACATCCAGGATCCGGCCCAACACTTCAGACTCGGCCAGGTCGTTAATGTTCATGCTTTGAGCGTGGATGCATCTCTTGGAAGACTTGCTGTTTCCTGCAAGGACCCCTCGACATTTACCGAGAAGTACCGCGAGGCCTTTGAAAACCTTCATCCCGGCCACCTTGTTTCTGGAACTGTCTTCGAGAAGTCCAATGATGATGTGCTTCTTAAGCTTGACGAGTCGGGCCTCGTCGCTCGCCTCGACGCTCAGCAGCTGATCGACGGCCCCCCCATCTAAGCAAAGCTCGATGCTGTCCAAGCTCCGCGTCGGTCAGAAGCTGAACGATCTTTTGGTCCTCAACATCCAGCGCGCTCACCGTCTTATCAAGGTTTCCAGCAGGGCCAGCTTGAAGAAAGCTGCTAAGCAGAAGAACATCCCCGGCCAGTTCGAGGATGTCCAAGAGGGCTCCCTTGTCACCGGATTCATCCGCAACATCACACCCGACGGTGTCTTTGTTGAGTTCCTTGGCGGCCTCACTGGCTTGCTCCCCAAGCGTCTCATGGAGGATGCCAACCTCGAGCAGCCTCACTACGGGCTGTCAAAGGCGCAAACGATTGTTGTCAATGTGCAGTCTGTGGATCAGGATTTCAAACGTTTCATTCTGAGTATGAAGCCTGTCCAGGCTACCCAAGCTGCTCCCAAGAAAGCGGCCAAGCAGACCGATGAGACTGTCGCCAACCCTGTCGATAACAACATCAAGAGCATGTCCGACTTCACTTTCGGCAGAATCGTTGAGTGTAAGGTCGTCTCTATCAAGGCAACTCAGGTCAACGTCCAGCTCGCGGATAACGTTCAGGGTCGCATTGATGTGTCCGAGGTATTCGACGACTGGAAAGACATTAAGGATCGCAAGCAGCCCTTGCGATTCTTCAAAGCCAAGCAAACTCTTTCCGCCAGAATCCTTGGTGTTCACGATGCCCGTAACCACAAGTTCCTCCCCATCAGCCACCGCACTGGAAAATACCCTGTCTTTGAGCTCTCTATCAAGCCAAGCTACCTCAAGGCCGCCAACCCTGCCCCTCTTAACATGGAGCAGGTTCAAGTCGGCTCTTCTTGGGTTGGTTTCGTCAACAATGTCGCCGATGACTGCCTCTGGGTCAACCTGTCTCCCAATGTGCGCGGCAGACTGCGCTTCATGGATGCATCGGACGATCTGTCCTTGTTGACTGATATCGAGAAGAACTTCCCCATCGGCTCTGCTTTGAAGGTTCAGGTCACCGCTGTCGATGCCGAGAAGGGCCACCTCAACCTCTCTGCTAAGCAAGGATACGACAAGCTCACATTTGGAGATATCTCCGTTGGCATGATATTGCCCGGCCGCGTTACCAAGGTTACTGAGCGCCAGCTCGTTATGCAGCTTGGTGAGTCACTTGTCGGCGCAGTCAACCTGATTGACCTTGCAGATGACTACTCAAAGGCCAACCCTACCGTCCACCACAAGAACGAAGTTCTCCGAGCATGTGTCATTGCCGTTGACAAGTCCAACAAGAAGATTGCCTTGTCGCTACGTCCTTCCAAGGTCATGAGCTCCTCTCTCCCCGTGCAGGATCGTGAGATCTCTTCGCTCAAGGATGTCAAGCCCAACGACATCATTCGTGGATTCGTCCGACGAGTCACCGATTCCGGTCTCTTCGTGGCAGTCAGCCACGATATCACTGCTTACGTTCGCGTGTCTGACCTTTCCGATTCTTATCTCAAGGAATGGAAGGATTCCTTCCAGCCAGACCAGCTTGTCAAGGGCAAGGTCACATTCGTTGACGCTGAGCAAGGCAAGTTGCAGATGAGTTTGAAGGAGTCTGTTCTAGACCCCAACTTCAAGGCTCCCATCACTCTTAAGGATCTTAAGGTTGGTCAGATTGTCACCGGCAAGGTCCGCAAGGTCGAGGAGTTCGGTGCTTTCATCGTCATTGACGGGTCTTCAAACATCAGCGGTCTCTGCCACCGAAGTGAGATGGCCGAGAAGCGCGTCGAGGATGCTCGCAAACTGTACGAGGAAGGCGATGTTGTTAAGGCCAAGGTCATCAAGATTGACCTTGAGTCGAAGAAGATCTCGTTCTCACTCAAGGCTTCCCACTTCCAGGATGAAGAGGAAGACAGCGAGGATGAGGACAGCATGAGCATCGACGGTGTCGCCGGTGTCCAACTTGGCGAGGACAGCGAGGATGAGGATGACGATGATGAGTCCATGGGAGGTGTTGATGTGGAGGAAGATAGCGAGGAGGACGACGAAGAGGAGGATGAAGAATCTGAGGAAGACGAGGAAGACGAGGAAGATGTCCCGGTGCAGAAGCCCAGCAAGGTCGGAGGTCTCGGTGCGAGCGGCTTCGATTGGAGCGGTACCGCCAAGACCGATGCCGCCGCGGACTCCGACAGCGAAGATGAGGGCTCCAAAAAGAAGAAGAAGAAGAACCGCAAGGCCGAGATCCAGGTCGACCGGACCGGTGACTTGGACGCCAATGGCCCACAGTCCGTTGCCGACTTCGAGCGACTCCTTCTCGGTGAGCCCGACTCTTCGCTGCTGTGGCTGCAGTACATGGCCTTCCAGCTGGAGCTGGGTGAGGTCGAGAAGGCTCGCGCCACTGCTGAACGTGCTTTGCGCACTATCACCATGGGCCAGGATGCCGAGAAGTTGAACATCTGGGTTGCGCTGCTGAACATGGAGAACACCTACGGTGATGACGACAGTCTCGAGGAGGTCTTCACACGTGCCTGCCAATACAACGAGCCCCAAGAGATCTACGAGCGGATGATCAGTATCTACATCCAATCTGGCAAGAACCAGGTATGTGTAATCTATTTCGAATCTGACTCTCCACGGATGCTAACAATTTCACAGAAAGCAAGTGATCTCTTCTACGCTGCTCTCAAGAAGAAGATTTCTTCCCAGTCCCCCAAATTCTTCTACAACTACGCCAGCTTCCTCTTCGACACCATGAACTCTCCCGATCGCGCTCGCGCTCTCCTCCCGCGCGCTCTCCAGTCTCTCCCTGCCCACACCCACGTCGAGACGACCTCCAAGTTCGCCCAGCTCGAGTTCCGCTCCGCCAACGGAGATGTTGAGCGCGGTCGTACCGTCTTCGAGGGTCTTCTGTCCTCGTTCCCCAAGCGTATTGACTTGTGGAATGTTCTGCTGGACCTGGAGATCAAGGTCGGCGATGCAGAGCAAGTGCGCCGTCTCTTCGAGCGTGTCCTTGGTCTCCAGAGTGGCAAGAAGGGACCCGTTAGCGTGGACGCTAGCAAAAAGCTCAAACCTAAACAGGCCCGCTTCCTGTTCAAGAAATGGCTTTCCTTTGAAGAGGGTCTGGCTGCTGATAATGGCGATGAAAAGATGGTTGAAGAGGTCAAGGCACGGGCTGTTACCTATGTCAAGTCCCTTCAGGAGTAAATTTCCTATCAAAAAAGTGTGTGATGTTTTGAGCCTGTGAATTTGTACTTGTATATAGATAGCGATTCAGGAAATATGTTGCATTTTGTTCCCCTGTCGATCAACTGTATTTCATGTACCTCATGTACCTCATGTATGTTATACCTACTACGGAGTACTCCGTCCAAGGTTACTAACCAAAGCGTGGAAACAGCCCCCAAGTCCCACGGATCCAATCACCGCCTGGGATATCATGGCTGCCTTCCAAGGTTGACTTGTATAGTATTTAACCTCATATGTCTTGGCTTTCTCTTCTTCAGATCCATATGATGCAGTCTTTTCCTTCCCGCAGCGCAGTATCTCTGCAGTTCGATCCATACAGAGACCTAGATACTGATCCAAAGCTCAATGTACACTCTGTTGACTCCGTTTCTGTTGAGCGAGTGGGGTATCCGGCCCGCTCATGGTGTCAAGTCTGGACGGCCTTGGCTTGGCCTTCAACGTTTCCCCTGTCAGATGACCAGTCCAAGCGGCGATCTCGTCGGTACTTGCATGGTTTACGACGTGCAATTATTGGCATATTCATCATGCTGTGAGTTTCATGTACCATATAGAATGTGTCTACCCAATGGGGACCCACTGACTTATCATAACAGAGGTATCATTCAATTCATCTCCATCGTCTGTGGTATCGTCCTTTCGTTTTTCCCAGATGAATACGACCGCGCAGTTCATAATTGGCTAGGCAGCGCTGATAGCGCAAGCACCACAAATAATACACGCTGGCCCACTGATATCTCGCGCGGTATCATCCCCGTTGGCTGTCATTCTCATAACGACTATTGGCGCCGGGTGCCACTATACTCCGCACTGCAAGCGGGATGCATAGGCGTCGAAGCCGACGTCTGGCTCTTCGACGACGAACTCTATGTCGGGCACACCACATCGTCCCTGACAGAGCGCTTAACCTTGCAATCCATGTACATTGACCCGATAGTAAACATCCTCGAGCGCCAAAACCCTACCACCAAATTTCATCAGGGAGGTGACGGCCCTGTGCATGGCGTCTTCGACACAGACCCGGCCCAAACCCTAATCCTCCTAATCGACTTCAAAACCACAGGCCCGGAAACCTGGCACGCCGTCATGAAGCACCTTGCTCCGCTCCGTGACCGCGGCTACCTAACCCACTTCAACGGTGACGAGGTTATTCAGGGTCCCGTCACCGTCGTCGGAACGGGAAATACACCCTTCAACCTCGTCGCGGCAAATAACACTTATCGTGACATATTCTTCGATGCCCCGCTCGACCAACTTGTTGATCCAGACCAACCAGACAATGCCCAGACATACGCAGCAATGCTCCCGCGCACAGATCTCGGTCAAGGCCAATCTGGCATGCCAGATGTCATTACTGCATCCACCTTCAACACCTCCAACAGCTTCTATGCCTCCGTATCTTTCAAAAAGGCAATCGGACATCCCTGGCCCTTCCACTTCACGCAGAGCCAGATGAAACGCATCCGCAACCAGGTGCGCGTTGCGCACCAGCACGGCTTGAAAGTGCGCTACTGGGCACTACCAAGCTGGCCTCGCAGTCTGCGGAATCATATCTGGCGCGTGCTTGCGCAAGAGGGTGTGGATATTCTGAATGTCGATGATTTGGCTTCTGCTACACAAGGGGATTGGAACACACGGGTTTTCGATTGGTGGCTATGATTGCTATGCACTATTGGTTTTCTTTTTTCTACATTTTGCTCTTTACTTTGAAATATGGGTTTATGAACTAGCGTTGGAGTTCTTTTATTTGATTTACGATACCGAGCCTTTTTCTTTAGCTTTATTGCTTTATCTTGTTTGATAGACTACTTGCTTCATATCTCAACGGTGCTATGCATCCAATATCAAAATGTTTATTCATCCTTCGAGATACCGATACCACGTTGATACCAAAAAAAAAAACAATGATGTGGATGTTACCAATCCAGTTCGAATTCACTATAACCATAGTTTTGGTCTCTGTCGCATCCAGCGCAGGAGCGGTAATGTTATTCATCATGCTGGGACCTGTTTCCCAACGCCCTTGATACCTATCCAGAATTGACGCCGCAATTCTTCCAGTAAAATCAGATTACAATCAAATACATATATCAAAGGACACAGTCCTAGGAAGACCTCAAATCAACGCGAGATTATAAACGTAGGCCTTCGACCAGCGGAGAGTCCCCGGACAAAACACATCAAACATAACTACTCGTAGACATCATATCTCATAGACAGCAAAGAGCCTCTTCACCAAACTCGTGCATAACGCTACCCTCTTCCCGAATCAACCCACCAAGCCAATGCTTCGCAGTCTCAAAGTCCTTAGCACCGAACTTGACAAGCACGAAACCAGCGCGCACACGCGCCGCCGTCCAGGTAACATCACCTTTATTGCTAATCGAAGGCTCAGGCACCGACGGCGCATCAACCGACCAATTACGACTGCCAATACGAGGCTGTGACTGGAACTGGCTCAGCATGAACGATCCGAGCGCCTCAAACACGGGTCCAGAGAGGATAAGTGTGCCAACGACGCCGTGTGGCCGCGTGCGCTCCGCGATAATATTCAGCGGAGTCAGGCCGGCCGGCGTCTGCGGCGGCAAATCGGCTGGTTTCACGAAGGCGGTGCTGGTGTTTGCATCCTGGGTTATGTTTTCGGCCTCGCCCTTGACACCTTCGAGTTCGATTTCATCAGATATGGAGGCTGCGTCCAGGTCATTGGATTCATCGTCAAGGATTACCGAGTCGCGGAGGAGGAGTCGACGATTGCCTTTGTCGTCTTCGGCCCAGACTTCGTTGCGGCCGCGCCAGAACTGGAAGTTCCAGTCCTCGCCGCGCGAGGTGCGGCCTTGCGTTACCCAGTCCAGGACGCAGACGCTGCTGCGATCATTGCCTTTTGCGGTGGCGTCTACGGTAAAGGTTTGGACTTGGGCGTAGCGGCTGTGTTTGAAGGGGACGGAGGGGTCTGGGAGGTAGCAGAGGGCTGCTTGGCGGCCGATTTTGACATCGAGGGTTTGCTGGCTCATGTCGGAGATGTGGTCGTTTGCGGGCATTTGATCGCGGTGGCCTTTGATTACATTTGGGGCTGTGCCGGTGTTGTTTGGATTCGTTTTGAAGATCTTGGTGCTGCCTTGTGGCGTTGTGACCACCATTCGCGTCCTGGGTTCCAGCGTGATGGATACTTCGATCTGATCACCTGGCAGCAGCCCGCCGCCATAGGTGAGGAGGTATAGGTGGACGGGATTGGAGGGACGTGTGTCTGAGAGGGCGGAGGAATCTGGCGCTGGGACGAAGCCGCCCGTGCGCGGGACCAGCTTCAATGGGTATTTGTAGGTGAGAGTTGTGAGGGTGGGATTATTTGGTGGGAGAAGAGAAAGGACGACTTTACCCTGCCCTGGCTTCGCAATGGAAGACTGAAAGGGCGAGGGGAATGGCATTGCTGGTTGTCGCATGATGGAATCTGACAAAGGCGAAGAATGGCCTGTGTATAAGAAAGTACAAGCAATGAAGCCAAGCTATATAAGTCGGGGGCAAGCATATAAAAGGAAAATGACGATTCCTTAGTCATGGCCACACCTCAAGCGGGGGATATCCCCCAAGTTTCCTTGGCCTGGGAACTCCGGAGCATAACAAAATCCACCAACATACACGACATAAGCAGAAATGGAGGAATTGAGGTTTCTATGACCAAGAGTATGTCCGTATTGGTGTGAGACTTGGTGGGTTACCTCTTGGCAATGCACCTTTTATGTCATTGATGATCTGCACGTTTAATTCTAGTCTGGCCGGGCAGAAGGGATCATGGGGTTCTTTACTCCGTAGATCAACAGCACGGAGTCTACGGACCATTCTTCGAACTATTGGAGGAGTTTGACGTGATTCTGCAGGCAATCCTACCTAAATTCCATATCGAAGACATGTGGGCTTACCTCTTTCCCACTCGTTAGCGTCTGCTGATGCACATTAAGCTAGTGTCTTGGAATCGAATTCGAATATTCCCGTAGCGTTCGCAAGCTGATAAGTTTTTGCACATATGAAATAAGAGAAAGTTAGGTTCTGGTACCTTGACGTTTGTGGAAATTGCATTCAATGTGAGTTACTAGTCGCCATAGTAGATCGAAGTATGTAGATCAACTACTCCGTAGTGGTCCGATCCTCAACAGAACACAAGACTATAGCATAGTACTTGGCATCTTGGTACATTTCCCGCGGGCTTGCGGTCATGCTCCCGGCACACTCATCCTGGAAAATCCGATTTCACAACGCATCGGTGTAATACTGTGGAATACCATGTACTAATTTGCTTTGCTTTGCTTTGCTTTGTATTTTGATTCCTTCCTTGGATTCGAAGCTAGAGGGGGATTCTTCTTGCTGTGCTCCCATTAAAATGCTCTTTCAAAAATAACTGAAATTTCCAAGATAACCGAGGTCTCAGTGAGCCTTGCGTCTTCTTCTCAAAGTGATCAATCTAATGTGTAGCTACTTGTATAACTAGCGAACCGTGCAAAAAGACACCTGATATACAAGGCAACAACTCAGACAAACATGCCTGATTACATAATTTAGGCATCCTCAGGCCTCCAGGCACGGCGTCGCGTCTCCCCCACGCTGAGACCCGGACCGTTTTCTGCCCAAGTGCTTCCGTTTGATTGACCTTGTCTCAACACGGTCAGAGCGCGTGTCGCAAATATTCGACATCTCAAATTGCATACCCTACTCATACTTCCCCCCCAACTTTTATCTGCTTGGTCGTACCAGACTCGCGCGTTGCACGAGCGCGTCCCCAACCTGAACGGCAGCGACATCTGTCAACTCTACTGGATGCCATTGATCTGGCTAACAGGCTTATCTATCTGATCGCATATCCATATAGCACACCCATCCGACATCAATCATGGATATCGACAACCCACCTTTATCAAGCCTCAGTGGCCTGTCGTCGACCCCCGCAGAAGACAGACGTAAATCCGGTCGACAAACGCGACGGCCCGAAGTATTTTCCCAGACTGCACATTCTGCCGAAGAACAACCTGCCGGTGGAAAGCGCAAGCGAGGCGAGGCGCGTGAGGACGGTGACGAGGACGCGTCCGAGTCCGACAGTGACGATGCCGGCGACGACGAGACCGATGAGGAGGAATTGAAAGAAAAGCGACGCGCGGCCCGTCGAAACGGTGCTAAGAAGACCAAATCGAAGACGAAGACCAAGGGATCCCACGCTTCAAAGAAACCCAAAGTCACAAGCAACGGATTAGGGAGACAACTCGCCTTCCGACCAGCTACTACTGGTCGGCTACCCGCTGCTCGTCCTCGGAAACCGAAAGTAAGACCTAGTCTCGCGGCAGGTGAACGCGGATTGTTCGGTGAGTGATGAATTTCTTCATATATGCAAAATCAACTCCGTGGCTAATACCAGAATCAGCCGAGGTCTTTGGGAAAGGCAGCAATGCCGATACAGTGGCCGCTCAGTGGCTGTCTCAATACCAACGCAACAATGGGCAGGCGATGTGCGACCTCGTCAACTTCATCTTGCGATGCACAGGTACCGATCTCGAGATCGACATAAATGAAGTGGAAGACATCGACAATGCCCCGAGCCGAATCGAAGATTTGCAGAACCTTTACCAGGCAGAAGGCATCACCGAGTACCCTCTGATCTCCAAAGCGAAGAAGTTCAGAGCGTTCTCAGTCCTCCTCGAAGAATTTACTGTCGCACTGATTCAGACTTTCCATGCCTCTTCTATCCTGTACACCGATGATACCCTTCTTGAAAACATTCAGATCTGGATCTCTTCCATGTCAACATCGCAATGCAGACCATTCCGGCATACCGCGACCTTGATCTCCCTCGCAATCATGAACGCTTTATGTGATATTGCGCGTGAGGTGACAACGAGCGTATCAACTTCCAGAAAACAACTCGAGAGTGAGAAGAGAAAGAAGACGGTAAACAAGGGTCGTGTGGAAGCAATCAAAACGGCTGTGTCAGAGGGCGAACAGAAGGTGGAGCGACTAGACGAGTTCCTGCAGGATGGGTTCGATACTGTATTTGTTCATCGCTACCGAGACATTGACGGTCAGATCCGCGCCGAATGTCTGACAGCCCTAGGCGGATGGATTCGCACATACCGAGAAATATTCTTTGAGGGCCAGTATCTGCGATATCTGGGGTGGACTCTCGCCGATGTCGTTGCACAGACCAGACTTGTTGCCTTGACTGAGCTCTTGAGTCTTTATGAGAACCGTGATAACATTGCTGGTTTGCATTCATTCACTGAGCGCTTCCGGCAGCGAATCGTGGAGATTGCTGTGCAAGATGCTGATGTATCGGTGCGGATGGCTGCGATTGAGTTGCTCAACCACCTTCGTGAAGGGGGCCTACTCGAGCCAAATGACATTGACGCTGTCGGGCGACTGGTATTTGATCTGGACCCCCGCATCCGCAAAACGGCTGGACGCTTCTTTGTCGCCAACGTTCAAGATGCATACGAGTCGATCACCGAGGAAGTGGGAGAGGAGATCGCCGAATTGCTGGCTGATGACGATGAAGAGGACTATGAATCGCCTAAGCACTCATGGATCAAGTTTAAATGCCTCACCGAGCTGTTCCAGGCCTATGATGCACAACAAACCGAGCAGCAAGCAGAGCCAATGTCTCGCGACACACTGATGGGAGT